TGCACATATTTCTCGTCGCCTTTCGCGTCCGTTTTCCGCTCGCTCTTGCTACTCGGCGTCTTTTTTACGTATAGTACCTGCCTTTTTGCGCCTGTAACGAAACAAAATAATCTCTATATCTAAGAAGTTTTGCTTACTTGGAAAGCTGGAATAACAGGCAAGCTGTAAAGAGCAATTCTGGACATCATAGACGTTTTTTTTTTATCAGAGAAGATTACAAACGCGATAGCGGAAAGATTTGTGTGAAACATTTTGCAGATAATGACAAAGTTCAAAGTTAGTAATTTTAATGTTTGCGCTTAATCATTGAAATTTCATACAAAACTGTGCTGCGATACAATTCCATAACACAAAGTTTGCACCTATCGAACTTGCTTTTGTAGGTGAATTTATTAGACATATTACATATTCAGTTAATCGTAGGTAACATTGCTGGTACATAATGCATCGTAGATAGGTTTGTTTAAATTTAGGAATTTAGCTCATAGCCCACTAATTAATATTATCTTCTATGCAGGAGGTTGCAGGGCTGAATTCAACTTGCAGCCTTACCGATCACCTGACGATGCTCATTTAGTTTGGCTCAAGCAAGTCTTCTTGAAATGCTTGTGCGGATGGAAACTACCTATATTTTTTGCCTTCCTGCGATTTTAGACAAATTTATTCTGAGGGATTTCGCATATAATTCTCACTGATTGTTGGCTGTTTATAATTCCTATTGATTGTGAATTCTGATTATAACAATGAGTTGAAAATTTTTTTACCTAATTTACTGGCACCTTTTTCTTGTCAATACTCCAAGCTGCGGTAATAAACATGACAATACATTTATGTCATCTGGAAGCAAAATATGCACACTAATTAATAGTTTGGCACATTGAGATGATACATCATGACAGAAAATACAAGTTAAAGATATGTATGACCATCACATGGTAATTAAAATTTAAAAAAATTAATAGGGGCTGTGGAGTATGGAAAGTTCAAGACAAAGAAAAGAACAAATGTTCATAGCTCATGAACTCTCAATTTTGCCTCCATTGCTTTGTGAAGGCCAGTATATTTCGAGTGGCTGAATTGGTTTACCTTTATGATAGCAACGATTTTGTATTTAATATAGCGAGATTATTTCAATTTAATTGAAGTGATATAATTTCCCAAAGCAATGCTTGAATCGTCTAGAATAGATCAGTGGTGTCAAACTCATGGGTTTTCGAGAGCCGCATTGCATTTTGAAAATTGTAAAAAGAGCCGCAAACAGTTTTTGATAATGTATACTTAAAAGATATTTTTAAGATAGTTTTAGTTTGTGACATATATTGTGATGCAACTAAACAGTTGGATTAAGTTTTATTATTTTCTTCAATTTCAAATGCAATTACATATTAATATTTGCATTCCACTATTATTGCAACATTTGCAAGTTACAGTATTTATTATAAAAAATCGTAAAATTCTATGTACAACCATCAAAATCATTTTTGAACAAGCTTTGAATAAGGAAAGAATAATACATACACTAAAAATAACTTAATCTAAATATATGAACCTAAAATTAACAAAAATACTACAGTATAAACTCAATGTTTCAATAATTACATTTGTCCTGGCGTTTGGCATCTTTTTTGTGCCCCCAGCATACTAAGGCCAGTCTGAAATGATTTTATAGTACCAACTCTAACTAACGAGGCCACATGATCATGGGTTTATCTGGATCTTTACGAATGTTTAATTAATTCCAGTAATGCAAAAAAGTTACTTTTATCATTTCATGTATAGATCAGTAAAAAAACAAATGACAGATTTTTTCGACAAGACATTTCGCACTACATTGCGTGGCATAGGATTGCTTGAATTATTATTGATATTGATTTTTAGTAACTAAGTCGTTGTATAATTATATTAATATACAAACACATGGAAATTTTCTGTTCGAAGTTGGTCTTCGAATTTGTCATATTGACTGCTGAGCTTATTGTGTGTTTTGATTGTATTGATGGAAATATGACAAATTTAACAATGTGCTTCAGAATTTTGTGAAGAGCAGAAATGTTACAGCTCCCATTTTCTTCGAAAATGCCACCTTCTTCATGTACTTTGCGTTTAATTTAATTACTCAAGTGCTACCATTCGTGCTACGCCTTGAAAGCAGCACACATCCGCTCGTTTTCGTCTCGTCAAGTATGTGCATTGGAGCGTGCTATCGAATACGATCTTCGGACAAAAATGCCGGAGTTGCGCATCATGTTGTTTAATGTCATTGTTCAGAGTAAATAGTTCATCTATTTTCAGTTCCACCATCCGAGTGTGCGAAGGAAAGAGATTCCATGCAAGTCTGTGTATCTGGGACGTTGTCTAACCTGTAATCGGTTTTCACTTGTAACCGGCGACAAAGTGGTCCGTCATAAATTATAACATGTTTTTCTTAAGCGAACAACGATCTCCAACCACTGGAAATTTCAAAGAAATTGGTGTGGTAGTTGAACAACAACGTGGTCCGTCATAAATTATAACATGTTTTCCTTAAGCGAACAACGATCTCCAACCACTGGAAATTTCGAAGAAATTGGTCTGGTAGTTGAACAACAAATATAAAAACAAGAAAAAGAATACAGCCAACAACAAACAATCCATAGGTCTACCTCATGTCAAATAATAAGAAATCATATCCTTGATTAATCAATGAAAATTTATATATTAGTATTTATTTTTTGCCTAAATTATGGAAATATATCATATTTTACGACGCATCACCGCAAGCTGTCGCATGATACCAACTTGTACGTTGGCGGGTTTTGCGAATTTGCGCGGTTTACCCTTTAGAATGGGAAATAACATGTAATATTAATCGGATGGGACATTCGATTATAGTACCGGTATCGTGGTTAGACAAATAAATAATAGAATAATACTGATAAAGTTTTAAAAAGTATTAATGGGGAAAGACTTGTAGGCGCGGCGGTGTGGCTCAACGGGTTAAGCGTTAGGAATACGCTCGCCACCGCACCTCTAATTACTCTGCGTGGGTTCGCAGGTTCGATTCCCATGCAGGGATGGTTATGTGCGAGAGGATTGCTGGACTCCTCGCCGTCGTTGGGTGGTTCACGTAACCGCTGGTCGGTTACGGCTTCCTCCACCACCAAGTCCATGCTTCCGAAAACAAACAATACAGTATAACTAACTAATCCCATACCCGACTTGGAATGGTAACCGGACGAGAGGCCGTGGTTCGCCATATGGATAAGCCGTCTTATCGGCTTTCCTCTCCCCCGGGATAAATATGTAAATCCTATCCTATCCTCCTAATTATCCGTAATTCAAATCTCAGTATAACTTGTAACAGTATTCATAATAAAATTTTGGCAAATTATACGAGGACCTTCAACTATAAGTTAATATGGGATATTCTACCCTTGAAAACAAAACCAGAGATCAAAAGAGTAGCAGGAAATGAATTATGTTTATTATGTAATATAGAACCTGAGTTTGTGTCACATATTTTTATGTTTTGTGAGTTTACTCAGAAAATTTATGATGATTTTGTTTCCTTAATTATATTAAAATTAATTAGAATAAATTTTGTTATAAATTATGATTCTTGTATATTATTGAATTTTAATGATCCTTTATTTAGTCATATAACAGCATTAGATTTGAGTGCAATTATTCTTTTATTATCAATAGTGCGATATAAAATTTGGATAATGAGAAATTCTATAATATTTGAAAATAAAACACCTGACATTGCTCTCCTTAAAAAACAGATAAAAATGGCCCTAATGTATAGAAAAAATATAGAAAATTCCAGAGTAGACAAACCCTTTGAAAAAGAATTACAAAATTTATGTAAAGCATTAATTTAGATATTAAATCAGGTTTATAATAAGTTTTTTGTATTTACTAATTTTGTGTTTTTCCTTTTTTATTGTATTATATCATTGTAATTATTAAAATAACATTATTATCGTTGGATACTTATTACTGATGAAACAAACTGGAAATACTGTGAAACTCAATTTAACAAATGGATCATGAATGGAATGTGGACTATAATTTATTTTATTTGTTTATTTATTTTTTACATATTTATTGAAATCACTCAATGAGTGAACCAATTAAAAAAAAAAAAAAAATTTGTGTAAGGTTTTGCTTGCTCTTATAATTTCATAATCATTTTTTTATTTATTTGTTTTTATCAATCATTTTATCGCCTGTTACCGGTATCTGGTTATGCTGAATATGGAGTTGAAATAAACTTATACTGGGTACCTGTCGCACGCCTTTCAAACATTTCCACAATCCACACAAATTGATTAGAAGCCGCAGTCTGATCGCAATCTAACATGGGATTTAATATAGTCTACGATGCCACGCATATGTTCTTACTTACACCGCAAAGAGCACGAAACAGCGCAAAAACAGTGGGGAAAGAGCGCAAAACAGAGGGAAACAGTGTAAAGCAGAAAAAAATTTTGCAATGAGTTCGGGACACCTTGTTTTGAGTTGGAGTACCACGGCAGCAAATTAAAAACACAAACCAACGTATGTAGCCAGTAATGCTGTAATGGCAGGTCTGCCCCTGCTGGTGACACATTTTGGGTACCATAATTTAGAACATTTTACATATGGATATGGTTGGCTTTAGGGTTAGGGCTAGGTAAAAAGGGACCTCCAGAAGTATGTGCACCAAGATGGCGCACAACCTAAAAATAGTATCTGTTTGTGTGTAGCGGATTCAGGTTGTGCGACATATTGCTGCACACACACACACACCAAAAAAGTAGATAAAATTTCGCATGATGACCTATAATCCGGTACATAACCTTGTAAATATACCGGAAATAGCGCCATAAAACCATGGCGAGAGGCGCCGTGGTTCTTTCGTGGCAGAAGGTGGTAATGACTGCGTCTCCTGTTTTGCGCTGTTTCTCTCTGTTTTGCGCTGGTTTCCATCTGTTTCGCGCTGTTTTCCTCTGTTTTGCGCTGTTTCGCGCTCTTTGCGGTGTATTCAGTAAGTAGTAAGACCCGACTGGCTGTAATAACTTTTGAATGTAAATTAATTGTATACCGGTACTTAGACTATAATTGATAGTTTGAATGTGTATGATGTCAAAATGGCAAACATAGGCATATGAAATTGTTGCTGTTCTGTATGACAAAATTATAAAAAATCTTAATGCGATAATATCGGAAAGGCAGGTAGCCTAATTAAGTTATCTGTAATTCAAATACTGAAATAAGAGTAATTTCTCAATTTGCATTAGTAGACTATTCCATGTATTCCTAATGAAATTTTCGCAAATTATGTTAACACTTTTTAAATCACTTTGGGGTATGTTGCTATTAAATACAAAAACAGAGATTAAAAGAATAGTAGAAAATGAAATGTATTTTTAGGCCTAATGTACCGGTAATAAAGAATCAGAGTTTGTATCACATATTTCTATGTCTTGCAGTCTTGTGAACTTGCACAGAAAATCTATGATGATTTTGTTTGTTTAATTATATTAAAATTAATTAGAATACATTTGGTTATAAATTATGATTCCGGCATGTTATGTAATTTTACCCTTATTCAGTCATACCACCACTGTAGATTTGAATGCAATTATTCTTTTGTTATCAATAGTGTGATATAAAATTTGGATCATGAAAAAATTCTATCATATTTTAAAATAAAACATCTGATACCGTATTGCTCTCCACAAAAAGCAGATAAAAATGTCCATAATGTGTAGAAACAATATAGAAAATTCTTGAGTTAACAAACCCTTACAAAAAGAAATTAAAGAATTTAAATTAGAGAACCCTTAAAGAAATTACAAAATTTATTCGATGCATTATTTCAAATAGGGAATTAAATGTCTATGATATATTTTTTGCATTTCCCAATTTTCTCCCTTTTTTTTATTGTTTTTTCAATTTGAAAAATATCCCAAATTTTTATTTCTTCATTCAAATAAAAATCTGTCTTGCAGAGAACGCCAGACCCTATTTGACTTGGGATATACCGGTACCTGCTTATTTGAAAATTGAGTAGGATTCGTTTCAACTAATCTTCAACGCATCTGTCAAGAATTTCATTTCATATTAGATATGTGTAATCTTTCCATTTTACTTACGGTAACAATAAATATTTTACATCACATTTTTGTTAGGAGTTATTGTGTTATTTACTGATATAAACAGTTGTGGCATTTACTGTGCTAGACCCCTATTATTAAAATCTTCATGTATATTCTGTATCTCATGTCTTTGTCATACAGAATACATTCTGTTTTCATACAGCTTTGCTTGCTTGCTTTAAGCTGTCTACAAGTTTTCATTTGCTTTTCTATGGGCCTATCTTTCATATTTCAATAAGAATTATTTAATAAGACTTAGGAATTAATGCTAATGGTTGCTTTAATGCCCACAATTAATGCTTGCTTTATTTATGTCACTATCATTCATCTGTAAACATTATTTTTCAATGTATTGATAAAGGGATTTTTTCAATAATGTTGTTGTATTCTCCCCCTGCCTTTTCACAGAACGCAATTGATTTTTTACTGAATCTGACAAATAAAGCAGTCATTCAGTCACAATCACAATGAATGAGAACTTGATCTTGGATATATTTCAATCGTTGGAACTGACAAATCTAGATGAGGAATGGGTTGATCGAATGCATTCATCAGAATTTACAGATGACCCAGAAATTGACATTGACATACCTTCTTCAGCTATCAATAACCTGGAAGACTTGAATTTAGCACTTCGAAATGGATCTAAGCTACTTGCGAACTTGTCTGGTCAAACAAGGTGCTCTTTGTTGAATGAACTTATTAAAATTGGAATTACAAGTAAAGTCATTCAGTCTTGGATATATTATCTTTTCCACGTTGGTCTGAAAATGTCTGCTAGCTTTGAGCAGACACTATTATGTTTACTTGCAGCGGACTTTTACTTTTTGCTACTTCAGTTGCCTGGTATGAGTTCATCACAATTACATCATGCTATACTTTTTGAAAAAGCTGTGAATTCTCTACAGATGGTGACACAAGTTGATGCCACAATGTCTGAAGAAGTAGGACGCAAAAGAAAAGCAAATGTACCCCTAAGTCAATCACAGAAGCGGCGAAAGGCGAGCAATGATAAGAATACACAAGAAGAAGAAGATCATGGCAATGTTGTTATAACTCCATCGCAAATGGCAAATCTTTACAGGCTCCTTAATTTAACATTGACTGATTTCTGTAAATATTTAGCATCTGTTTCATTGAGGTCTAATGAGGTGTCGTTGAAACATGCTATGCAAGTCTTGGTGAAAATTGCAAATTGTTTGAAAACGAATGCTCCAATAAGCATTATAGATTACAAAAGTTTTCGTAGTGATGGTTCTACTGCGGACAGTTTTAGACTCCCATATCAACAGGCTGTTTATGCCTTGTTTTTGACAATTTCAGTAAAACATGGTGATGTTCATCAGTTGTGTTTGACCTTATTTCGATTCATTTTGCCCATAATTATAATGAGAGATGCTAACATTCCATCGTCTACTGTTTCACGATCCTTCTTTCAAAACTCGGAAATATTCCGAAAACTTGTTTGTCATTTGTTTGATGTTCATGGAGATTCCGTTTCCCATAGTATATCTGTACTGACACAAAACTTGATTGCTCAGTGTCCTGATCGTACAGAATTTCGCAATCATCTTGCAACCATCGTATCATGTATTTTGCAGCACATGCCTACAAATTGGTATGCTGACTTCTGTGATTGGCTCAGAAGAATGGCAGTACATTCAAAAATTGTATATCGAAGTAATACACTGGCAACTGTGGGGAAATTGCTTTGTATGCCCGAGCGTCTGAATGATGAGAATGATTCTCTCGATCCAGACACTCTTGTTTCCACAAAGCACAGCTATTTGCTAAAGATAGTTGTTGGAAGATTGTTAGATGTGTCTCCATCTGTGCGATCGAGAGCTTTGCATGTTCTTGTTGAAATGATGGAGGAGGGGATTGTTTCTCCAACAGCGCTACAGGAGGTCGTGGATGCAAGAGGAAAAGATTTAGAATCTGAAACACCTGCAACCAATGCATCAGCTAGAGGAAAATCTAGCACACCGGCTACTCTTCACACAGTTGCTGCCCCCACTCTGATGAACAGTTGCACAGTAATTGAGGATAACAAATCAACCCTCTTACAACTACTTTCCAGATGTGTTTTGGAACCCAAAGCCATGGTTCGCAAAACAGCAGTGCAAGCATTAGAAATGGCTTTGATCTCAGACTTTGTACAACCAACTGATGAGAGCATGACAATTCTGGAAAAGAAATGCAGTGACCCATCACTAATGGTGCGTAAGCAGGCTATTAGTAGTATTTCTCTAGTATTAATGCACCACAAGTCTTCCAAGCAAGCACAGGCATGTTGGGCTCGGGGTGTTTTTCCTGCAGTACTGGATGCTGAAAGTTCCATCCAGGAAAAGTCTGCTGCTCTTATTGAGTCAACCATTTTAGATAACTTGAATGGTTCTGAGGAAAAGTCAAATCTAGCTTGGGATCTCATTTCTTTTCTTGCAACTCAAAAAGGTGAACCTCTGCGAGCATATTTACAAACAGTGTGCAGGCAATGGAATCGTCAGCAAAAATTGAATGTTGGTTTAGTATCTAAATTCGCCAAGGAACTTGAGACGCCCAATAAATCAGCAGGAGCTTGGCTTTTCTTAAGATTATTCACCTTATATGTTTGCAATAAAAGCATAGCTGATCATATTGTAAAAACCTGGGTGACTGAATATAAGAAAGCAAATCCATTGATGTTTCATATAAATTCCACTATGACACTGGGGCAAATTTGCAAGCATTTGCACGAAGACACTATCCAACAAGTAATGGACATTTGTATTCAGCGCCTAAAGATGCCACATTGTCCAATTCAGCTGATCTCCTACCTAATTGAGACCATTTGTAACTTGATCGAAACACTTTATAAAGAAAAAACCGATGGCCAAGAGTGGCCCCAACCATTAATGGAATGGTGTAAGGCAATCCTACAAGACGCTGACGAATATTTGTATAAAGTTGTAATGAGCACTGCAGATGGGTGTTCAATTTGGAACGAACACTCTCTCATACATCAATTGTATATTACTGGGAATATTGGTAAGCATTGTGCTACCAAAGTGCCAAAAAGACTTATTTTGTCAATGCAAGCTTTGCTTACTAGCACAGAATGTCTCAGTAATATGTCACAGCTTCAAAGCCAAATCTCTGCGAGCCAAGATGTTCTTCAATCACAACCTTTGTCACAGTTTGTTCAGTCTGGAGGTATTCCTCACCATATTCGTGCTCATGCTGTCATAAATTTAGGTGGGTTTTCATATTGTATTTTGGGTGTTACATGAAATGCTAAGCTGTTGTTAAAAACATTAATACTAAATGTTTTTTGAACTTGAAATCTTGTTAATACGAGTATAATTATATGATGATGATATATATCTGAATTTTCCTACCGCAGTGATTTCCATATTTGACAAGATATTTTGGACGCTTGGCATTTTTTAATGGTTGATTTTATATATTTTTAGGGAAGATTTGTCTCCACAATGTTCAATTGGCAAAAAAATGTATTCCTGCAATGGTTCGTGAGTTGGATACATGTGATAATGCAATGGTGAGAAATAATGTGTTGATCATACTGACTGATCTTTGTGTGTTACAAACACAATTAGTTGATCCATATTTGGGTGATATGGCAAATTGTCTTGGAGATGAATCGGTTGAAGTACGAAGGTGAGAGATTGATTGTATTATTTAATCAGTGAGCAAAACGAATTTGCAGCAATTTGCTTAATAAAAAAGTTAGCATAAGAAATAGAAGACAAAAGGATTTGTTTTCAATGCATTTACAATTGTTGCAATCTTATTGCTTGCATATATTGAGTTTTAACCTGTCTTCTTATGAAAATAAGTTCCCTGTGTAATTTTGCATAATTTACATTTATAATGTGAAATGCTAAATAAAATGAGTCAAATGCCTCTGAGTGATGGGAGTATAACATAAATAATGTGTAATGTTTCTCTGAAATTCAAACAACAATGTATCTTTTGCTATAGATTTTGGACAAAAGCATGCGTGTATCTGTTGAAGATTATTCTAAAGTGAAAGAGTGTTATACAGCATCGGTTTTAGGAACAGCATCAATTTTAAAATAGCATCATATTTCAAGATAATCATCGAACATTATTGTTAGCCATATATCGCTTCTAAGATAAATTAACTTATTAACGTAAACATACCTAAAATGATGACTTTCTTATTTCACAGGAATGCTTTGATCCTTATTAATAGCTTACTGAAGAAGGACTATGTTAAGTGGAGAGGAAGCCTTATATTCAAATTTTTGACACTGCTTTGCGATAATAATACTGAGCTTAGGAATCTAGTTCGATTCAGTCTTATTGAACAAACTCTTCGAAGAAATGCTGGAGATATTTTTTTCCGACATTTTGTGGAATCAATATTTTATTTAAATGCATACACGGATCACAACATATTCAACAGATTCGCTAAAACTGACAGGGAATTAAGGTAAGACTCGGAATAAATAAAATTTGAATTAATCCACTCTTCAGGAGATGCAGATTTTCTATTGACGCTGGCACCAGTGTATCTTCTTCAATTACAACTTCTTTTATTAACGATTAACAGAACAAGTTTTAACCCTTTCCGTGCGGTGGGCACGTATTCGTACCAACGACAAAAGTCGCTAGATTGCGGCGGGTACGATGATGTACTCCACTGTTTTATTTAGCAAATGGTCGCAAACTGTTGGTCTAGTTTTTCCGGGTTTTAGTTTATTGATAAGAAGTCTTCTTCGAGATTAACATAAGCGAAGGTAAATCTCGCTATCGTTTATGACGGGAATTTTATTTGCGGCGGAACGATGGAGTGTTTTTTAATTTATGCAAATTTCTGTGTTTTTTGGGTGGTAATAGAAGACATATTATCCCTTCTATCTACCAAAGTATTTTGAGTTAGATCACGAAATTGCTACAGCAATATTATGCTATTGTTTGCCAACCACGAAGCGGTAACAGTAAAGGATTTAGTGAATATTTCTATTTTTTATCACGGTTTGAAGTTTCAACTCCCAAGAAAAAAAGAGGCTTTTTTCTATCCGGTTTGTGACTCAGACCACCACTTTTGAAAAAAACTTTTTTTTTTAATCGCCAATTGCAAGCTCTTTAAATAGGCTTTCCAACGAGCCGTCAGTGGGCAGCAGAGGATCATTAGTTTTTCGTTAGTCGATCGATTAGTTGTGGGGATACAAATGCATAAAATCGGCGTAGCAAATACGATTATTTAATAAAAAATAAAAATCGCATGGAAAGGGTTAAATACAACATATACTGCATTCTTATATTTATGGCTACATCTCTAGTTTCAATTTGTATTCTGAGCAGTTCATATATAGTTAAATGTAGTAGCCTACCTACCGGTACCTCATTGCAACTCTTCTATCCATACTATTTCCACTCCACAAGTTTAGTGCTCAAAATGTTACTTCGAGCTAACTTGTATAAAAGTAAATATACTTGTATATCTGAATGTGCAGGTTGTTTGACTTTTCTGGAGAAACTAAGAAATCGGAGAGGATGTCTATTTATGTATTTATGCTTGAGCACATGGATGATGAACATCGAATTAAGCTTACTGGAAAATTATGTACTGATATTTTGGATTCTGTTGTCGACGGCGTCATTCCTTTGGGGAACAAAGCTAATGATGTTATAGCAGACACTCTTGCAATTCTTTGTGGACCGGTATGCTGAATTTATTTCCACTTGAAAAAGTATGGATACAGTTTCCAAATTTCTGCTTCTGTATTTTTAGGCAATTTCTGCTTGAGTGAATAAGTTATCATCATAAAAGTTCCTAAATTCACAGCCCCATAAATTTTAATTCTCGTTATATTATTATAAACAGTTTGTATTTTTGATTTATTAGAGTCTAATGATGTGAATTACACATCTGACGACTATGGGTGTACTTGATAATGCTATAAAGAAGCAACATTTGCACATTATACGATTTCAATTCTATTGAAATTTTCTATTTCATTCAGGATCTGAAGTTGAAATGCATGAAATCTGCATCAGATGATGATCAAGATGTTGAAGGAATGCAAAATGAAGCCGCAAACATTGCAAAAAATGCAATGAAACAAAAGATCATATCCCATGTAATTTTATTTTCCATGGCCTCACGCTAAATTATATTATAAGACATATACTATACAATTGTGACAGAAATCCAAAATTTGACACATAAGATCTGGCTTTGCCTCATTCAATCTAATATGTATTCAATTTCATTCATTATTGAGCAGTATTGAAAAAAATCAACTCGGGGAGTTCCCCATATATATTTTTTTTATGAAACATAACATTGTTGCCATAGTTAAATTTAATAATTGAGATCTCAGTTCTGTACACTCTGCTATTCATGCAGTGTACCTACTTATAACCTTTTTTATTTTCAGGTGGTAAAAAAGAATCTAGTTGAAAACATCATGCCAATTATTATTGCAATTAAGAATTTGCTGGTTGCTAAGCAAAGCCCTCTTGTTGGAAACGTTATGTTGTGTTTAAAAGAAATAATGAAGGTTAGAACAATGAAAATATTCAAACCCATATCGCTGTATCTGTCAGTGTTCACCCATAGGAGTCTTGTTGATTTACTGTGTCTTTAATCTATTAAACGAAGTGAATGAAAAAATTGTCAATCAAACAGTTAGTCTTTTACTTGAAACCATCACTGACCTGTGCAAAAATTATTCAGTTAAATGGTTTCAACTGTGACTTATGAATGAAATACACTCTGTATAATGTACACATATCATGCTTGTGTAATATCTGATATGTTTGTAATGGCTTGACGATATTGTAAGATTCAGCTGCTGCTGAGAATAAGGGCTGTTTATTACCGTCTGCATATATACGATATACAAGATTTTATAGCGGAGTGACCATTATTTTTCACATATCTCATGATTGTAGTTTTGATTTGTAGGATTATAAAACAGAAGTTCAAGATCTTCTGACAGCAGATAAACAACTAGCAAGTGAAATTGAGTATGATCTGAAACGCTTTGACAGAGAACAAGAGGAGAGGTAACTTGAAGTCTTTTATTGTATCAAGCATGAACAGGAAATAATGGACTGATTTAAAATAAAATATTATTATTTTTTTCAATTCATTCTCAATGTTGTTTTCAACTTTAATGGTTATTTTAGGTTTCAACGAGAGCATCCAGTTTCTGTTGCTGATAATACTCCCACACATTCTGCTACTGTTCAGAGTGAAAATGAGAATGTTATTGCCAGCCCAGCACGTGTTCAGATTGCGGTAAATCAGACAGTCACAAATCAACAAACACCTACTAGACACAAAGAGAACCGAGACCCTGCGAGCCCAGCTCATCAATTTCTCAGTCCTACAACAGCTATGAGAAGGCAAAAAGGTTTAGGGATAACTGCGGTGTTGAATTATGCCAGGAAGACAATGAATCAGCTGAAAATTAATGACCAAGATCAGAACTCTGATGGACAACCTCCGTCCAACAGGTATTTTATTTGTCAGATTTTATTTAAATAGTTTCATAATGGTAAAATGGGCTGTATCGAATTTCAAAATTGGTTATACTTATAATATAAAGCAGTTTCATGACCCCAGAATTATAAAAAAAAGTTACTTTTTTTATATAAATATGGGCCATTCCTTCAGTGTGCTTTTTGCCACTTTTATGTATTGATATAATGGGTTTTTAATGTATGTAGTGTTTAAACTCAAATATGAAAATGAAAAATTCTTATCGATCAACTCAAAACTTTTGCAGTTTATCAAAAAGAGCGATATCGACGCCAGCAAGAAAAACTGCGCTCGGAGATCTCACATTCTCCAACATGACAGAAATCAGTGTGATATTTACACCTGTCGAAAAGACCACTGATCAGTGAACTTGGTGCATAGAAAAGTTCCAAACAATGACAAGACGTGAAACATTTTTGTGAGTTCTGAGAATCGAAGTTCTCAAGTCAGCTCTGTATATCTGGACTGTTTCATTATTATCTGTCATAATATGAAAGTATACTTATCACAGTAGAATTCTGGTTGAGAATTTGGCATTGGGTATTGTAAGAAATAGCGGTTTCAGTTCAGAGCCCTGCCATACATTTCAATCTAAAATCATACATACCGAACTGCCATGAAATATCGTTCCTTCTTTGTAAATTTCGTTAAACACACCACTTTCATTTGTAAAGAAGAAATGTAAATATATTAGCAATGAGTTTGTCTATTGATTTGCATTTATTCAGTCTTCAACCTCGCTGTTCGTGATGTGTGAGTTTATGCTGCTAGCCTTGCAAACAAATACTTTTTAGAGTCGATCAGTGATCACGAATCTAGGGCCCATGTCGGTTGGAAATCTTGGATTCACAAGATGATCTGATGGAATATATTTTGGATATCTACATATGTGCCAAGTACATTAAGGAGATGGTACATGCAGAATTTAATAAAGATGGTGGATGGTACATGCAAGTGGTTAATAAAGCGTTGGATTGACTATATTAGCATCCGAGCGATGGCGTATCAAATCTCTCTGCCGCCCCTTCTACCGAACTTCAAAATTAATTTGGGGATAAATCAATTATAATTGTCGTTATCAGAGTTGGATCAATTGTAATTCATGTAATTAATTACAGTTTTTCATGTAATTGTAATGTACCTGAGGCATTTTCATTCTGTGTAAATGTAATTTGCTAAAATTTTGGCTCAATTAGACCAGGGACCACCACAAACTACGGCGTCCTTTCATCTGGCCCGCAATTACATGAAAAAAGGTGAAATATTTTTCCAAGGAGGGCTTTTCCGATAATCGCCTTGCTTTTTTATTTCTTAACATTAATCAATCAGCAAGATGCGAAAAAGTTACCTAACAATATGCCTTTTCGCATTCGTTACGACACTCGGACAGATTTTCAGTCGTGGTTGTAAACAATACTTCATTTTGCGATTTCGAATGCTATTCGTTAGTTTGCATTTTGACGAAAACCCATTAGTGTATTGGAAGAAGAAATCAGAAGAATTTCCCAGGATTGCTTCTTTAGCCAAGGATTATTTGGGACTAACAGCAACATCAGCCCCGTCAGAGTTTTTTTCAATTGCGGGTAACTTTTATACGGCAAGAAGAAATTTATTGGGGTCAGAAACTTTTCGCAGCCTAATTTTCATCAAGTGCAATCCAACAGTTTTAGAGCAAGTGAAACTGTAAATACGAATCAAAATGTTGTTGGATTAGTGGACACAATGATCGTTTTGACCAAAACTTTTGGTATTTTGTAGTTATTGATAAGTCGATTTTCTCTGCGACTACTGCACCAAATGCTCTGAAATTTTCAGTGGTTGAAGATGGAATTTTTTTCTAGAAGGCTATTACTTCGTATGAAATCTGATATTCCGTCCAAGATTTCGCTGTATTATTTTATCCATGGAAACACTGTCTGTTTGGTTTGATTCTTGCTACGCGAACATCGGAATTTTTTTGAGGGTAGCGGTAGCGTCGAGGGTAAGGACTGCTTCGCTCTGTGTAACGTGTTCATATATTTGAGCATTGCTTTGTTGGACACATCAGTGTACATAATGATCGTTTCAATATTATGTTGTTGTTATTATTATTCTCGTTCGTCATGATGAAATCGCTTTTCTCTTCGAATACTGGACCAATTGCTTTGAACTTTTCAGTGATTAATATAAAGATTGATTTCTTTGCCAGAAGGCTATTACTTTTACGTGTCCTTGTGACATGTCCATATATTTGAGCATAGCTCTTTTGTTGTAATTGTAATTTGATATTTTTTGCACGGAGTAATTGTAATTGAAAAAATTAGGGGAGTAATTGTACTAGTAATTGAACTGAATTAATGTAATTGATCCAACTCTGGTTGTTATACATGAGAATAAATAAATAAAAGATCAAGTAAGAGTAAAATTTTTGTAACATTATTATTATAGGTCATCAAACTAAGAAACAAACTCATTCCTATAACGAAATGCCAGTGGGATCTGATCGAGTCGAATTCGGCAAATTTAAAAGTAAATTTCCCCTACCCGTTCAGTGTATAGCGCATGATTGCCACCAGAGTCAGTGTATGTCGAAGGACGAAGGATGTTCAGTGTATGTCGAAGGACTTCACCTAGGTCCTAGGGTATGGTTGTCCCGGAATTTACTGGCAAGTGACAACCCAGGCGTTCTAAAATAGAAGGTCATATAAGCGTGTCAGCTTCGTTCAAAACTGAAAACGGATGTAATTCACGCGAATATTTTTTTTGAATTAAAACGATTACATCTGTATGGGTCATTCGAATAGACTGAATAGAAGTGAGTTGAAACTTGTGAATTAGACATGTTTTGCCACCGTGACCTCTTGATGACATAACACTAAAATAAGCTGACCAATTGCAAAAATGGATGATAACAATAAATACAGCAGTCACCTTAATTTGAGAGGATCTTTCAACTTGGCATATCAATTGAAAAAACGCAGGTAGTTTTAAAACGGTTCTGTGGCTGTAAGTCAGTAAAAGGAAAGTAAAGGCGAAGATAGGATTAGTTTGTTTCAACTCAAATTGATATTTAGTACTTATTAATATCTTTCATATAAGAAAGTTGTTAAAGTAAAAGTGTTTAGGCTTCTAGACCACAAAGAAATGAGCTTTTGAGAAAAAGCTATACCTAGAAAAATAGCACTAGTGGGCCTTTAATTTAAATGTTCAAATGTTAATTTTTTTAATTAGTACAGTAAGTTAGACAAAGCTTTAAAACACTTAATCCGTGATTTGTAAAAGAATTTAGTCGTAAAAATGTGGTGTGTAACAATATTTTGTGTTTCTTGTTTTTAGTTTATAATGCACTGTCAGTGGGGGGCTTTTTTATGGGCAGGTTTTCATTATTCAGCTAATTTTCATGCTTGTATAGCCTTCAATTCTACGGCGCCTTGCTGACAGCTCTTTGTCTTAGCGAGAGTTCATTGATTAATATACAAGTATATTAAGTATTACAAATTTTAACATAGGCTACACTTTTGGCAGGAAATTAAAATGCACCTGTACAAATTTAAAAATACAAATTTAAATACCTGAAAGTCCGATTTTTTCGTGCTTTTTGTTAAATAATTAAATCTGCTTGGCACAATTTGTATATTTTTCTTGATTTATTTTCTTACATTTGTGCCTCAAAGAGTCAACATGTCACAAATTTCTTTGATTATAATAAAAAATTTTACAACACGCAATTCATTGACGCGCAGCGCGCACTGTTGCTTTTGACGTCTTTCGTGTTTCACAAGCTTCTGTTGCATCAGTTTTAAAATTCTAGACATTAAGGTGTCTCGGAATGGCTTAACACAAAGTTGATAACCCTAACTTCACCAAGTCGTGGCCTATTCTTTGGCGTTACTTGCGTGCTCTCACTTGTCACTCGTACATACCGCGGTCCGGTTACAATTATGTTCAACAACACTCAACAGCAATACGCCCAATTGTTTCAAATAATGCTTGCGCCCACGGATATACGATCTTGTATGACATAGGTCAGGGGCGGCCAACCTGCTTTCGACCGCGACCGACTATAATCTTCAAGATAGCTCGCGATCGGTTTGAGGCCATACACAAAAACGAATGAGTACTGAAGACGCACGAATACATAAAGTTCCACTGCTGCCAAGAAGCTCGGCGCGTTCTTAATGAAATCGCCCTCAAAATATGTATTTTTTATGTTCCATTTACTTTGAATACCGGTATGTAATTGTACCCGGAGTAAATGTTTCATTATTCATTCGAATCATACAATTGATCTAGTAGGGCCTGCCTAATTTTTAGTCGTAAGTGTTGAAAATATAAAAAAAAAATTGCAATGTATTCATGTATTATCTAAACAGCTAAATATATATATTCTTAAACCATAAATAACGTTACATGACTGCTCAAACTGCAATATATAATTTACAATTTCCCCGAGTCTGATTCTTCGATCGCTTAGAATTAGAAAAAATCGGACATTCTGATGGCACTGCTTCTGTTGCGAATAAAATTGATCACACTTCTATTGGAGTGATACAAGAACTTTCGCTTGTGGCAGAAGTTATTGTAGGATCGTTTATAAATCAACACACGATATTCGGCACGTTCATTTCTGCACCTTGGCAGCGGCGAAACTTCCATTTGTTACGTAATAATATGCTCTATCGGACAAAAAAAATACCGTGTGTGTATATCGTATTTCGTTCGTGTACTAGACAGGGTACAGTATTGTATTCTTCCTGTTTTAAAACACACAACAGTCGCTGCCTGAAATTGGTTCAAGACACTTTTGGGGTTAAATTCACTCAATATCAGACGCGATCGACTAACTCGTGACGATCGAAAGGTCGATCGCGATCGACGAGTTAGCCAGCGGCCAATTTATCACATTCTGACATGGTAAAAAGAACTAGCGTAGAAGTCCTGACCAACCGCGCTTCGTTCTAAAAGTCACAACGTGACCTATAGGGCCGCGCGAGTCGACGTCGCCCGAATGACGTATCCATACACTGATAGTGATTCAGTACGTAGCCAGCTTATGGGCTTTACAGGCAGAGAGTGACTATGCAAAAACGATCGATATAAGAGACAGGTGTAATCTAGGTTTGGCACAAATCGACATGAAGTTGCTTAATTTGAAATATCGTCCCGCATATTTAATTGTTCAAGGTTGATGGCTTTATAAATAGAATTAATCAATATCAGCAAGAATGCCACAGCTCATTTGTCACCGCCGTACGTGATATGTATATTTTTAATACTCATAAATTTGTGTGAGATATACCAATAATCAAAAAATTAATTTTTATGCTTGCATGCTGCATCATAGAGGTACCATATATAATTGTAAGTATTCGTTCCGATAGGCACACTAAAATGTTGTTGTCGAGGAAAACAATCATTTTTTTTTATATTCAAAAGTTCGGCCCATTGCACAAAGCCTCGGGCTCTATTGCCTCAATGAAAATGCTTTCAAGCTTAGATATAAGCATGCCATGTCGACTCAATATTATTATTGCTCATCCTAGCATATACAACACTTTCCGAATGTAATTTATGTGTTTCTAGGATATCTGGAATTTAGTGTTTCTGTAATCATTAAAATGATGAAGGTCATCGTAGCGGGTCTACCTAAAACGGGTACCAAATCTATGACCATGGCTTTGAGAAAGTTGGGCTATACCGTGTACGATTACATGGAAAACTTGTATTACTTGGAAGGAGAATGGGAACTAATTTTTAAAGGTATGGTGTCAAAAGAACTATTTCACAAGATGTATGACAAACTAGACGCCGTCGTCGATATACCAGCATGTTATTTCTGGGAAGACATTCACAAAGCTTTTCCAGATAGTAAGGTATGTGCATCCCCTAATCCACTCGTGATTCTTGGACGTGTGGATGTATATTTTTATATGTGGCCCATACACGACGTAGCGCAATTTCATTTTGAAGAAATCATCTATGCACGTCTAGATATTCGAACGCAGTGTTGTCGGTACACCAGTAAAACTTCATTTGTGTGACTTATTCCATGTTTCCAATATCTATCAGCGTGCAGGGCTGGCATAGAGGTCGAGTCAACCATGTTACAAACAGCATTTTTTACGTATTCTTCAAGGCATTGTGCCGTCTTATACCTACGACGCGGTTGACTACATTTGCTTTATGCGTTGTCCGTAGGCGTTCGTGTTTTTGTATCTGTGCAATACCTACGATCACGTCAAAATGTCTGACATATAAGGAGAGAGTATGAGCGAGCACCAGGAGCGCAATAACTCGGCCAAACCATCTAGATTCTAATTTAGCTCACTAATCAATACAAAGTATCTTGCAATAGATTCGGGGGTATAAAAAGCACCGCAGCTACGTACGATCCGGATATCGCTTCTCGACTTTGGACAAGTATTGACGAAATTTATGTCCATGTATCAGGAAAGAAGCAGTTCCAAGTGTCAAAGTCTAAAAGCACACACACACACAATCATTGTAAAAAAACGTTTTTCTGGGCCCGGTCAAATATATTTTTAATTTTTGTAAATAGTCAAGACAAGAGTTCCACATCAGTGGTTCTCAGCTGTTCTAGGCCATGGACCGGAAACATTGAATAAAATATACGCACTGACTGTCTACGAAATACTGAAATGAATTGAACATAAATGTGATGTTATGGAATGTTTAGCAGGTCCACGTAAACATTAATATATACGACTGTTCGCAACAGCATAAAAATCCCATCCCAGACAAATTGGAAATACGCGCAACACAGCGCAGACAAATAAAATTAAATCACAAAAAAATATAGGGTAAATATTTATCATCTTCCAAAGGCAGGTAAAATTAGTAATTACCAATTCCACTTAACAGTCGACGGGTTACGTTTCGTTCTGCGACCCCATGGAGGTAATTTAATTGTTATTTATTATTGGTCCTCTAATAAGGAGTTTCCCAAACTTTTTTGGCCGCGGACCCTTATTTGTGAATCTCAGTTTTGACGGACCCGCATCCTGTGCCATCAATTTATGTGGCTAATCAACCAGGAATAATAATGTTTCATTTACAATACAAACGACATTAATGTGATGGAAGAGGTTGTTTTTCACTGAGCAATTTATCGATTTTTGACAAGCAAACTCGTAGATCCTATCCGCAGCCAGTCTCGACCTGTATTTTGTCTGCGTATAGGTATGAACTGAAAAGGCTGCCTCACACATGTACGAGGTGCGGCTAAAATAAAACGGGACTGACGTCACAGATTGCGCAACACGATTAACCATCGGTAATCAACACTTTTGCAGTGTGGCGTAATATGTGTTCTTTGTTTAACAGCTGTTTTGACACAATATCGCAATTATTTTTGCTTTTCAGGATCCATAAGTGAATGTGATAAATTTCTTGTTGAAAAAAAATGCTGTGCGAGGTCTGGTTGAGTTTTTTGGCGATAGGGGGTTCAATTGCAGAATGACGATTGAGCAAAGAATTAACATTAAATTTTGTGTCAAACTTGGAAAAATGCATGTCAACTCGGCATGCATTCAATCGTTGAGCTTTCTGCTCCTCAGTCAACTCAAGAGCCTTTGGCATCATTTTGGCACACACCTTTCGCATTCCCAAAGTGTCAACCAAAATGGTGCGGACGGCAGCGAACCGTTTCTTTGTCCATCCCAATTTCGTTGGCAATGACGCGAATTGTTAAGCGACGGTCACTGCGAACCAACTGCCAAACCTTTTCGATGTTGGTATCAGTAGTGGAAGTGCAAGGCCTCCCTGACCTCGAATCATCCTCCACATCCTCCCTGCCTTCCACAAATCGCTTGTGCCATTCAAAAACTCTTGTTCTGGACATGGAAGAATCTCCATAAACATCACGCAACATCTGCAAAGTCTCAGTCGCCGTTTTTCCAAGTTTGACACAAAATTTAATGTTAATTCTTTGCTCAGTCGTCATTCTTTAATTGAACCACCTATCGCCAAAAAACTCAATCAGACCTCGCACAGCATTTTTTTCAACAAGAAATTTATCACATTCACTTATGGATCCTGGAAAGCAAAAATAATTGCGATATTGTGTCAAAACAGCTGTTAAACAAAGAACACATATTACGCCACACTGCAAAAGTGTTGATTACCGATGGTTAATCGTGTTGCGCAATCTGTGACGTCAGTCCCGTTTCTTTTTAGCTGCACCTCGTAGGTCATTGCTAAGGCTAAATTTTAATTGCCTTTTCAGACAGAAATGGATATTCGTCCGCAATACCCAAACACAAGGTTGCAATGGATTTTTGATTGAAACCAATCATTAAAGGTCGGCCAGACTCTTCCATATTGTTGCGGATCCCCTGTGTAGTCATCACGGACCCCACAGGGGTCCGCGGACCCCAGTTTGGGAAACCCTGCTTTAATATATATTAACGAGTTTAGCTATCCAAATTAACTGTATGACAGATTATATCGCGCGCGGCGCTCCTTTTGAGGTACTAAATACAATACCAGCAACTGAAGGATCAATATCCGATTTGCTGCTCTTTCTTTTTCAGGTTATCCTCACGGTGAGAGATTCTGAAGAACTCTGGCTAAAAAGTTTGCTTTATCACATGCAAAGATTGGATGGACTTATTCTCGTCAGAATCATGCAATTTCTGGAAATTTTAACAAACCGGCAAACAGCAATTTTATTTAGCTTATCATGTGAGTATGATACGAGGTGTTAAATGTATTTCCAGTAACAGTAATTTTGAATTATTAGTTAAAAAAATCGGAAATATCCCATATAACGGCTTCTGAAACGGTCGTGGCAATTACACCTTCGTAATAAGAGCCGACGTTTCAGCGCATGATGACTATTCTGTCGCGTAATATTCAATCCTTGATAACTTCAAGAATTTAAGATGACTTACAATTTTAATTGTGTTCAACTTAACTCGCGGTTCCGTCGACTTACGGCAAAACTAGTCTAAAACTCTAAAATACCACCGCGATCTGCGGACATAATTTGTGATGAACTGCCCGATTATATTTAGTTTTGATACTTATTTGTGCGATATTGCGAATGCGTAATCGCCGGTAGAATAATCCCAAGATTTGTTATAAAATCCCAGGGTGCACAATTTAGTACAATAAAAATACATATAAAGTATATCAGTATATCAAAAATACATCTTCATCGCCTCGGATTCCCCGCAAAACGGCTTCTGAAACAGTTGTCGTTTAATTGTGATCGGTTTAATCTGTGGTTGCGTAGACAAAATTACTACTCGAAAATACCACGACAATCCGCTATCATAAAATTTGTGGTAAAGTGCCCGATTATATCTTGTTTTGATTCGTATTTTTGCGAATTCGACTAATCTGAGCTGTTCCTGCAACACTGACTCCGCTCTATCGCATTTATCACCGTTGGAAAAATCATCTCGATGAGTGCAATACGAAATGTCGTTTAATTTTCTAAATGTAATATGAGTTTTGGAGAAGCTTCAACTTTTGTTTGTATAATTTTCTATCATATTTGTAGGGAAATATACTTTGGGAATTGAAAGAACTGTGTGGCGGAGGCGAAGCTTTCTGGACGAAGATATGTTGCTGATGAAATACAGAAATCACAACTCTCGAGTTATACAAGTAATATTCATGTTTTAATGTTTGCTTGTTTTTGGTTTTGTTTTTTGTTTCATCTAAGATTTAAATGTTTATACAATCGATAAACGTTGTGGTGTTTATTCTACATGTATATTTCGTAAAAAGGGCAAATGTTTTTGAGATTTAAAGCTTTCAAAAACGATAAAATAAAAATTGGATCAACAAGATATATATGTGAAGAAACCGATATACGATTGGCAGTAAGGCTGTATCTTTTATTAATATATTACTGAGAGTCTGAAAATTTATCAGACCTGTATTCATAAGTCTACCGGCTGCGATATATAGCTGAAGAGTTCAGAATCCTCGATGCCAAAAAAAAATAACAATTCAAGTCGCGGTATTGAATTGGGACCATTAACGAGCCCAAACTGAAGTAGTCTCATCTGTCATCGATATTGTGTGTTACTGAATTCGAACTTTATTGATAACGTGTAAAGAATATAATTTATGCTTATATATATAACTGGGGGTGATATTGAAATGTTGTTTATTTAAAAAAGTTATTGATAGATATGTGCAATGCAAAGACTGACGTTTGGCTAAATGAGGTCTAAACTAAAAATGCTTTACTCATTCATGGCATCAAGAACATTAAACTTGAAAAATGGTTCTTACGGTATGCAAAATTGAGTACTCATTTTTGACTTCTGCAGTCATGGTATCACAAAATCCACACAGTCTTTCTTTTTTCCCCTAAAAGTATAACCTATGTCATTTCAGAATGTATCTACGAATAAATTGTTGGTTTTCAACTGCAAAGATGGTTGGGATCCTTTGTGCAAGTTTCTCGAAAAACAAGTTCCTGACGAACCTTTTCCACACGTCAATATACATTCAGATATAATGGACACTGCACCAAGACTGCCACTCGCTAGACAATATCAAAAAGAGGTGGCCTGTTCTGCACTCCTACTTTTCTTGAAATACTCTATATTAATTTATATAGTTTATTGCATAATCTCATTTTTTACGTCTTTTATATGAGTTAAACCCAGCGCTGGATTAACCATTAAGCAATATAAGCACGTGCTTAGGCCACCAAGCATAAAGGGGCACTTTATAGTAAAATATTACGAGTTGGTCAGACGACTCAGACTTTAAAATGTTCGTATACTTTTTCTCTTCAAGTAGCATATTAAGCTTCTCTATTAATGTTTTTGGGTTTTGGAACTATCTCCAAAAAATCATGTAAAATAATCATAGCTTGGCCATTTAACACTGAAATTTAATTATTGGGCACGAAATTGACCTATGGGTCGTTTTGTTAAATTGTTGTTGCTGTTCTTCTTAGTATTCTCCTTGTTGTTGCATTTTTGTTTTGAAAAAATCTCTTTCCTCTTTAATTTCTGACCAATTGCTTTTTGGTAAAGATTGTTGCTGCGGCTAGAACTAGGCTTTGAGCATATGATGAAAAAATTCACCAGAGAAAATATGAGTGAATGTATTAAAAATAGACATTGTTTTCTACCTTACTGTTAGTTTTTATTTAAATAGATAAAATTGTGTGTGGCTTATTATCTAATCGTAATGTACAAGATGTGTTATGTAGAATTCGTGCAAAATTCTACAGTTAAAAAATGAAAGGAAGAAAACCTAAAAAAGTTTATAAATATATATTGTTTGGCACTGTAATTTATTGTTAATAATTTTGATGGATAATGCACTTTGCACTTTACAGTATTGTGTTCCATTTTGTATTACACATAAGGGGCACCAAAGTCTTGAGTGCCTAGGCCCTAGGGCACCAAATGGACATGATCTGCCCCAGGTTAAACCAATGTGTGCACATGGTAAAATTAACTTATAAACAGGGTTCTGATTTAGTAACAATAATTTTCCTGATTCTGTCCAATTTCATTATAATTTTATCATGTTTGATTGACCATGTCGGGAAAGTTGGTTATATTATGATATATCTATGTATATTTTTATACCACATCGATAGCTATCTATTGATGATACGTAAATCAAATTGCTTATATATCGCTTGTTTTTGGTAATATTGTGATGGCGAATCTTGTTAATAAAGCAGAGAGAGAGAGAGAGAATTTGTTATTTCGTCAACCAGAAAACACATAATATAAGATATAATAATAATAACAAAACAAGAGAGCAATGCTCAAATATATGGACACGCAGAACAATTCCCCAAAAATCATATGCGGTGACCAACGAACGACTAACATACCGGCGGTGACTTACCAGTACCTGTATCGGGGTACCGTCACGGTACAGGGACTGTCATAGATATTTTAGGTCCTGTGACAATTGAAACATCAGTTGAAATATCTCGTGATATGAGTCAATTATGTACCGTATTATCGGATCAGGTACCGAACCACAGTCAAACATTTCACATAAAAACGTTACTAAATAACATGCGTCAACTTAACACCAGCCGAATCGGGGTACAAATTTTGGTACAGTGACTGTCATAGCCGTTTAGGGCTGATGGACAATTCGACTACACGGACAACTCACCAGACCTAGGGTGGTGTAGCCAGTCTGCGGACAATTTCATTCAAACCGCTATAAAACAAAAACCAATGGCAATATATCTAACCCGTTAATTTTTTCACCGTGGGTGCATTGGCGGCATTTATTCTACACGCTAAACCTCGTATTAACTTTCTACGACAAAGGGTTGAAGCTATACAAATCCCCAAAGTACGGCACTCGAAAGACGTATTTGCGACCGACCAGTGTGCGACCACGGATTTCAAGCCTTGATCACCGTTTATGCTGCGTCGAGACTATGGCATACGCAGCCATACAGCAATCAAACAGACAAAACATGGTGGTCGCAAATTGGTTGACAATTGTTGGTCTTGTGACAGCGTGAAAACATTGGGCTTCTAATTGCATTTCTGACCGTCATATATTTCAAGAACACGGTTATTTCGAACAAAACTCGTTAAATTATAAACAAAGCACCACATCACAGCAATCAAACAGACGAAAACACGGTGGCCGCAAATTGGTTGACAAAGATATTATCGACGTATCGGAAATGCACACCCCCTATTCCCCCTCCTTCAAATGTAGAAACGCGAAACTTTCAAATATGGTTAAAAGAAACACAACTGTACCCACCTGCCAAGTTTCATCTTTTTATTTCTCATATTTGTATGGATTTTCAAGCTTTTGACAGCTACGAGTTAGTTCAGTGTCACCGCGCTGTGTTACGGTACCAGAACTCCTGTCTTGTGACAGCGTGAATTGAAATTGCAAGATGATCCGTTGGACACAAAATGGCGTCCGATATCCGCAGAACGTTTAGTGACGTCATAGCAAACAAAAACAAATCTTACAGAGCTAACAGAAATATTTGAAATAAATAAAAGTAATAGCCTTCTGGAGAAAAATTTCATCTTCAACCACTGAAAATTTCAAAGCAATTAGTCCAGTAATCAAAGAGAAAAGCGACTTTTTAAAAACGTGTCAAAGAACAAGAACAAGAACAACAACAACATAATATTGAAACGATCGTTATGTCCACTACGTGTCCAATAAGTGAAATAAAAGTTTTCGGTAAGACTGGGACTTGGGAGGTAACGAATCACTAACGATGCGACCATTTACGGTCATCTCAGTCAGTTACCACCCAATACAACACATGAATAACAAGAGAGCTATGCTCAAATATATGGACACGTAGAGTCACATAATTTTGATGACGTCATAGCGAAAAAAGAAGTAATAGCCTTCTGGAGAAAATTTTTATCTTTAACCACTAAAAATTTCAAAGCAATTGGTCCAGTATTCGAAGAGAAAAGCGACTTTTTAAAAACGTGTCAAGCGGTACTGAGTTAGCAGTCAGGCAGCATCTTACCTGTACACTGTAGGCCATATACGGTAATTGATCACAGAACAGTTGTTCCCTTGCAAATTTTATGTTGTTTACACTTTAGGACAGATAATTGATCACAGAACAATTCTTCCCTTTCAAATTTTATGTTGTTTCCAGTAGACTCTCATCAAAATAAACAAATATAGTAGGCTACAAGTGCTACAACGCTTGCATTACTGCACTGGTAGGACCGTGAAAGAATAAGTTACGGTAATTTCATTGTGGTAAGACACCGGTACCGGCACCAGTACCAGTATCGTACTTACGTACTGAGCTACCAGTACCGGTTAGCAGTCAGCCAGCATCTTACCTGTACACTGTAGGCCATATACGGTAATTGATCACAGAACAGTTGTTCCCTTGCAAATTTTATGTTATTTACACTTTAGGACAGATAATTGATCACAGAACAATTCTTCCCTTTCAAATTTTATGTTGTTTCCAGTAGACTCTCATCAAAATAAACAAATATAGTAGGCTACAAGTGCTACAACGCTTGCATTACTGCACTGGTAGGACCGTGAAAGAATAAGTTACGGTAATTTCATTGTGGTAAGACACCGGTACCGGCACCAGTACCAGTATCGTACTTACGTACTGAGCTACCAGTACCGGTACCGAACCTGTAGGTCTGATATTCCGTTCCGCATACGATAGGCTATAAAACTTGCATTGCAGCATTAGTAATACCGCGGAAGGAATAAGTCAATTTCACTGCGTTACGGCACCGGTATGGCAACTTACCAGTACCGACCTACAGTAGCTGTAGTACTGAGCAAGACAATCGATCGCGAAACCGCTTGAAATAAGTGTAAAACAGTGTTCCCATGAGTAAAAATAAATACCGCGAAATTTTGTATGAAATATCATATCTCATAGGATTCATATAAAATTTAAGAATAAACAAAAGTAATAGCCTTCTAGCGAAAAAATTATTCTTCAACCACTGAAAATTTCAAAGCAATTGGTCCAGTATTCGAAGAGAAAAGCGACTTTTTAAAAACGTGTCAAAGAACAAGAACAAGAACAACAACAAGAACAAGAACAAGAACAACAACAACATAATATTGAAACGATCGTTATGTCCACTACGTGTCCAAAAACATAAATTGACACAGGTTCTTTTTGGACACGTAGTGGAAAACGATCGTTTCAATATTATGTTGTTGTTCTTGTTCTTTGACACGTTTTTAAAAAGTCGCTTTTCTCTTTGATTACTGGACTAATTGCTTTGAAATTTTCAGTGGTTGAAGATGTAATTTTTCTCCAGAAGGCTATTACTTTTATTTATTTCAAATATTTCTGTTAGCTCTGTAAGATTTGTTTTTGTTTGCTATGACGTCACTGAACGTTCTGCGGATATCGGACGCCATTTTGTGTCCAACGGATCATCTTGCAATTTCAATTCACGCTGTCACAAGACAGGAGTTCTGGTACCGTAACACAGCGCGGTGACACTGAACTAACTCGTAGATGTCAAAAGCTTGAAAATCCATACAAATATGAGAAATAAAAAGATGAAACTTGGCAGGTGGGTAGAGTTGTGTTTCTTTCAACCATATTTGAAAGTTTCGCGTTTCTACATTTGAAGGAGGGGGAATAGGGGGTGTGCATTTCCGATACGTCGATAATATCTTTGTCAACCAATTTGCGGCCACCGTGTTTTCGTCTGTTTGATTGCTGTGATGTGGTGCTTTGTTTATAATTTAACGAGTTTTGTTCGAAATAACCGTGTTCTTGAAATATACGACGGTCAGAAATGCAATTAGAAGCCCAGTGTTTTCACGCTGTCACAAGACCAACAATTGTCAACCAATTTGCGACCACCGTGCTTTGTCTGTTTGATTGCTGTATGGCTGCGTATGCGATAGTCTCGACGCAGCATAAACGATGATCAAGGCTTGAAATCCGTGGTCGCACACTGGTCGTTCGGTCGCAAATACGTCTTTCGAGTGCCGTACTTTGGGGATTTGTATAGCTTCAACCCTTTGTCGTAGAAAGTTAATACGAGGTTTAGCGTGTAGAATAAATGCCGCCAATGCACCCACGGTGAAAAAATTAACGGGTTAGATATATTGGTTTTTGTTTTATAGCGGTTTGAATGAAATTGTCCGCAGACTGGCTACACCACCCTAGGCCTGGTGAGTTGTCCGTGTAGTCGAATTGTCCATCAGCCCTAAACGGCTATGACAGTCACTGTACCAAAAATTGTACCCCGATTCGGCTGGTGTTAAGTTGACGCATGTTATTTAGTAACGTTTTTATCTGAAATGTTTGACTGTGGTTCGGTACCTGATCCGATAATACGGTACATAATTGACTCATATCACGAGATATTTCAACTGATGTTTCAATTGTCACAGGACCTAAAATATCTATGACAGTCCCTGTACTGTCACGGTACCCCGATACAGGTACTGGTAAGTCACCGCCGGTATGTTAGTCGTTGGTCACCGCATATGATTTTTGGGGAATTGTTCTGCGTGTCCATATATTTGAGCATTGCTCTCTTGTTTATTGAACGCTATTTACAAAGCGTAATCTTATTGAAACGAGGATAAATTTGGGATTAGTCAGATGGTATGTTAGTCGTTGGTCAGATCAAGATTGGGAATTTATTCAAAAAATGACATATTTATAACAGTAACATAATTTAGTTTTCTTTCAATTAATTTGATTGAAGGAAAAGAGGAGTGCCTTTCCGAAATAGATACTTAATTCTGATTTAGCCTTTAAATGAGAAGCAATCAGTACATCATTTTACCACTATAAAAAAATAATACTATGATAGTACAGAAATAGACAATTACAATAATTCAGAAACCATTTCTATTTTTGCAATAATTTAAAGACTACCCCAAGCGTAAATTTTGGTGGTTGGAGACGGAGTATCAAAAATTGCCTAATCTATCCATCTATTGCACACCGATAAATATTTATTACACTCACAGTTAATTAAATGATCTACCTATAACAACCGCTTATCGGTAATTAAAAATGTAGTTATATGATATCGTGGAGCATCATATGAATTTATAGAGCCATCTAGCCGAGCAGTTTTGGGCTACGAGGATGGCATAGCACCAGACCTAATGTTGTGTATAGGTGGGATATCAGAAAATGATTAGAAATGTGTGCAGAATGATAAGACATGAAATATATATAAAACAGTGGATTAATTTGACAGGAGAGACCAAGATATTGGTTAATACATCCGGAAAAACATAATATGCACTATAATCTAATTGTAGGGCCAAAAAAGCCAGTTTCTAACCATTGCTGCAGCCTGCATGAACCGCAATTAAAGAGTGGCGAGTGGGGTATAGTCTATATCCAGATATCAGAATGCAGCAAGTAAGTTTTATGATAACAGAATAAAAAATTATTTAACAATTGGATCACTAGTCTACACCTACACGTTAGCAAGTTATGTATATCAATTTCATTTGAGACAAACCAAGAATTTATAAATAAAAATTTACTGGTTGGTATAATGAAATGGTATTGTGATTCCCATTCAGCAGCCCATGCTTTGTTAACTATAATATATGACATATAATATAAAAATTCACAATATGAAATTCTCTCACATCTAATTAGTAATATGAATTAGGAATACTGGATTGTATAATGAAATTCATTTAAGTTTTACCTTCAGAATAACCCAGTTAGCCCTGTTCATTAACTACAGAAAAGCATAATATCTACTTATTTGAAATATGCACAATGGGGCAGTAAACTGCTGTCTACTTGTGCAATAATTACTAGGTTGCAGTCATACACATGTATGTATACATCTCAAGAATGTCAAATCCACTATGTAAATATGTGTGATACCACGCATGAAGAGCATGTATCAGTATGTATTGATAAATCTTGGTTTGGAAAGAAGAATCGATGCTCTGGGAAACATCTGCTCATTGTAAATGTTAGTATCTAAAAGGGTTGACGGGGGTCGGGTATCAAAAGAGTGAATTCTATGTCGTAATGTTATGTAACAACAGAACAATGTATTTATAGTAGACCATTCAGGCAAAATTTGATAAAAATTGATTACCATTACAGCTTAGATAAGATATTTTTGCTCCTCACGGTCAGATGGTAGCTGTATAGTACAAAAATATTACAATACAAACTGTGAGAGGACAAACATAAAAGACAAAAAACAGGAAAGTTTAAACATTCAAATCAAACTTCATGTTTAACACATAAGATTGTGAAATTTTGCTTATAGCAGTATAGAGAGGGAATATATCATTTCAGCATTTGCCAAACCAATGAGACATAGGCTATTATACAGATGGTCTATATTCTATATGCAACATATATAAATAAGAAATAAAAATGAGAGGCATTGATACGACATTTTTGGATCATGTCATCACTCATTAGAGTCAGTTTCCACCCAATACAAATATAAAAGTGATTGGACAGGTACCTCTCGTCTCATGTTTGTTTACTATATATTGTTTACCTGATAGGCTACAGATATACAAAATGTACTTGTCTTTCCTACTTTTTTTTAAATTTGGGGTAGTTTCAAGTCTGATTTAAAATTTTATGAATTATGTATATCATTCATATATAATCGGATACACAAGTACAATAATATCCTATATTAGGTGTGTTCCCCCGTGTTCTGTGAAGGAGACCTTTAGGTGTTTCGCGTCAAATTGTTGTTTCACATTTTTAGATTGGCATATTATCGGTATATGATAACACATACCGTAATCAATTGTACAGCGGTTCCTTGTGCCTCTGGAATATTTCATTGGGGTCATTCTCGACCAAGAAGAATAAAAACCCCTGAGGTAATCCCTAATCGAGCCTTGGGCTAGTGGTAATACATTTATATAAGTGAAAAACACCATGTGAGGGCTTCAAGCTAATCAGCACTGTGGGACATGCAGGAGTAGTGAAAATACAAAGAAAAAAATATGCACATATCGTTTGCTCCTACATTGTCTTCATAACCAAGCTAATATATCAGGAATGTGGTAATAGCATATTTCTTAACTACTTTTTTTTTTGTTTGCTATGTTTTTTTGTTTGTTACAGCATGCTAAAATTTATTATTCAACCTCATTTTCACAGATAATAGTTGAATCTTAGTATATTATACCTGGTCTGTCTGTCTAACAATCATGAAACGGACTACCAGCGGGCCTCCTAAGAGACTTCGTCCAGGGCCACCTGCGGATTTAATTGCACTTGGAAAAAGCAAAACTGAACTTCAGAGAGCAGCCCCTGAACCAAGCCTACCGTCGATAAAGAAGGTATCTACATTCCACACCATAGCCGCAGCAACGTCTTCTCACCAATCTCGTATGTCACCCACTATTCCTGAACCGTCTGTCAAATACATTGATGCTGCTGCCCAAGATTTACTAAAGAAAGTTACAGAGGCCAAAGATCAGGAAACGGTTGATGGATTAGTATGTGGGGCAATTCGTGTTTTACGAGCAAACAGACTCCGGCCTGATCAGGTAATTGTGTATACATTGATGGTTTTGGCAAAAAAACAGCCCTCTATTTTTACCAGTGAAATGGTAGTTGAATGTCTAGTGGGACTCCTGAAAAAAGATGTCGGATTGGAATATATTAAATCAAAAGGGAATAGCATTTCTGCTGTGCTCGCTTGCAATCTTCTCTTTACAGGATTTGAGCAGAACTATAGCTGGCCTTCCCTCTTGGTAAAAGTTTTCATTGAAGACTCATTGAGTGATCGAATATGGGTTGATCATCCCAAGTGTAAAAAATTTGTATCCAGTGTTAGTACAGCTTTTGACACCGTTCAGATTTCAAAAGAACATAAAGTTGATACTGGAGAAGATGTGGATATGAAGGAAAAAGATGAATCTTCTGAAGATGAACAAAATGTTTCTAAGCGTTTCATGGCTTCAGCAGAACTAGTACGACTTTATGCAATAGATATGGTTCGAGAGAGAGTTAATCGCAGACAGGGCACTATTTCTGCACAGGACCCAACAGGTGCTGCTTCAGGTCGTCATTTGATCAAAACATTAATTGCAATGTGTGGAATATCAGAGATACGTGTTATAGCTGCTCATAAACTGGAAATGTGGTCTCAAAATCCTAAGCTAGCAAAATCTACACAAGACCTACTTATGTCGATATGTGTTAACTGCCGAGATCATAATCAGGATGATGTTGATGTTATATCTTGCTTGGTTAAAATGCGTCTCAAAACCAAGGCACTTCTAAATCATTATATTCAGTGTTTAAAAATTTTGATAGATGCTCATAAGGATTCAATCAATACATTATTCAGCTACATTATTTATAATGAATTATCCAGTGCCAGGAATCCTACAAACATGTCTGTTATAGCTGCTCTTCTACAACATAAGCCCAAAATTGCTGCAGAAACTTTGGCAATAGTTTGCCAAGATCTTCTACTTCAAAAAGAAGATTATTTAAGAGCTGTTCGTGCACTTGTTAGGGAAATAGTAAGAATAGCAAAGCATGATGTACAGTTTACTTCATTTGCCCTTGGTATAATGAAAGAGCCAGATCGTGAAAAGTTCATGCATTTGGATCAGGCTCATAAAGAGAGATTTGTTTCTTCCACTGCTGATTTAGTATGTCTTCTGATGTTAGTAAGTATCTCTCCAACAGTAAAAGAGGCAATTGGGGTTATTACGAAAAAGGCCACCCCCACATCAGAAGTTGATCATGATACTATTTTTCATGGCCATAAATTGGATTTAGCTGCAATGCAACGAGATGCTGTTTGGTGGTTACATGCCACTGCAGTTCCCCTTCTTTTACCTAAAATTACAACACCGGATTTGGGACAGCATATTCACAAACTGCTTTTTCTGAAGTCCGCTGAAACCTACTACATGAAGGATAACTGGCCACCTGAATCTGAAAGAGCAATGATGGTGAAACACTGTGCGGAAGTTCCATTACTGGAAGACACAATCATGCGACTGGCTGTCATTGGCCTTTCACACGAACATCCAATCGCTCCGGCAGAGACTCTTGAGCTTATTGGTCAATTAGTTCACAGAGCTGGTGCTTTGGCGAAACCACATTTCAACCCTATTCCAGTCGAGAGAAGGGATGTCATTGACACATTGTTATCTCTCGCTCAATATCATCATCCTGAAAATATCCATCTTCCCTCTGACTACGTGCCACCGTCTTTAGCAATTTCTCTGCTGTATTGGTCAATTTGGCAAACTCTGCTTATTATTTCTTCTTTTAATCCCAGCTCTATAGGTCTTCAGGCGTGGAATGAATATCCAATTCTTAGAAGTTTCATGGAGATGGCAATCATAAACAATTTCACATTTCCACTGGCAACAGTAGTTGAAGAAAATGAGAGATCACAAATTGTGAATAAAGAAATGCAAATGGTGGAGATGGAGAAAAATGAAATTATTGAGTTTGAATCACATTTGGCAGCAGCCACCACACATCTTGCTGTAACAGAGGAGACAAGTTTGTTGCTTTCTCAACTTATTGCTATGGACACAAAAGGCCCACCTCGTCGACCACCTGAACATATACTAAACAAGACTCGATTGATATGTAGTCAGATTCAAGTTGGAGCCGGTTTATGCCGATCTAGAAATCCAGATTTCTTATTATACATCATTAATAGACACGGAGAAGACCAGGCAATGCCATGGTTGTCTAGTCTGGTTGGCTCTGCCAAAGGAGATATGAGTATGCTTCCAGTACAATGCCTTTGTGAATATCTCATGGCGAGCAGTGTTGATGATAGCAAAGCAGAAAACAAGCTAATACAAGAGAAAGAAATTGTCGCTCAACTTCAAAATTCATTACGAAATCAACAAACTGAAGAATCCTGGCAACCAATAAACTATTTTTTACGCAGGCTACATTCCCCACAATATGAAACAAGACTGAGAGCAAAGCATGCTCTATCTCTCGTTCTGAGGGATGAGGACATGGATACCAATGACCCAAAAATATGCCATGTACAACCTGTTCTAGAAGACTATGAGTGGCTGCTATATCAACTTGTGTCCCTACCTAACTACAACTTTGTTCATTCAAAAGCAGTTGATGCAATTACTGAGACAATTAAATGGGATAGTGATGAAAGTATGGTCACAGCTTGTTTAGCTTTTCTTGCTGATGACATAACCAAATTAGATTTATCGTTAGAAGATTCTGCTCAATCTGTCTCTCGTTTTGCCTTGTCTACAGCTCACTTGCTTATTGACAGGCAAGTACTGGTGAGAAATATATTATCTGATACAATTAAGAAATCAGGTTCGAGTGGAAAAACTATAGCAAATATATTTGTTGAATCTATTTTGAAAATATTTTTATGTCACATGAACTTGATCAAAAAACAACATTCATCAGATGGGACAGATCACGAAGAGACAATGGAGCAAGTACCTTGGTGTGACACACAGGACGAAATTTTTTTAAGGTGGCCTAGAGGAAGCGGTCACGCCCAGATGCATATTCTTGTTTCACAGGCCATGATTTTACTTTTGACATGCGGACGTCCAAAACAAAAGAGAGGTAATGCAGATTCTTTAGAAGGGAATAAAATGTACCAGGAAGTGTTACAGACATGGTTTGCAGAGGATGGCTCAACTATTCCCAAAGCTTTCTTGATGGATACCCAAGAGGAAGCCCTTCTACTTCCAGACTGGTTGAGACTTCGTTTATTACACTGCGAAGTTAATGCGACAGATGCTAGACTTCCAATTGCTGGATCCCGAGATTTGGACCTCGAACAGTTGTTGCTCTTTATTCAATCTTTTGGTATTCCATATCAATCAATGGACAGACTATTAGGTAGCCTCGATGAGTTTTGTTCATCAACACCTGAAGCTGTTGCTAATTCAGTAAAAGACAATAGATCTTATCTTGCTAAACTTGTGGAGGGCCAGTGGAAAAGGGGATGCTGCAATGGTACTGATTTTCACGCTTTATTGTCAATGGAAAAATTATCACCTCGTCCTTCAGTAATTCAATCAGCATCTGCCACGATAACGGATGTGGTAGATTTGACGGTTGATCAAAGTGAGGATTCTGATATTATCATGGTTTCATCTCCAGAAAAAGCAACATCTAGTCAAGAAGAGGATGAAAATCTATCTATGCTAGTGGATGACAGTGTAACTAACATGTTGCAAGATTTATTTATGGCCAATGGTAATGATGTCATCAAGTATAAAATGAAAAAGAACTTGATATTCAGGAATTTAATGAGGTCTATCAATTTGCGAAAAATGAAAAATTCTAATGGTGTAGTTAATTGTGTTTCCGAAATGTATGCCCTTGTTTCTGCTAAGAAAACGGGATTGGTGTTTTTGAACGGTTTGTACATGAATACTAACTGGAGCTGCAGCCTTATCAGAAAAATTGATTCCTCTTTGAAAAGAGCAAAATCATGTAGCAATTTATCTCAGAGAAAAATAATAGATTCCAGTATAGAAGTTTTTGAAAAACTTGTGTTGATACTTAAAGTGAAAGCACCAAGCTCATTGTCATCTGAAAATCATTTATTACTATTACTACAGTCCTGGGCATGTTCAGAAAAGAAACAGCAAGCTGAAAGCGAAGGTTTAGGTCAGCTTGACTGGGCAAGACTTGAAGAATTCTTACGAAAGCAGTTGGCATTCCTTGAAAGAGATGAAGAAATAAAAAACAAAGTAGCACTTGTGGCAAAAATACTCTTAGAAGAAATTGGGAATAGAAAATCAAAAGCTAGCAGGGGAAAATGCGATGTTCAAGATGATGCATTTTATGCAAGTATTGGGACAACTGGACTTTTAATAGATTGGCTTCAGTTACTTGACCCTGAGCTTCTTGCCCACCGGCCAAAACTGCAGCGAAAATTACTTTTTGAGTCACAGCGCTTGGTTACTTTATCCATGCCTATCAAGATGTCAGCAAAAATGAGTAATATAAAACTTCCACAGTCATTGACTTCTCATCAAACATATCTTCTTTCACTTCTGGCTGAACACAGTAATTGGGAGACTGTTTACAAATGTCTGCAATGGCTGCTTTCAGATTCCACTTATGAAACAAGCACAGAAAAATCTGGAAAGAGTCAGTCTTCTGGAATCAATGTTGATGCTCGCACAGCAATGGATTTCCTCTGGGTTTGTATGCATATGTCTAATATTTGGAAAGGTCGTGAAAACAAGAGCACTAGTTTGCAGGAACCTGTTTTCTACTTAAATTCTGAACAATTTTGCAGAGTTTTAAGTTACATGGTTGCATCAAGCACCAAACAAGCCAGTTCTACTTTGAAAAGTGGTTGGGGAGGTACTTCTTATTTTGAGTTATTCCTGGTTTTCTATACCAGGTTTGGTCAAAAGGTAATGAGATCTGAGAATCTTGAAAAGACTGTTATGTTTGTTTACTCAAAAGCTAAAGAAAATGCAGTAGACTTGTGGTGGCAGCTTCTAGCTCAGCTCTATATTTTACAACCATTTCATGATGTTTGGAATACAACCAATTCACAGTGTAATGAAGGTATTGAACAAAACTACACTCTTGCCAAAGCAGTTACATCTTCAGAGGTTGGATCCATTTGTCGTCTGGATTCACTTGTACAAATGTTACTTGATAGAATTGGTTATGTGAAAGAAACTGGACGTGTCGATGCTCGAGACTCCGTTACAGCTATTCAGTCAAGTGTTGATAGCGCATATGATGCAAGCCTAATTCTCAAAAAGCTTGCCAGTTGTTGCCCAGCTATTGTTTTACGACAACTTTCTTTAATGTTGATTACACTTTCTGGACGTACTTGGTATGAATTTCGAGAATTTAAGGCCAAAAATCACCTGTTGTTCATGTCTCAACTTCTTGGAATCTTGGATTCAATAGGTCATCAGTTGTTTGATAATGATTATGCAAATGATGTTGACAAAATTATTGACACTTACCTCCAGATGTGTTCAAATTATTGTACCAAAGCGAGAAGGCAACTTCGTGATGTCATGCACAACACTCTGCAAATTGTTTATCTATTTTTACAAAAGAAACCGCAGCGAGCTCATCGGATTGTTTACCAATACATGTATATGCTCCAAGGACTGATGGACCATACATATAGTGATCATGACTATGTTGTTTCTTTGATAAGGAAAATAATGAACACTGTTGAATCAGCTCCACTAATGATGAATACATACAATGCTGAAACAGAGGAACCTGTTAACGATGACATCTTAATCATAGATACTGAAATAAGCGATGCAAATGAACAAGCCACACCATATCTGAGAATTTTGGCCAAAAGTGATGATTTGGAAAATATTGCACAGGTTTTGGCAGAGTTATCTGACACAAAGCGAAAAATAACAAATTTGGAGCCTTTTTTACCACACTTCACCAAGTTATTTACAACTTGCAGAGAGAGTAGTATTAGACACGCAGCCCTAAGTGCATCCATTGTTTGTATGCGGGCCTCCCCTTCTCGAAGTTGCCCACAAATATTACCAGCGTATCTATCCTGCCTAACTGGTATAAAAACACCGCTTGTTTCAACTTCCAGTCAAACAAGACTTTATGAATTGGGTGAAACCACTGCAGTAACTGGGACCAATTCAGATGAACTTGCACAAACAGCTTTAGATTTCTTACCTGATGTTGTTGTTTTGTGTAGAGAAAGAGCAGCAAAGATTTTGGAAGCAGCTTTCGCTTGTGGTTCCAGAGGGGGAGTAGGCATTCAGCCACCTGGACCTCAGGGATTGCTTGGAACACCAGTAGCTATCGGAGGAAAATCAACATGGCAGGATTTGAGTGAACTTCTTGCCAAGTCAGTAACCTTGTTAAGTGGTCTCGCACAGTCAAATGTGAAACCTGCACCATCAGGACAGAGTTGAATTTCCAATTTGAAGGTGATTATTTTTATTTTGTTGGAAATGTTCAATAGTTTCATTTAAACCGTGCTTCGAAGATCTTGTGTGTATTTGTATTCTAGATGAACAATGCCATTTTGGCATGTTTTATTTTATCAATTACAATTACTCATACTTGGAATTAAATCAAAAGTACTTTCTGACCAGGATTTGATCGGTTCCTTTCACCTATTGACAAATATTAAATAATTATTAGGTAACTTTGAATTTTGTCATTAAGTAATGGCTGATATTTATTTATAAAATTTCAGATCAATATGATGGTGTATGTTTGCAGTCCGAGAGGGAGAAACTTCCTGCGCCGATGCGAAGCAAACTGAAAACCAGAAGTGTTTGAACAAATGCAGATTCGATTCAATAACAGTGAAATTAGCAGATATTCCTGTTCACTATCATAACCAAATACTTGTTTTACTGAAAATATCACATGCTGATTGTGAAAATGTATTCATTTTAGTAGAAGATGAAGTGGACAAGTTTCATATTTATGCTGGGGAGATGAAGCTTAATCATATGGCGAACCACGGCCTCATTTCAGGTTACCTGTCCATGTTGGGCATGAGAATTATTAATAAGATGTTTGTTTTAGATGCATGTATCAATGGTGGAAAAAGCCATGACCGACCATCGATTACCTGAACCACCCTACGATGGTGAGGGGTATTTTCACACATAATTAAACCCAATGAGATTCGAATCTGTGAATCGGCAAAGTTAAGTACTGTGGATAGTGAGTTCAAATAAGAGACAATCATTTGCACACATTACAGTATGGGATTAGCACGTTCTAATGTTATGATTTCGACTATTTATAAGCTAGAAAAAAAAACTAAAACGCCAGGAATAACCATGTACTTGTTAAGCTATGGGTTGTTAAAAAATTTGATTAAAAATTTCTAATGTGAAAAGAAAAAATTTTCCCAGGAGATCCGAGAATTTTTTTTGATTCGTTTGAAGTGTACAAATAGTTTTGAATTTGGAGGAATCAAAGAGGCAGTTGACCAGGCCAGCAGAACATTTTACCGTCTCAAATTAAACCGAACATGTCTCGAAATAAAGCAGATCTGTCCAGTCTGTGCCACGAATTACCAGTTTTCAGATACAGCGAGTCAAAACATTTCTCATATTGCCTCCCCAAAATTGTCAAAGGTCCTAAGAATCTTTGCATAGTATAGCGCCGAATATTATCGGGAGTGAAGTAGTATTCTGCGCGTATATTATAAAACCTTGAGCATAACTTGGACAAATCGCATTTATTTCCCGCATCTTTCATGTTTAAGAGTAACTGGCCATTTTTGTCACCGAATGAGCAATATTTTTATAATTGTTGTAGTCATCATTGCTAGTCGACGTGTGGTAGAATCTCTGGAAATGCTTTAAATGACCGGCTTGTTCTGAAGTGGGTTCCTAGTAGAAGTATGATAAAGATTCAGTGTTCAATAAACCCCATGCTTCCAACTCGCCCGGAGTGATAGTTTGAGTAGGCAGTGACGAAACCGTAAGATTATAGAATTTGAAAAAATAACACCCTCACACGTATCCTAAAATGCTTATGCTAAGCTTTATACCGTGTGACGAAGCTTCGCAAACGAATTTTGACGGAAGAATTTTCAGAGAGATTGTCAAATGTGTAAGGTCGGAAGGAGTGAAGTATAAAAATGGCATAAGTTCTTATTTATTTTCAGACACTAACGAAGGAAAATTAATCAGCTTTAGAGCGCACGCTTATGACCAGGTTTTAAACGGATTGGAAGAAGGATTTTTTCGGGCGAATTTGGTGAACACTTTATTACATCAAAATCTCTTGATACACAGCTGGTGTTTATTTTAGGTAGCCTACATATTTTATGGTTTGCCGCGTGTACAGCAGCGATGCCCAACTCGAATGAGAATAAGTGCCAACGTTTTCAAGATAATAATGTAGTCGCGTGCCACTCGACGTTCGAATAATACCCTGGTATTGTGAACGAACTCTTCCTCTCCCCCGGGATAAATAAGTAGGCGAAGGTTGGCACGTTCATTTCACTTTACGGGGCTAATGCAGAGAGGGGTAAGTGTAGTTTTTATTCAGCGACTAAGAAATTCCCTCGCGACACACATCTTACCACCAAAATGCTTTGAAAAACGTTTGTCAAGTGTCCCACTGTATCCCACTTGTGGGGCACATTCGGATAGACAATGAGGCATTCTGTTAAATTCAACAAAGTATGCCCTTTGAAATAAGCAAGGGATCGTCATAATCTTAAAAAGAAGGGGAGGGGGAGCATTTTTGGCATCAATGTTCAACCAAATATTTCCGATATTTTTTCAAAAAATTTCCTAAACGGATTTTCTGCATTGGCAACATAAAACCACTTTGGGCCATTTGTATCTAAAGATTCTGCATTTTGGACTCAAATATTTTAGATTTCAGTTATTAAATCTGAAATAAATTCATTGTTTTAGTTTTGGATTATGCCTAATTTCAATCAATTGAATTGAAATGAGTTCTGAAACTGCTATTCTCGACGATGACAGCTCTTTGATAAATAGGCCACACGGGTTTTGGGTGCTGTTCAAAAAGAACAAAAAACGATGATGTGATTTTTTCATTCACCCCACTGTTCAGGTCACTCTGTCCACTAAGACAAAACCAACAGTTAAATATTAACAAGTAAAATTTCTAATTCCGGCCAAACGCAAGTTATTTACTTTTTCGAATCTAAATCTAAAAAATATTTTTGAATCTAGAACATGTTCCATATTGGGCCATGGGTCAAAACTCATGAGATACCCTAATATTACACAAAACATAACGCATCCCCATTCTCTAGGCTTTTAAGCACTTAATGGATCAAACACTGTCGAATTTTGCCCAGCGGACCATGTCCCAGTGAACCACGGCCCCTTGTTTCCCCACAGAGAACAAATATTTTCAGACTGTCCCACGTCGAGATTAGGAAGGCACATCCACTCGCCAACGTCATGAATATTTAGCAGTTGACCAAAGCTGAAAAATTTCAGACGGTGGTTTGTCATGTTAGAAAAGGCTAAAGTGTAAGGAAGAAAAAACGGAAATAGTGAAATTTTAGTTTCAACCCTTCAAAACAAGTTTCATCTCATAACTTGCGTCGCTCTACTCGGTCGTTGTCCGTTTGCAGGGACGTTGCAACTCACCGAAGGGCGGATTCAAACATCTAACCGCATACATGATTCCGGATAATGTATGCGTGTGAGAACTGATTATCCACTGTGCCCAGTGGCCCACCTTTCCCTAGGTCTTAACTTCCGTAACACGCATAACAACAAACTCCACTGAGCATACATAAATACGGGCCACGAACTAGCAATGTGTGAATTAACATGGCGATTTAAATTTATTTCGATGTGAACATGAGTTACTAGGATTTGTTATAAAAACAAGAAATACATTTGCCATTTGGACACGCGCGCCCTGTGTTGCGCACCGTACCACCTCGTCGATAGCACATCACAATAAACTACACAAGAATATCAATGTTCCATATATATATACTCATTAAGGTTCAAATACCGATAGTTCCATATTGCTGCTTTTATTGAGAATAGGCTGGAGCATTTTAATTACCAAAGGGAAGTTGTTGTCATGCCCTCTAAAATGGTCTGCCCTGATTTGTGATATAGTTCTATGGACTATCACAATTCATAGGAAAATTGAATAAATTATACATTGCTTTACAAAAAACTAGACTACGAAAACAGCAGCTCTTGTACTAAACACGGAGCGATGATTAGAATTCATCATTCCTCCTGAGAATATGCTTTGATATGGGTCATGCGGATTTCTTCAGTCGAAACGCCAACGCTCGACTAAAAATGAACACTTGTACTGCCACCGAGCATTTACATATATATATATGAACTAAGTCACAGTACTAACTTTAAACACCACAAATTAAGTGCGTATATATATATATATTCGAAATAATTATTACATTGCACTTTTTCTCGCGTCTTCTGCTAATACTAGTGCATCAATATATCTGAAGGATTTCCAGATCAGATTCTTTTATTGGAAACGCACGCGATACAATTATGGAGAAGGGAGTTTTCAAATATTGACGAGAGGACGTAAATTTACCAAGAAATCATTTTTACTTTTGCTTCATTTGTATACTATGGGTCAGATCAGGATGACGGTGCTCCTGAAGTATGCGCACCAAGATGTCGCATAACCTGAACCCTAACCTGGTACACTACCTGAGTTCAGGTTGTGCGCCATCTTGGTGCGCATATCTCAGGAGGACCAGGATGATGGTACTTTTGTAGCATATATTATTATCAATTGTGAAAGAATGGAAAAACAACAACGACAGGCTAAAACAACCTCACGCCCTACAAATGTGTATTTTTCAAGTTTATTTCCAACCTACTTAACTTTCAGGCCTCACGACCCCCCGCGACTCTTTTGTAATTTAAACACTCTCTCTCAAACACGGAAGAACCAGTTTCAGTATATCTTCAAAATCGATCATGTATGTTTTCCATCCTATCATCCTTACCCTTTGTTAAGTTTGAGCCAATTGCATATTTTAATACTACGATAAATTCTGTTTTTATTTTTCATTCGAGGGCAATTCATATATATTACGCTTGATCAAGTGACTTTTGCAGTCATAACACTTATTTGAAAAGTCTACGTGCGGGTGGTTAACGTTTCGTATTGTGTAAATCTTGTTTACAAAGGGACTTATTTCAGGGGGAACGAGAGGTGAAAGGACCGAATTTCTATTATAACATAGCAGTTTAGGGATATTCAGTTCACCCACCAGGGGTAAACAACTATACAGCTTAATTTGTGATATGCTTTGAGTTTTGTGAAAACACCATTTTAGACCTTGGGTTCAGTGATTAAATATATAATAGCAATAAGTGTTTAAATATCTAAAGATAACTTTTGAGTTCGCAGAATAAACGTTGGTGGATAATAGTGAAATATTAGTGTGAAAATGAAAATAATATTATTGAAATTATTATATAAATAATACATGGTCTGACAATATACCCTTAGTCTTGCTTATAATGACTGGACGCTAACACGTTAAAATAATACACAACTTGCAATTATTCCAGTCACGGGCACCCGACCACCAAGTGCAGTCACGGCATCTCGATATAGTATGTGCTAATTCGTCACGCTATTGGGCATTTGAAGTGTAGTAGACGACATTATGCGACATGGAATTCTGTACTTGTATAAAACACAGTGAGCCAAAAAATACAACCTTAAAATATTTCTTCGTAATATTCTTTTTGTTATTTTTCAGCTGGGGAAATTTTTGCGCATTGTAAGATACCTTATCAAAACTATCTGCTGGTTTATATTCACGCACAGCATGGGTGGTACACGGTGGAAAAATTCTCAAGAATAGCAATATATAGCCGTTAAGTGAAGTATTTGTCGAAGACCTGAATTGCTTCACCCGTCGTGTATTTTAATGTGTCATTTGCACTGCATGAAAATAGTAAATTTAGGAAATCTATCGTATATAGGTAAAACACACCACTATGTATGAACACGCAGCATTCATGAGCCCGAAATGAGAACCAGTCTCCAGCAAGTAAATTGGATTCGGTCACGATTCTTTATTTTACTATTATCAATCTGATTTGATGTTAATGTTCTAGGTATTTCTAAAAGTACGGAAATGAGCAACGTTCTTTGAAAAGTTACTTTATTGATATAACTGTGTATCAATCAAGTACAAAACTGTTTTGACGTGAAACTGTGCAGGGTTAGATTGTACTTTTGGTATGTTGGTTCGGCTTACTTCGTTTCGAACAATAAATACCCCTGTGCAAGGAGAATATAGTTAACAAAAGTTAACGGGGCAAGATAATCTTTTGAATTAGTTTCCGCATTCCATTGCAATTGGTGCTATCCAATATTATATAACATTATTATCATCGCTGACAATGAATAGATTATGTCTGGCAGGCACACTGCGTATATGCTCCATATTTGATAAACATAAATTTTTAACCATTTCGAATCGTCAGGATTGGAAAATCGTATTATTTTAAGGATTCAGACTGAGAATCTAATACTAGTTGTTTGTACAGTACGGTGGGCCGTGATAAGGCACAGTGACTTTTTTAATTCGGTATTTTTTTAACTTGCCTCAGAAAAATATAAATAATATATATATTATATATGAATCCTTGTGCGCTGTTTTGTATCACCTATAGATTTTTGTGTGTGCTTGGACTTTTGTATTTACTTTTTGTCTTCTTTAATACTTTTAACCACTAATTCTCGCGATTCATGTTAAGCATAGCAAGATTAAAACTTTCATCGTCCGTGACATTTGACTATATTAAAGGCTTATGATATAGGCTACCAGTCAAAATGGATTTCAGAATTTTATTACTCCAAAATCGCAAATTTTTGATGGTGACAACAGTATGTTTACTTCAACAACGTCGTGTAATAAAATAAATTTTGAATATAAAGAAAGATTCGCAATGTTTTTGTAACTCAAGCAGGTCATTCAAATTCAATGAAGAGTTTCGTTCTTTGATATAATAGACGATAATAAATTCCTGATATCGTTTTATGAATTTAAGAGTATATAAATTTACCCTTTGAGAACAAAGAATATGAAACCGATGGATTACACAAGTCAACCAATGTTTTCTTTCTATTGGATTTTAAAGTTAAAAACGTGTGCTGATAAAATCATTTTAAAAATCAATCACTCTCAAAAGAGGTGCTTTTTTAAATAAGGGCAAGTATAATATTTGCTCCCAAATGTTTTCTCTTCTTTTATATTTCTCTATTTTGCTATTGTTAAATATATAACAATAATAAACAATTTGTTCAAATTCGATTTATATGCTTGAACATTGGGAAATATATATAAATCAGAGATGTCAAATGCTAATGGCCAGTATAAAACTGATAGTGCAGATACATCAGCACAAGTAAGTAAGTATCGGTCGATAGCAATATTGATATCAGATTAAATTTGTCTTTGCAACACTAGGTGATTGTAATATATCATATCTTTAAAACAACTACTAAGGGTACTAATAATTTGCTCCATGTCGCGAATTCGAAAATTGGTTTTGCTCAAGAAAAACCTTTCTGAGGGCTTTGATTGTCTAATTATTTTCTAAAAAATTATTCTGACCCCCTTATGTTATTACGTAAAATTGAATTAAAGTCTTCTTTTGACTTAACAGAGAATTTATAGGGCACTTTACTATTTTAACAATATTATCCACTATAGTATACTGTATATGAAACTGTTCAAAGTCGAATGACGTGGTATATATTTTTATAAAAATTTATGATTATGATAAAATTATGATAAAATTTATGATTTTAGCATCTAATATATATACATTCTTTGTAATAATAAATTCACAACATTGAAACTTGAAAATGACAAAGAGATACAAGTGAGTAAACCGCTTATACTGTGTAAGATAAAGTATACTGTAATGGAATAATTTAATAAAGTAACAGTAAATATTGGTTGTGCACTTTTAAGTCAAACATTATTTTAACATGTTACGGTACAATGTAGTTTTTAACATTATGCATGTGTGTATTGACTTCTTTGTATATATTTTCATAAACACTGGTATTGTCCTCCAGCGTGGGGGAGGCCAGGGTTAATGGCGAATGTGCATAACTAATAATAAAAGACACACATGTACATGTATATTTGTTATAAATAGATGGCAGATGGATGTCGCCGATTCAGAGGAAGATTGGTTAAAGGCGAAAAAGGTTTTGGTAAAGTCATTCCAAAAATATCCTCTGTATGCTCATTTGGAACCGAACGAGGGGAAAAGACCAGAATTCATGCGACGGTATTTGGAAGCAAATTATGACGTAGCAGTCCGTCACGGGAAGGGAATCCTGATGGTTCTAAGATGTCAAGATACTGAAATCAAAACTCAAGAAGGACGAAAGGTAAAAAACAACAATGAAATAAGTCACTGTTAGCGCCATCGTCACATTCTTATTCGCCCAATTTCCTAAATTAAATTATCAGTCAGGCATGCGTAATCGATAAGGTTTTAGAGTGAAATGAAATATTTGTAATATTTTCTGATGTAGTTATATATATCTATTGTATGTGTTAAAAATAATTGGTATTTTAGTTAACGTTTACTGTTATTACATAAAAGACATTTTTTGCCAAGCCTAATCTAAAATTGTTCGCGACTCGACCATTTGCACTAAGTCCGGGTCAAGCTTGGTCGAGGGATAATAGAAATAAATAAGGCACAGCAGTACGTAAGTAATAAAATAATACATCTGATTTTAATACTAAAATCTCAAATTGACCCTTAACAGCGGCAAAGAGTTATACACAGTCCATATAAAAATATCTTACTCACATCTAGACGGTGTATTTATTTAACCTCTAGATTTTACAATATTTCGAATGACTCTTTCGATTTAAGTTTGCGACAAATAGAACGCCATATTCAATTTGAAGTTTAACAAAGTTACCACAATTTCAACCACCAGCATAATTTTCGGCATTTTCGTTTCATTTTAAATTGCTCTAATTTGGTAAAAGGAAATGAGTTATCAGTCACATTGACTTTAACTGTATATCGCTTGAACTGGCGAAGTCATTTTAAATAATCGCTTTGGGGGATAAAACAAGTCTGAGTCGAAGTTTGTTTATCAAAGTTACGGTTTATACAAAGAAACAGTGTGATTTAGCTAGAATTTTTATTATCGTTTCAAATTTCTGAAAAGTAATATCGGTCACGTGATGCGATAGCATAAAATTACCAATTTTGAGATTATGTTATTAAAAAATCCTTTTTTCTTTATTTTTCAGGAGGCGCTGGATATCAGAGGTGCGTTATTATTTGTTCCCCCGGCAGATGATGGGATAGCTTGGGCACTGCAGGACGACAACTTGTATTGGGAAGCTTACAAAAAGTATAAGCTGGCGGAAGTTAGTCAGGATTGTTTGCAACGCGTAATAGAGTGAGCATCGTTTAATATGATTTTATAACGATTCAGGGGTGGTTTCTATCTGGTGATTTCTATCGGTGATATTGTTTCCGCGTTTTCATGAAAAAGCATATTGGTCGATGTATGAGACATTTTGTGGTGACTGCTTGAATCTAACTTTATGAGTACAGTTTTAAACATAGCATAGGTTCATAGAACGAGTGGGTTTTAGTCATCAATTAACGCTTTTTTAAAGACCTTATATTTACATACAGGTCAGATCTGGGTGTGCTGTTTGTCGATAAGATCTCTTTTTTTCGAGTAGAACGTTAAAAAATTCTGTTCAAAATTTTTAAATAAACTTCTTCTTCGTTTTTTATTTTAGAATGTTATTGTACGAAAATATCTTGTTTTTAAAATCAGGTACGAATTGTGGGAACAAGAGACCGTCACAAAATTACTACGAAAGGCTCGTGCTCCTATGTGGAATGGTTTATTTTGTGCAATCGATCCCGATCTGTGCTTGCATGGACTAGGTAGTGTAGTTTTTCGAAAAACTGTCGAAATCATGCTTCGATATCAAACGGCAAACGACCAGCACCAGAAGGAAATTTTAATTGAAATGTCAAAGCTACAAAATGGCGAAGCTTGCAATGGCCAAGATTCACTTGTTGATATTCACCGGGATGTCGAAGAAAATCACCCGCAGTCAAATGATGTTGGAATTTTAACGCGTTTGTGGAATATTTTTTCCAACCATTCACATGAAGATAATGATTCATCAAATATAAAACCGACATGCTCTAAAGAGTCGAAACAAACTCCACAAATAGAGAATTCTCATCGTGAATATTGGATGAAGTTTCTTCATGGACTTGCGCTACTACATCATATGCCAGTTCCAAGCCCTACAACATTACCAAAGCACGAATCGAATGGAAAATGTAGCGATACACCTAATAAAAAACAATTTCGCAGAAAAGTAAGTAATCGGAAAAAAGATATAAAAGATGAGGACGTTCTGTCACCCGAAAATCAAGCGATATCCGGCCCTTTATCAAATAAAGCAGATTTCGATGCTCAAGCAAACAGAAATAATTGCCCAGTGATAGCTGCAATCAGCCACAGTTCGGTAACTTCACATTTTTATGCCAAAAATGGATTTCATCACGTGACAGAAATCCCATATCAACCAGAGAGTTCCAGAGACGATCCTGTTCCTTTCAATGCACACGTACTCTTGATGGACCCATTAAAAACGGGCAAAATCGAAATAATATCGAGTGTTTTTCGCGAAGGTGAAACTGTTGCATTATCGAATACTCAGAATCCCCCATCTGCTTCGATGTGCTCAAGCGATGAGGTAGTGAAAAAGGCAATTTCGCCATAATACCTTGTTATTCTGTTTGATTTTAACATTTAGACCTGTTTTAGCCGCGAGAGAATTATTATATATATTTCAATTGCGAATTATTGTAGTATGTGAAACGTAATTGGTATACTCCATTTTACGAACGGTTGCTGCCAAATTCATATTTTTTTTACATATAATGATGATTATTTGTTTTCATTGGCTTTGCATTTTAACTCGGTATCAGGAAATGTGTAAAATATTGCCAAGTTTTATTCACAATATGTGTAAGTTCAAATTGTTTATGTTAATATTCTTTTAAATGCAGCTTTTTATTTTTCATGGGTCTCTTACAATTAATTCTGATTATATTATGTTCTCAGTATATAAAGTATTCAAGCATTGATTAAGAGTAAACAGCCTGCTGCAATAATGTTGCGACCGCTAACGCGACGAAGGCTGTTTTACTTTTTACGTAACGAGGTTTTAATAAAATCAATTTATTTAGTATAATGAGCAATTAAAATAATATTCTGTATGATAGGAAGGTATGGAAGACAGAAATGTACAATTCTTAGAAAGGGGTCTGCTTCGAATACAAATAAAAAACACGCACTTGTCCTTTGCCAAGTGTACCGACAATTTTAGTATCCCTTTCCTCCATTTTGCTAGGTTATAGGCAGGGTCAAAGCATTGACACGAGTTCGAAGTGTGGGGTAAACAATCACTTTGTCACGCAATGTAGTTTTTAAGAAAATCTATAATAAATATTGTCTACTTCAAGATGAAGATCTAAAGAGAGCACTCTCTTTCTGATAATAATTGTTTTGATCACGTATCTAAGTGAGTAATCGTTTGAATATGATTATTCAGAGTCAAGGCGTGAAGGGGCGTATATCGTAAACCCCCCGAATGACGTCGGAATTTGTCTATTTTTCGTCTGCTTGGACTCTTGTTTTGAATTTCCAAGTCGCGATAGTTGTACAATATTCTGGGTTAGCCTGTTTAAAATTGTGGTAGAAAGCATGCTCTATAAGTAAATACAAACAGTTTTTATAATTGTTATTTGCTTAAATACCAATTTGCAATGGCTTCAAAACTTCATGCGCAACAAATATTGCCTTCTAGTCATTATCTGCAAATCTGCATAGTTAGTTCCCTCACGATCTTCTTACCTTATTCATTATGACGCGCAAAATGATAGACGAATTTTGTCTAGTTTCATATGGAACGATCAATCAAATGTTGAATTGTTGACCGGGAACAAGGTGATAAAGAGGACAGGCATTGTTGTTATTAACGGCTCATTTTCAATTGCCATGAAATACCGCTATTCAAAACACCTTCTCCCAATAGCTTGATAACAAGCTAATACAACTCGAACATTCGTCTAGATAACTTCGGCATTGAAATAGTGTATCATAGAAAAATAAAATCTCTTTTGTCCATATAACTATGACTTGAAATAAAATATTAATTAATATGAACGAGAAACAAGGGTTATATTGGAAGAAAATATACTGCTCTTGCGTTCAAGTACACGCTTGCTTTCAAATTCACCCTAAAAGAGTTGTTAAAGATTGGCGATCATAAAGCCGTGACGCTTAGAAATGCAAGAATGCCTCATCTTTGCTCAACCACAGTATATTATTGAAAGTTAAGTATAGTAGGTCGTTGACTTTGAAAAAATATTGAAATCAATCGGAAAATATACAAAAAAGCAGTTTGAAAATATTGAAAATTTCTGCTTTTTATCAAATATGCGTAGGAAAATTATTTTGTAATTATCATCTCCTTTCAAAAAATAGTATTAAGTGTGAGCCATGGATTGGCGCGTATTAAGGTATTTTTTAAATAAAATGGCCATATTGAAAATACCTTAATTCTTACTTGACCTGATCGTTGATAGCATTGGCCTGTTTTGACTTGTATAAATGAGGTCACAAAACGAGGAAGAAAGGCTAATAATTGTCTATCCCAGCATATAAAATGACTCACGAAGAAAATTTGATATCATTAACCTCCCGTAGATTATCTTATTACCCGGGTTGAAAGCGGTGTCGGCATTTCTATAGCTATTAGAGCTCTAATTTTATCTCTGCTATTAGGTTACAAAGAGACGACCAAATGTGCCAACCAAATCTACATACAAATATTTTATCAACAATAGAAAACTAATGGATCGATTCAATTTGCCAAAATAATTGCATCAGAACAATTTACGTATTGAAAGCTGCTTAACGTGATATTTTTATTTCCGTAAGATAATGATCGATTACAAATAAGATTAAGCACGAATGGGATAGATAGACCCTCAATGATATTTAACACTAATCTACTTGCATGATTGCGATATTAAAGCTTTATTTCACGGCAATTTGGTCCGCCGATACTATAATATGGCACAGAATTTGAATATATATTAATATTATTATTAGTTTTCTCGCGGTAAAAGTATACTATTACGGTTTATCGGAATATTGCATCGGCCCATTTTGTCACCGCATTTGGTTGTGTGGCAAAAAAATGTCCAATTTTAGTTGGAATGAAACATAACTTGAAGGGTTATAAAATGGTGACTTATGAACTTTAATTATATACGCGTTTTCACAGTTAAGGTGTCTACCACATAAAAACTAAAAAAATAAACTTTGGCGGTGTATACAGTAATTGTTGTATTCACGGAGGACATGAGCGCAAGACGACACGCAAATATTTTCGATCATGCGTAAAACATATCGTGCGAACATTTTTGTTTATTCTGATTGGACATTGCGAAGCTGATAACATTCTCAGAGTGAGGAACATGAGTAAAAGAGTGAAGCGGGATGCGATTACCCCTGACTGATTATACCCCCTTGACGCAATCGTATCAGTTGAGATGGTAATTACCGGTGAAGTTTTCGAATTATAAAATAGGTGATCGGTGAATTTTAGTTTTGACTCAGTCCAATGTGTTTTCATAAATATATATGTTAAAATCACTATGGTAGTGTAATGTTAATGACCAACGTTTGTCTGATGACAAAAGTAAAAGAAGGTATGAACCATATATTAATTTCCAAATTTTATTAGCTATGGGTACCATTTTTTATACGATTGCAGCCAATTTGCACCCGTAAACCGCATCCAGGACATTTGTAATTGCACACTTTTGCAGTCAGCGACATTTGCTACTACAGATTACAGCATCCGCATATAGATTGCATAGTAGAAATCAAGACAGATTACAAATTGTAAGTGTAATCTTGGTCACCATCGTAACGTTCTTACAGTCATTGGAAGTCATAATACTATACCACTTTGCCTTTGTCGGTCATGTTCTTTCAAAGAAATAACGCAAACGTAGTACAATCATGAATGGCACATCGAATTTACGGTGGTGTTTGGCAAAGTGACTATAAACCAAGTGGAGACACCGAGTGCAATGATGCATATCGGACGTCATTTTGTGTCTGGCGAATCGCGGGAACGCGACAGCATCACCAATGTGAACTTGTGAAGCTAGTAGAATTTGACCTTTGTGTTCGTCGAAGCGAAAAGGTTGAAATACTTGGCAGAATTGTAGGCGTGTCATTATTTAATCCTGAAAAATGTAGACAGGTAAAATTGACATAACAAACCAGGAAAAATATTTATCAAATAAAACTAAAATTAACATTTACAAAGCAAAAGCATGAATCGCTTGGTAGAAAGAGCATAACAAATAATTTGCAACAAATTTAATATAAATATCCCCTGTTGAATATGCCCCTATTTATCAAACTACGTATACCGATAAAGGGTTAAATTTTGCACTTTGCAAATATTATTAGCATGTCCTTCGCATAGGAGGCACTCGATTTTATTATTTCATATCGAAATGGAATATATGAAGTTTATCACACACATTGAACCCAAAACTACTCGAACTTAGAAAATGAAGTCTTACCCTGTTAAAAATACCCCTATTCATCAAAATTACGTAAAACGAAAAAGTGTAAAATTTTGCAATTTTCAAATATTAATAGAAAATTCTTCCGCACAAGAGGCACGCGATTTTATTATTTCATATCAAAGTGGAATACATAAGGTTTGTCACATACATTGAATCTAAAACTACTCGAACTTAGAAAAGAAGGTACTTCCCTGTCGAATATAATGCTGCTATTTATCAAAATTACGTATACCGATAACGGGTTTAAATTTTACAATTTTCAAATATTAATTACATGTCCTTCCGCATTAGAGGCACGCGATTTTATAATTTAATATCAAAGTGCAATACATAAAGTTTGTCACACACATTGAACCTAAAAATACTCGAACTTAGAAAAGGGGGTACTCCACTGTTGAATATGCTGAGAGTCTTGCACACAGACTAGTTCTGTGCGTATTCATTGAGGCGAGTATATGGCATGTTAGACAACGTACTTTGACAAATCAGTAAATAGAACCTTAGTGTAAAAATAACTGCTGTTGTGCTATCGATTCAGATTCCAAACTGCAATTGAATTTACCGCTTATTTTGATATTTCTTCCATATCCATAATCGAGAGAAATTTTGCCGTGTGGAATTTAGAAATCGCCTACGTTCTACTCCATCATTCTTCAATAAGCACAAAACTGTAATATCACCCTTCAATGAGCACAAAAACGATATTTAACGCATCGCTGCGCAAAATTAGAAGAAGGTTTGCTAGTAGCTTCACAGTGGTGGCAGCAAGACTGCCACTATAGATGTTTTATAGCTAGATCTAGATATTTTTTCAATATTTAGAAGTAAAATGTTGAAGCCCAGATGTTAACTATAAATCTAGATATTTATTTTTATGGTTTTAAATAATATCCAGTAGGAAATAAATAAAGAGATGTGTGTAATACTGTAATAGGTGAATGAATATTATTTCATTATTTAGAAGTATTGGTGTAAGATTGATTGAAACTCATTTATATTGTATTCGTCCAACGGTATCATGTAATTTAAAATAGGTAACAAATTAAACCTGTTTAAAACACAGAAACATGTGACGTTTTAATTAACGTTTAATAGAAAGGACGACGTTGGTCCGATGAGCCAGTGCTTAGTATTATATCGTTGCCAAGCGGCAGATGGGTGTTGTTCAAGTTGCGGCAGATTGTGTTGTTCAAGTTGCTATTGAATTTGTTTCTCCATAAACATCAACCTTTCGAAATGCCAAAGTTTAAACACTACCAGCAAAAATTTAGAAAAGATTGGCTTAAGGAATACGCCTCTCTAAGGAATGGATTGCCCCTTCATATGATAAAAACAAAGCCTTTTGTAAGTTTTGCAGGTGGGAATTGAATTCCATGTTATGATGTTAGCTTCTTCGACATCTAATATTACTGTATTATGCAATATAATAAACTTTGTATGTTTTTGTTTGTTGTTTCGTTAATTTTCATTATATACAATGACTACATATCTAGATGTATTTTCTAGATGTTTTGTTTTTCAATCTAGATGTTTCTATAGATGTTTTTTAAGGTCAATCTAGATATTTTTAGTCAGGCAAAAGTGGCAGCCTCGGTTTGTTTCAGCTTCGTCAGTCTGCTGATAAGGTTTCGTTCGTCAAATTGTTTGGAGATTTGTTACTGTTTTGCATTTTATTCGAGTAAGTTCAGTATGTTTATTTTGCTATTTGCCTAGTGGACTAAAAATTATATCGGGCAGTATCGTGAAAGTTGCGATAGTTATCTTACCATCCCGTATGAGTAGTGCAAATTCAAAACCTCATATCTCACGAACCTTACTTTATATTCAGACAACTTTTTTATATTGCTTGAGAGATTTAGTAGACTAATTATAATTATGAGACGGAGATAAAATATCGCGATTATCGTACAAAAATCGGCAAAATTTAAAAGCGTGGATTTTTTTTTGAAAAGCTTTTGAATTAAATAACAAAAACTACGATTTTTTCTTGTTTTATTCTAACATGATATCGACATATTTGTAAATCTTAAAGATAGCTTCCGATTGGTATTATTAGATTGAATTTATCGTGCACCAGTAAAATTGCGTAAGCTTTTTTATTCAATGTTGTAAAATTTTCACCATGTTCACCAGTAAAATTGCAGAAGCTATTTTATTCAATGTTCTCCAATTCTTCACATGTCCGCTGCGCCAACTTGAGTTCAACAGCGACGTTCCCTAATTACTTCATTAGATTGAATTTATCGTGCACCAGTAATATTGCACAATACCCATTCACATGTCCGCTGCGCCAACTTGAGTTCAACAGCGACGTTCCGTAATTACTTCGTTACGCATTTACGTTGCGACGTAGCAGCTCTGCTTTCCTTATAAAAAACACATACCGCTTTCCCTTGCAAGTGTGAAACGTCATAAACCTGAAGCATACGTTTAAAGCAGGTATTTTTGAACTGGTATTGTGATACCTGTTTACAGTCACACCATGTCGAACGTTTAAAGCCTGCGTTTTACATCAATCATTCCAGAAGCTGATGAAATGCCCGAATTTTATCGGGAAAATTTTCTTGATTTCAACGAGCTGTTGCAATAGGTGCTCCGAAAATTATAGAATGTAAACGATCTCATGGCTAGCCCATTTTGCGCCCTAATGAACTTCATCGAAGCGTACAAGTTGTACATTATAACGTACAAAATTTACAGACGGCTCTTAACAACTTATTGGCAGGATATATCGATTCTTTTGCGTCGGAGAATGTAAAATATTTACTAGGTGATCTAGCAACGCCATAATGTCTTCCACGTTCTAGTTGATAAAACTTAATTGTAATTTCAATGATATTCAACAGTGAAAAATCAGCCGTGATGTTTCGGGCGGAACCCTATAAAGACGCGGGGTTCAAATTGTTTGTTTGTTTCAACAGAAAGTGTCAATCCCGATGAATGCCCACATTCATTACTAATTCTCTTCGGTCTTACGCACATGATAAAAATACGAAAATTGATAATTTTACCCAATATTTATGCCACCTATCCAAAAAAAGCAATCCTATTTTCGCCCCAATACTAATGCCTTTTATAATATATGTTCGCCAGTTACTTTTCTGACAGATATAGTTGACTGCTTGAAATATAATTTCTCATCTTGCCACAATGCAGCTTTCAAAATTTTGAAGCATTTTCTCAATATAAGGTTAAATATTCACTCAAAAGAGGAGATCAAGTCATATAGATAATATATTGTGTTATACACTCCAGGTTATTAGATGTTCTTGTAACCTTGATATATATATACCGTTATCCTTCATTCCATGCATGTAGTTTATTTTTCAATATATTTTGGCGATACGCATATTTTAATATCATGACATGTACCGTACTAATAGTTGCAAGTTTCTGTAGTGTAATTTGTATTGTAGTTCTGCCAGTTTGTTAAAATAAGTTCTGTGCAAGTAGCAATACTTACATCAGGAGTTTTTACAATAAAATGTGTATCTCTTTGTTTAATATTTTTGGGTGAAGTTGGATGACTTTAACCCTAACTTCGTATCTGCTGACCATATTGCCGAGCCGAGTTATCTGAAAAATTAATCTGCGGAAACTTAATTTCTCGGAAAAATGTTTATTCGTTGTGCCGCTGCGATAGTTTGGTCCGAATTGTTAAGCATCGTTTTTTTTATTCAATTGTTCAACGATCGCAGGTGTAAATCACTTAGTTAGGACCATACAGCGATAGAACTCTGGACACAAAATGGCGGGTGTGACGTCGCACAAGCGCTTATAACGTTACCAATGCATGTCCTCACTTATATGTCCTCGCCCAATTGGGTTTATAGTCACTTTGGTGTTTGGTAGGCTGGCATGCTATCAATTACACTTTTGAAAACTGGCAACGAATTGATTCATCGAGTTACAGTTAACTGCGCCAATAATTAAACGTGTAGAAGAGTAAACAGGGAACGAGAAACGGATCTCGATTTGTTGGAAGCAAGATTGTTTACGACACTTTTACTTATTGTTCCCATTCAATATTCTACGTAACTGCCGTTACATGCTATTTTTACCTGTTTCGGGATTTTTCCTAAACTAGGTTTATGAAAGGAAATCCAAATGCACTGGGGGCAAATGTCCGTGGGTGCAAATGTCTGTATGTGCGAATAATATGCGTGTGTGTGAATGCACGTGGGTTCAAAGATAATGGAATCTATGCATACATATATATTATTATTTTTTGATCGCCCCTCCCACAGTGGGTGAACTTATAAGTCCCGTTCAAATATTAATCTTAATTATCAGATGGTAATTTGGCTCCAAACTGCCACGATGTGTCGAAAGCCTTACAACACCGCGGGTCGGAGGAAAATTTTATTACACAGGGACTTCTAGCAATTCGCCAATCAACATTGTGTTGACGAAATTCCAACGTTTACCCCATCTACCGAGCTCAAAACGTTTTGAATCCGTGTATATTCGGCTTCGGATAACAAAATTTTGGCCATACTGAAACTGGGGTGTTGACCAAATTCTGAACGAGTCCGAGCAATGCTCAAAGGCCAAAATAAGGTAGTACCAAATATTAACGGTACCGGTAGTTTATCTTCAAAAAACTCTCGACCTCGCTGAACTCCGCGTAATTTTTAATTTTGATGACGTCATCACAAAAAACTTTAAAGTGTAAAACGAATCCCACAGAGGCCACAAAAATTTGTGAAAATAAATAAAAGTAATAGTCTTGTGACAACAACAATTTTTAATTGTTCTAGTAATTAAAGAAAAGACTATTTTTTCCAACACAACAATAAGAATACTAGCAACAACAATTTAAAAAAACGATACATAGGCCCATTTCGTGTCCAATACCATATTGTCGTTTTTGAGCGCCAAAAATTAGTTGACAAAATCTGAGAAAAGAAGTGTTGAAAATTCCTCTGTGGACCCATGAATTGAAAAATGCGCACCTTGTGGCGGTTCCGACTTTGCTGCTGGTAGTCATGCGGAAATGAAGTGAAGATTAAGGTACTGGTACAATTTGGTGGAACTATGTAATTTGTTTAGCACCGTGACATAGTACCATGAACCATCTTATAAATAGTGTGACATGAAATTTTAAAGGGCATAAGAATGCAAAACTTTAAACGTTTAAGAAAGTTTTTCTGATTAGGTGGTTAACTAATTTGGCAGGTATATTATTCAACAATAAAGAAGATCGTGCCTGAATTATGAATGCTAAATATATTTGTGACGGGAATCTTCTTTGAATAGTTATTCATTACGCCATTACACAAAGACCACAATTCAGGCAAAATATAATGCGGTCAAAACTACTCTGCCAGCGAGAACGGAAGTTGTGTCGGCATTGAATTTAGGTGCACTAGATAAAAATAAACAGTCGTCGTTAGAGGTCGCTCAAGAAGCAAAATCAATATCAAAATACCAAGAAACTTTAAAAAAGTTCAATCAAATTTTAAATGCCGCATCAGGTCATCGGTCCCTTATTAGCAAAAGTGAAAATCGTGGAAGTTTATATTGAAGCTTGTTAAATTGAGGTTGACTATCCTTTATAAATCCCATTTCTATTTTTTATAATTTTACGTGACATTTAGCAAATGAATATTTTAAATTTTATGTCACATACGTATCATAATATTATTCCTTTACAAACAAGTCGTGATTTCCTGCAAAAGTTCCTATTTTTGAGAAAGCGTTGTTCATCTCCTCATATTTGATTGATGAAAGTTAGTAATCTATAGAAGAGTATTTTACAAAATAGGTAGCATTAAATTGATAAAAGTATTCTATCCACAGCATAGAAATTATTCCTACTTTTTCAATTATTCCTCCTTAAAATGGATGCCTTTATTTCTGCGATCCCGAATGAAAAACGAGAGATTTTTGAACAAACTACGAAATATGTCAACGATCATTTTGACGGAGTTCTCAGGTGCAAAGAAACTGAATGGAAGGGACATCGTTTTCTTCCTGGGTTTGAAGCAGAAACTGCAAAATATGCATACGAAGAACTGGAAGTGGAACAAAATTCAGTATTTCTAGCATCTTACCCCAAAACTGGTAAACCTTTATTTGAATATATAGGCAGATTATAATAGTATAGTTTATGATTTCAGACACCTGAGTTAGTAGCGCATAATTGGCAATGAAAATTTTTCCTTTCTATTCAAAATGAATATCCAGTTCACGAAATGTTCATATATTTAGCATTCTAACATCTATTTAACATTCTAAATTGTTCTAATATAAAATTTTCGTCAAGTTTTTTTTATGAACCGTGCATTTTAGTCGAGTAGTATAATATATATAGGATATAACATACCGATATTTTTTATAGGCGTCAATTGGACATCAGGGATTGTAAGTCAATTATTATATGGACCGAATGGATTGAGGATGTTTCCACCTTTACAAAAGATGGAAGTAGCCGATGGTAAATCATGTCGTACATATTTTCATCCTGTCACGAAATATGAAATATCACGTTTTGTTTATATATTTAGAATCAAAAATATAAATTACTATTTATCAATACAATCAATCCTGCAAAGAAAATTGACATAGGCGTTTTAAACTTTATATGCGCCAAAGCATAAAAACGATTTGACATTATTCTAAATTATTTTCTAATTTTAAGCTAGAAATATTTATATTTACACATATAAATATGCCATCGATGTAAAATAACATTGTATGTTTCATGCTCAAAAAACCAATATCTTCATTTATCTTTCAGCATCGAAATTTCAGCTGCTGGAATATCTGCCAGTTCATCCTAAATGTTTCGAAACTCATTTACCGGAAAATCTGGTGAACATAAAAAAAATTAAAAAGAGTGGGGGGAAGGTGACTGCATTTTATCATTATTTTTCAATTATGAAAACTTGTTGCAGACAACTATCGTGATCTGAACAAATAACGATTTGCGCGAAAATTGTTTGCGCGAACAGCTGATATGAAGCATAGTGATTCTTTTTCGATTTAGTTTTTCGACGTTTTGGGTTTCGGAATGTATATAACTTTAGGCAAATTTCAATCATTATTTTTCAATTATGAAAACTTGTTGCAGACAACTATCGTGATCTGAACAAATAACGATTTGCGCGGAAATCGTTTGCGCGAACAGCTGATATGAAGCATAGTGATTCTTTTTCAATTTATTTTTTCGACCTTTTGGGTTTCGAAATGTATATAACTTCGAGCAAATAGAAAATAGTAAGTTTTGGAAGCCATGTTAATGGAAAAATATTTGGTTTGAAAAAGGTTCCATTGCTACGAAATTTTTTGAATTGCAAAAATATTCTTGTATTATTTTATCACTTTTCATCCTATTTAACTCTGTTAATTGTCATCGCTATCCTATTGTCACGACAGTCGCTGCTCATGCTTGAGTTTAATTGCCTCCGTTCTTGTTACCATTTTCAGATAATGTTCATAAAAAAAGTTTGTTTTTTTGTTTGATTGATGCGTACTTAATCATTGCCCAATACGAAGAAATGTAGCACACCAAAGCGGATCGATCAGTTCCGAAAGCAAAAATAATAAATATGTTGTTTTAAAGCTTTGAAACCTAATTTGTATCCAAGGCTACGTTAAAACTTTATATATATAGTTGTTATGCCGCATAACATTCATCGACTGAAATTGACATTTAACGATGCTCAATGTTGTTGACAAGGCATTTATTATAAAAAGTAAGTCTCAATTAATCTTCGAGTTCAAAGAGAAACGTTGAAATACTTAAGGGTTTTTCAGTTTTCCTTGGCATTTTATCCAAATATATCATACGACTTTTTGGCGCGGTATACAACGATAACGTTGGTCAAGCAATGACTAAGTATGTGTTTTCAACAACCGGTTTATTTCTATATTCTGCAGATTATTGTCATTCTACGCAATCCTAAAGATCAAGTTGTTTCCTGGTATCACTTTTGCAAGAATGCACCCTTCAACGACGCCCGATACGCCTTCAGTCTGGATTGGCCACAATTTTTCTCGGACTATGTGCAGGGTTTGTCCATTTGTTGAATAACAATTGAAATTTATGAGCTAACAGGTTCGAGGAGACAGAAGAGCCAACCTCTCTGATACCATTTCTATTTTCGTCTGAATAAAAACGCGACATTATTTTAAAAAATAATCTATAGTGCGTGAAATTCATTCGAACATCGTACATTTTCCCTGCGACTCAAACCTAATTATTTCAAATGTTTTGTGGCAGGAAAGCAAATAACCTTCATGAAAGATGGAGAATGGTATCCTGATCATATACTGGGATGGTATAAACACAAGGATGAAGATAATGTCATGTTCATTTATTATGAAGATCTGAAAAGGGTAAGATTTTTACACATTCTGACACACATGAGTCAATTACAATTATTTTAAATTTAAAATACTTTATTAATAATCCACCAATCACGAGGTGTACAATTGGAAAACTTACAAGGTGTAAGACAGTGGTTCTCAACTGGGGGCCACGAAGCAGTTTAAGGGGGGCCACGGCACATGGCTAATAATTGATCATAAAAGGACTTCGATTGCATATTTTCCAGTTAAAATAAAATTCTCCATTCAGGCGTTTACCGCACTTTAATTGCCCTTAAGAGGTTATTTGCGATCGCAGGGTGTATTTGCTTTCTTGTACGTGAATTGTTTGATCATAATGGAATTTGGAATGTATCAGTCAAAATAGTTCGCCGGTAGGGCGTCCAACCTGTAGACGGGCAATTTCACTAGATCGCAAGATAACTTTAGCCATCGTATTATAGACGTGAAAACGTCTTTGTAAATACCCAATAACCTAAATACGAAAGCGGAACGACGGTTACGTTGGCTTTGGTTTTACCAAAGTAAATCGAGACGACAAAGAACGTGCATTACGTACGTACGTACAACATTACGTACATCTAAACTCCAAAACCACTGCGACAAAAATCATCCCCAGGTGAAACCATCTTGGTGTTGACAGTGACATTTGTCTAGCCATATCAAAGACGGTGTCCAACATAAAGAAATCTTGTTAGACAGTACCAAGCGCAAGATTCCCATTGGTTGTATACAAAAAATCTTTTGGTTTCTTGTCTGGGGTTTGCTTTTGCCTTCTATACAAGGTAGTAAAAACATAATACAATCCAGCACGTTTAGTTTTTTTGGAATAGCGAACAGGGGTGGCCACGAGTGCAAAAAGGCGTCAGAAGGGGGCCACGAGCCATAAAAGGTTGGGAACCACTGGTGTAAGAGAAGAGAACAAAGTAGTAAAGAATAATAATCAACAGGCTCTATCTTTCGTTGTACAAAATACTGATTCGGAATGGCGAATACAATCCAGCACGTTTAGTTTTTTTGGAATAGCGAACAGGGGTGGCCACGAGTGCAAAAAGGCGTCAGAAGGGGGCCACGAGCCATAAAAGGTTGGGAACCACTGGTGTAAGAGAAGAGAACAAAGTAGTAAAGGATAATAATCAACAGGCTCTATCTTTCGTTGTACAAAATACTGATTCGGAATGGCGTTTTTGAAAAAAATTCTGTATTGTGAACACCAGACTGGATCTAAACACCAGCAATCCTGATGCAATTTTATCACCATATGTGTTTCACAGAACACGAAACAAGAAATTAGGCGTTTGGCAAAGTTCTTAAACATTGAAGTTGATGATAAGAGAGTGGAGGAAATAGAAAATGCGACTACGTTTAGTGTCATGAAACAGACATCTCCTCCAAATCTTTTGAAATTGAATCTATTCAGAAAAGGTAACGTGATACATTTATCGAATCGGAATAATACATACCGAAAGCCACATAATGCGCTGATCATGCCATCACAGCAAGTGGTGATACTTTTCGGATCATTTTACTAAAATATTTCATTATGCAGCCTAGAGGAATGAAATAAATTACAATGATTAGCGTTGTATATTAGAATACTAGGCTCCGTACGAAGTAACTAAATACTATAAATCAAAAGATGTTTTATATAGGAGAAATCGGAAACTGGAAGGAGCTGATGACTGTTGCACAATCGGAATTGATGGACAAATTGATTGCAGATAAATTGGGGCATACTGACATCAAATTTATTTACGAAATATAGTAACATTGTCACACTTTTATTCATAAATTGATTAATGATTTTACTAAACCTTTCATACAACATTGCAGAAAACTAAACTGCCAATACATGTTTTACGGTAGTCAAGATTAAGTTTACTAGCCCTCAGGTCGTATTACAATGACCGGCCAGTTTCAATAAAATTTATTTCAGTGTCACATTGATTGAAATCTTTTTATTCGTTTTTACTTTATTATATATATAAACCGTTTTTGCTGTTTGAAAGGCAACCAAGCATATAATGCTGTTGTTATTAAAGCATTGACATAGCGGCATCACCGTCACCTAGCACTCAAACTGTATCACTGAAGAATGTGACATAGGATTGGGGATAGGCGTTAAGGCGCTGCCGAAAAGAACCATTTTCGTTGATACAACTAGACAAACAATATCAGAAGAAAAATATTGCTCAGACACTTTCTCACATTTGAAAATATCTCTATATATATATCTTAACAGTACTGCCATTTAGTTAATTCCCAAACATTTAACCCCATACCTCTGTAATCAGCTATTCATCTCATATTATTTAGCTTTATTGTTATATCATTCAAAAATTATAACATGTACATATTTATCAATACAGAATACTATAAAGTGTGAACTGTTTTATTTTGTGTAACTAGTGGTCAACTGCCGCAAAAACAGGTGATTGGTTCATAGCGTTTGTTATATTTGATCACATTAACCAGAGGGGTTAATTGAGTAAGCTATTGGGCAGGACCCAGTGGTTTAGCAAAATACAACATACATTGCTTGATTGGCTATGCCAGCTATTATTGCCCCTTATGCGAAGTCACCATTATCTGCATTTTGGACATTCATAACATTAACGATTCAATTTTGGGAAAATGCAGACTCGTTCTTACTGAGTAGCCTATGGGTCACGAGTGAGGCTGCGGATTTTTGAATACCCGATAATTTCAGAATCGAATTTAATAATCTTTTCGAATGAAATCTAGAATCCACGGGAGATAAGTAATTGTTTGTGACTCACCACATGAATTACTAAAAAATAGAACCCATCACTCAGACACATTGTCGAGCGTTCACCCACAATAAACATGTTTTTTGTCAATAACTCATTAAGAGGAAAAAGGTCATATATATGTCAAAATTGCATTGAAAAAACAGGGCTTCGAAAAATTTGGGGAATCTGGACCTTTCGCTTTATGAAAGAACAAAATATGGGCTATTCGAAATATTTGTCTGAAGATTAATTCCGGAGTTAGCAATCGCACCATTTAGTCAATAGGACTGTCCAAAATCTTTTTGCACCTAAAATACAGGTTACCATCCGCAGGGATGTAGGGTCTTATTCGATGGTATTTTAACATGTGTAGTGGGAGTTAGAAAATCAAAACTAATCCGTATATATGGAGTTGAATAACGGCAAAAATGACGATGTCAAGATATATATATCTCTTTTGTTATTCTAGTTTTTTAGAATTTAAATTTTCATTCCGATCCAAAAAAGCATTCTTTCATCTTCAAGATGAATGTTTTCCAAATATTGCTTCTCAACACTTCGAAACTTCTAATACGTCAATATCGATCAGAGTATTCTCGACGTAAATGCCTATTGCGGGCGCGGATTACGTCCTGTCGATGATAACCTATTTTTTTCACATCAAATTTAAAGCAGAGAAATATATATATATATATAATACCGAATTGAGGGCGGTACAAGTTTAGTCGATTCGATTTTTGATTGAGAGGCTAACTTTAGTCAAGTATTTAGTGTTTTCTCTCTAATGGTAGCCCGATGTACAATAACAATCTCAATGCAAAAAGTTCAAATATAAATAAGGACAGTTACAAATCTTTTTGGGAAATTCTTCCTGTCAAATGATTTGGCAGGCGTGCAGGTTTATTACCAATAAATAAAGCTTCTTTTTTAGGAAAGTTGCTCAAACATAGGTCACAGGAACGAGAAATAATCGAGAATGATCTATGAGCGAAGCTATGGGCGCAGTATATAAGTATTTTATACTACGCCATTCGCAATTCGTGTAAATACGAGAAGGAAAACAGCTATGAGGTATAGTGAATTCCACATAATGTTCCTGGAAAAAACTTTGGACATAGAATATTTTACGTCTGGCAGGTGAACTAACTTACACTAAACGGGTGAAAGTTCACAGCTAACCGAGTTTAACGGGGAAACTTTGTTTTTTAGAGGATCAAGTTCCTACAGCATTTGTAAATTAAGCAGTATGTGAATTATAACTGTTAAATGCATTTGTGTCAAAAACATCTAATTTCTTCTGAGCACTCGTTACAAGTGAACAGTTGACGTTAGGGGGCACTCAAGCAGCGACATTTATCTCAAAATACAAAATTGCAATAATTTTCATCCAAGTTCCTGAAACGCCGCTTCAGGTCATTAGATAAGTCGGTCAGTTCAGGAATATGAATAGAAAAGTGCTGGTTTGGCAAAACAATAACGATTATTTGCAAAATTGATATAGTTGGAAGTTTATATTGAAGCTTGTTATAATTAAAGTTTCTGATTTTTAGTTAGTTATATTTAGCAATTGTTATATTACATTTTACATCATATAATATAATATTTTGCTCTAGCAACGAATCGTGTTATTCTGCGGAAAATATAAACCCCCTTCAGTAAGTAGCATTGAATTGATAAAAATATTTTATCCACAGCATAGAAATTATTCCTGTTTTTTCAATCCTACCTATTTGAAATGGAAGCCTTCATTTCTGCGATCCCGAATGAAAAGAGAGCAATTTTCGAACAAACTGTAAAAGATGTCAACGAATTTTTTGACGGAGTTCTCAGGTTCAAAGAAACTGAATGGAAAGGACATCGTTTTCTCCCTGGTTTTGAAGCAGAAACTGCAAAATACGCATACGAAAAACTGGAACTGGAACAAAATTCGGTCTTTCTAGTATCTTACCCCAAAACCGGTAAAGTTGGTTTTACAAAATAGGCTGATTTAGATCTAGACACTACAGTTCATGATGAATTCAGACACCAAAGTTGGTAGTGCATAATAGTAATAAAAGTATTTCATTTCACTATTGAAATGCCTTTTCAGTTCGCTAATTGTTCAGATAAATCACCTGTATAAAATGCCATGAATGATCACTATTCAAAATTGCTATAAAATAACCGCTAATTCTTCTAAAGTTCTGGTAACGTTTTCTGAATCGTGTATTTAGTTCGAAAAGTACAGGATATTATAACATGTCATTATCTTTCATAGGCGTTAATTGGACATCGGCGGTCGTAAGTGAAATATTATATGGACTGAATGGATTGAGGATGTTTCCACCATTGCAAAAGATGGATGTAGCCAAAGGTAAATTATATAACGCAACCAAGTTGTTTTCTTTATTGGCGCTACATGACAAAGGTAGGAATATACAGAACATTTTTTTTATAATGAATTATGTGAATTGTTATACCGGACCAGACTTATATTATGATGCCCTCACTGATGATCATAGTATCTTTCTTGTAATTGATAATTCAGTCATATAATTTACAGTTTCCTCGTCGATAAGTTCACAATATCAGCAGACCATCTTTTCTTTTCGTTATCACGCCATATTGGTCAAAGTCATTTTTAACTATATTTGTACCACATGTTACAAGAGCTGTAACTCATTTTTCATTGTTTCGCGGAAAATCAAGTCTAAAATGTATATTTAGAATTAGCTGCAAAATGACAAATTATGATTTATCAATACAATCAATACTGCAAAGAAAACTGGCATAAACATCACTATGAAAAGGTCACCTCTCAGACGAATCTGTTTCAACACCATTTCTTGCAAATACCTTATAATATTAAGATAAAAATATTCATATTCACCCCTAAGGGCAATTGGCGTAGAATAATGCAGAGACGTTGGTCAGGTACGTTTTTTGCTCATGGTACAACCACAAAATAGCGTTTGAAGTATTACAAACAATATCTTGGTGTTTCTTTCAGAATCAAAATTTCAGCTATTGGAATATCTGCCCGTTCATCCGAAATGTTTTCAGACTCATTTACCAGAAAATTTGTTGAACGTCGAAAAAATAAAAAAGAATGACGGAAAGGTGACGACTACATTTTATCATGTATTTCAAATATCGTTGCAGAGAACCAATGTGATAGGCTGATTTGAAGCATGGTGTTTTTATTTACATTATATTGTACGACATTTATAGGGTTCGGATGGGCATATAAATCCCGGAAAATGGTTGTAACTCTTGAAATCATATTAATGAAAAAATGGTGAATTGCACAAAAACGTTTTATTTTACACGCAAATAATTTAGATTGCAAGATTATTACTGTAATATTTCATAAAGTTTCATCACATTTAAATATATATGTCAATTGTTACGCCAGTGGCCACCTGTGAGTGAGTTTACTTCATTTCCGTTCGTGTTACCATATTTTCAAATAATATTCATAAACAATTCTTTCGCTTAATTGCTATGCACTTACCATTGCTCAGCGGAAAGAATACAGTATACCAAAACGGACCGATCAAGTTCAAATTCAAATATACCTTTAAAGCAAAAACCTTGAAACTCAATCAAACTGACATCGAAATTTAACCTAATGCCTGAGGTTGTTTATTGAGCAATACATTTATTATAAAAATCTCGATACTCTTTCGAGTTGACACAGAAACATTGAAATACCAATAGGCTGTTTATTTTCTTCCGCATTTATCCGAAAATGGCATATGAATTATTTTTTCATAATAACTGGTTTGTTGCGATTTTGCAGATAATTGTTATTCTACGCAATCCTAAAGATCAAGTTGTTTCCTGGTATCACTTTTGCAAGAATGCACCCTTCGACAACGCCCGATACGCCTTCAGTCTTGATTGGCCACAATTTTTTTCGGACTATGTGCAGGGTTTGTCCATTTGTTATATAACAATTGAAATTAATGAGCTTACGTGTCGGAGGATACAGATAAGACAATTTTTTGATACCATTTTTATTTATTTCCCAATACAAACGAAACTATTCTTGTATAGAATGATCTATAGCGTGTGGCTCATTGAAGCAGACAATCTTTTGATAACAGCGCAAAAACAATTATGATTAGATATATTGGATCGTGAAGTTATGCAAACTCTGAGACCTTAAGTATCTTCAATATCGTACATTTTACCTGCGGCTCAAACCAAATTATTTTAAATGTTTTTGATGGCAGGGAAGCAAATAACATTCATGAAAGATGGAGAATGGTATCCTGATCATATACTGGGATGGTATAAACACAAGGATGAAGATAATGTCATGTTCATTCATTATGAAGATCTGAAAAGAGTAAGATTATGATATGATCAAGACATACACACACACCTGAGTCAATTATATTCATTTTGAATTTAAAATACACTATTAATAATCCATCATCCACAAGGTGTACCATTAAAAAACTTAAAAAGTGTAAGAGAAGAGAAGAGAGTAGTAAAAAATATTAATCAACATGTTCTATCTTTCGTTGTACAAAATACTGATTCGAAATGGCGTTTTTGACAAACTATTCGCATAATGTTTGTCCCTATATATTTTACAGGATACGAAACAAGAAATCAGACGTTTGGCAAAGTTTTTGAACACTGAAGTTGATGATAAGAGAGTGGAGGAAATAGAAAATGCGACTACGTTTAGTGTCATGAAACAGACATCTCATCCAAATCTTTTGAAATTGAATCTATTCAGAAAAGGTAACGTGATAGATTTAACGAATCGGAATAACCTATGTATACCGAAAGCCACATAATGCACCATCACAGCAAGTGGTGATCATTTTACTAAAATATTTCATTATGCAGACCAGAGGGATGAAATAAATTACAAAAAATAGCGTTGTTTATCAGAATACTATGCTCCGTTCTGAGTAACTAAATACAATAGACCAAAAGATGTTTTATTTAGGGGAAGTCGGAAACTGGAAGCAGCTGATGACTGTTGCACAATCGGAATTGATGGACAAATTGATTGCAGATAAATTGGGGCATACTGACATCAAATTTATTTACGATATATAATAACATTGTCACACTTTTATTCATAAATTGATCATTTTATCAATATGTTTACTAAACCTTTCATACAACATTGCAGAAAACTAAACTGCCAATATAAATAAATGTTCAACGCTGGTCAAAATTAGGTTTAATAGCCCCAGGCTGTATTACTATAACTGGCCTGATTTAATAAAATTCATTCCAGGGATAATTTTATGACTTTTATTCATTATATAAATCGTTGTTTTTTGCTATTTGGAAGAGAATCAAGGCTCTATAGCTGTTGTCAAAAAAAGTGACATAGCGAAATCAGATCGCATAAACTGTTCCATCGAAGTATCTGACAAAAGATTGCGAATAAGTGCAGTTAGGGCGCTACAAAACAGCACTATTTTAGGTAAAGCAACTGTACGAACAATAACAGAAGAAAACTATTGCCTATAGACACTTTCTTCTATTTAAGAATATCTTAACAATACTACCATTTAGTTCCCCAAACATTCAACGCCATTATATCTCTGTAATCAGTTATTCATTTCATATTATTGAGCTTTATTGTTATATCACTCAAAAATTAAAATATGTATATATATTACAGAAAAATATCTACAATAAAATATTCTGTATTCTTTCGTGTAACTAGCGATCAACGACCACAAAAACACGTGATTAGGTCACACCTTCTGCTAAACGAAGCAGTAGTCTATCTTACTTTATACAGTATACGTATACCTTACCTAATGTACGGTACGGTCGACAAATTTCGGACTTTCGCGTAGCACGAGAGAGGTTGCAAAAGAGATACAAATAATTTTTTATCAATTTCAAAGAGGTATCACACAAAATTTCGAAGTGAAAAACGAATCACATAGAGCACAAAGAAACTTTCGTTACAATCTTTAACCACTAAAAATGTTAAAGCAATTGGTCCAGTAGTTAATGAGTAGCGATTTTTTCATAACAATAAGAAGAAAAATACCAGCAAGAAAAATAACTTAACTAAACAACAATCGGAGACCGCAGACTTGTCGATCTACGGTTTCGATTCCTTCGCTCTGACTCAATAGCGACACCGCGTGTCACATCCCTAATTAATTAATAACACGTTAATTATACGACATAATTCACCCAAAATCAATAGGCTCCAGGTCCGAGATATGATGAATGCACATGTAAAATTTGGAGCAGATTCAATTTCGTGAGATATCGCGTAACGTACGAAGGTGAAACAAACAAACAGACAAATACCTATCAACATACTTACCGATCGAGATCGATAAGTAATAACACAAGAGAGCTATGCTCAAATATATTGACGCGGAGGGGGTACCAAAATATTCTATCATCAATTCCCCCGAACATCAAATGCGGTGACTACCGTAACTTGCTAGTATGACACCTATATCAGGGTTCCGGTAACAGTACAGGGACTGTATCAGCTTTCCCAGGTCCTGTGACCATTATACATTCTTTATAATTCAGTTTCAACGTGAATGGAAATACCAACTGACCACTTCTGTACCGTACTGCAGGTTCCGTACTGGGGTCTACCGTTCCCCATAAAAAACTTCCCACTTTCGCCAAGCACGAAATCCGCCGACGTTCGCTGAGCACGAAACCCCCTGATATGTATTCGCGGAACCGCCACAAGGTGAGCAAAATTTTGATGACGTCGTAGTTCACCGAAATATTCAAAATAAATAAAAGTACTAGCTTTCTAGCGAAAAATACAATCTTTAAACACTGAAAATCTATAGCAAATGATTCAGTAAATAATTAAAGAGAAATGCGATTTTTATAATAACGATGAGAAGAAAAATACAAACAAGAAGGATGAGAAAAAGAACAAAAACATAAGAACAAATCCATCCATAGGTCCACTCCGTGTCTAAAAACGATCCATATATATGTACACCTCGTGTCCAATAAAATGTCTTTACATTGGGCACGCCACTATGCCAATATGTGCTTTACCTTTTCTTTAGTAGACACTGCTTGGAAGTATAGAAGAGATTCAAATCCTGTATTATTCATCATAGAAACGTTTTATTTTATTTTAATCTACATGTATTTTAACAAACTCCGTTTTCTTCGGGTTTCACTTCTCAAACTGCCTTCTTGCATGGAAATATGTCGTTTTACCTGTTCACAATAATTTCCAAACAAGCACAAACTGTAATTTATTTAACCGCACATGGAACACAAAAAATGAGATCTTAATGCTGTCTAATAGTTTAAGATTTGCTGAGACAGCTGATAAATGGTTCAACTAAAAAAATACCACGAAAATGATTCAGGACTTACATCATATGAATTCAGAGTGAGCTAGTTGTTGAATTAAGGAGCATGTATCTTCTATTCTGAAAATAGCAAAGATGCAGGCCATCTCAATTCCTAGCAGCTTAATTTAAGAATTTTTCAAAACAATATTTTCAAATAATTATTTTACTTTAAAGGCATGTAGATGTATAACAATTTCTCTCTAACTACTGTCCGGCGACAATATATATTTCTTGTTTTTTCGTTGACGGTAATTCAGATATGGCACATGATAATGTTACAATTTTTTACCGGTTTTGTCTTCAATTTGTAAGTAATACGGACTCGTTCTTGTTAAGTATGAATCATGACCAAATATGCCCGAATACGATCTGTTTCAACCAGATTTATATCGTATATAGTTAATAATCGGGCCAACATGTCAGTCAGATTGTCTGAAATCTCCATGTACCGCAAACAAAAGTTATGATCGATATGTCTTTGGGGTATAAATCGGTGGTATTGGATCGGTGTAAGGGATGTAGCGGGAGTTTTAGTCAATCCAAACTATTCAGAATAATGAGTTGATGACGGCAAGAATGCCAATGCCTAGAAAAATTTAGCCTAGATAAAAAAGATTTATGTTTTCATACAAAAAAATAAATATATGTAACTGATTAAAATATTATAGCCGTGGGCGATTACGCCCATGCAGTTGGTGATAACGGAATAAAAAAACGCAAATCGTTTTTATTTTTAGACCGATGCACATCACTAATCCGACATCAAGTTTGGAAAAAGAAAGAAAGATTTATTTTATATATCGAATTAACCGGCGTTTCAACTTTAGCTGATAGACTGCTTAGGAAGTTCTCCAATTCGCAGAACTGTGGGTAGTGGCCATGGTTTTAGGATTGAATTGAGAGGCTTACAGGTCGTAAGGTTCAGGTTAAAAAGTGTTTTCATTGTAATGTGATTCCGATGTTTTTTAAATAACAATCTCCATTTTACAGAAGTCTTATTGATTACCTGGTCAAATTATTTCGCAGGCAGATCTATTATCAGAAAAAGAAAGCTCATATTTGAATTATAAATTCCAAATGTATTTTGTCAATAATACCCGATGTATGTTTAGTAAATACGCAATTAGCACATTTAAGAAAAAATCCTTATTACGCAATTAGCACTACTAATAATTAATATTATAACTAATAATTATTCACAACCGTGGCATTGAAAGTTATGCTACTTTGATTTAATGACTAATGTAGGTACATAAATTTTTTTAGTCTATTCGCAAGCAAAATTCACTTCTAACAAGTGCAAATATCACTCCTAACAAATAATGCAAGTAATATGTGCCACCACTGTACAATTTTTTTTTATCAAGCTTTGTTTATTTTCTCTTATTGGACACGTTTAGTGGACATAACGATCGTTTTGTTGTTATGTTGTTCTTTGACACCTTTTGGACACCTAGTGGAAATATTAAAAAACCATTTTTCTCTTTGATCACTGGACCAATTGCTTTGAAATTTTTAGTGGTTAAAGATGAAATTTTTCTCCAGAAGGCTATTACTTTTATTTATTTCAAATATTTCTGTTAGCTCTGTGAGATTTGTTTTTGGAGGTTACCGGTGAATGGCGGTGATGCTGAAGGTACTGTACTGCTTCGCTTGGTGTGAATATATTTGTAGACTGTGGTATCTGCTGTTATAATACCGTGATAAATTGAATAAGCTAGTTTTGCAAAGAACAGGTAGGGGGAGGAATAGGGGGGTGCGCACTTCCAATACGTCGATAATATCTTTGTCAACCAATTTGCGACCACCGTATTTTTTTGTCCGTTTGATTGCTGTGATGTGGTGCTTTGTTTATGATTTGACGAGTTTTGTTCGAAATAACCGTGTTCTTAAAATATATGACAGTCAGAAATGCAATCCGAAGCCCAATGTTTTTAAAGATAGGGAAGTTCTGGTTCCGTAACACAGCGCGGTGGCACTGAACTAACTCGTAGCTGTCAAAAGCTTGAAAATCCATAAAATATGAGAGATAAAAAGATGAAACTTGGCAGGTGGGTAAGGTTGTGTTTCTTTTAACCATCTTTGAAGCTTTCGCATTTTAACAATTAAAGGAGGGGGAATGGGGGAGGGGGGTGCGCATTTCCAATACGTCGATAATATCTTTGTCAACCAATTTGCGACCATCGTTTTTTTTGTTTTTGTCTGTTTAGTTGCTGTGATGTGGTGCTTTGTTTATACAGGTACTGGTAAGTCAACGCCTGTGATTTTTTAGGAATTGTTCTGCGTGTCCATATATTTGAGCATTGCTCTCTTGTTTGATTGATGAAAGTATTTGGGGGAGGAACAGAGGTGCTGTTTACTGAGTTGGGGGGATTGAATCGATAAAAATATTTTATCCACTGCGTAGAAATTATTCCTACCATTATTCATTTTTTAAAATGGAAGCTTTCATTTCTGCAATCCCGAATGAAAAGCGATGGATTTTTGAACAAACTATGAATGATATCAACGATCATTTTGACGGAGTTCTCAGGTTCAAAGAAACGGAATGGAAGGGACATCGTTTTCTTCCTGGATTTGAAGCAGAAACTGCAAAATATGCATACGAAAAACTGGAAGTTGAACAAAATTCAGTTTTCCTCGCATCTTTCCCAAAGACGGGTAAATTCCGTTTGTAAACTTATTCAAATTCTAATAGAAAAGCACAGAAGAAATAAAAGTATTTCACTCTATTGCATTACATTTTCAGCCCACCATTTGCTCATATAAATCACCTATTCAACATGCTTTAAATGGGTAATACTTGAATTAACTTATATATAGTATCGTATTATATAGTATAAGTGTTGTATAGCATGAGATGTACGATACCATTATCTTTCATAGGCGTAAATTGGACATCGGCGATCGTAAGTCAATTATTATATGGACCGAATGGACTAGGGATGTTTCCACCATTGGAAAAAATGGAATTAGTCAAAGGTAAATTAGTTTAGTTTGCTTTCTGTGTTCTGTAGACTTACGGATTAACAAGTGAACTGAGATTAGAGATGATTCTTATTCTGCTTGATCTCGCAAACGATTGCACACTCACGTTTGTCAGTGAACATTTTCATCCGTATCACGATAGCATTGAAGTTGTGCAATTCGCTTACGATAAATCAGGAAGATATACATGCGGGCCCTTACAGTTACGCATTATACACACAATAATTTAGCAACACCTGCAATTTAAAAAAATGAAGAACAAATTTAGATTAATTTTTGAAGCTGTCACAGCTACAAAAATTATCCGCCGCAACCGAAAAGTTTCTCGTCAAATAAAATTTAACGCATGAGGGGTGAAATTTAACACTTGCAGCAACGTTTCCCATATATTACTAATATTATTATTATAATACTTAGTCACGAACATAAAAAAAATGCAAAAAAATACTTGATAGGGTTAAAAGGAAATATGTAAATTCAGCAAAAAACTACAACAAGGAAGTCTTAATCAACTGCAGATCAGCTGTTCCTCCTCTCATTAATTAACGGCACCGAAATTATACACTCATATAAAGACAGAGCGGAAATGTTCCTCAAATTATTTTCAACACAGTGCAGTCTTGATAAAAATTCAGACTGCTGGCAATTGCCTACCATTGTCGCTTTTGAAATGATCAGTGGTCGGACCTGGTAAATATCGTTCAATTATTCTTTTTGTCAGTCATAAAGTTTTTTTGCGTAACAGTCACTACTGGCCACCTAGAATAACGAGGTCATTTAATTGACAAATTATATGGTTTTCGTTGAGAATGTTCTACCGCCAATTTGGTATCAGTTATAACTAAAGTATATACCGCACATTGAATTGAAGTGGTGAAGTTAAATCGATTGCTTCGGCTAAATGTTGATTGCCAGCGCTCCCGGACACACACAACCTCGCCTCCTCTGAAGTTCCTAAGGTCTCAAATCCTGGATCTGCATCGTTTGTGAAATTCATCAGTCATCTTATAGATTTATTTAGATCAGCGTTTCCTAAACTTTTTCAGCCACGGAACACTTGCACTTTTTCTCTCGCCTCGCGGAACACGAAAAAATAAAAGGGTAAAATTGATAAAGAAAACGATGTAATGTGGTGGGTTTGTCGTGACTAGTTGCCAAATGCGCCGCGAATACTAACATAATTGCGTTTAACATATATAAAATATGATTGAATATTTCACATATTTCATTTATTATAAATGTTTTAATGTTTCTTAATTTGAATGCTGTGTATGTCTATTCTATGTCGTTTACTTCCCATTACGCAGTGTTTGCCTCTAATGGAGAAATGCTAATGCTGAAGTTTAGCGACTATGAGTAATTTTTTCAGCATTTCAAAGTAAAACCGGGCAGAGATGGCGGAAGAAAAGTTAACCATCTGCCTTCCTTCTTTAGACCTACTTGTTTGCCCATAGCAAAACCAAAAGGATTGCTGCAAACTTGATAGTGAACTTAAAAGTCAAAAAGCTAGGCCGACGGTTAACGAAAATGCCACTACCCTACCTTGGTTAGTCCGCTATAAGCCGACGGTGATGCGATATTGAACGGTTAGTTGGGCGACAACTTCACAATCCCTAGATCGCCATGGTGACCCATATAGACATATTTTTGATTTATTCCACGGAACACTCGAAAGACGCTCGCGGAACACAGTTTGGGAAACGCTGATCTAGATAATCTCCGTAGCAATTGCTGACGTGTCTTTATCCTTGTCTTGATGTGGAGCCCAATAAACAACACCGTTTGGAATATGCTAAATCTTTGGAAACGAACTTCAGGTTTCCGAGCGGATGAATCAGTGGCAGACCTCTCTAGACGCAAAAAAGTCTTGTCAATCAATATTCTTATTAATCCAATTTCCAGGTCGGAAGAAATTCTAGATAAATCATTCAAAGTTCGTCTGGTTGGGCTCACTGACTATAAGGATATGGAATGAATATTTAGCGTCTGTGACTCAAAACGTGTCAACGAAAGTTAGTTATCTTTAGTGTGTTCGGTGATATTAGTCCCGTAAGTGCACACTTCACTTTCACAAATACGTTCAGGTTTAGGGGTAAGAAGGTAGATATATATTTTGACTTGTTGTTGGTTTTGTGATAGACGACAGATTAGCATCTGTCGTTAAACGACGAACCGCAGCGGTAGTAGCTTAATGCTTAAATTTCACCAATCTCCCAAGCCTGTCATACACTTTATCGAGGCAATATCTTTATTGTCAAACCCAACATACCTTTCACAGTACCTCTTTGATCGCAGTACAATACGATAAAAGTACGATACGATCGCAATACGATAATCAAACAGGGAATAATGAGTAGCTTATATAGTAAATTAGCAGGCACGAAAGTGTCCTAATCAAGCGTGTAACTGAGATAAAATATATTAAAACTGATTCGTCATTGTGATATGACCTGGGGCTATTTAAATCGATTATATCTAGTGAAAAAAAAAGTTATGACGGTTTATAATTCCGAGAAAGTCTAAATTGACTTGTTTTAGTCCGATTGATATTATTAATCTGAAAAACAACAGTAAAATCTTACTAAAATGACAACATTAACCCTATAGAAGTACGAAGTATTAATATCTTATTTGTGCTAGTGCTCCTATACACGTACTAAATATCCTGGACCGGATTCAAACGAATATCACATATAATTGATTTCCAGTTGGCGACCTAACTGCAAATTCTTTCCAATCGACGAAATATTCTGCTAATGTGCTTATTTTACAGATGAAGTGTCCAATCTACTTAATTTCTGAAATAATGCCTTTGCTTCGAGTGAATTTCCTAAAATTCAAGTCATTTAAAAATATTGAATGTTGCAGTCGCCGTAGGTCATTTTTATCCAGTCACAAAAATCATCATTGATTTATTTCCCTAAAGATAAATTGGCATTTATCAATACAATCAATGCTGCGAATAAAACTAGCAAAGAAGTCATTATGCATGCATGACACAAGAGCACCCCTTTCTAATATATTTATTAGTATTTTCTAATATTAGGCTAAATATATTATTCACATCCCCTGTGGTGGATTGGTATAGTATAGAATAATATTGGAACGTTAATCATGCACGATTTACGCTCAAAAACACAATTTAACAAAACATAGCGAAAGAAGTATAAGCGTAGAGAATAATATATATCTTAATTTTTCTTTCAGCGTCGAAATTTCAGTTATTGGAATATCTGCCTGTTCATCCTAAATGTTTTCAAACTCATTTACCAGAAAATTTGGTGAACGTCGCAAAAATAAAAAAGAGTGGTGGGAAGGTGACATACGTTATATTCCAAATAGAAAATTCACTGTATAGAATCATAGCGATAGGCGAATCTCAATATAAATAACTATGTGGGGAACAATAATTTTGTGCAAAAAATATGAGAGGGGAGCTGATTTTAATAGTAGTAATTTTATGCAGATTGGAATTTACGACATGTTTGAGTACATGCATGTATATATATATATAGATTTAAGCAAATGGTTTGGGTAAGCTTTGGCGGTCATAATAATGGGGATTAGTTAGAGAATATTTTCGAAGAAGTTTTCACTGTGGCTCAAATAATTTTATTTGCATGAATATAATTGTAACGTTTCAGTTTCAAAGTCAAAATGATAAATATGCTGCTTTAACTAAGAACTCAGAAACCCAATTTGTACGTCGATGCCCAATGTTGCTTACTGCATCAAGGCGGGTCTTAATACTAATAATACACATCAAGCAACTACTAAGTGTATTTTCTTAACAACCCGTTATTGGTAATTTGCAGATCATTGTCATTCTACGCAATCCTAAAGATCAAGCTGTTTCCTGGTATCATTTTTGCAGCAAAAGTGGACCTTTCGACAACGCCCGATACGCATTCAGTTTGGATTGGCCACAATTTTCCTCGGACTATATTCAGGGTTTGTCTATTTGTTAAATTTAATAGGAGCTATAAGATTGTATGGTGCAGAAGAAATAAATTGTACGTCATCCTCTCCAATATTAGCTTCTTCACCTGGGCCAACATTTTATTCCAAGAAAAGCATCAATTTTTTCCGCCCGCGCGGAACAAGCAGATTTTGCACGGAACTGGCTCTTGCTTCGCATTACTTTTTGTATTCTGTGTTTTTGAATTTGTGTCGTGTAACAGTAGTCTATGAATATATGAAATGATCAATTTACATATTGTGAACTGTCCGTGTAAAAGACAATGGAATGGGTGAATTGACAAATTTACGGCAATTCCGTAATTAATGTGTCGATAGTTGTCGTCCGGTGAATCAATTTCTGGTCATATTAAAATAGGCATTAATGGCTGTTACCTTCGATGGCTATTTTTTACTGTTGAATTCTGCTTGGTTGTGGAGCCTCTATAATAACTGAGGCAACACCAAAGCAAGACTATTTCAACTTGACATCTACCATGTACTCATATACTATAAGTACAGGCCAAAATAAAACAGGCCAAAGTGATAACAAAGAAATTTTTGACCTCGTTAGCTTGTATATTGGCGAATGTCAATTTCTTGAGACCATGCGAGAAGAGTGTACTTTGCGAGACATCTCGAATATTTACGATATTTGGTGAATGCCGATTTCTCGTGGAAGTTGGTGCTTTAATAACGCGTTGAATAGTAACTATAGTATGGCGAATGAACCTCCCGATCGTGAATTTATTTGAAATTTTCACAAACTTGGATATTAGAATCAATTTCCCGCATACATCCTCATCCTTGCACGATTTTTCGTGTGTCACAATAATACATGTTCAAATATGTTTTTGATGTCAACAGGAAAACAATTAACATTCATGAAAGATGGAGATTGTTATGCTGAACACATACTGGGATGGTATAAACATAAGGACGAAGATAATGTCATGTTCATTTATTATGAAGATATGAAACGAGTAAGCGTGTTATCATCAACAGACAACGACATACATGAGTAAATTTGAATTAGCTCAAATTTTTTAATACTTTATCCTCAAGACCATCGTCCAGAAGGTGTACCATTAATAACTTACAGGTTGTACGACAATAGAATATTAACGTATATAGATCAACAGTCTCCCTCTTTCGCCGTAGAAAATGCTGATTTAGAATGTTTCCAAATATATTTCGCAATATGATCATCAGTCTGATCACCACCCACCGCGATTACAACTTTGCCACTATATTTTTGCAGGACACGAAACAAGAAATTAGACGTTTGGCAAAATTTTTGAACGTTGAAGTTGATGATAAGAGAGTGGAGGAAATAGAAAATGCGACTACGTTTAGTGTCATGAAACAGACATCTCATCCAAATCTTTCAAAAATAAATCTATTCAGAAAAGGTAACATGATGGGTTTCTCGAATTGGGAAAACCCATAACTAAAGCAACATAATATGCTGCGCATAACATCACAGCATTATGTGATACTTATCGGATAATCTTACTAATTTCATACTACGGCCTAAGAGGGTCAAATAAATTAAAATATATAGCGTTCCACGCCAGAATATGATGTTCGGCGCTTTCAAATAGTTTTAGATATTCCCAATTTTAGTAGTAGCACATTTATATTCTGTTCGTTTTCTTGGTCTAGTCTAGCATATAACGTAAAAGACTTTAAGTGACTCGATCTAAAGATATTTTATTTAGGGGAGGTCGGAAACTGGAAGCAGCTGATGACTGTCGCACAATCGGAATTGATGGACAAATTGATTGAGAATAAATTGGGGCATACTGACATCAAATTTGTTTACGAGCTAAAATAATAAATTCGCACTTTCTAAAATTTGCGAATATTTCTATGTATCTTAACATTACTATCATTTTATTATTTACAAAATATTAAACGCTTTTGTGTATCCACAATCATCTAAAATTATTTAGATTTATTCTTTCAATTTTCATTTTCAATTTCAATTTTAATATACCAACATTTATTTTCACCTCAACAAATGTCAATATTGTTTTTTCATTGTATTCTTATCACAGTCTGACAGTATCAAATCATTTATATTTGTTCCTAATATTTTTCTTGTTAGCTTACAAGCAGTACGGTACTGGTACTGAGATAACGCGTCAGGACACCAATGGTGAATATTTATTTCAACATCCAGCGTGCTAATTTCACTTTATTTAATTACCTGATCGGTGTCCATTGCTATATCGCTTCGTACTGTCATAGCACAACCACGTTGTGGTCAGGTCACCTTCAAAATTCCCCAGTTATTCTACAGAACAACATTTCGCTACAGCTAGGTCTATGCAAACGGGAAATCCCCCGTTATTCGCTGCTATTATGGCACATTTAATGCACGGTAATTTTTAGTAATAATATACAACAATTGCAATTAGTTAGCTCTTTTGTAAAATTTATATGGTATCTATTCGTTGAAACTCTTTCCCCGATCTGTCAAACTAGGTGTTAGAACCTTGGGTGTCGCAGCTCGATAACCAGTTTTGGTTCCCCGCGGCTTCCCTTCCCCAGTAATTTAAATATCATTTTTTCTATATATTTTTGCACGTGTTTTTTGTTTTTTACTGATTGGAAAAAATAAACTTGACTTGACTTTCATCAATTAATATAATGTATATATTTATTAATATGAATTGCTATCTACAATGAATTGTGAAATGTCCTATAAGTGCACATAATACTATTGCGGTTAGGGCCACAAGAAGGGAAGAGCAGAATAAGGGCGATGCATTGAAAGGGTTGATTGAGCGTAACAGCTTTGAATTTTTATTTGCGTCGGTCAGACACACCAAATTATTGAATGATAAATGCAAAAGAGTATGTAAAAACAGTGCATTCAAATAATCCAAAGAATTATATAGAAGTTTTCATCAATGTTTAGAATATTAGGTAACCAAAGCACACATGCTTTCGTCTGGTGTATTCAAAATCTTTTAATTACCACGTTCTACAAATAACGAAATTTTAATATCATAAGCACGCCACTATGCCAATTTTTGCGATACTTCTTAGTCAACTTGCTTGGAATATAGATTGAAATTTTCTCGGTCGGCCTTATCAAAGAAAAACTTTCAGATTCTGTTCACTCCAGGTTTCCCTCATCAAACTTCTTTAGCTCGCAATGCTTCTCGCGTGACAAGTGGCCGTTTTACGCGTTCGACATAACTTTAATCAAGTCAAAACATCATGGGTAATCAAAAATTTATTCTTCAACATGAAACTATTTATTTCAGCTGATTCAGCACTCTCTAACAAAATGCAACATACACTGTTTAATCGGTCGGCCAGATTTTAAATTTGAACCTTGCATAAATTCGAATCTTCATTCCAGAATCGATTCTAATTTTAGAAAATATACGACTAAACACAAAAATGAATACATTCGATCGTGCAGTACTTTCAAAATAAGTGCAGAAATCCCGAATGTCTGTGATATTTGAGGCTGAATTTTAAGAGGAAGGTCGAATAATAGCCATCACCATACATTCTAGCGGAGTCTAAGAGGGAGATACATTTGGCGTCTTTTCTGAAATAATGGGACACAATGGTTTTAATATGAGCTTCCATGTTGTTCAATTGGGTTTGGGCAATTGGCAAACTTTATTGTGCTTGCTAACTTCTTCTTACTCCCCCATTTATCCGCAATAGAGGTACTTAAGTTTGGTCTTTTATATTTTATACTCAGTTCTTGAACTTGTGATATTTAATGTGCAGAGCAAATGCGTCGTTATTCATTCATTTTGGCGTTTTGCTTCAATTCCGCTTTTGCCACTTTTTGGTGACCGTACATTTGAACCCATACATTTGCACCCGTATATCCGCGGGTTCAATCTATATGAGGGTGCTAAAATCCATGAGTTAGGGTTAGTATGGGTTCAAATATCGGTAAAATCCCATAGGTGCAATAGTCGTGAGTTCAAATTACGGGTTCAAATGTAATGTTTCATTTTTCACAAATCAAAAATAATGACGCAAGCAATAAGCTGCTACTTGTGCACCTCTGCATTGGTTTTCTAGGATGTTTTGATGCTTCGTTTTTTTTTTAATCATCACTTAGCTTTTACATTAGGTCTTATACGAGCTCGTTTGCGGGGGTGTCAAACCTGCGAGCCTTCCAATACGGTTCTCGAGCATTCATAAGTAATTGTCATATATTGTAAGTTTTACCTACAAGTAATATATTATACCTCTTTCAGACGTGTGATCAAAATTTTATTAACCCAACCAAAAGAGTTGGTGAATAAATTATCAAAACAATATTGCATAGTTTTTTTTTAGTAAAGACACAGTTTAATATTTGAGCGTTATACACTACATCAGCGGTTCCTAAACTTCTAGTTCGTGTGGCGCAAAATTATCAGGGAAAAAACTCGGCGGCGACGGCGCACTTATACACACTAAAACAAAATTGCCGCCTCCAAATAGAACTCAATTTTGTGATCGTTAATGTGTACTTCATGCCTTTCAAAGTTTGTAAGACCTGAAGAATAAAGGCGAAAGGTCAATTCCTATTCCTCATTTCTGCTTGATTTTCCTACTAAATACTAAAAACTCGGTTAAGCCGTAAATGAATACTAATACGGTTAATCAAATAAATAAACTGCAGCGAGTAGTGGCCACCTTCATTGTTACATAGCAATAGGGACAGCCATAAGCAAGAGAAAGTAAACGACATAGAATGGTAAAATGAATTTATTGGTTCCATTACTTTTGAACCCATGTACATTTGGACCCACCGTGGGTACCCACGTACATTTGAACCCACGACAATTGCACGTATGGAATTTTTTTGTTTTACGGATATTTGAACCCATACCAACCCTAACCCATGGGCCACGTACATTTGAACCCACGACAATTGCACGTATGGAATTTTTTTGTTTTACGGATATTTGAACCCATACCAACCCTAACCCATGGGTTTTAGCACCCGAATATAGATTGAACCCGCGGATATACACATGGGTTCAAATGTACGCGGGTTCAAATGTTCGTGGGTTCAAATGTACATGGGTTCAAATGTCCGCGGGTTCAATCTATATGCGGATGCTAAAATCCATGGGTGGAAATGTATGGGTTCAAATGTCCGAAGGTGCAAATGTCGGTGGGTGCAAACATATGGAGGTTCAAATGTCTTGGGTACAATTTACGGGTGTAAATGTATGGGTTCAAATTTAAGTTCAAAGGTTCAAATGTGCTGTCACCGTGATAACGTATTCTTTTACCGTTTGTCAACTGTGACAGAACTGTAGTGTTGTTATCAAAAATTTTCAAAAAGGCATGCCATGGTGTTTGTTTTTAAAGTATTTGAATGTAAATATAACGGTGACCGTACATTTGAACCCATGTGTATATCCGCGGGTTCAATCTGTATGCGGGTTAGGTTAGTATAGGTTCAAATATCCGCAAAACAAAAAAAAATTCTGTAGGTGCAATAGTATGCAGATGCAATCGTCGTGGGTTCAAATGTACGTAGGTTCAAATGTAATGGAACCAAATATAACAAAAGTAAACATGAAAATGGCGACAAGGATGGGAAAAAACAGTCCGTAAGTGACTGTGTGTAAGACGCATTTGAATAGGCAAAATCGGCGTTCCGATCCGACCGCTGTTAGAAAATATGCTCACGTCGTGTTTGTACACGTGCGCTCAGTGGCATTGAATTATGCTGGTCGGTTCACCGGACTTGTAGGAACGTTCGAGCTACACGGTGGAGTCACACGTACGAGGTTGAATTCGGGATAATACAACTCAAGTATAGTATATGGTCACTGGTCAGTCTGTTTAACAGAACAGTCGCGACAACTGGGAAACAATTACAACTAAAAACTCACAGTATCCATGCGTCTTATAGCTATACATCGCAAAGAGTTAGTGGGCTTAGTGGTGGTGTCTGGGCTTCGCATCATTCGGTCAAAAAATAAAGAGTGTCTGGTTTGCAACATGTTTGATTCAAAATGTTACATAATAGTATCGTCTGCGAGTAACTACGACGATGAGTAGATTCGAAATGTCGGGTACTGTTGCGAAAAATGAAAAGCCTCGGTAGATAATGTTATCTGCAAGCATTTCCTAAATATTCACATGTCGTTTTTGTTGTTATCACAGTTGCACGGCCGGCACGTCATCCTTTTCATAGCGAGATGAAACTCGAAGAGTATCTGTGGGCAAGAACGCGAGGAACGACATCAGTTGCTATCTCGGGAGATAACACATGAGTAGAACTTATTTATCCAGTTACTAATGGTCCATAGGCCTCAACGAACAGGAGATGCAACTTTTGAATGGATACCCACGCTGTTGAAAGGTTTAACGGTAATAGGAAATGACGACAAGAACAGGCACGAAGTCAAGAGTATACTTCCCTGTCGCAGTAACATATTGCAGCTGCGCTGACTTCACTCCGCGCCCTCCACCGATACGTGTGATTGTGCGGAAAGTCGTGGTGGATTCACGTGCAAATTCGACGCCTCATTGGCACAAGTGAACGTGTGTGTGCGCGACGAGACTGTGAAATCCGCAACCTTCTCGGCTATCGGCACGTTCCTGAGGTCACGTATCGCCATAAAACAACCGGCATCTCCGTGTATAACGCACGTACCAGTCTGATGCGAAGGTTGAAAGTGGTCTTCCTATTAGATCCCCAGGTATTTGAAAATGTTTAAACCTATATTGGTGAAAGCTGAATGTGTGTTTGAATGTCTGAATGTTGAAATACGAACGATAAAATGATTTAGGACCAGTCTGACCCGCAAGTTCAGTTGAAGAGTTAACTTAACTGCATTGGTGGTAAAAGCGTTACCGACTGATAGTTTAGCCCTGGAATCCAGGTTTGCCGCAATATGATAAGAAGGAATTTATTACAACATAGGGGCATGTGCAATTAATGCAAGTTAGCAGTTTTGACCGCGTGGGCGGTTTTGGTGTAGGTAATGGATAGCCAATCGCCGAAAGAAATTCAAGGCCATAAGAAAGGGGCGTGTCAAATTAAACCGTCACTTTTTCATGTGATTAAAAGACATTATATCGTTACTTCAAACTGTCGTGTATATTTCGAATTGGCATTGCAGAACAGTTTGTAGTGTTTTATTTCCCACTAGGACTTTTTATATAAAAATTGTACAACAAGTGAAGTTGGCAGACTATATCAAAACTTTAAGTTATTGAAAGTACTTGTAGATATAGTTTAGACTGTTTTCACATGTACTTTGAATATCAGTTAGCACAATATTCTATAGCTAGTTTAGATTGCTTAATTCTGCCAGAATCACTGAAAATGTTTGTGTGCCAGATGAACTTTCTTGTTAAAATAAATAATTCCTGATTAAAGTGCTTCCCTTGCAATCTATTACAGTGTTGTCGATGTATTTATACTGACGTTGCGTGCACCAAATTTGTTATACTGTGATACTTACTCCAGTTTTTAATGCTGATAGTTTGTGGATGTTTTTAAGTATGGATATTCCATACCATCTTGAACCCATTTCCTCCTTGAACCCATTTCCCCCTTATATTACTGTATTTAGTAAACATAGCTATAAGATAAGGCATTTGAAGCAATATAATCAATGGGAAGATATTTATTCCATGACTAGCTGTTTCGATGCTCAAAACCTTAACATTGTTTATATATACATCAATGTTTCAACGACAAATAGATTGAGTTATTTTAATTAAACTTCTTGGTACATTATTTTTCAATAGCTTTCCTGTCCTTTCTTTTCGGCCCACCAAGTGTAATCAAATGATGATTACTGAATATAACTGAATCATGGCTGCCTACTGATTGCGATATTTTGTTTAGTGTCTCAACATTCATTTCGTTTAAGTATCACTGAGTACTAGTATAATGGTTTTGATCTATTCAGACTGGAATTGTCACTAAAAGGTACATAACACATAAACAACTTATGGCCTCTTGCAGTGGAATTTCAATTCATGCAGGTGGACACATTGACTTTGTTTCGAGTGTAGGAAAATCATAGTTACTTACTGCAACCATAAATCTTAGTATAATATGTTTTCCATATTCCCAATACTTTGTAGCCAGGAATATCAGTGAACATGAATGACTGTATTTTGAGCGCTCGCGAAGTATGTGCACCAAGATGGTGCACAACCTGAACCCTAACCTGGTACACATACTATGTTCAGGTTGTGCGCCATCTTGGCGCACATACTTCTGGAGTTCCGAATTTTGTGTTCCATTCCCCAAAAGTGAATAATGAAAGCTTAAGGTTCCTTTCCTACTTTTCCTCCATACTATTTTTAGGAAATGTTTGTATAGTGCATCACTCAAAGCACTCCAGTAGTAGGTTTATGCTGAAAATTTGCCTTTTTAAAAGGTAACCAGGAAATTGCTACCATATTTCCTCAAAATACGCCAGTGGCTATGAGTCATCATGCGCAAAGAACGTGCACCTCGAAACGTAAATGAACGATTTATGTGTGCTCTTGCGCCTGCTAGTAAACAGAGGCGTGGTATATTGACCAATGAAAACAATTGAAATCGATCGGCGATCTGCACAGAATGCTGGAGTAGAAAACAGAGGTCGTAGAATATGACACCTTATATTTTGTGCGCATTTTCATTAAAGAGTTATTGTTATCGCAGCAAAAGCGAGATTTCTATTATCTTGTGTCAATCAGATCATGTACATGTATGTATCAAATACTTACTTTTTATGTCTTGTAACAGTCAGTTTGTCGCATTTTCAGTTTTGTTACCTAATCACATTTATTCTAAATCACAAACTCAAATATGGTCATCAATATTGGCATCAATGGATTCGGTCGTATTGGACGTCTGGTAACGAGAGCGGCCCTCGGACATGATGGCGTGAAAATTGTTGCAATCAACGATCCATTCATTGATCTTGAATATATGGTTTATATGTTCAGATACGATTCAACCCACGGTCCCTTTAAAGGAGATATCAAGGTTGAGGGTGGGAAATTGATCATCAATGGAAACGCCATAAACGTATACGCCGAAAAAGATCCATCAAAAATTCCATGGGGTACAGCAGGAGCTGATTTCGTAGTCGAGTCAACTGGAGTATTCACAACTTTAGAGAAAGCCGGTATGCATTTGAAGGGTGGTGCAAAACGTGTCGTCATCTCTGCTCCATCTGCCGATGCTCCCATGTTTGTAATGGGTGTTAATGAAGAAAAATATGACTGTGCCACCATGAACATAGTGAGTAACGCGTCTTGCACAACCAATTGCTTGGCCCCTCTTGCGAAAGTCATTAACGACAACTTTGGAATAGAAGAAGGTCTCATGACCACTGTGCATTCATACACAGCAACGCAGAAAACTGTTGATGGGCCGAGTGGAAAGTCATGGCGGGACGGTCGAGGCGCAGCGCAGAATATCATCCCTGCATCCACGGGAGCGGCCAAGGCCGTAGGAAAAGTTATTCCGGAGTTGAATGGGAAATTAACTGGTATGGCGTTCCGAGTACCAACTCCAAATGTTTCGGTTGTCGATCTTACCTGTCGACTTAAGAAGGGAGCAAGCTATGATAAGATCAAAGCAGCCGTCAAAAGTGCGTCGGAATCTGGGCGTTTGAAAGGATATCTTGGATACACCGAAGACAAGGTTGTCTCTACCGATTTTAACGGCGATACTCGCAGCAGTATATTTGATGCTGGTGCTGGAATCGCTCTCAACGATAATTTCGTGAAGCTTGTTTCTTGGTATGACAACGAGTTCGGTTACAGCAACCGCGTGGTAGATCTCATCAAATACATGGCGAGCAAGTAATTTTGATTCATGGTTGAATTTATTGAAGTCATTAATCGCAGCAACATTTTCAATGTTTTTGATCTGAAAGCAAGTATTTTTGATTTCTGTACTGCAGTTCCGTTCTCCCAATATAAGTTCAGTCTTTTTTCTCGTTTAAGACCGTATATTTAATTAGCGTGTTCGTATTAGCTGAAATAAACAATATTATTATTGTCTGTTGTGTTGCATAGAATGTTGTTGTTAAATATCACTGCTAGAGTAAAATATGTGTCCACAAACATACAAATTTTATTTCATCGATTTCGATCGTTGGTTTGGTCATCGGACGAAATACGTTTGGTAAAGAAGCTATGCTATAAAAGTTGTTGGCAGGTTGAGAGCGAGGTTTTAACATTAATGCCGAACGGCGGAGAAAATAAAAAGCGAGGAAGGATCCCGACAGGGCAAATGTGGGATTTATGTGAAGCAAGTTGTATTGAGCCATAATGGTGCCCGTATATGCGTTTTATTTCTCGCCTGTTTCGAGTTTTCTTTTGATCGAAATTAATCATGAAGATCTAAATTAATCGCGTACGGCAGGGATCGGGTCCGGCCCGCGGAGTAACATAATCCGGCCCGCGGCGGTTCACTGAATTATAGTCACAAAACAGCTGTTTTAACGATTATATTTTCACGTTACACAATTTATTGTGAGACGCGTGTAGACTAAATTATATTATGATCTAACAAGTATGAAATTCACAATTACTCGTTTAATGAGCCTATAATTTAATTATAATTAGACAAAGGGCAACAAAACGCAGAAAAGTTGATGCTAAGTGCAAAGGGTTCAATGGCGCCGAAAATGCAATGCAATGAGGAAATAAATCTATATTCTATTCGAGAGATGTATTACTGCTTCATTTTTATTATAAAAAGAATCATCCGTTGGGTTTTGAACTTTCTAAAAATATGTGCGGCCCGCCAATGACTTGCAACCCTTATTTTGGCCCGCGAGCGACAAAAGGTTGCCGACCCCTGGCGTACGTGTTTGCAGTGAGTTCGTTTTTATTTCTAACATTAGGATGGTGTAACCTGGTTGCTGAAATCTGCGGATGCAATCTGTATCTGGGTGATAAAATCTGCGGGTGTGATTGTCTATTGGTGCGTGTATAAGTATACAGGTGCACATATCCTGGGTGCAAAATGAATTTTAACCTATCAAATGTGACAATAATTTTTAGAGCTCACATGAAACTCGGCTTCCTTGAAGACGGAAATCTTAAAAATGGATGTATACGACCGATGCTTAATGTTAGTGTAACATCTGGAATGTAGTTCGAATATGGCGACCAAATTCTCCGGCAACCCAGTTTTATTAATTTCATTTTGTCTAACGGCTAGTACGGTGAAAAGTTTTTTTTTTCTGTAGTTGTAGCCATGATTTTTATACTTGTCGCTAGTTCTGTAAGTGCCATACGTGCTAACAGCATTATGTCATTGGTGAATTCTTATTATATATACCTCATTACATCCAGGGAGATATGAATGGTTTATCTGTTCATACCGGTGAAATCGCATTTACTCTTGGAACCATACAAGTTGTAGAGAATACCTTATTTCGGACGTTGTTTTCCCCCTCCTTGTAGATCACACAAGAGACTCCAGTAAATAGACTTGTGATGCTTTGTTGGGCGTGCAGCATTCCCTTGATAATCCGCCCATTATGTCGGTGTCGGTTGCCTTTATTGTATTCAAGAATAGCCGTGTTTTCATTCGAAGATTGAATGATATTCAAGTAGTTATATAAATGTCAGTATCGCGGTGTAAATTCTATGAAATGTGCTCCCAGTCTTTATTGTTCCCGTCGAAAAAACCGTCCAACGTTCGTTGAAAACAAGGAACTGATGTGGAAGGAACCAATTTCTTAGCATAGTCGTTTGAAACCCATCCCACGAGGGAAAACTAAAAGTGGCACAAACAAAATAATTTTAATCTCAGCTTTTTGGGCAATGTGGTCATCAGATGCATTCATGTAGTTTTCTGGTTGATGTGAACGTGACCATTTGTAACGACAGGAATTTTGTTGGTGCTTTTATTTTTCACATAATAAACACAAGTTTTTTAATAAACGTTCGTTGAAACTTTAATGGGCATGGTGTTTTCATTTGTGTCTTTTTCTCTAAGTCACCTTTTCCCCCTTCTCCTTTCTAAAAGCCTGTAGTTACTTGAAGAGAGCAATGGTCTCGATATACGGACACGAAAGTTCAGTGACTAACCGCACTTCTAGTATAGCCTATTCGACCTACACCCAAACCATAAATTTAAACCCTTATTTATTCATTGTAAGATTAGTTTGATTCAAAATTAAGTACAACCGCCGGAGCTATTGATGTGAGTACTATTGGATCCGAGCGAAAAGATGACTGATTGTTTGGATTTGATGGCGCAATATTTGTGGAGATATGAAATTTGGGGTGAAATACAAAACATTATCCAAATTTGACTTATGAAAAATTTAACAATTCTCGTTTTACATATATATATGTGGAGGCGCGTCAATAGGGCCAACCGGGGCAATGCCCCGGTTGTTTTTTCGGTATAATGAAAAATATTCGAAAAATACTTCAATATCGGTTGCACAGACTGTCTACACTAGCCATATTCTCCCGACATGGTTCATTTTTCGCTCGCAAAGCCTTCGGCGAACGTCGACGGGGCGACGCCGATTTTGCCCCGGTTGCTCATTGTATATCGTATTCTCTCTTTTATCTTCCACTCGCCGCGTTTGTCTCGTTTGTTTTCTGTTTCTTTTACTAAATCATCGGGGCCGATCGGGGCTAGCCCTGAAATTATGACGACACAATGCCGACGTTTCTTACAACAACGTGTTGACATATTTACGCATTCCTTCTCGTTCGTTGGTTGTTTGAAGAGTTGATAGTTTTCTCGCTTTTGTCGCTTGTTTCGCTATTTGAATCAGTTAGAGGCCTTTATTCCTTTTGCTTTCGATTTTCCACATTCCTTTTGAGCTCCTCACTTCTTTCCGGCTTCGCATTTCTTAGCCTTAGACCTCAAAATGAATAAGGTTGATGCACTACTTCGCACTCCGTTTTCGCAGCTGCCGCTGGAACAAAAATTAGAGGTAAAACGTCTTGGGCCTTATCAACCAAAAAATTGTTTACTGGAACAATCCCATGACGGAGGAAAGCGTCGGCGTACATTCTGCGCAGAAACTTGGTATAAAAAACACGAATGGTTGTGTTACAGCGAGGACAAAAATGCACTTTTTTGTTTTTATTGCCTACTTTTTGCTACCGCCCGTGACTCATGTTGGTGTAAATTTGGTTTTAGAGATCTTAAACATCTTTCCGAGCGTGCCAGGGACCATCAATCTTCTATGGAGCATCTGGACAATGCAGTAAAATAACGAACATTCGGAAATGTTAATATTGCAGCACAGTTGGATGAAGGACGCGCGGTTTCTATTCGTCGGCACAACCAAAACGTCGAGAAAAACCGCCATGTTCTCGGTCGATTGATAGATGTTTTGAAGTTCATTGGTTGTCACGAGCTGTCCCTCCGTGGGCACGATGAACGGGCTGGCTCTTCTAATAGAGGGGTATTTTGGGATATGGTGGAATACACCGCTTCCCTAGATACAGTATTGAGAGATCATCTTGATGCCGCAACTGTTTCAAAAGGGACATCTAAGGATATCCAAAATGATTTGCTCGACTCAATGTATAAAATTTATTTACAACATTTGGCTCTGGAAATTGAGAATTGCCAGTTCCTTTCGATTCAGTCTGACGAGACAACTGACATCACGTGCGTTTCCCAACTGGCTGTGATTTTTCGGTTTGTGAAAGATGGTAAACCTACCGAGAGATTTCACAGCTTTGTACCAATCGTTGATCGCACGGCTTGTGGGATATCGGCTGTACTGAAAGAAGTGTTACAGCCTTACAACGCGAAGTCAAAATTGATAGCTCAAACTTATGACGGCGCGGCAGTCATGAGTGGGTCGAAACATGGTGTTCAAGTTTATATAAAAGAAGATTTTCCTTATGCGCATTTTTTACATTGTTATGCACACCAATTTAACCTCGTTATTAAAAATATGTGTCTTGATACCCCTCTCGTCCGTATATTTTTTGCAAATGTTTCGGGGTTTTCTTCATTTTTTTCCGTTTCGCCGAAGCGCTCTGACCTCCTTCGCCAGATATGTAGCCGCCGTCTCCCAGCTTGTGCACCAACACGTTGGAACTTCCAATCACGCGTGGTGCAGGGCGTGTTCGAAATTAGGTCTGAGCTCATTGAGTGTTTCAATGGCATTCAGAGCTCTCCGGTTTGGGACGAACGCTCTGTGAGGGAGGCGGCAGGTCTAAAGCGTCTGCTAGAAGATGGTGAGTTTTCATTTTTTCTCGCTTTTTTCTTCACAATATTCTATCACGTGGATGTATTATACGGCGCATTGCAGTCAAGGCTAATGGATGGAGCGTCTGTGCAGTCGTGTATTTCAGACTTCTGCGATGCTGTATCTCGTATCCGGGAAACAATAAAATACGACGACACATGGAGTGCTTCTTTACGCCGCGGGCAAACAACGCAGCGTTTGATTTTGTCTGCAAAGGAATGCTGTGACATTCTGGTGAATCAAATAGGCGATCGTCTGCGCACTGAACACCTTGCCGCGTTCTCTTTGATGAACCCCAAAAATTTTTCAAAATTTGCACGTCAATTTCCCATCCATTTGTTGGCTACTGTCTCCAAGTTTTACCCCATGATAAACGTGGGTAAATTGGAAAATGAATTGCGATGTATATACACCAATCAGACTTTTTTGAACATCACATCAACTTGCGCGCTCTAGAGGTTCCTCATAGATAACACTCTAGTAACTACCTTTGCGGCGTCTGCAAAATTTCTGGACATCATTTTGACGACGCCTATTTCTTCCGCCGACGCAGAGCGAACATTCAGCACGCTGAAGCGTATTAAAACGTATCTCAGAAACACAATGAAGCAAGATAGATTAAATTCCTTGGCTGTTTTATCCATTCACAGAGACGTTATTTCTCGGATGCATGACTTTAATCAGCGCGTTATAGAGCATTTTGCTTCCAAGAAACCGCGGCGTGTTGCATATATGTTCAAGCAGTAGAAGTCTAGCAGCATATATATCTATGAGTGATCGACGCATGTCCTTTTATTTGCAATATCTTTCCTTTCTTCATAGTAACGTTTTAAACCTTATTTTAGGTTTTGTCTGCTTTCCCGAAGTTTCTGTTAATATGTCATTGTAATTATCTGGGTAAATATTGCCTTTCCTTTTGAAAGAGGCTTCAAAATAAACTATGTCTATATTTATTAATCCCTTGACTTGGATCGGTTTTAAAGACATTTTCTTATCGTTACAAATTGTCGCTTTTGCCGATTGGTTGTTACCGATGGAATGGTTTTTATACTCATAAAATGACGGGAGAACTTACAGCGCTCATCCTGTCCCCGTAGATGGGGGTGACTTGGTCCCGCAGTAGCTTGCCCCGGTTGTCAAAATGACCACGCGCCGCCACTGATATATATATATATCAATTTACATTTTTACCGGCTTTTATTCCCAAAAATTCGTGAAATCACTGAACTCTTTAATATTTTGTTTCCTGTGGACGTAAAACACTGATTGGCCCGAAAATAAAAGGTGGGATTGATACGTTAAGCATATCATTATTTTTCGAAAACTGAAATGATTGTATCACCTCATTGATCATCGAAAGAGAGCAATTGGAAGACCATTGAACGTTATTATTTACAAGACATAGAACTACATTATTCATTGAAAGGAAACTTTGGTTTAACTCTTGGAGTCTGTGAATTACATCATTTGGTGAACAGAAAGCCTCTTATTTTCAACTGATAAAACACTTCGGTGTATAGAATAAAGTGCAAATGAGTATCTGGACTACTAGAGATTAATTGGCTGCAAAATGTTGGATTATATTAAGAAGTCTAGAGATTTTAATTGTTTGCACAATATGAACATTGGTTTTTGATTTTCATGAATTTTTATTCAGTACATTGTGTGAAGATACGTGCCGCTTATCGTATAAATATATATAATAGAAAATAAATTTATTGCCTGAAAAAACAACAGAGGTTTTGGAAAGAAAATCTAAATTTACCTAATGACTTTAATTGACTGCCATAATTTTCAAATACGGTAATTATTTTTCAACTATTGAAACTAGACTGAGATCTTTTTAAATAAAATATTTTCTTAAAGTCATTGTTCTAAATAACATTTTATATGAATTTAACTTGTGGAATTCAAATCTGTGTGGATTTTGTGAAAATGTAATTGAAGACCAATTTCATTTATTTTTTGATTGTTCAATCACCCAAGATTTTTGGACACGAGTTAATAAATACGGTTTATATATATATATATATATACGTTATTACTGACAATTCGGCATTTACTGTGAGCAAAAAAGGATACTCCCGTAAGGCCGTAATATGTGTACCAGGTTAGGGTTAGGCCATAATTTTATTCCGATTTTTCATATTTTAGTTCGATTACGAGTTCGGGGACTGTCTGTGTTAGCCAAATTAGCTTCACATAATAAAGAGTGGAATTTTATGTTACATTTAAAAGAGTTAAATTATGTTACGTGAATAACATACATTTGTAATTTTAATTGATTTGCTTGCCTTGGATTTTATTTTTATTTAACGAAAAAATAATATCGCGCAAGTTGGTCTACTCTAGACTAAGACCACGGGTCCAGAATTAGGAATTTGGAATAAAGTAATAGTTGTCTAACTTCTTCAACTAATGGAAATGTAAGCGATTAATTATTTCATTTTGGAAAATAGCAATTTTTCTCAGCATCGACTGCTGAAATTAGTAAAACGATCCATATATACGCTTCATGTCCAATAAATAATGTGCAACCAAGATTATTAATGGATGATTTAGTTCGATGCTCCCAACCCGTTTCAGTCCTAACCCACTCTTATTGCCCTTTTTCTGTGCGACCCACAATCAAATGTTAATAAATGAGAAAAGAGATAATCCACATGTAGTGTACTAATGAAAAATTTGAGCTTGCATATTGTGTATTTTCAGATCAAGTCGTGGCTTGATAGGAGACAAGCTCACGCGCAACGAAGCATTGACACTCAACACATTGTGCTATTGGCTCAAAGTCATTTCCTGCCTCCATGAAACCACAGTTAATGTAATCAGGATTATATTTTCTGTTACCTTTTCTTTTTGAAAGATTATTCATTTTGTGGCTTACAAGAATCAGCACCACTATCAGCGACTCGACATTTGACGTGACAACAGGTAACTGGGCCGTACATGAGAATCGAGCTTTAAAATTTGAAGGAACTCGGACTCACGGGGACTTGTACCAGAACTGTCTCACGCTTCTTTGTTTCGTCTCGTGCCAAATGAATCATGTATCGACAGCGAATAACAGACCCTAAAACACCATGAAAAATTACATATATATAAATATCGATAATAGTATAATATTTAAAACAGTTTCAGGAAAATAAAACGAAAGATTACGCAAATCTCAGAGACACGCTCATGAGATTAGTACCATTTCCGTAAACACCATACGTGTGTATGAACCAGATTGTGTGTGTGTTTATGACTAAACTTCCCTGATATTCTTTCTATATATATCCTATACATCAGTACATCATATAATATCATACTCTTGAATGTAGAGTCAGATATAATAATCTTGTGCCAGATTGATTACATGTCACGTATTGATACTAAATATTATGCAATTCTAAAACTATATCTCACCCAATATTTTAAACATTTTTTATTCCGAACAGCTTTAATATCCCTGTTTTCTATCGTAAACTCACGCAAATAACATATTGAAGTTTTCGTGAGATTATGGTAGGTCCTAGTCATTTCCGTAAACATATACATGCTTCTACTCAATATGACTATGACCCATATAAAACAGATGGCACACTACTTAAAAAAACATTGGATTAGTCTACGATTCCAGCAATATTTTTACAAGTGTGTCGTCTAAATGTCACGCAAAGGCAATTGCTTTTTACTTGCATTTTTTCATAGTAATATTTCAATGATAAAGTGTCTTTGGTATAATTATCGTCGATAATTAATATTTGTACATTTTAAGATTGTCTGGCGGACCGAAAACATCTAAAAAATGTTGAAGTTGCTAATTTTCATTGCTGTAATTGTCCAAATATCCAATTTGGGGGTTTTGGCCTGCGAGAAGTTGAAAAAGACGGCAGCTATTGATTTCAAGCAGGTAAGGAACATAATTCCTGAATATCTATGCACAATTAAACTTACTGTATGCATTTATGATATCACATCTACCTAAAACCTTATTTAAATACACTAACTGTAAAATAAATCAGAATTTTATGTATTTATTGCATTCATATATTTGGACTTGCTACTAAAAAGCTTGTATAAGTAGGACTTATCTTGAAATATATACGCCAACGTTATGAAAATTAATAATTATCGCTGTTTCTCTTGCTCAGAATTTTTGCGCTATCGTGCTAAATGTTCGGGTATTTTACTCAAATATTCTGAAAATTTTTGATATAACTTTCAAATATTGTACTATTTATATATTCTAAATTCAGTATTCCGGAGGTTGGAATTGGGCAATGAACAGTAAGGATGAATTTACTGACTTGTATAAATGCAGTCGTTTTAGTGTTGTGCAAAGAGGAAAGAAATCTGCGATCAAAATCAGCTTAAAATACGGGTGAGAAAAAACAAAAATATGACTATTTTTATGGAAAACCTAACATAGTAAAACTATTTTTGAATTGCAGACCTAATCCACATCAAGTATATCAGATCGATGCCAAGCATATCAGTGGAAACGTATATGATCTGTCAAAAGATTTCAGTGAGTATACCATTTATTTCTGCTCTGCATGGAAATTATATCACTTTTTCTTGCAAAAATAAAATATTGCAATATGACAGTCAGTCGAAGCATAAAAATACACCTTTTTCAATTGTATCTGTCTCCTCTAGATTACGAATAATTTGCATATTCAGTTCTCGAAATTTCATGGCTTTTTTATCACTGCAAAATTATGACTTTGCGACGAGAGTAATCATACAACGCTTTTCACTCTAAATAGGGCTATGTATGAGCAGTCACTGACCTGTAATGAGCAAATAATTTCTACTATGAGATCTATATATGAAATAAGTTAGTATTCTAACATTGTCTTGCTAACGCCATTCATTTTAGTTATCTACATGTAGGCGAACTCACACTCACTCATATTAAAATATCATTGCAACTATCAAGTCCGTATTCCAAAATGTTAGGACCCTAACAACGTCTTGATGACGCCGTTTATTCTACTATATTACAGCTGCTTCCTGGAGAAACATCATACGATACAACTATCCCAAAACCAGCAAGTCAATTCTGTCAAAGGGTGAGTTGAAATTTGCATTAAAATTGCGCAAAGACATTGTTAGCACGAAGAATAAGAAACGGCAAAATTTATAATCAATTCAAATCTAACTCTCCCCATAACTGAATACTTTCACTGATTTCTTTTTCATTTTTATTACAGAGGTTAAAGGTCACCGCAACCTTGTCTCTTTTTACGCTGATAGACGACGTCGCTTTCTCATCGCTTCACTTTGCCTCCCAAATAGTAAGTGTAAATTCTTCTCGACAAATTTATTCTTCTTCTCGACAGGTAGTTTCATAAATATTTATTATATTATATCCCACGTTAAGACGAGCGAGCTGTATGGGTTTTGACCAAACTCAGGCGCAACACGCCAACATTGAGAAAGCTCATCCAGAGACAACTAAAAAAAGCAGGAATCAAGACTCATGTCGTCCGAACTTACTGCCCACTTGTGAGAAATGGAAAAGCTGGAAGAAGAGGATAGTTCTAGTTATATGAAATATTTCAAATACTTTACTGTAGGCGACTATAACATTTACTGTGTTCTCTTATTCAGCATAATACATATTAAAATGATATATTTTCGTGGCAATGACGCAACAGGGATACCTGAATCGCCTCACAATGTTTTTTCACCAAAAAAATATTTGGCTGAAATTGTAAATGTATAATTTGGGGGAAGTTTTAAATTGGATAAAAGCATTGTAACATATCTCCATGAATTATCAAATGTTCGATCCAATAATAATGAGTAAAATACACATTTCATGAATGAACAAGCGTCTTTTATTTACCAGCAAGATTACGGAAGCGCCTGTGTACAAATTTAATCTCAAAAAAAAAAATAGTGAATGCACAGAAAATTTTACTTCTCTTTCAATAACCATTATGATTTTTTGGAGGATTGAAAATGTTCTAGATTCCGGATTTTTTAATATTCCATATAATATCGTTATTTTTATTTAATGTACACGAATGAAACGATGAGTGAACATTAACAATAACGATGAAAAAATTTCAATTATATATTATTGACACGTTTTCGAAAAGAATTAGGTCGTTTAACTGAATAATAAAGCGTATTATATTAACTATAATACGCCTTGTCTCTTCACCTGTTGAAGCGGGGTAACCGAACGACAAATTGATATAAATAATCAGACTGATAACATCTTATTGATAAGTTTCGTATGGATTGTTGCCTTCTTTTATTTTTTCGTAGTTATCAATTAATTAAATGTAAGCTCAAATATCTGGTAAATAGTTTAAAAGCGAGAAGACAATGACTGTAGGGGGTGTAGGGAAATCATTGGTGCCGGTTAACACTGAATGAGGCGTGCAGGAAATTACTGGCGATTCATGAGGCGGGCCCTGATAAAAGGTTTAAAAAAACCTGCACATGACAAGCAAAATTTCATTAGGTAATAGGTAGTATAATTCAAACAGTGCAAAACATCTCCTATGTAATGACAATGAACACTGAATGAACATCTTCTCAAATCGTCGCTAGCCATCAAGAAACAGACATCTGGATTTTCGTGAACTTTTATTTTCACAAAACAACAAAATGAAACCTAATCTACATACATATTGATATCTACAAAATTTACAGCAATATCGGCGAACACAGTTTATTTTGGGCAAGGAGAAACATTTACCTTTAAGCAAGAAAACTCGAGTGTTTGCAGTTACAAATTGTAAAATGGGGTACCAAGAAAATGGGTGTTTCTGACAGTTTTAGATTATTCGTTGAAATAAGCAATTTAATTCTATATGAACATAATTTGACACTACTAAACGACATCTATAGTCCAGCTAATATCGAATTCAGTATTCTTGAATGCATATCGCAGATTTTGGAAAAATCCATATACAAAAAATTATTGTCATTTAATGCCATGAAAATACTAGAATTATTGTCTGATTCAACATACATTAACTAGCGAGACAAACAAACAATTATTAACTCTGCGAAAGAAATACAGAAAATCAGTGTCTTAAGTTGACCAGGCGATTACAGTCGAGATTGTACTCGTTTTGTAAATTAAAGAATACTATAATAAATACAAAACGCACTATCAATTATATACAGCAAACACATTATAACATTCAAAGCAAATATAATTAATATTCTTTGTGTATAAACTGGGCTTCTTTATAATAATTTTACCATAGCATAAGAAATAGCACAACGCTAGATGGCGGGCGGGAGCATTAATTTTTTGAAAATATACCAAATAGTCTATATTTTAAACACTCTGAACGCAAAGATTGAAATTTATATGTTGCTTGCGATCAAAAAAGATATACATGAAGTTGTTTGTAAATGGCGCGTCCTCTGTAATATATTCAATGTTTAATACGCTTCATAAAAATGGAACACTCCATATCGGATTTTGCTACATTTGGTGGTTATTTTCGACAGTGTATGATGTTCTTATAGCTGCATGTGTAAATGATAACAAAAGCCTGCGAACATTGATAAGAAATATCAAATGTGACAAGCCTGCGTGGAAATGGATAATCTTATAGCCGGTAAAAATAAAATCCTATGACATCCTTTATGAAGTGAAAAAAAGTATATCATTCAACAGTTGTGGCTTCAACTTTATTTGGCGATAAAGCGGATAGCTAAAACTAAAGCAACAAAATTGTGTATATGAACGTGAAAAGCATAACTTAAAAACTAAATAAATAGGCAAGCATACAAGACTTTGTGTATACGTGAGAAAATCAAATGAAATCTGTGTATATTAAAACAGGTTTAGCTGATTTCGGGACTGAATCATGACAAGCAAGGTCGGTTGAAAATTGAATTAGCTAAACAAGGGCCATTGATAGAAAAGTTTCACGAGACAGATTGACCAAATGTTGAAGAACAAAGAAAAAAGATCAAAAATATCCCACATGGAAAAATTTAGGTGTGTACTCGGTGTGATATCGTATTAGCACGGCAAACATAAGCAATCTAAAAAAATAAAGAACGAAATTTTGTAATTAAAACGAAAAGCAAAAAACAACGGCATCACGAAATCTGCCATAAAAGACAAAATGTGTCATGATGTAAAGATCAAACGCCTGTACTTAGGGAAAAAAACAAAATAAACTGAAAGCTGATAAAATCTTCAAACTTCTGTAGACGCATGAGCCAATAAATAGTGTTGCGTTCATGAGAAAAACGATTGAATTTCAAACAGGTTATGAATTGAAACAATCAGATTCTTCGTCTAGATTTCAAAATTCTAAGCCATTGATCCTGATTTTCAACAATATGTAAATAAGCAGTGAATAATATTAAATTTTCAAATGGAATACGAACACAAAATCTCCGGTGCTGCCTAAAGGCAAACTATATACGTGTTCCACAGACATTGATTTTTATATTTGAAAGCCCTCGTGTATCAAGGTTTGTCTATGTTGACTGGAGGAGGTATGGTCGTCTACAAAACGATTATTGGTCGATAAGAGTGCCAGGTTTATCTTGTTCTCAAATTCAAATGCTATGAATACGTGCGGCTTCGGAACTATCCATGACAGTATGCGACCAGTCACTCTCCACTCTTCCGTACTGAAAATACAAAGTTGAGTTCCTGAGTAAACGGAAACTTGATATAGCTATGAATATCATATACAGACAGTAAAACAATGGGAGGCTACTCATTGTGAGACAAACGCGGAAATAACGCCATATACATACGCTGTAAAATGGTATAATACAAACTTGCCTCCGATATATATTCATAATTGCACGGTTAAAATGGCTGCGTTCATTTATACTTCACGCAAGGCTTGATGACATGATCCAGTCGCCAATGGGCAAAGATATGATCGTTACAAATAACAAATAATAAAAATATTTGTAAGGCAGCATGACTAAGCAAATTGCTAATCAGGCTGCAGTTTAAACCGGATATCAGTATATTACTACAAGTCGTTAGTCGCATCGCAAATAGCAGAAAAAATGTACTTATCAATATACTTATGAAATGCTACTTCTATCTATGATACATATCTTTATTAGTAAATTATGTTTTGTGACTATGATTATATTTTAATTTGCAAGATGTACAATTTATCCGGGCTGGTAATAAAGATTGTCGTCTGATCAATTCCAATAAAACGTATCCTACGTTTCTAAAATGCAAGTACTGAATTATTTATGGTGAAACGGTTGCTTTTAGCAATATTATTGGGTCTTTGAAAAAACAACCAATCCAACTGTTACAATATTGAACCATTTTTTTCACAAGTCATAAAAATAAAATGGGTAGAAATGAGTCTAATCTAAGACGAAATGGAAGTCTGATTTATAAATCGTTATATGACACGAGTTACTGTAAACTAAGTTACGCGATAAGAATTTGGAGTATATATAATATTACCTATTCCATGCCATGGTAATTGTAAAAAGTGTTCCATATAATTAAAATCGGCTTATCGGCTTGTTTATTTGGTCATAAAATAAGTTAAGTCAGTACATGAAATAATAAATCCACGCGCTTTGGCGCAGCATATGCAAATATCAGTATATATTGATTTTTCAGATTGGGTTAAATGAATAAAACATCATAGCATCAGCATAATGCGCAACGCAGACAATGTTTCATTTTTTTGTCTTTATCCTGATTGGCCTACAAAATGGAGGCGTTGTTAAGATGCCGATCGCTGATAGAGTCACGCCCTTAACGAGAAGAATCAATGATATAGAATCAGACTACCGCTCGCTAAACTCTTTCGCAATCGTATTTTTAGCGACACAGCTTGACAATTCACAGAGTGTGAACGTCAAGTGTGCTCCTGGGTATTATCGAAAAATATAAACATTTTGTATTTATTTTGCATCCTGATTGGTCTACAAAATGGAGGCGTTGTTAAGATGCCGATCGCGGATAAGAGTCACGCTTCCTAACGAGGAGAATCAATTATATAGAATCAGTCCACACTTAAACTCATTTGCAATCCATTTTAGCGACACAACTTGACAATGCTCAGAGTGTGTACGTCAAGTGTGCGCCTGGGTATTATCGAAAAAGATAAACCTTTTGTAGTGAAAATAGGTTTTAGGTACCGATATAAACTATGAATGTTATTCTAACTATTTAACGTCTCAACTTCAATATCCTTCTATGGAGCTATATACCTAGAACCTGCAAAGACTAATAGAAGCCCCCCACAGAGTGTAACAACGTTGGAATTAAATTTAGACTTTCAACCAACACAATCAAACAATTCGTCGAACGGTGGATGACCTAATTTTCACCAGTCATCCGAATATCGCATTTCCAATTGTTCGATTATATAAGAAACAAAACGAGCTATTCCCAACACTGGGAATTCTATACATCTTTAGAATTTCAACATTCTATTCTCGGAACAATTGTTTCGTAGTACAAGGGGGGTCTTCGCATACTGTTGCTGCGGAAGATTTTTGGCGCTCCAGAAGTATGTGCACCAAGATGGCACTCAACCTGATAAGCCTAACCTGGTACACATACTATGTTCAGGTTGTGCGCCATCTTGGTGCACAAACTTCGTTTTTTTTTTGCAATATAAGGAAACTATATCAATTTCATTAATATTCCAGTTACCTGAATATCGGTAAGAACGTTTAAAAATCGTTTTGATAATTCTGCACCGCTGTCCATTGTAGGAATAAGTAATTCTTCATCCATATATAAAATACGATTTATTGGACAAACTACGCAAGCTGTACCAGCGCCAAACATTTCTATCAACTGTAATATAAAAATGAAAACTTCTGTAAAAAAGGAAACATGTTCGACTAGTCTAGTGGAGGTTTTTATATTATCATTCCAAGCTGTGAATGGTTCATCGAATCCTTGCAAAGGCGTAAATATTTGTAACCAAACATATTCAATTCAGTAAGTAAAATTATATGTAAACGCACAGGCCGAAAACGGGTTTCTCTAAAGAACTAGTTAGAAAATTAGCCTCATTATGCTACAAATTAACGGGAGTAAGTTACGTTAGTAGTCATAGACTTTAATTTCGGAAAATAGCGCAAACAAAATAATACCGGGCACCTCTAGCGACCTTCTGATATTAGGTATACTTGAATCCCGAGGGTTACGGAATCAATATGAAGCTACATTAGCATATTGGCATAGGGGCTGATAGGTATTGTAACAATCATGTTGTGCTTTATTGTTCCAAATAAAATAAATTTAAAAAATGGCCACAGCTTCTAGCTTATGGAAAAACTGTTCACATGGACCGTAACTAAACATTATATTGTGAACATTAAATTTGATGCTAAGTGGGATACGTCGACGCCCCCTTTAATCAGGCTGTACAAAGGGTTATTACTGGAAAACTATGCCATTTCGTTTCAAAAAATTTCCACAATATTAAATTAAAAAGGTCTCACCCTGTTTTCTTTGAGAGCTTTCTTCACATCACCCATGTTGAACCTTCTTTCAGTTACTTTGAACTCACCCCAGTCACTCGCGAGTTCGATAAGACTGTTACGTGTCACACCCGGAAGAATAATTCCTGTACTCAGTGGCATGGTGACGAGTTCTTTCTCTAAAATAAAATAGATTTCATTAGTGCATTAAAGTTAGTTTTGCTGACATGCTTGCAGTTAAACTCCACAAGATCATATGGTTTCACTGGGTAAATTTTGGAAAGAAATTTCATTCAAACAAAAATGAAGATATTTAGAGTCTCACTCAAAGCGAATGGTAATCATCAAATCTGAAATTGAAAAACGAGACCATGTGATAAATAGCAATTGGAAATTTTTAATGTGGAATGCAGTCTGCCCTATCGAGGGAGGCTATCATGGCTGATGGTACCTAGCTGAAAAAAAAATAGTCCAAACTAGGTATGGCTTGTCATGTAGTTTTAGCATACCACAATTCATTGAATATATTTATTCAATATATATAATTCAATAGCACTTTGAGTTGTAAACATTATATAAAACTTCTACCGGTTCCTCGAATCACGAAATTTTGTTTGGCTGACAATTTTGGATAATACACGTGACATTACAATTCTCGTATACACGATTCATTTGCAACAATCAGACGGTACTTCATTCTATGACCGGTAATTATAGGTTACATGTGCCGGGTCGTGATGCCTTACAACACCAGTTGTTTTTTGCAGGGCATAATGTTAACGATTGTTGCAATGTGAACGCACATAACTGAATTATCATTCATTGGTCATCATACGGTTAGAAATGCTGCAAATCTGCATGTTGACCATGTAATTACGCTGCCATCCCCGAGGATCAGTTCCAAGAATTATTTAATTACATCGCTAATTTCATGAAGAAGATGTATTTTACTGTCTATTACTCTATTTTATGTCTTTGTCTTATGGCATTGAAATATGAGCATACTGCACTGGCAGCATACATACATTTTTTATGCTTTGAAGGCGAATTGATAGATTCAAATCTCAAAAGCAGATATTGAACACGAGTTTGGGCGCTATGACATAAGATGAAACACGACATGTAGCCAGATGCTTCTCTCGATTTGATTTTTATTCAAATCCAATCATAAACTACAAGTTTTTGTTAAATTTCGTGGGAAAAAGATTTATTGCATGTACCTGTCATCAAATGTAACGAGACATGTACAATGAATCATGAATCTAATATTAACCAACGAATCATGTAGTCATTAAATCGTGATACAAAATGAATAGTTTTTTAATCTCATAGTGACAAACTAAATGACAAATTGCAGTATTAGCATATGAGTATGGCGCAGAGTACACCAAGCCTAAAATACCTTTAAATCTGTTATTCCATACAAATGGAACATACAATTGAAAGGATGTGATTAGTGGTTAGCCTCAAATACCATAATTGAGGATGTATTGCACAAGGCTCGAATTAAAAATAAATTTTCGCGTTCAGCCGACAAGTCTCGAAGCCACAATTCACCATGTCTTGTTTTAATGATAATGCCGTAAAAATCGAAACTGCAAGACCAATCACCATTCATCAACAGCAAATAGTTTCAAAATTACTAGCTAATTACTAAAACCTAGGCTACTTTTAGATTCAGAAAGTGATCCCCAAAATACAGAAACACTTCTGTAGAGTAAGGAATAAAATCTTAATATTGCGGTAGGCCGCAACGGGTACACAGCAAAACGTTAAATTTTCCCAGAAAGATGATTTTGATTTCCAACCTGATTGTTGATGAGTATTCAGAAATGGGTTTGTCAAGAATTATCCGAATAATAAATAATATTTTTGCCTAAAATATCCAAAGATGGATCACGATTCGATAGGTAATCGTAAGCATAAGCCGTAAGCATCTAATTATATTTTTTCAACACGTGGTGAAGAACTCACCTCCTTCTTCATTGATCCAGTATACAAAAACATTCATTGTCCCGACTTCTGTTACCTCGTGATCGTCACCGTACAACCACAAAACTTGCTGACAACCTCGAGATTGCGCTTCTTGTTGAACCTCTATCGTTGGACCGTAGTTGCTAAAAATAAGGTTGAAAATGAAGTGTAATAATACAACACAGCAAGGTCACAGACGAGTGTCGTAGGCTTTTTAAGTTCATACACTTTTATAGGTAATCACCTGAATTTATCACCATCAGCCGCCCATAAATAACAATATATTTAAATATAAGATTGGTGCGTGATTATTATATCGATTAGAGTCGAAACAAATTGATAGATTAATGGAAAAGTACTGAAAAATAACCTCGGTTCGTAAAATCGAAGATGACGTATGTATTTAAATAAAATAGCATCATAGAGTCGTTCGGGGGCGGGTGAGCTGTTTCTATATTACGCGAGCAATGCATCTAAGAGGAAATGATACAGAGTCTGTTAATCCTGAATGAGGGAAATACGAACCGACCATTTGACAAACAGTTCAAGCCAGCGAGCATTTGCGGAGAAATTATAAGTGGAAATATGAAATTAAATAAAAACAACATACATACCTTCCTAATTTGTAAGCTCCAACACCGCCTGGGAAAGCTCTTATATATTTCGGATCTGCCATAAGTGAGACTGGTTCGAATGCTCCTGTTTCGAAATAGGGGCCGACCGGGCATAAAATGCAGTATAATAAAGCTGAATTCGGTACGTTAACTCCAAGCGTTTGCTGCAAAATAGTGTTATGTTTTGATTATCAAATGAAAGTAACAGTTCAGTTGTAAAGAGTGATAACGCCACATAAACCGAATCAAAACTTTAAATCATGCTTGAAGGAGATCAAATTTTAGCAAAGATAAGTGTACTTTACCTCTGTGCTTATGAAGGTTGGTCTTATGTACAGAGAAGCTTTGGTTGAAAATGGAACCCATTCGTTGTCGACTCGAATTAATTCGGAAATGCATTTCAAAAATTCTTCTTTATCAAATTCCTAGAAAAGGAAAAACGAGCATTTAACTAAGAACAAGCTGTCTCGCAACTGAAATTCTATTCTGATAAAGGATCATCGAAAAACTACAATATGAACAATACTCAAAACACTGATCATATTTGTGACAACAATAAATTAATTAGTCATTCATAAGTTCCACTGAATTCGTTGCGTTTCTTCAGTATTCCCCGAAAAAGGTACACTTTTGTAAGGAAATAAATAACATTTCAAACCAGCAAATGGAGTTTTCCTATTTCTAATTCGGCTATTTAGCTTTGCCTTCATATATGAAATATACATAGTCATTTTCTCACGAGAGATGATGTACTGCGGGCTTCTAAATGGGATTCATACTTCACAAGAATAATTCAGTCAAAATTTGTTTTTCGCTCATGTACGTAAAACTAATTTCGGAATTGCAGGGTAGCAAATGATTTATTTAGATACGAGTCAACGCAACGGAAATAAATGGAATTAAAAGCTGTGTATATATCGTATTACTACAATAATCGCATACATTAAAGGTTTTCATCCAGTCACGATAGAGGAAAATCAAATATTATAGTCCATCAGAGTTGATAATGCGCTTAGAATGGAAGCAAATGTTTTTCGACCTCTATTTTTGGTGTTATTTATCATCCGAGACTCGTATAACAATATAGGACATCATAGACCGATCATCATAGCAAGTTAGTGAGTAATCGTTGCATCATACGCTGGCCTGAAGGCGAAGCTCCATTCCGGTTACGCTTTTGAAAACGCCGGAAGAAAAATACCACTGAATGTGTAAACAACCGAAATATGATGCAACGATGACATAGGATGTACCAATATTGAATGAGTGTTATTTGTGATTTTTATTCTTGTAATATTTTGATAACTTCGTATGGAAAACTAGCTTTTACAAGCCAGTACGAAAATATTACAAACATAATATTGCGAAAGTATACCTTGTCATATGGCAAAGCGAAAAGAACTTTCAATGATGTATTATGTTGCCAGCCTTCATCGTGCGTTGAGTGTCCTTCAAAATTTGACCTAATTCATTTTAAACAAATGTAGCTTTCGCTCGAAGCGGCAATCATTGTTCTCAAGCTTTTATGAGAACTACTTTTCTGATTTGCAGAAAGACGACATGTCCGCGCTCATTATGAATTACTGTTTTTGACAAAAATTCAATACAAGTAAATTGGATAAATTTAAACAAGAGTTGACGTCCTAATTCACAGGGTGGATTTGGTCGAAATTAGAAATAGGAAAACAAAGAGCTTAATTCGATTAATTTTGTTGCAACAAAGGTGTTTTGGTTTTGAAATAAAAAATGCACCTGCATATTTAAGCAGCACGAAATGTTACGTATCACGTGGATAAGCAAACGTGCATACATATGCCGATTGGCGGCAATCGATTTCTTCTTATGTCACAATGAAAACTACAAGTTAAACGACATCTGGATACATCACTTTCAAATGGTTCAAATTGTCACTTACCGGTAGTGCTGCTCTTTGAGCTGTCCTTAGCATTCTGTCCATATTATGCATGGGGCGAAACATGGCGATTCGATTATCGACCGTGCGATATGCTTTCATACCTTCGAACAGCTGTTTGTTAATTGTATTAAAAATAGGATTAGTAATTATCGAGTGTAATAGGGTAAACACTGAACGGACTCACGAAACAGACCGGTAAAAGCTAAGAAAGAATAGGTATTGATCCACCTTACAAATCCAATTTTTTTGAATAACAAAAATCACGTGTTACTGTGGCATACCAAGATTGACGCATGAAGAAAATGACGAATTGAGTTAATCCAATAACCTATTGTAAACTAACATCTGTCAATATTTGACAACAAGATCCAGTCTGTAGTCATCGGTCAATATTTGACAACATGACACTCTTATTTGCACATAAAAGTTAACAACCTGGATGGCATAGTGAAGTGCTGAAGTAGCGGGATGCATGCTCAGATTTTGAAGCGGCTTGATCTGTGGAATTCCCCATCCTTTCTTTCTCGTCCATTCAACGGCAAACATGTGATCCGTGAATTGTTTTCCAAAAAGACATTGTTCTGGATTGGTCGGCTTTTCATTCAGCCTGTTGGATAGGTCGACTATCAAATCTGAGGCCTGCGCCGGACGAAAATAGGGCCATAAATTCAGAAAGTGTTCGAAAGGTTTTTCAATTTGAAAATTGTTTCCAAGGGTAATTCAACTTTTTTTTGGTCTATCCAGGCTATGTTTAGCAAAGTATTTAAAACAAATAAAACAAAAAGGTATTAAAAACAATCAATTTTATATGAGTCAAGTCGGGGCAATACAATTACAGCTTTGGGCGGCAAAACAATAAAACATAAGACTCACGTTAAATGAAGCACCGGAAGCACATCTTTTCTGAAACAGAAAAAACAAGGATTAAATACACCAAAACAGAAAACACCAATGGCATCTAACCTCTTTTGCTCACATTGCAAAATATCTGAAACAGATGGTGATGAAGTGACTGAACCCATTTCATAAATATTTTCTTCCAAGCATGGGATTTTTAATTTTCCAAAATTCAATAAAAATGATATCATTTGATTTGGAGTTGGTTCAAGAGTCTTATGAAACTGGTACAATTTATTGCGCGACAGATAATGGAAATTGCTACTAATTGTACTTTGGGTACATACCACAAGTGATTGTTATTAATGAGTAGGAGCATGTTCATAATAATTCTTTCACTTCGGGCAGCATGCGCACGTATTATATCCCACAGGAAAGCAGCACGATACATGCGGACAAAATGTCATTTGAAAGACAACTCGGTTCAATGACCTCGTTCGATTACGCGAAGCTTAGGTTACATTCGGACGGTCAAAAAGCCACGTTTGTATCACGATGAAAGCTAAAAATCGTTTTATGTAAAGCTATCAGGGATCGAGAAGTGAACCAAATTGTGTTTGAATGTGCCGAACCGACTGGCCTGACACCCGACAAATAGCATCATTTCGCGTGGTTGGAGCCTACGCCGTATAAGATGATTATTACTATTTTTCAGATCTCAGGCCAGTCGGTTTGGCACGAATGTACTATTTTATCATTTCATATTTACTTAAAACGGCGTATATTTCAACGACGCGCATGAAGATCGACAAAATGGAGTGCCAATCGTCTACTGGAATAATGAACTATATAACTACGTGGAAAAGTACTGGGAACATTTCCACTGCTAGTGTTGACAAGTTGAATCGATGATAAAATAAGTTTGGGGAGAGTTTTTCGTGATTGAGCTTTGACTGATATTATTTTATCCAAGTATACATGTTTAGGTATACATACGAGCTAACTAAATTAGTGCATTTTTCTTGATGGTATACCAAACTATGAGATCAGGAAAAGAGTTAAGCACAACAAACAAACGAAAAAACGATTGCTCGTCCCATATTCATTTCCGTTAATTTAGTTATAATATTTAGTGCAGTTGCTATATAACAGTATTAGGCTGTAGTATATTGAAAATGCAATAATATAACTATCACTATCGAATACACACCTGTGTTGTACGCAGTATCTCCACGAAACGAGCCCCCAGCTTCGGACGTAACGTTAAAGCCATTTCAGTGTACCGCTGCTAATACCTAAATTATACTACGCTACTGTTTATCAATTATAAAACGAAATTAGTAAAAACGACGGATTGACTAATTAGGTAATTAGTTTCACGCGGTGTTTCGCCGCTCTCAGACGGTCCCTTAAAATCACTTCCATATATAATATATAGCTGCTTGTATAAAAGGAATGGCTATCAATTGCGATAAGCAACAGTAGACTAAAAACGTGAAGTAACCCTACATTGTAAACAATGAATAATGACGTAACAATGACGTAAATTATAGCCGGTACATGGTACATGTGTCTAACTGCTTTCTGTAGTTTTCTCACTATGTGAACTATCTTGAATTTTGTTATAAAAGTACTGAATTCATTCCTTGCGATTCACACTATTAAACATATAGTCAGAACTATATCTCGCACAGAACGAGCGGCCAACATGCGTGAATAAAGGAATGATGACATGCTTGAAATTGTCGCTTTAATAAAGACGTAGGTGTGTTTTCGTTCTCACATGCCATTGGCCAGAATGATTGGCGGCGTGTAAATCATGGCTTTGACCAAATCGTGATTACTCCACATCATCACCTGGCGGTGGTGAAGATTGCTAATCGTGGACAACAACGATATTACTTTTTTTTAAGTTCAACCTAACGTCTGCTGTTCTTTCGTCCTTGTTTTCACAACTATTCAGTCTAAGTTATTAACAGTTACGATTTATTTTAACCGTTAACTGACATCTCAGTAGGCCGCGAGCCGAGGCCATTTATCTTTCAGTTTCGTAGCGCACATCAGGTAACTACCTGAAAATGATTTTAAAATGTTCCTTAGAAATTTAGTAACAAATATTGCCTTGTTCCCACTTCCAAAAGTTGCACGTTTCACAGAAAAGACGCTTTTACTACAATAAATATGTGTTAACATCTGTCCTATTTTCTCTGCTTTTCCGGTATCATGGGCCAATGAACGCAGACTTCTGCACGACGTAACAGTCAAGTTAGTCAGCTGTAGGTGGATCCCCAGTGGTCGGATGAATATCAGATGTACTACTACTGCGCGCTTTTGCGTTGAGTAGCCTTTCCATAGTTTTTTTCAGTTACCGGTAATATTTGTTCAGTTATTCTAAGGAGGTGTTGAAAAGTATAAGTACGATATTAAACACTTGTATATACTTACCATAAATAGCAATTTTAGTTGAGCCCTAGCTCATAAGACGTTGTTAAATAGGTACCGGTACGGTGCGGTAACTCCAAGGAAGGCTAGACCTAGAATAATATGTCACAAACAACGATATTTTCTGGCTTGCATGAAATGTTTATGATTAATTTAATGACTCTTCTTGACTATTCAGCAGACTTATACTACTATATAGGACACAGCATATTTGGAAAAAGAAATTATTGGCTGTTTCTGTAATGCACGGTTGTGTGAAAGAGAAGAAAATAATCAATTTTACTAATGTCGGTTGGTCTAAATCTGAATTCATAAGGTCGACAAGAACCTGGGAAGCAATGATAAGTTATGCCGGAGTGGAAAGAAAGTAGCATTGGAAACGATTGAGAGGTGAGAAATCAAGTTGTAGACAGACAGTTGATGTTTTAAAATATAGTCTATAGTCCATACCGTACATCCACTGTCATAGGGCATTTCGGACTGTGATATATCAAAATTTAGTGTAGATATAGTCTAGTAATGGTATGCAAACACTGCTGGACTGTAGTACATGCAATGAGCATATATAGCCTACGCTCATTGAGTACATCAGATAAAATGCATTATGTATTCAAGGTATTAGTTAGTATTTAGTGGTATTTTTACACTCATGCTGTTCCAAATATAATTTTCTTCCTCATTTTAGATACTGTACTACAAAAGAATACGGCAATGTTCCACCAATCCGACCTAACGCAGGCTTTAATCCCTGCTGCTATCAGTGCTATAAAATGGATTAAACAAGAAGTCTTGGAGCGTAAAGGTATATGAGAATCATAATAGTTGCAAACAGCTTAGATGGGCTATTCATATTGAAATACTTAAGCACTTTTCTGCAATTGGAACTGCCCATCAAATTCATGTTGGAGACTTTATTGAGGTTTTCAATTCATTTTTTCCCTCAACTATGAAGATCTTTTGAGGTTAACGAGGCATTAATAAATAAAGCTGAGGAATTTGGAGAGAATATGAAGAATGTAAATGATACCAGGGCACGTCTATTTAACACTGTCAAACATAAGGATTATACTCTCCACCCAACAATGATTCACTGAAGAAGCATGTGGCTCTCAAATCAGTTCTTGAGTTGGCAAACTGCAAGTGTAAGAAAAATAGTCAAAATAATTTATGAAAGTGTGCCAAAATCAACTTAAATTGCACAAATTTTTGTTTTTGTATTGACTGCAAAAATCACAGTACACTTATAGAGGAAAAGTCGATTTTCGAGATAGTGGATTTTGAAAACAATTCAGAAAAAAGTGAATTAGATATTACAGTTGATTTAATAAGTATCATTTATTTGTTTTTTTTTTCGGACATTTGTTAGTGTCGTAGTCCTGTTTCTAGAAATATTATTGCCTTTGTTCAAATACATAACCACATAAACTAAAAAAAGATTAATTCTCAATTGTAATATTTCTGTTCACTATGTCATGTACATATTGTACATTCATTTAATTTTCTTGACTTTTGCGGTAAATTTCTAAGTGAGAAATAACTGATTTATTTGTGTTTTCGTGCTCACGATGTTAATTTGTGACTTCATTGCTTAAAAATATATAGTTTGATAGCTTCTATAAAATGGATGTAGCTGTTCTTGTTGTAAACTGCTTGTGGTTATTACATAAAATTTATTCGCAAATGTGAATCAGCGTTGTTGGTGTCGCTGCTTTCGAGGTCACTCCCGACTCCTGTCACACAATTGAAGTATTTTTTGTTGTTGGTTACATGTATGCCATATTTTTCGTAATCTACCTAATAAATTATGATTGACTGATCAAGTCCGATTTTGGTCAGGCAAAACATTACAGGAATACATTTGTGTTAGTGTGCTGTAGGGCTCTCGAATTGCATAGTTCTTATGTATGTGTTGTAAACTTATGGTTATTGAATTTCCGGGAACCTCTTATATTCAATTTCGCACCAGGATTGTGGAACAAGCTGTAATGCGTTCATTATGTTCGTTTTCACACAAAACTGAAGAATTTATTTAGTTACCAGATGTGCGCTACGAAACTCATTTTCTGGGCGTTTTCATGGCTTCGTCTCACGGCCCATATCCGTGGTAAGGATCTACAGGTGTTTAATAACTTACTTGTACATTTTTCAACAACGTCTTAGCATAACTTAACTAATAATAACTAAACAGGGCTATGGAAAGCCTGCCCAACTCAGCGCAAGGTCGAGCAGTAATAACTAATATTCATCCGCTCGCTAACAGCTGGTTTAATTCAATTGTTACGTCATGCAGAAGTCATTGTTCCTTGCCGAAAATGTAGAGAATATAGGACAGATCGTAGCACATATTTCTTGTAGTAAAAGCGTCTTTTCCGTAAAACGTGCAACTTTTGGAAGTGGGAACAAGGCAATATTTGTTACTGAATTTTTAAGGAACATTTCAAAATCATTTTCAGGTAGTTACCTGATGTGCGCTATGAAACTCACTTTCTAGGCGTTTTTCAGGGCCTCGGCTCGCGGCCTACAGGTACAAATCATCTTTATAATGTACAGTTTCTTCAAAAATGATTACGTCATCGCAAATTTCTCTCCTGTGTCGTTTAATTCAAAAGAATAGCACCAACTGCATTGGTAAGGACATAATACATGTGTAAAATAATTGAAGTAGTAAGATTGCCGATTATGAAGATTTGACAATGATATATTGAGAATCAGTTTACGGTAAAAACTTATTGTTCACGATTTTATTGCAAAATCGTTTATTCAATGTTCGCAGTTGATGTTGTTTTTCTTTATGATATTTCACATATTGAATTGATCATTACTGCAATGGCTTGGGTGTTTCAAAAGTATAACAGCCGGGAAGTTCCTAAACATTCGAGTCTCTTTTATTTGTATATTTCTGGCCCAAGCCTTGCGTTTAACTAGGTTTGTGTTTTTTGTATTGTATTGGTGTATGTGTGCTGGTGGGCGAGCACATGATATTTCTCATGTTTTAAACTTTTTTAAAGGTTTTGCTCGCCCTCCAGAATTCTCCATTTTAAATTTGTGTATATTATGGAGTATTCGAATACTATCTATCTAAGTAAAGTGAACTACAACACACTAAAAATATGAAACGAAAAAATTCAGCGTAAAATTTGCTTGAAATTTCCGCAACAGATAAAAATGCTATATTTAGCGCTATTCTCGATAATCTGCATCCCAAATATTTTGCGTTCTGTTTGGTACCAACGGAAACGATACCGTACGCACTGAAGATGAAAAACACTCCTTTCTCCGCAATGTGCCCTCTGATCCATTGTCCGCTTCAGACGTGTTCTACTCAAAGTGACTATATTCACTTTGATTCTACTAAACGAGAGAGCAATGCTTGAATATATGGACACGACGACCGAAACGAAGTAGTACGGGTATCTGGTCCCCTGCAGTACTCGTACAGTTTTCCCGACGTCGACTGACCACCAGTTCGCAACGATTGCGAACGCAGAGCCGCTACAGGGTGCCCAATATTTATTCTGATGGCGTCATCACATACACAAAAATCCCATCCAGGCCACAGAAATTTTCGAAATAGCCCCGTAGGGAAAAGTACAATCTTTAACCACTGCAAATTTCAAAGCAATTAGCCCAGTTGGTAAAAATAAAGGCGATTTTTTTCACAACAACAATAGCAACAACACTATCATAATAACAAAACGATCCATAGGTCTATTTCGTGTCCAATTATCGCTAGGAATTTATTCCGAAGCACGATGAAATAAAATGTTAGGAATGTTCAATAGATTTTGTATTCTACATGAATATATATATTAAAATTCTTCGGGACTGTATTTGGGATGGAAGCGTTATTAATTAATGTAGTCGCTCGTTGAAGTTAAATGCAATGGCTATGGTATTTACTATTTAGCGATTAGATTACCGGACGTGGATTAATCAATACCAGTTGAAAATATCAGCTCTTTTAACAAGGAAATTTTCTACCACCCTCCATTTTGGGTAAGAGCATGAGTGGATTTCGTCAATTGAACTTTCATAATCGAAAGCGAAGTGCGGATGAGTTATCTCCATATTTGGCCATAGTTTGGTGATCCATGGTCTACTCTTTATGGTTATTTGAAACACTTATTATTATCATATTTTGTTGTTCATCATGTCAGTGCGTAGCTATAGGATGTGTGCCACCTGGAAGATCCATGAATTTGAAAAATGGTTCCGATTCAGAAATACTCAGTTGAGCTGCGTTATGCAATAATGCGTGTCAGGGACCCGCCATTTCGGGTTGTAATATTCGAGATTTTAATAGTTGTTGGGAATTTTGAAATGTCTTCTATTCATTGTATTATAAAAATAAGTAGTCAATATGCTAAATAGCCTGTAGGTGTATTTTAATGCAAATTAGGCAAATTTTCAAATGAGACAATTTGTAGTTTTGCAGTTCTTTCGGTACTCCCGAAGTATGTGAACCCGTCCTATATGATGGACACCGGAACGTAGTATGTGTATCAGGTTAGCGTTAGAACATAATTTAATTCCAATTTTCCATATTTTTAGTTCTATTACGAGTTCGGGAACTAGCCAAGTGACTCCCGTAGTATTTGTAACTGAAATTATGGCCTAACCCGAACCTGGTACACATATATACTACGTTCCGGTGTCCGCCACTTTGGTTCACATACTACGGGAGTACCATTGTTTCAATACTTCCATTCCTGCAAGTTTTTCAAAAATTTATCAGCATTATACTGTTCATGCCTTAAGTAATATTGATGATGTGCAGTGGGTTTGGTGGATTTTTAAGGGAAATAAACTGTGTTCAGCCAATTGATTGTAACATTAATTTTCTAATCTACAATTTCTATAACTATTTTCTGTCGATTACCTTTATACGGGTCTATTGCTTCAAAACAATGGGATCACTGACTAATTTTTCCAAGCTTTTTTTCATCAAGCATCGATGCAGGTAAGCAGGTCGAGTAAATTCAATTAGGAAGTCGCAATCTAAAAATAATAATGCCACACAACAGCAGAGCAGATAATCATTTCATGCCATGAGGGATACGATAAAGCAGCAATAATAGTGGAATTCTTTTATGAATAAACTTTTGTTTGTCCATCAGATTAAAGTATAGCGCAAATTCACGTTATACTTTGTATAATTTTTAAAAAGCTTCGCTATCGCCCTGCACAAATAATCTGGTGATAACGTTGGACATTACTAACCTCACTCGTTTAGAATTCAAGTTTTAAGTCTAAGATTCTATACAATATGACTTTTATTCAGGAAACTGAGCCAATAGTCCCCTCTGCGCAAATAACCGAAATGTGAGTAAAAAAAGTGCGCCCTATTTTAACTGCGTACAATCATAGTTTCAAAGGCCATTTTGCGTGAGAAAAATCTTAAAAACAGCTAATATTTTCTCCGACGAGCATCAGACATCGCCATTTCTTGCAGTATTTACGGTGCCAAGCAAGACTTAGTTACAGCCCCCTTTTTAACAGCTTTCAAAAACCATATTTTTTAAACGCTTTCCTACATATTTGACGTCAAAATCGAAACAGTATATTGTAATAGTCTATTTCCCGATAATGCATTGATACCACTACATCATTTAAAAAGTCGCGGATTTTACCGATTACTATAAAACGCTTTTTTGAACACTATCCCGAGTCCGAACGCGTGTCCCGAGGTCAGACAAAGCGGGATCACGTGGCCCCCGCTTTCAGATGACGAGTAAATTCTGGTAAATTATTGGTGGACTTTGGTCTAGTCCTCTAGTGACTTGTCGCCTTCGAATAATTTCGATATCACAATTCGCAAGTAACTGTAAATTCAAATGGAATTAAGGAATGGTATATCACCTCATAAAACTTATAAAATGTCACAAAATCACGACGTGTTTACATAGGCTTCAGATGAGAGGGACGTTTTTGATCGTTATATTATAAAGCTAAAATTAGTTTCTGAAATTAATAAATATGTATGTTTTGATTAGTGCTTATAGAATATACTTCCAGAACCGCATCGGAATGATGGATGATTCAGCAATCTCAAATATTCACAGAGTTCAAACGTCTACCCTAACGTTGTGTTTGAAGTTCCTCGAAGCTGATTAACTGGAATCTCTGTGCAATCACCAACGCTTCAGAATTTACTGGAATAGTGACACAACTTCGACTGCAGTTATTGTAATTGTCGTTCGTTACAAGAATTGTGTGTCGTGCAAGGTCGGTTACAGGTCATTACAATTATTACAACGCTATTCTTTTTAAAGTGGTCGAAGTAGCAAAAGAAGGCATGTTCCACTAATTATTTGTTCAAAAATAGTAAAAAGTAAAAAAACTTCTCTCGTTTTTATAGTCTTCTCCATATTCAGGCCACAGATAAGCGGTTACTGACACAAGCAATGTCGTGACAGGCGCGTTGTTTGATAAAATATACTCTTGTATCTTACATGATGAGTTATTAATTTTGTGACCTTGAATCCTCTATAACTGCAAGCATAAAATTTCTCATAATTTCGATATTCGTAATGAACATATAACGTATTGAAAAACAAATAAGTTGGAATCTATAAAACACTGTCTACTTTTCAGATAATCTCTATTTTCACCAAGTAAGCATTTACAGGTGACGCTGGAAAGTTCTAGATAATACAGATAGATCAGTTCATCATCTTATTACCAGAAGATTTTTCGTTGACGCTGAAAAATTTGCGTTGTTACTATCAGCGCCAATTTCAGCGTTAGGCCAAGTTACGGAGCCGCAATTTGCAAACTCAAGTTCAAAATTGGCCGATTACAACTTTTTCAGTACATCATTGCAAATTTTGAGATTGTGGGGCTATTACAAAACTTAATATTAATAAATAAGATTTAACGTTTTATATCAAACATACCACTCTAGTTTATACGCTGACACACTGAAGCAGATAACACTTAAAATTCACAAATGTGAATGTGACCATAATTCACAGTGCATTTTAGTAGCTTTTAATTTTACTTTTGATATAATTTCATTCCTGGACCTATTTTTAGAGCTTCTACAGCGCCGAACATGAATATCTTAACTTCTGAACTGTCGAACCAAGCCTGTCAACAGGAGTCGTTCATTGACTTCACGTTTCCGTCATCAAAATGCGAAACATCAGATACTATCGCTAAACAAAGAGAAAAAATTAAGCAAGAACCAGCAACAGAAAATTCTTCTGAAGAAGTACATCAATCGGAAAAAGGTAAAGATATTTGTCCTATAAATGTTGAACTAAAGCAAGATTGATTTTATTTTCATTTAGGACATGTAAATAAATGTGGCGTATTCATGACAAAATATAAACACAATCTCATCTATATAAAAAAGAACATTTCCTATGATTCCATTGTTTCAACCAAAATTTTTAATTGGTTACGGGTCATATATCTTAATAAGACCAATAGATTAAAAGGTTTTTTGTCGCGAGGAGCGAGGAGTTTCAACTTCGTTGTATGGATTTTCAGCATTTGATTATAACGGATATATATGTTTTTATTTTAATTGTTACTATATTTCAGCTCCACAGAAGAAATACGTTTGGAAATTTATATTGAAAAACGTAATTCTGATGTCTGGACTTCATATTATCAGCATATATACGATCTTTCGGCTTCCTCAAATGAAAATGTTCACAATCTTAAGTGGTATGTTTATCTATTTATTTATTTATTTAAGTTTACGTCACTAAAATGTAAGATGTCACACTAATATTTTTCGGTAAATAAATTATAGCTGAAGGTTGATATAAAAAGATTTTCGACCAAGTTATACTTGAAATTTTTTGGGAATTTTTCAATTAGTAAATCCAATGGGAAATTACTCTTTCCGATTTGAAAAATACCAAATGGTTGCTAATATACTGCGGAGTTCATTGAAGTGATTTTCAAACATAGATATTTACCCGAAAATTGCAAGCTAAAATCTTTCCTTGTCTAATGGTGTTCTTATCTATTATTTTTCTAAAAATTCGTAATACAAATACCAAGAAATTACCAGTAAATTTCACACTTCAGTGGTATTGTGAAAACAAACTTTGGTATCTATTGTGGACTTCCTATAATAATCTTTCGAACCAAGGCTTTCCTATAATTCCAGCGAAACCAAGGTCAGTCGGCATATTGTTTGCATTCTCGTTGATCAAGGGTTCAGCATTAATTTATTACTGTAAAACAAACAATGTCGTGGGTTTGTTTGGAGAATGAAGTGCATTACAATATGTGCAAATATATAAGGAAGGTGTTCTCAAACAAGTATTCTTTTAATCCAGAAATTGAATTTAGTGGACTGAAATTTTTTAAATTGCACATATATAATATACGGCAGATATATTGATAATACCACGCGGAGAGAAGATCATTTATCGAAATTTCCATTTCAGCCATTGTATCTCATGTACTGGCTCTACTCGGAGTAACTGCGGGAGCACATCGCTTGTGGACGCACAGAGCATACAAAGCAAAACTTCCGCTGCGGATCTTTTTGATGATTTTGGATTGCTTGGCTCTTCAGGTATAATTTGCAAAACAATTTTAAATGCGCTTATATATTATAACCTATGGCCATACATCAACACTTCATAACTTTATTTTCAGAATTCATTATTTGATTGGTGCCGAGATCACCGAACTCATCACAAATATTCAGAGACGGACGCAGACCCACATAACGCATGCCGTGGATTTTTCTTCAGTCATATGGGTTGGTTGCTCATTCGAAAACATCCAGACGTTGCAAAGAAAGGACGAACTATTCAAATAGATGATTTGATGAAGGATCCAGTGGTTCGATTTCAACACAGGTGGGATCAATAATAATGTTTGTATGAATTTACTCGATCACCAAAAACCGTATTGAGACTCTATATATATATATATATATGTTGCGCACAGCTCAGTTTCATATGACATTTTCGGATAGGTTTCATATTTAGTCCGAGAGAGTGGAAAGGTGACAATTCTGACAAGGTTAGAATTCTGTAATACGAACTACAGTAAAATTAACCTAAAGTTTATATTTTTGTATTCAGATTTTACGTTCCCTTGGCTATCTCGATTTGCTTTGTGTTGCCGTCGGTGATACCGTGGTATTTTGGTGGAGAGACCATTTGGAATGCATATTGTATGGCTGCATTGCGCTACTGCGTTTCATTGCACCTAGCATGGTGCGTTAACAGCGTTGCACATATGTATGGAAATCGTCCTTACGACAGAAGCATACACCCTGTTGAAAATTTATTTTTGACGTGGATCGTGTTAGGTGAGTGGGCATATGCAAGCATCATATACGCTACTTCATTTTATTTTTGACTAACCTCATCTTTGAATTGCATTCGGTTAAATAGTAATAAGCCTATGAAATTCACATTGGAGAATTAAGTGACAAGAAGTACTAGGCCAGGCAGTTCAACTTGATATTTTTTCCCAGGTGAGGGATTTCACAATTATCATCATACATTTCCTCACGACTATGCAGCAAGTGAATACGGAATGAAACTTAATCTGGCAACAATTTTTATCGATTTCATGGCCCTTATTGGTCAAGCTTATGACCGTCGATCGATGAGCAAAGAAGTTATTGAAGCCCGTAAACGAAGAACGGGAATGTATTCTGACGTTCAAGAAATAGGATGGTGAAAAAGACATTTCCTGTCTTTTGGTGATTTTGTACATGCAATAATTTTGTTTAGTAGTTCTACAATGAGAACATTCCTACATATATATATATATATTGTGATATATTGCGTTGTTAGACTGTTCCAAGGGTGCCGCGCTCGATAACCCGAATTGGTTTTCGGCGTCTCCTTTCATCCTGAAGTGCGATTTTTTTATTTTCTCTGAATTTGTGTATGTATAGTTTGTATTTTCAGTATGGTGAAGAAATAAATTAATGAATCATTTGGTAATAAAGCTTCAGTGAGAACCGGGTCCATTCAGTGAGTTTGTAGATGAGGATACATTTAAAAAAAATCTATCTCGAATACATTGATACCACGTATTGCATCGGTTCTGAACCCTTTTTTGGAGGGGGGTGTTTTTTTAATAATATAATCTACGTGTTTGTTCTATTTATCATACCTAATCAGAGCGTCATGTCAGTTGTATCTACATCCCCTTCCCAGTGTCTGGTCCGGGTAATACATATTGATTTTGGTAGTGACGCAAATACATGTATGTATTACAAAGTCAACAAACTACCGCACATCGATCCATTAAACAGAGCTTTCTCTTAGCTTCCCTGGGCTGCAAGTCACTGTCCTTCACTCAATATTATTGCAACTCCTCACATTGTCGGAGCGCGAGGAGTCATTAGCTTGCCAAGCATTGAGGTTTACCGTATACACATCAATGTTGTCAAGAATAAATCACTATAGGATATTTCCACGACTTTCTTGTTCCCGATGTCATTACGCATTCAACAGTAGCGTAAGATTTCCAAGCATGATTATAACATGGACTCGTTTTTTTGTAGTTTGTTTTCATAATTGAAGATATCAAAAAATTTATATTGACATTTGTTTGAGCATTTGATAAAATGAAAGTTTCCAATATGTGACACCAAAGCCCATATATACCCAAGTTGCTCAACAATGGAAATTGGCCGCCATTTTCGATCAACATCGCCTGCATGGCTACGGCGGATCTGCGTGATCCGCGGCTAGGCTGGTGCCTTCCGCTATAGAAATAGAGGCTGTGTGACACCCCGACACCAAAGTCCTTATATACCTGCCCGACACAGTTTACAAGCGCCATCTAGTGAAAAAGGGAAAGAGATTTGTGATGGTCGAGTGTCAATTACAGGTACCGGTATGCCATTATAGGCCTACATGGAATTTTTACGAAGTTAAGATAGGGGTCAGCGAAACATTAAATGTAACTGATTGTCCTTAGTCCGCTAGTAAAATTGCACTGTCCATAATGGGACCGTTGCCCCCACTGCCCGATGCGATTCCTATCATGGCGCGGCGGTGTGGCTCAACGGGCTAAGCGTTAGGAATACGCTTGCCACCGCATCTCTAATTACTCTGCGTGGGTTCGCAGGTTCGAATCCCATGCAGGGATGGTTATGTGCGAGAGGATTGCTGGACTCCTCGCCGTCGTTGGGTGGTTCACGTAACCGCTGGTCGGTTACGGCTTCCTCCACCACCAAGTCCATGCTTCCGAAAACAAAACAATACAGTAAAAACTAATCCCATACCCGACTTGGAATGGTAACCGGACGAGAGGCCGTGGTTCGCCATATGGATAAGCCGTCTTATCGGCTTTCCTCTCCCCCGGGATAAATATGTAAATCCTATCCTATCCTATCCTATCATTGTGTCGGCAATATATTAGTCTATATCAATATCAGTAGGCATATATACTGATATATGCGATGATAGTGATAACCACAACAATACTGCAATAGACCAATGTTACCCCAGCCCACTCTCGGCTCTCGCTCAGCCCACACGCAATAGGCTAACTGTCTTAAATTTTAGAGAGTTCAAAATAGGATACCGGTAACGATTACAAAATTAGGCTTATATGATGGTATTCTATATCTGTAGTGTAAGTAATACTGTAATAGTGTAGAGCAGGGGTCGGCAACCAGCGGGGCGGATCCGGCCCGCGGAGGAATATAATCCGGCCCATGACGCTTCGCTGAATTATAGTAACAAATTATAGCTGTTTTGTCGATTATATTCTTTACACAAAAATTCTTTTATTTCTAAATTATATTATAACCTAAAAAGTAGTCTATATAATTCAGGATTACTCGTTTCATGAGCCTATAATTTAATTATAATTTAGATAAATGGCAACAAAACGCAGAAAAGTTGATGCTAAGTGCAGTCTGTGCAGATGGTTTAATGGCGCAAAAAATATTAAAACAGTAAAATGGTCAGTCTTCGCGCGCTGCTTAAAATTTAACTTCTGATCTGTGTGATAAAATGTGATTCATCGGTCATCTATTCGATTTTTAACTTTCCAAAAATATGTGCGGCCCGCCAATGACTTGCAACCTTTAATTTCGGCCCACGAGCGACTAAAGGTTGCCGACCCCTGGTGTAGAGCATACGCCATACGGTAGTCTACAAACTCGTGAGTATTATAAAGTTATCATAGAATTCATGAAATTGAAAAAAATTACTTTGCAAGACGCTAGGCAAGAAAAGCAAATGATAAAATAGTCAACTCGATGAGGAGTAACAATACTTCGAAATGTGGAAATAAAATTGAACAACTTACGAAATTTCCTAATTTTGCAGGAGAGCTAAATTTATTGTGTAACTCAAAAAGCCAGTTATCTATATAATATATAGAAGTATGTATCCAAATGTATATATAGGTGTATGTGTATATCGTAATAGGTAGATAAATGTTAATTGGAAAAACTTGTTAATACATGCTTTATCTAAAAATACTACTATTGTAATCATATAAATGATGGTGACCTATGGAAATCATGAAAAAAGGATAATGACGGTGACGAGTTTTTCCTTGGATTTATAATAACCATGTATATCATATTATTAATGTACTGTAGGTCATATTTTTTGATAATATTTTATTTACGGTATGTTTTTTATCATCATTAAAAAAAAAAATAACTACTAATTTGTACAACAAAATCAACAAATAAAACTAGGAATAACAGGGAAATACTGCCCCTGATAAAAATATTCTGATGTTATTGGCGTATATGATTGTTTACTTTTATGTCTATAATTCTTCATTTAATATTTACTGGTAAATATCTATCCCAGCTCAGTCAGCTATATCTCTATATTGTGATGTCTGGATATGGCATGTTGTGGTGAATTTTTTTACCTAATTTTTGAAAATATTTAAGAAATTATGTTTTTGGCATTGTGCTTGCTAATGATGTTTTTTTTTTATTTAGCAAAATATAATATACAATAGAACCTTTCACTTTGCCCAGTACTGTACCAGCTTACTGCATTGTGGTATCCTCGATTCCCATACAGTTATACACTATTACCAGCATACAGTAACTATAATAAATAATGAGTTTATTAGTAAGGTTTAAAACATACAGAATATGGTATGTGTTCACTTCACCTAAAATTAATGAATTATTTCACACACACACACACACACACACACACACATACTGTCCGACTGTATAACAATATAACTAAATATTTCTGTATTTAGGTGTTGATACCTGGTACCTATAATGTTTCTATCAATACTGTGGTGATTTATTATATTAATGAGGCATGGCACAAAATAATGCAGCTCCACAAAATCTGGTTTTGGCTGGGCCAATGCAAATTGAAGAAAATGAACAAAATAATATAAATGATGTTGGTGAAAATGAGATAGAAGGCAATCCAGCGAATGGTAATAATGGTGCAGGAAATGGAAACAATTCAAATCATAGACCACCTGTAGGTGCTGTTGCTGGAATTCCGAATAGAAACCTGATGGCAAATGCTGCTCCTAGGGCGGAGGGTGCTGCTGCCCAAGGAATTATAGTGAGAGATAGAGAGCCACGACCACAGCCAGTGGTTGGTGTGCGCCCGGTAGCATCATCGAGACCACTTTATAACTGGCAAGCTACAAAAGCTACCTTGAAAGAAAGATTCCAATATCTTCATAACAATGAAATCTTATCAGATGTTCGGTTCATTGTCGGAAGAGGAATACAGACACAGCGAATACCAGCTCATAAGGTGGGAAATTTTTGTGATCAGTACACTTTATTTATTTACAAGAAGTTTTTTGGTAACAATATTTGTATGTTTTTTCTTACAGTTTGTATTGTCTGCTGGAAGTGCAGTTTTTGATGCAATGTTCAATGGAATACTTGCTACACAATCAAATGAGGTTGAATTGCCTGATGTTGAAGCTGCTGCATTTTTAGAATTATTGCGATTTTTATACACCGATGAAGTGAACATTGGGCCTGAAACAGTCATGACAACTTTGTAAGTTACAGTCATATTTTCCGGATTTGATGATGTAACAGTCTATTTGAAGCATGAAGTGTCTTGACCTCCATATTTTGTTCATTTCGAATAACGCTGATAGAACACTTGCTTTATTCCTTATCACGATCAATATATTATTCCTAATGCTTGATTCACTTGAATACCTCATTATTTTTTCTATTGATTGAGATTAATTAATTTATTTGTTATCAGATATACAGCAAAAAAGTATGCAGTACCTGCGCTTGAATCTCATTGTGTCGATTTTCTGAAGAAAAATCTAGGACCACATAATGCTTTCATGCTCTTGACTCAAGCAAGATTATTTGATGAACCACAACTTGCATCGCTTTGTCTTGAAAGCATCGATCAAAACACTGCTGAAGCATTGAGTGCAGATGGTAATATATTTTATTGCCACTCTATCATTTATAAATATAAATGGATGAGTATCATGGTTTTGTCCAATATCCTGTATATAAGCTTGTTATTCAGTAGAATATTTTCATTGTGAATACTTTAATGTCTATGCTAAGTCACTAAAACAATCTAGTGACTAGCACATATCCGAACAGGATCGTTATCTATATGCTGTACTTTCTATATGATTACATCATCTTTTCCATTTCTCTTTCATCGATAATACCTATGAAAATTTTTTGAAATATTTCAACATTCAAATATTTTAAGATATTACCAACTTTAGTAATTGTAAGGGAAGAAAGATCTATAATTCATAATTGAATAATTCTGACCTCTGTATAAGAACAATTGTTTTGTACACATTTAAAGGCTACCATTGAGGTAATATTAATGCTCTCATCGCTTCATTATTTCTTTGTTTCTCAGGTTTTACTGACATAGACTATGAAACTTTAAAATCAGTGTTGGAGCGGGATACACTCGGAATTCGGGAAAGCAAACTATTTGTTGCAGCTGAAAAGTGAGGATTTACACTCTTTGTTTGCAAGGATAATTCTCTTCTTGAACTTATTATTTACTCACTGTGTTTAATGTTTTTTTTTCTTAAAGAATTGAGATTCTAACTCTATGACTTGACTCTCAGGTCGTTTTCAAGTGGGAATTATGGCTACATGACTGGCCAACTTTACTTCTAGCTAAGGCTTCAAATGATGCTGCATACTATATGCAATTTCTCACTCAATTATGGTATATCTGTAATATTACTGATAGGCAATATAACTAAGATAAATATGTAATAATAGTCATATAATTTAGGAAGCAGCAGCCATTGATTTTAATTTAGACCTGTTTGTTGGCAGTTGCAACATTATTATTCATTATAATATATTTTGTTAATTTGTAGTTGGGCAGAAGCCGAATGTGAGAGGCAAGAACTTGAAGTTACAAAGGACAATAAAAGAAAAGTTTTGGGAAATGCAATCAATTGGATACGATTTCCAATAATGTCAATAGAAGAGTTTGCACAAGGACCTGCACAATCGGGAATATTAACAGAGAGAGAAGTCGTCGAACTCTTTTTGTATTTTCATCTAAATCCTAAACCAAGAGTGAGTTATATTTTTACATTTGAAACCTGATTCATTCCATGGTTGGACATATTGAAAAATAGGACTAGGACTTGTTATTTTGGTATCTTTGTTATTATCAAGATTTCATTTAAATTTTATCATTAATAAGATTGGAGAAATTCATATAATAGATATAAGAATCAGCTTTTAATTTAGGCAAACTATCTTGTTTGAAACGTCCATTGTATCTATTATTATAATTGTTATTCAAATAGTATGATGGTCTAAAATTTGATAGTTACAATATCTTTATTCAACAACAATTTTTTCTCCGCAGGGATGGAATATAAAATAGTAATTTTCATTCTGTGTGAAGTATTGGTAAAATATAAACATTTTTGGTCTATTATTAACTGTAGTATTGCTTATTGCTTGTGTAACTTACTATGACATGCCTATTTTTCAAAAAATTTCTATTGTGTTATCACCAGGTCCGTTTCTCAGATCGACCTCGTTGTTGTCTGACAGGAAAGGAACAGTGTGTTCATCGCTTCATGGAGGTTGCGCAGAGGTACAAACTTTAATATTGTATGATTAAAATAAATCAGTTCTTGTTCAGAAAATATTATCGTTTTTAGTTGAGCTGGCACAGCAAACATTATTTTGTGTTTCTCTTTTCATTTCATTGATCCTGAATTCCTAACTTTCTCGAATCAAAATATTTAGCACAGATTACGGTAAATGTAAACTTGTGTTAAAGTGGTCAGAACACAGAATCAACTTCAAGAATGTGCTGTTGTACTTATTTAATTCCATTCAAAGGAAAGTAGGTTATTGCTAAATATTAGAATATGGATGTCTAAATAAGAATCACACACTTGGATTTAAGACAATTTGTATATCATTCAAATTTCTTGAATAATCATTCAGAGTGATAAATTTGGCAGCAGTCGATGCACCACACAAGATAGCTTTTTTAATGTTATGTGCATTTTAGCATCTATTTCATCAAATGCATACTGAATTTGAAATAACCAAAATATCATGAATTTTATAATGCAAAATCAAAATCATTCAATATGGAAACTCTTTTTACTACAATAGATTGAATTAAAGAACAAGTCTGACTAATGCGACAAATGCATATCCAGTATTGTTCAATATCGCTGAATTTGCTATAATCAGTTGGAATCTAATTATTCTTTCTCAGAATAAAAATCATTTTATTTTGCCTCTCCATGCAAAGCAATAGATTGATAAACTGACAAAACAGTCCAACATTTTTTCGAATATAGATGGGGTTATTCAGGCACCAGTGATCGAATAAGATTTAGAATCAACAGAAAAATATATATTGTTGGCTTTGGTTTATATGGAGCAATACATGGACCTGCTGATTATCAAGTTAATTTACAAGTAAGTAATAGTACTATAACATCATACAAAATTCCTATACATCACGAAATTACCATATCTTTATAGTGATTTCACCAAGGCTCCAGCCCTTCAGGAAAATTCAAATTTGAGGCGAATAGGAAGAAAACCATTTTCTCATGGTTAAGTATTTACATATAGAATATGTGTTTATGAACAAATATGAAACTTGATGGTCATTAATTCAATAGACTGATGGCTTTGCAGTATTTACCATTTCTGCTAATTTTGTATTTATTATATGCAGATTGTTGTCACAGACACTGGTGTTGTTATTGGGCAAAATGATACTGGATTCAGTTCAGATGGTTCAGATAAAAAGTTTCGCGTAATGTTTAAAGAACCTGTCGAGATTTTACCAAATGTAACATATGCTGCTTGTGCAACATTGAACGTGAGTTGCTGCACCATGATATGAATATTTTATTAGTTTCAAATGTCACGGGAGTGTTATCACTGTGAATTTGTGTTTTGCTGTGGAATTTGTTTTTTGCTCTAGGTTTTTTGATTGGCAAGTGGGGTTTTGGTTACACTGTACATTAATATCAAAAAAATTATTCTAGTTGAATTAGTCAACTTTGTATGCATGTAAGATGTAATCATAGTTTTTCCAATTTGATCATTTTTTAATTTCACTCACTTGACATTTCAATCTATAGCTTTGTAGTATGAGGGCTGTGTATGCAAACATGTAATAATGAGATTTTCATAATTCTGACTTAAACTGAAATGAACTAAAAATTCAAATACATTGCATATTTTTCTCTTTTTATCAAAAACCGTAGTCTATTTTGAAGGACATCATCTGGCGTTTAGACATTCAGTGTCTATCTGCATTTTGTGTGCTCTCTATTAGAGTCAAATTATTCATGTGGGCAGCACCAAAGTTCACTATTATGACGGCCTAGTTACATTCTATTATCAAACTTTTCCTTCCTAGCTTTTGCTCTTTATTAAACATTTAAATTAAATGTTGAATTAGGCAACAATGTTCTTTGTTTCATTTTGTAATACACATCTTTGTTGGTCTTAGGGTCCTGATAGTTACTATGGGACAAGAGGACATCGAAAGGTTACTCATGAATCACCAAATGGAACTAAAACTCAATTTTGCTTCACATATGCGTCTGGAAATAACAATGGTACTTCACCGGATGATGGACAGATTCCTGAAATAATATTTTATACATGACCTATATATTGGGCTTGTTTCATATTTCATACATGAAAGGAAAGGCAATGCTCAAGGGACAACACCACCTGAAATGGCACTTATTCTACTCGTTTTATTATTTTCACCAACTTCCGTATTTCGCAGAAATTCTATATTCTGTAAATTGCTCATCATTCCATTAAAAACAATCTGTGATTATATAAATCCACAATTTATAGCACGTTGTTTTTTTGCTGGTCTCAACTGAAATCTTTTTCAAAAATTATCGGTTGTCTTTTTTGTTTATTATTACTTATACTTATGTATTATTACTTACGCTGTATGAAGCAATAAGTTTGGCATGTCACGTTTTTCCTATTGTTTGGTTAAAATATTGCGTATTCTTTATCAAATAGGGCCAGAAGGTTTGGATTAACCTCTTCATTTTGGCATACATGGGCACATTGTATCATGGTTAAACCAGTACCATGGGCCCATTATTTTCAAGCATATGCAACTTGTTCTACCAGTAAAAAGACACTAGACTATATTGGGGTTACTGGATTTTATCTGTGAAAAGTTCTGATTTATGAAAAGCCATGTTCAACTTCTTGCAGAAATATTTTTTAGTCCGATAAGCTACAGTTTTACTGTTGCTTCCTAAGAGTTTCAAATTTAGCTTTATCATAAAGTTCCACATGATTTTGTTGCCAATGCTGAACATGATGTATTTTGTGTTTTCAATTTTTCATCAAATGACAGTTACAGCTGATGTAATAGATTAAAAAATATAAAGCTGACAACTGATCGCAAAGCTTTCAATGGTCGCCAACAATGTGAACCTATGAGCCTTTTTGATAGTAATAACTAGTTACTGGAGATGGGACTTTCTAGGAAGCAGATGTAAATCCTATTTGAGTTTCTAATACTTGTCCCAGGTGTATGGGAAATGCAATCATTGCTCATGAGAAAAGTGTGCTATGTCTGTGTAGCCACGTCAAATAAGGCACAGAAAACGGACGTCTCTGCCTACTCGACCGCATTAAATTAAATAAATTGGGTTTTCACTGGTAATATATGATTTGGGTGTAACGACTAGAAGATTTTTTGTCCACCTTTATTCACTACCAAATACTTCAACCCTCCCTTCTTGTTTTTGCATGGTGTATTTTTAATCCTGATTTACTTGTGTACCGTATATAATGTTCTTCCAACCTTATTTGTGTTCACTCTGCTTCGTACAATTATATATATATATATGGCCGAACTGCAGTTCAGCCTTTGTAAATCAATGTGTGATAGATGCTTATTGGTGTTTGTGAGGGACCTTGACTAGTGTTTCATTTTGTCTGATGGGTAATATGCTGTAGAACGCCTTTACAGTATCAAGTTTGGCACAATCAACACTTTTGGGATCTACCTCAGATTTCCCATTGTGGTGTTCAGGTTCATCTCCATGAATATGTGCAAAAGTCTGATAAATAGATGTTTGATTTTCGCAGGATAGTTCAATCACTCATTGTTCATGTACCGTAAAGCCTGTGCATTTGGATGGAACAGCTGGTTGACCATTTTCATAATCGTTATGTAACTGGAAAAGTGACTGCTTTATTATATGATTTCCGCATCAATCAATGGCTTCTCTGTCCTAGGCGATGATAGGAAAAATCCTAAGTTCGATTGAGTCCAGATTGAGAAACACCGGCATAAAAGTGTTCATATCGTCCATTCAATGACCTAACTAGAATCAATTTCTTGTTAAGATCGTGTTACTACGAAACTAAAATATTGTTATGCAATATGCATCATCACTTATTCTGATATTTCAGAAGCTATATATATATATATAGGCTTACCATACGTCCCGGTTTAGCCGGGGACAGTCCCGGTTTTGACGAGCTGTCCCGGCCGGTCGACTCAAATGTCCCGGTTTGTCAGCACGGCTGTCATGGGTGAAAAATTCATATTCCTTATTGTTACAATTTTTTAACGGTGGCAGCCCATTTACCACTGTTTTGCGACACACTTCGCTAATTCAGAGAGTAAAAAATTGCTCTATTGTTATGTCACAATCGGTATATGTTTTAAAGCGTTTTCTGGCGTTAACTACAATGCCGTTAAGTTGTCGAAATGCCATAAGAAAAAGTACAAATTTTCTAATGAGTTGAAAGGAGATTTTCCTTATTTTGCGCAAACTGAAGGAGGAAAGGTCACTGTACGCATTGCAGATCTGTTTTTCTATTAGTCAAGAATAAGATGGTCGTTCTGATGTCAACGATCTTATCCAAAGCAGGAAGCACAAAACATTAATTGAGGCATCGACTCGACTGACCAATTTTTTGCGATAACAAATTCGGATGATTGTTTGTCGTTGGCAGCCGACATTTGCTTATCACACAAAGTTTTGACTGCACCTCTGAATTAATTTTGATTTTTTAGCCTAAATTTGCATTAACTTGTAAATATACACAGTTAGAATTTCTGATGTCCGCTGTCTGATAAGCGGATTCGCTGATTTTGCACGTTTAGCCAGAAATAAATGAGAGTCGGTGATTTTTAATTGAATTGCTCCGCTGTTCTCCTCTGAACCTAATGATGATTTACTTTAAACCAGTTTCGTATCAGTAACCTTCGATGCATCAAACAGAAAGAATTTAAAGCTTGTTCCAGTTGTGGTTCGTTATTTTTTTACCTGATGTTGGTGTGAAGATAAAACTATTAGAATTCAAATCTTTACCCAGGGAAACCACCAAAACTTTTACTGAATACTTGCTCTCTTTTCTCGGAAAAGTTGTTGGATTCTGTGCGGATAATTGCAACATCAACTTTGGAGGCGTAAAAAGACGAAAAACAAATAATGCTTTTTTCAAACTAAAAGAAATATAACCGGTATAGATTGTGCATACCATGTAGTTCAACTGTGCACTGCGATGCCATTTTCAACATGTCGTAGATACTTTGCCTGTTTGTGTTGTTGTCAAAATGTATAAATATTATTACATATACACTGTCCGAGTAACAGAGGAGAAATCATTCTGCGATTTTGTTGATAGTATCAACGGCTATTACAGCATGGCAACACTCGGGTTTTCCCTTTATTACCTGCTTTGCAAAGGATTACGGAACTGTTTGAAAGCTTGATAAGTTATTCAAATTCTCAAGAAGGATGTCCTACTCTTATGCTTAAATGTTCCAGCGTACGAACTTCACTTGAAATTTGTCCTTTGCCAGCTCACCTACTTCAACAAAATTATTTTAATTTTGAAAAAAGATAATACTAATGCCGTAGATCAGGGGTCGGCAACTTACGGTTCCAGGGTCGGATCCGGCCCGCAGAATATTATAATCCGGCTCGTGACGCTTCACTAAATTATAGTAACAAAACAGCCGTTTTGACGATTATATTTTTTAAACTAAATTATATTATAACCTAACAAGTATATAATTCACAACTACTCGTTTAATGAGCCTATAATTTAATTATAATTAGACAAATGGCAACAAAACGCAGAAAAATGATGCGAAGTGCAAAGGGTTCAATGGCGCTGAAAATATTCAAATGCAATTTTTTGCGATGCAATGAGGAAATAAATCTATATTCTATTCGAAAGATGTATTACTGCTTGATTTTTATTATAAAAAGTATCATTCGTTCGGTTTCAGCTTTCTAAAAATATGTACGACCCGCCAATGACTCGCAGCCCTTAATTTTGTCCCGCGAGCGACAAAAGGTTGCCAAGCCCTGCCGTAGATGTCAGAGGTGAAGCTAAATTTGAAGGAAAAAGGGTGAAGACTGTTAATTCCGTCGCAATCACTTGTACTTCTGGAATCCTTGGAACGCTCTGGCGAAATCGATGTAACTGTATTTAAAAAGAATGTTTGCGGTATATAGAGCTGCATGATCAAGCCTAAAATGCTCCCCAGGCCCCACATATGGACAAATTATGGGTGATTTAAACTGGACTAAAGTGTTTGGTTTGCAAAATTGATAAATGATATGTTCGGTTAGCTAGTCAGGTTTTGAATAGAGATGCACTTTTCGACGAATACTGATAAGGAGATATTTATCTGAGCATGGTTCAAATGCAATTTGGTTTTGCGGTTGAATTTAAGTGGACAGAGATGTTTAACGTTTTTTCTAACAGAAATATTAGCATTTCGAATTTGCAGAAACTCGTTGATTTTGTTTGCCGGAACATCGGCATCTGTTGAACAGATTTTTTCTCCATTGTTAAAACTTTCTGGTCTGGAAGCAGGTTCAGAATGCCAGAAGAAAATATAAAAGCACTCGTAACCTGCAAATTCAATGGTGATGTCTCTTGTTATCAGTTTTATGACAAAATCAAAACAAGAATTTTTGAGAAGGGTTCCATCTGCGAACAAATACTTTTGGTCTAAATAAACAATACAAACTATTTTTTTGTGTTTTTTCTAATTCAATGATCAGTATAGAGATTTAGAGCCGTATATACCCGCAATGGCTTGGTAGACGTTTCAATATTACAAAGACTGGCAATCAACCGAATGTTTGCCAAATCGCACCGTCCCGGTTTTTTGTTTCAGATTTATGGTAAGCCTATATATATATAGAATCAGAATTCCAGCAACATGGACATTAAATAATTAACATAGTTGATGTAGCAGCCCTTTTCTTAAAAATCCTCATAATATAAATATAATGTCAACTTATTTCGCTTCGTTGCGGTTTGGTGATTTAACATGTTTCTATGTGTAATTCCTCTACTTTTAACTACAATTGCACACCTGCATACTATTACCGTAGTTTGTGTTTCCACTTTCCCTCCATCAACGTTTTTAGGCAAAACCTAGGAACATTTGAACACATCCCGCAATGGTATACGCCAGGGGTGGCCAACACCACGATCGACCGGTCGATCGCCACGTCTCGAGAAGTCGATCGCGTCTGATGTTAAGTGAATTTAATAAAATACCCCAAAAAATTGCCTTGAACCAGTTGTGTGTTTTAAAGAGGAAGAATACAGTACTATACATGCGCTAAATACAATATACACATACAGTATGCGAGCCCGATGAAGCCTAATACAATATAATAAATACATGTAGTAGGCGAGCCCGATGGAGCCTAGTTACGTAACAAATGCAAGTTTTGTCTCTGTCAAGATTTGAAAATGAATTGCCGAATATATCGTGTCTTGACTAACCAACGATCCTACAATAACTTCTGCAGTATGCGAAAGTTATTGTCTCACTCCAAGAGTAGTGTCATAAATTGTATTCGCAATAATAGCAGTGTCATACAAATGCCCATTTTTTTGCGAGCGAAGAATCGCACTTGGAGGAAATTATAAATTAGATACTGAAGTTTGAGCAGTCATGTAACATTCATGTTTTTAGTATATTTATTTTTCGCTGTTTAAATAAAACATGAATACATAGCAAGGTTTTTTGAAGAATTTTCAACACTCGCCACTGAAAATTAGGCACGCATAATATCTGAATTGACTAAATGTTAGATAAATGTTGAATCATTTACTCCGGGTACAATAGAATAATCAAATCAAGAACCAAAATGGAACATAAAAATATAAATTTTTTGTCGATTGTGTTAAGAATCCGCCCACAAAGCCTCCTTATTGGCAGCGGCAGATTTTTTTGTTGAAAGCAGGTTGGTTACGCTAATATGAAATAACATTATGAAATTGGCACAAGTGACGTAAACACATGGTTGTATTTTTAGGTACAACAAATGACTGCTCGACTTAAATTTTGCTTTCCTAAATTTCAGCGCGTTTACGTGTGCAATAAGTAACCCTACGCATGGAGTTGATGTAGTTTTCATAAGGTGCTATTGCTACAGTGTTCCATTAAACAATTTGGTGGAGAGGATATACGATTCAACTTTGTGGTAGAATTTCGTTGAAAAGATGATTGTCACAAAGGTGAATGTGGGATAGGAATTAGGATTATTACTTTTAAGTAGGGTTGCGTTCATTTTAAAGAACAGCCCCTTTAAGCTATTCTGTCCTTGTGCTTTAATGGAGTTGAATGGACGCAAATTGTTTTTTATGTATAGCATTTGCTACAAAAGATGCAAAACAGTAAATGAAATATTGAATATATATACTAGTTTCGTTTTCTGTTGGCGAGGAGTCAACCAGGACGACAAATCACAAGTTGAAGTTACCATACTCCGGGAGCACCGATAAAGCTCTAGAAGTATGTGCACCAATATGGCGCACATCCTGAACATAGTATGTGCACCAGATTAGGGTTCAGGTTGTGCGCCATCTTGATGCACATACCAAGGGAGCACCGACAGAAGTGCGCGTGCCCGCCGTGTTCAGATGATATGAACTGGAGAATGAAACCTCGGCGCTCCCGAAGTATGTGCATTTGGATATAGTGTACATCAACTTTTTATAAATACCGATAGCCTTATGAGTTGTGAGTCGCGAAACTGACGAATTTAGATCGTTTCTCAATTCAGCAATATATTTGAAAAAAAAGTTCGATTGACGAAAATTGGTAATACTATGAAGTCTAAGTATTGCAGGTAAAACTTTTTAAAAATACGAACAATTTGCGTGAATTGTAGAAAAATATAAACTAAACGGCAGACTTGCTTTAAACATGGATGACCTCTTTCATGAAATCCTACAAATCTAAAAAAAATACAGCATGATTTAGAGCGCTTGCAGAATGTAAAACAGCAAGTGGCACACAATCCTAATAAGTTTCAATCATAAGTGCGCTAATATATTCATAATGCTTTCATGCGTCGCAGGAATATTAGAGCATACAAAGCTTGATCAACAGTTGCTGAAGAGGCATAGGAAATAGTTGTTTCATTTTTTGATATTTCGAGCATAACAGTTAATTTATTTGAAACTTATGGACGTGTGACACAATGTTCTTTATTGAAGTACTGATATCTTTGAATGCAAATGTTCACGAGCGTGCGATTGTCCGTGGGTGCAAATGTGCTCTCACCAGGACTGAATGGTTATCAAATGCAACTTTTTGTTTTTTTAGGGCAAACGTTTTTTTCCTTCCGACTGGAACATGATATATAGACTCTATAGAGGCTTTCCCAACTATTGAAACGGACTTTGACAAACAACATCTTATTCTGAGCAAAATCCTTTTTTTTTTCAATTGTTATCAGAATAGCCGATTTCACTAATGATCCAGCTAGGATGGCAAATCCGAATAATTTGACATCTACAAAAAATTATTTCAATACAACGCAGAATTCATTATAATGGCAGCATTCATTTTGAAAGGCTAAAATTTCTCCATGTGTCAACGAGGCTTAATGTATACATACTATTAAATCAGAACACCTTTGTTTTGAACCCAGTCAGCAATTATGGCATCTCAATTGTGGTGGCACAGAAAGATCAATATTTCCTGTTTGCCACGCAATTCTTCGATTAGACAGGAAGTTGACTATAACATAGAAACACTGGGAGCATCAGGCCTTACACAACTGATGCATAGCATATATTAATAAGCATCATTTTATTGCTATAAAGCTGTTATTGCTTCAAGGTCTCCTTAAATAATCCATTCAAACAATGTAAAAGCAGCAAAATTTAATAACAATGATTATTATTATTATTATCAATAACGTAGTAAGACTGGGCATGGTACAATTCAGTATAAAATAAATACAATAAGAGGAACAAAATTCTTGATTATACAGACAAAAAGTACAGCGTTAAAATAAAACTACAATTTTGGAGCACATGGATTGCTTTGATTCGGGTAGCAGAGTGTAAATAGAGAGTTTAATTTCTCATCCCGCAGCAATTTGAGGTTCGGATAGGCAAATTACTCGTCCAGTTGCGGTTAGAAAATCACAAGTGAATTGCATGAATATAAATATTGAATCTTTTTCCCAATAAATTTGCATCGTGATCTAATAGAATTAAACAATTGAAAAATAGTTCAACAATCAAAGCATGATACATGCACTTAGTAGACAAATGGAAATTCTGGTTGAATAGAAAAACAAATAGTCAGAAAAACATGTAGCAATCACTATAGCAGAAGTTTACATCAAATATTAACTTATTCTACTTGGCCCAAATTGACTATTGTCTAAGTAAATGGGGAAATTTCACATAAAAATGTATTGAAATGACCCCATTTGCAATAACCATAAAATTCAAATATATTTAATCAAAATATTTTTAAACTGAAAAATGAATGATATTAATTATATTGTGATTACAATTGATATCCCAAATTAGGATTTACATGTTTATCTCGAGGGAGAGGAAAACCAATTAGATGGCTTAATCATTTGCCGAACTATGACCTTTTGTGTAGTGACCAGTCCATGTATGTGTGGGATTAGTTAGCAAGTTGTTTGTTTTCAGATGCATTGACTTGAGTTGGTCATAAATAAACTCCTTGATGAAAGTAATTTCAATCATTCTTATGTTATGCAAAACATTTCTTCTTCTTCATAAGCTTTAATATGTATATATTTAGCTTGTGGTAACTTATTCGAAGTATATAAGGGGGTACAACAGCATGACATAGTATGCAGTTGGTTTAATTAGATGCCAGTGAATAATTACAGTATGGTTGTGTGTTTTGGGCCATTCAGTCCAGTTAAGATGTGCTATTTTCAGCACAAATGCGTCAAATATTGAATCCACTTCTGCAGCTGTACACAATTCACTATATTAATACTATGTTACACATTAAGGATATGAACGGTGATTAAACTTTCTTGGATATATATGTACAAATGAGAATGAAATCTCTTTAGTCATAACTGTCTTTACATCAACAATTGCGTGACAATGTCCATCCAACAAAATATATGCACGGAGTGAAATAACTCTTTTTTCAATACTTGAATGTCTTTGAAAACCCTTGACTTTGATCAATCATTGTTCTATGAGCATGCATTTCAGCCATCAGACGAGATATAAATCGTGAGCTTCCTGTTTACTTCAAATTCATACGTCAAACACAGATAGAAAAGGAATTGTTGGAAAATCACTTATGCATAGAGCTATGGATTGGAGGTTGAAAACAGCGTACATTCTCAACTGGTATGTGTCCACTTTGGCCTGATTTCAAATATTTATCCAAGATACCAAATACTTCGTTGTTCAAGATTTGAAATTTTCTCACTCGTTCAACAAATTTTCTCAATGGCACTTGTTTTATTACTTCATCCTTCATGTCATATTTTTGCACCTTCATGATGTGATAGGAAAAATCTAAAACTTCGAATCTCTTGTGTTGACGTAATAAGATCAGAATAGCACATGCTGCCCAATGTAAACCATCTCCAAAGAGTTGTTCTGTTGTAAACTCATTCTCTCGAACTGGAATACAATAAACAAACTGTATTGCGCTCCACAATCTATAAAACTCATCACATTCATCAATGTGCATTACACCGTTTGAAGGAGGTTTACCTTGCCATACAGGATCATCAAGAAATGACTTGATTTTGGTCAATAAAACTTCAAACATAGACAAACCACAGCATAACCTTTCTTGTGCCAGCAAATCACTTTCTCTGGCAATGGCAATTTGTTGAGGTGTTCCAAACTTTTCTATGATTGGAATAAGATGCAAGGAGTTGTATTTTTTCTCTAACTTTTTGACCTTCTCTTCCAGTTTTTCTCCTTCTTTAGCAAATGGTCGAGGAATTATATTCTGGAATGGAGCTGCATGGAGAAGATCTCTGATTTCCTCTAAATTGAGGTTCTGCTCGATCATTAGGCAGAATAGAATTGCATTTCCAACTTCTCTGAAATTTTGAAATACCAATGTTTTCAATTCGGAATATTCTATGATATCTTTAAGTTGATGCTGATAATACTCAAGCACTCCAGGAGATCCATAATCGTATCTTGGCAACTTCAATATTGGAGGCATAACTCCCATCAAAGTTGTAACATACTGTAATATTGTTCCCTGAAGCAGGCCTTTTACAATTTTCAGCAGCTCTTCAATAACCACTGCAATGCCTTGATATCCCAACAAAACGCACATGGTTGTGAAATGTTCTGCTCCAACATATCCTGTATACAAACCAGCCATTTCACGATAAGCAGCATTCAACTGTTTGCTGCCAAAAAGATAGTGATGCCCAGCATTTGGCGGTCTGTCCCTTTGAAGATCTTGGGAAAATGTAATTGGCGTTCGAACGAATCTGTTAGTAGAACCATTGAAGCAATAATTTGGTAGAAAATCATAGTTGAGTTCCCAGAAGACATGGAGAGTGATGCGTCCATACGGAGCCGAAACATTATGATTCGCTTCTCTCACCATTGCATCAAAGCCATCAAGGGTCAAATGCTTGCTCAGAAGCTTATGGGTATGCCTGTTGACATCCAGCAGCATTCGTAATTCCATAATACCTGTAATATCTCCACTTTCAAACTTACTTATTGCGAGATCAATGGATTTATGCAAAGCCACCTGAACACGCTGAGTTATTAATCGATTCAGGTCAATGGATCGTCCAAGAAGTTGGACATGACGTTGCTTGAGAAGAGTCTCATATCTGTTAGCAGGTGGGTATGGTATTTTAGCAGAGCAGTGATCCCGGAAACCAATATTCAATAATTGTGAAGCAGCCAATTGCTTAAAATAAGTGAAAATTTGATCAGAAAGTTTGTAGACAAATTGATCGAAACATAAATTGACTTCGGCTTCTACCTCATCATACAGAAATTGCTTCTTGAATTTTGTCAAGGCATAATAAGCACTGTCATTGTATAAATCTAAAGAATAGAGGACATATTCCATCATTGAAGGTTCTTTTGTTTCCAATATATGATCAGTCAAGATCCAAGGTAAAGACATTTCAATAGGAAATTGAATTCTTTTTCCCATAGTGAGCTCCAAGAAAAATTCTCTGTACCAAAGCTGAGATAAATCACAACACTCAAGAAGAGTTTCACTCAGCCTAAGCAGAGATGAGAAGAAAAATGATTCTTTGTGAAACTGTTCTATTGCTTCAATAGTATGAGAATCAAGAACGGTTCGCAATGCTTTTTTTGTTCCACTTTTTTCAGCGACTAAGGATTCCAGCATTGTACGAACCATGTATAATTGAGTACTTGAAGGTCCAACATTTCTACGAGGTACATCAATATGGAAACCGGTCTTTGGATCTTTTTCTCCTTTCAGGGCAGGATCATTTGGAGGCTCAAATCCTCTTATCCAATCAGCGCATGTTTCTCTAACAGAGCTTACAATGCTTCGAACATGATTCTTTTTCTTTTTTATAGCTTGCCGTAAACATTCTCTTAATCGAAGCTGAACAAAATCTTGCATTTGCGAATAAATATAACTGCGTATGGCATCTGCGAAAACACTTTCCATTCGAACCATCAATACTTGGAGACCTTTTATCATAGCAATGACTTCAACAAGAGCATATTTCTCTTGGCTTGAATAATTATAACGAGTTGCTCTCTCGTACTCCTCTGCCTCATCTTTACACTCAGGATTGGTGTATTTATCAGTCGGATGTACAAGTTTCCAAGAATAGACTTCCATAACATGAGAGCTCCATTTTGAGAGCAATTGTAAACCTCGAAGCGCTAATTTATACAAAACATAATTTTCTTCATCCGTTCGAGGCTGATCTCTCTGCGTCGTAGTAACGACTTCATTGTTGCTGTATTTAGCAAGTTCGCTTGTATATTTTATATGATCCTCACGAATAGCAACAAGCTGTTCTGCCAAGTTGTATTGCGCACTCGAACTTCCTGTGCTTACTGTTGATGAAGCACAAGACCACTTTGATTTATTATCTTCAAAATCGGACATATTTTGTATGTAGCTCGCTAAAGGTATTTGCATGTCACCATAAAGCGGCACAACTTGAAGCTGTTTAAAAAATTTATCTATTTTGGTGAGGTGAAGTTTCTTTTTGTCCTGTAATTTATATATGTTGACATCTTTATGAATATCCCTGTTATCGAGGAGGCACAATCCAAATCCCATAACTTTGAGCAGCATGTGCTTTTCACTTGGGAGAACATAGCGTTTGTTTTCATAATAATTCATACTTATGTTAATAATATCACACAACAGTTCCTCAGAGTTAGGGATGCCAGACAAAGATAGTTTAAGCGTCCCGGTTATTTTATCATGGTTGGCCAAGAACATGGATAAGTTCTGTGACTCTTGGATTGACTGTGGGTCTGACATTTTTTTCAGAAATTGTGCTGCTCTTCTATAAGAAGAGTAATCATTTTTTACACTGCTTTTCATATTTTTGAGGGCATCAAGAACAGCAAACATATTGATAAATTTACCAAGTGTAAGAAGATATGCCTCGGAAACAAAATCTTTTCTTCTTTCTTGATGGCACAAACGCTTTACTTCTGCACAAAATTTTTCTACAGCTCTTTTTTGAAAGAGCATGAAATTCATCAACTTTCTTACTTCAGGCTCCAAAACCTGAACAGTCTTTTCATAAATTTCTACTCGGTTTGCTTGTTCATTGGACCTTACCTGGGGAATAGCGCGCGAGCAACTACGCCATGTATAAAGCATTACAGCATATGTCTCTCCCTCTTCCAACATGGCATTCATATCTGAATGCACAGTAGCCTCTTCAATATATTTTGCAACACCAGTCACAAATGCATTTCTGTCTTCAAAATTAGTGTCAAAGTTGGCTTGATAAAGTAATGTTGACGGCATCGGCTCGATGCATGGTTGCTGATCAGGAAGCTGAAGATCTTCGAGTAAGTCCACATTGGACAAAGCATCTTCAAGAGACACATTAGCTGTCATTTTGTTATAAAATAGGCCTCGAAATACTTCGAAAATTTTCAACCCATCTGCATTAAATATTATTAATAACCACAAGCAGCCTGTAAATTGAAGATTTTCATATTACTGTATTTTCTACAGTTATCATAAGCCAGGCTTTTTTGTAGGCAGATAAATGTAAATGCGCCTGTTCATTTATAAAAATTGCCAATCTAGATGAATTATATTCAAATGTATCGAATATACGGTATTTGAATTGCGTTGAATCATTCATTCATAAAGTTCAATTTCATAATCTTCAATTCATATTATAAATTACTGACGCATTCACCAAATTCATTCTTTCCACACATTTATACAAAAAAGAATAATTGCAGAAAATTTATCAAACACATATTACTAAATTGGGCAAATATGAATTTTCCTTGCTAAATGCTATATCAGTATTAAATATGGGGTTTTAAGACAAAATGGAAAGTTGAAGTTTTATTTGAAAATATTACAAAGATATACCAAAGTGCATAGTTGAATGAATTAATATTCAGCAAAATTTTCAATAAAAAGTTACAGAAGTTTAAAAATCAAAAACATATTTTCACTCATTTATTGCGAAGAAGCTTTTCAAGCTTCGCCTTTTTGGGTTGGAGCCCTCGATTTGCTAATTTTAACAAACGCTTTTAGTGGATACTACTCCAGTAATCTGCAAGTGCAGTTTTAATGGCGACTGACTTTTTAACTGCCACAAACCAATGAGCTGCTATTACCGCGGCAGCAAATTGATAACCAATGGCAGGTAAAATTTTGCTCCCATAACCACGGAAGGTGGGCCGTAACGACAGGGCTGTCCCTTATGGTGATAAATATTGGGTGTGTTGGAACATTTTTCCTATGGATACAGTTTTGATGGATTTGGGGTTAGGGTATAAGTAGATATAATTCCTCATGATAAATTAAAATCTGGTGCATTGTTTTGTGAATATACCGTTAATACTGATTACTGGATAGCGCTATAAAACCATGGCGAGAGCTGCCGCGGTTCGTTCGTGGCAGGAGCTGCCATGAAGTGGTAAGAACTGCGCCTCGTAACCTGGGAATCAGATTGATAAACTATTGAGTTGTGTATTAAATTAGTCTTACAACTAATGAAAAGAGTTAGGTCTCACAAATGGGCGGCAACGAACTTGCTTAATGTTGAAAAAGCCAATGGACACCATGTTGTGGCAACTTTGGATAATAGGAATTTTTTTGTGTTGTTGCACCGGATCAAATAAGTCAGCTGTTATAGGGACTATTAGAATAACAGAATAAAACCAAAGGAAGGAATTTGAATGGCCTACCATACGGCATTATGTCAGCACAGCAGTATGTAGTATAGCGAAAGTAGAATGTAAAACTATCTAATGACTGAATGACATAAATTTGGTTGCAAAGACAACGTTACACCATTTTTCTGTTTTTAGAAGATTTCATAGCAATAATCCGATTCGACGCTGTGCAATGCCGGTGCAACCATTTTCTTCTAGCACAGCTTGGAGCTAAACAGTTGGGCATTATGAAGCTCAACAGTCGAAAAACATCAATTTGAAAAAAGAAAGGGACCTTGAAATGAAGTTGAGTCTGCCCTCAATTTCGTTATGTCAGTGTTAAGATCACTTCCTAGCTGAATATGAGTCAATTACCCATACTATTTGCAATTTACACCATTTCTGTTTTCACCCAAGTGAACTGATAGACTGACGAATTGCTAGATCCAGTAATCTGTATATTGCATAACGATATCACCTGGCAACAGCCGCTCATAATTCGGTTTTGAAGTTATAGATTTCACGTTTAATGGTTTTCCTGGACTCATAAAATACATACGCCTAAAAGTAGGAATTATATACCTGCACCCTAACAGCGGAAACAGTGATAAATGGGTTAAAATACCTATGTATGGCGCAGCAAATAAACAAGGGGCGTGGCGCCACCAAATCTAGAAACGGCATCGCGGGTTTACCCTTTGCAATCGTTTCGTAATATATGAGGTCACCACCGCATGATGTCACTAGCAAGTCATCATCAAAATCAAAGCCTATGATCAAAATCAAAGTGAAATTTTCAGTGTACTGGCTAACCAACCCGATACCGATATGGACTGGTGACCGGAGGATAGGCGTGGTTCGCCACGTTGTTGAACCGCCTTATCGGATTTCCCCATAGGAAGAGATATGTTGATCCTACCCTATGTTTTGAGAGTAGCCTTTGATTGAGGATAGAGGAAAACACTAAAAGTTTATACTTGTGCTAATAGTTTTAAGTCGGAAATTGACTGATACCATAAGAAAAAATATTTCCACGGTTTCAACAATTTCTCCGTTTGGTCAGTGTTTATAGATTTATATATATATATATATATATAACATACAAAGACATCAAATCAGAGTGTACATTTATTGAAATGCCAAAACTGTATTACATTTTATTTTTTTGTTTTTTCAATTTTGTAAATAATTAAATCAATTCTAGGAAGTCTATAGATTATGACTTAAATGTTTGGCTCCAACTTTAATCATCTTGGTCATATCTTCTTTAATATATTTTTTTCTTTTTTGTTCACTCTTGTTTACAAAATTAAATTTGGCAACCCTTATTTTTTCGTTTACTATGGAGTTTTCTTTTAGTCTTTCGCGGTTTTCTTACTTCATTCAATGAGGATATATCCAGTGGTGGGATTCAGCCGGTTTGCACCGGTTCTATAGAACCGTCTCACGGAATTTTATGACATTAGCGAACCGGTTAGCATTACTTTTGACTTTTTGTGACAGAACCGGCTTAAAAATATGGCTTTCTGTGATGGAACCGGCTGACAAAAAATTTGAATCCCACCACCGAATATATCTATATTATTATTGCTTTATTGTATTTCTGATGTCATGTATGTAAACAATAAGGATGTAAACATTCTGATTGATATGAATTAATTTATTACTTTTAGGTTAGTGAACACGTACCACTTCTATTAGAAAACCTTCCAAAATAAACTGTGTACGATATAAAACTTACTTACAATTTTGCTTGCTCTCCTGATTCTATAATTAGTTTTTATTTACTTGTTTTTATCAATAATTTTATCGTTTTATATGCTGATTATGCAGTCGAATGAATTTATGCTAAACTTACTTATATATAGATAAATTATACTCATACCTTACGAGCTGAGTTGCTATATTATTCGCTGTATAATTAAGACATTCTGATAAAATATCTTACATGTGACATTCCGTTCCGACCGTCGTCGGGTGCGGACGTGTCAGCTTGAAAAGAGTAGTGAATGCTACGCGTTGTATGTTTCGGTATCTGTGATCTGTATCGCGCAATATCAACATGAGCAAAGCCCATCCACTGGAATTAAAGAAGTTATGGATTGGATTGGATTTAAAGTTAAATGGTGGACGATTTGTCACGAGTGTATTGCAAGGTTTCGATCCTTTTATGAATCCAGTCGCGTATGATGGAACAGAGCGTAGAAAAGATGGGATCACTGCACCTGTTGGAATGGCTGAATGGTGGTCGTTCGTGGAAATTCGATATTAATGTTGGAAGCATTGGAACGGATACAATGATTTTAAAGTGAACAAATCGAAAACGACAAAAGAACCCAATACCCCAATCCATGATTTGTGCATAGACTGCTATGGAACATTCAATCCATTTACCAAGCTTGTTTTTTAGTAAAAAAAAATTTGTCATTATGTTATTTTTGCAATATAATTGAAGTAGACCCACAACATCACCATTTTTCGTCAGCGAGTGTTTTTTAATCCATATATCTGTATATGAAAAGCACATACACGTCTCACATTTTAATTTGAATTATAAGATATTGCCCGATGTCACATCGGGTTTTTGTTTTATTGTGTTTTGCCTGTTTTGGGAGGACGGGCACGTACTTGTACGTATTTAACTTTTTTATTAAGTTATGCCCGTCCTCCAGGTCCTCTGTATTTTGTTTGTCCCTTTGTTGTTGTTTTGTGTTTTGTTTGTATCAGAGTGACCGAATAAAATTGATTGATTGATGTTGTGACCGGGTAAAATACCATAGAAGCGTTTCATTATAAATTTGGATTCGTGGTCAGATATATTCAAACAAGGGAGCAACGCTCAAATATATGAACACGTGGACTAGGGCGAAGCAGGGTTTACCTTTGACGTTACCGGTACCCTCAGGAAGTTCCGGGTTTTCAGTCGCAAGAATTTTCACAGTCAGCCGTCACGATTGGCGGATTAAAAACCGTGTTCCCATAATTAAAAATTAATACAGCGCAATTTTGGATGAAATATTAGATCTTATAAGATTCATAGAAAATTCACGAATAAATGAAAGTAATAGCCTTCTGGGAAAAAATCAATCTTGAACCACTGAAAATTCCAAAGCAATTGGTCCAGTATTCGAAGAGAAAAGCGATTTTTTAATGATAATAATGACGAAAGAAAATAACATCAAAATTTTGAAACGATCGTTATTGCCACTAAACGTGTCCAATAAATCAACTGAACCGAATGGAGTAACCATTATGTAGTCGTTGGGAGTAACGGAATAAATTGAGGAAATTAAAATTTTTCTCGCCAGGCTGCGCCAATGATCACACAGGCACTCAGTCGTAGCCATAGCGACTAAACACGCGCTGCGCGCTTTACATGCTCAGTAGTTCCCAAAGTGACTATAAAGTTCTATATTTATAGTCACTTTGGTAGTTCCCAGCAGTACGAGGTTCTGGGTTTACAGTAGAACAGTAAGAGTCACACAATAATTTCGGCCGTCTATACAGGATTTTTTTTCAATTCTTTCATTTCCCATTTCATTTTTGCAAAAGTCACCCATCCTCGTGCTTGACTATGGTTGAAGAATGCACATCATCCAGCTTTGCAGCTTTCCTAATTTAGCAATTATAAAATTATTTTTATAGTCTATTAGTTAGTTTATTCTGCAATCACCGAGCACAAAAACTATTTTTCATGAATATGTTAGGGCCAGCTAAGTCAACGCGTACCGTATCTGCTTAAATTCCGCGTGTACGCCAAAGAATGTAATGTGAAACTAAGTGCCGTAAATGATCAAATGAGACCAAACAGAAATGTTGTGAAAATACACTGTCTGTCTCGCATTGAACGCTATCCCCTATTTAGCATTGAACATACCTGCTTACTTAGAAAATTGAGTTGATCTAGGTTTGATTTCTGTCAAGAATTTCCTTCCACGTCAAACAGACTTTTTTAGAAAAACATAAAGATTTACATGACCGAGGAAGTCTGACTCTGGTCGGACAAAACGTTACAGGGATACATTTGTGTTAGTCTGCATCTGGACTCTTTAATTGAATAGAACATTTTTGTTTGGCGGTATTTATGCAATTGCCGTACAACGTTCATTCCACACCCCTTTTTTCTATGAATCTCTCGGAATATGTGTATACTTTGATACTGCACTAAGTTGTATCTCAATTTTCAGATTTTATTGTTTATATCTTGCAAGAAACTTAGCCGGGATCAGAGAATCACATAAAGGATTAGAACATAACATAAAGAGTTAAAGGATTTTTTGTTATACCAAATCACTTTAAATTGTGGGTTACTGTCATCAACGTCAAACAAATCAAATGAACTGTATAAGTAATATTCATCATTACAAGTTAGAAATTGTTGAGAATATTACTCGTTTGAAAAGTTGTCAAATCATATTTTGTTTGTTCACATTTGAATACATATTACAATTTATTTGTCAAACATAGGTTAGCCCTGAATATATATTTGATATATTTCAAGGAATGTAACCCCAGATTATGTTCAGCTTTGACCAACCATATATTTATTCTAGGTGGGACGCTAATCAACGCATTTCGAGATTTTTACTTAGCATATCAATCTATACCTTATTGTCTGCTCATTCCAACATGTTTGTTTAAATTGTGTGATAGACATTATGCCCAAAAATGCTTAATTGTGTACAAATTTTATATTTTCCTAGATAATAATTGATATGATATATTTCTCATCTACAGTATTTTATTCATTTGTCAAATAAAACCCACTAAACATGAATTTTATGTTGCTTAACTCAAAAAGAATAGATGGGACAACATACAGTAACTTATAAATTGTGTACAGGATGAATAGGTGACAAGACTCACAACAATGGCTTTTTATCAAGATAATATACCTTTTATTCCATCTTCACCAAAGTTACCTGCTATTTCATCTGGTGGACTTGTCACTGGACCTGATAGTTTTGTTTTTAAAAGGTGAAAGTTTTATGCTATTCAGGGAACCATATACAATTTTGTGCCTATTTCAAGGTATAATTAATGTACATAATAATATTATTTAATTACTAAAATATTGAAATCATTAGATTTGCATATTATCCTTTTTATAGCCTTGTTCAAAAGGAAATATGGAACTTTTTTATAGGCTCACTGTCGTAGTGTATGTACCAGGTTAGATCTATTCCGATTTTCCTTATTTTAGTTCGGGGACTTTCTGTATTAGTCAAGTGAATATACCCTTCCCATAGGTTTCAGTCCCTTTACACATCTTGATTTAAAATAGGCGAACAAAGTTAGTTAAGTCCACATTGGTACACACATTTCTGGAGCGCCTTATTTTTTATATAAAAATATTATTTATACAGGCCTTCACATGATGACTGGACAAGTGCTTTGCGGAGACAAATTGACCATTCAATTCATACATCTGGTCGATCTCATCCAGAAGATATTGCTCAATTACACAAAGAACTTGTCAAACTCATTATCATGGCTTTGCAGCCAAAATCATCGAAAGAGGTTAGCATTGATAATATTTTATTTTTGACTATGATATTCATAGCTGTGATATATTTAAAGCATAACTTTATTTAAGTAATTCCAAGGAGAGCTTTTAACTTATCTAAAGAATTGAGCAATTTTAGTGTTCTTAGTTCAAATCTTGAAGTTATGATAGTTTGAAATGAAAAAGTTTCCGTAATTATTTTAAAACATATATTCTTGATCTTTGAGCCATGGAGAAATGGTGGCCATATGAATTATTGTGTATTTTGTTGCTTCCTTCAAGAACTTCAAGTATAAATACTTTAATTTTTTTTATCAATAATTTTTGACATTGCGAGTATGTGTCGTGTATTTCTATTTTTTTTTATCAGGTTTGGCTTGATCTGAATCATGCATTGGGATTGATCAAACCGTACGCAAACTTTCTATCTTCTGGTCATGGTCGAGTGGGATTGTCATTTCAAACTCAGCATTATGTTGAAAGAGTGTTTGTCGCATATCATAAAGATATAGCAGAATATTATGATATTCCTATATTGGAGTCATTGAGGAAGGTTTGCACTTTTTTTCATTTGTTTCATTTATGTGTTTAGTCTGTGTGCATTATTGTTTGATTGTACTTTCGTTATGGTCTTATATTTTTTGAATTATTGGCTTTTCTGTTAATGTCTTGTCTACAATATTCCTGATGTACCTGACAGCTGCTCAAATATTACTTGACTTCTTTCACATAATTGTTCTTAATTGATGTTCTTATTTAAGGTATTTCCAAATGAACTGTCTGCAGTGGAAGCAAAATTTGCTCGAATAACAACAGATGGATCTCCGTCTCCTGATTTTGTAATCAGTGGTGGAGGTTATTTACCAAAAAGAGGAAAAACACCACAGCCAGAAAAAGGTAACAAAGAATATAGAAATATGTATCACTGATTTTTCTACTATAAATTCACAATAATAATTGAAAAAAGAATAAATATATAGAGCGTATTGATTGGTTAATTAGCACTGATTGATGTAACTTCGGGTGAGGGTTCCAATGAAAAAACATCAAAATTAACAATGAAATACATTGTAATTTCGATATTTTGTGAATGTCATTCAAACTATATGATTATCATTGCACCTGATTTTTGATGCTAGCTCTTACAAATATTCCCAATAATTTTTGTAAAATATACGTCTTATATCGAGAAGCATGATGATTTTGAGTTCCTTCCATCCTTAAAAAAGTCAGTAAAACACTAATCTGCTCAATAGTTTGAAAGTTTTTGTGTGAAGTTTTCTTGTGTTATTCAAATTTTTAAACTAGTTATGAATAACTAGTTTCCAATGCCATAATTTTTCAAGGAAAGCTAGTGCAATTTTAGTTTTATTGTTTCCATTCATACAGATATTTTGAAGTGTTTACAACAAATTCATTTTTATCTTCTAATTCATTCAATGAGTAAACACTTTATTTTAGTTAAACATGAACCTATTACATCTATAAAACGATCTTTAACAATGGATTTACCGGATGGAAGACATCCTTATACTCTTATGCGACGAGGAGATGAACCAGAACTTTACTTCAGACCAAGACCTTTAACATTTGGAGATGTCAAGTAATTGGATAGTTTAATGAATTTTTGAGTTCAGCTGTAATTTTAGTTTGCATGTATTGAATCTCCAGAACGCTATTAATATTTTTTAAGTCCTTCAACTTATCTGTGTGTAATCGTTTTTCAGTCAGTCTATTCATGTTGTAGCTGGTGAAGCAGCTATGAAAGAATCACTATGGAAAGATAACCAGAGTGCTACAGTTGCTGCTCTTCAAGTTAATCTTCTACCTGCTGGTCCAACAATTCCAATAAAAGACCCTAAAAAGTACAAAATATAGCCTATTTTATAATTATTTTATAATAGGATTCTACACAACATTGAATTCTTCCAAATTAGATTTTTATTATTGGTCACAACTTCACTAATATCTCATTCATTTCTTGAACTCAATATCAAGATTTTGTATATTTTGCATAATACATTTTTTGGACTTTTACTGTGATAGTCAGATAGGTTTTAGTAAACAATTTTAAATTAATTATTTTTACTTGATAACATTTTTTACAGTGAAAAAATCATTTATACCCCTCTTAAAAATCCTAATTTTGCAATTTTTAACTAGGAAAGTAAACATTTCACATTTTTCCTGGAAGAGAGGGAAGCTGTTAAATTGGCCAAATCATATGACGAACCACATTCTCTTGTCTGTTTGAGAACCTCCCAACGCTGAGTGAAACTATGGTTGTCATGATCAATGATTGGGTTTATTCTTATCCAATAAACTTTTACTGTTTAGCCATCAATGGTAATTTATTTTCGTTACCTCTGCCTGATTTTTTCAGATGGGTCCCTTTGGCCACGAGTAGCTTAGAAGATGATGAACCTGTTAAGTCAGTTCCAACATCACCAAGAAAGCAAGCAGAATTCAAATCAATGACTGGGCGTGAAGCTGTGGAATATTTTATGACTGAAAAACATTTGAACAAAGTCAAATTTATGTATTTTAATATTGCTGTTAGCAGACATTACAGGTAAGATTTTTAAGAGTTGGGTCGAGAGAATGTGTTTTTTATGAATGTAATGCACTTGTCATGTCTAGGATTAGATACTCCTGTAGTGTGTATACCAGGTTAGGGTCAGGCAATAATTTTAATCCAATTTTCCGTATCTAGGTTTTTTTATTAAAAATCAATCCGATTATATCTGGACATTTTTTCTCAAACCTGATTCAAATTCACAAAACTAACATGATCTGTTTATTCTTTATTATACAGTTGTAAGTGATAATAAAATCAGAATTAGAACAAAGATAAAGCTAGGAATTAATGGATCAATGTGTATTTCAGAATGTCTTACATTCATTTTCTTGTTTTCTTACATAACAGTAAAATTGAAAACCCTGTCAACATATGTAACCTCACTTCTTATTAAATAGTCACAATTCATGTCTTGTGCTTTCAATTCTTTTGCCATTTCTTGTATCAACAGATATTTCAATGTGTTTAAAATCTAATTAATTGATTTGTTTTTTATTTCCCTCACTAAATTTTCGACTATAATACTATAGGTGGTGGCTGGCATTGATGACTTCTGGTTGTACCTCAATCTCATATTTTATGCTGAATCTATCTCATACCGTACTTTATTGTATTGTTAAGTGCAGTGAGTAATTGACTCAACTTGAGTTGGACTCAAGTCACTATTTATCTAATACTTGAAGCAACTCAAGTCATCAAAATAGGATTCTGCCTCATCTTCAACTGTCCCTCAACTTCAGATTTATTCAACCCATAAGTTGACACAGGGTTCATTAAAGACCTTATCCAACACTGCTACATTGTACTACAAAATAACAAACTCTCTAATATACTTTATCAAACAAATCTTTTTAGACCCTATGATTTGATATCCGTACCGGAAGACAAAGTAAAACAAGAACATTACATATTTTCAACATTTGGTGTTCTGCATGTTTATCCTGATGGTTCAACATCTGAAACAATGACTCTGGCAGATTGGAACAGAATGTCAGTTTTGTGGGGAGTGGTTTCAAAGCTTGGGTTTTTCAAGAACTTTCTGCTTTGCAAATCATTACGACAGTAAGTGGGTTTATTTACGTAGATACTATTCACAATTTGTTTTTTGCTGAGCATTATATAGGATAGGGGTACCCAAGCTTGCGACCCCAGGTCAATATATATACTTTTCATGAAACTTTGGAGCTTCTTTCACTGGACTTTTGAGTTTGGTCATGTGGTAGTATTAAGTTAAATAAGCTAAAACCAAACAGTGATGTCACAATAAGCACCTGAACTAAGCATGGGCCTGTTTTACAGTAAGCCATGGTACGAACTGCTGAATTTAACATGGTTTGTCAAATCTTAGATGATTTGTACATCCATCCACTACCATACCTCAGCGACCCCATGACCTGTTTGCGACCCTACCTACTTATCACTCCGCCCCAATTTGGGGTCACTACCCCTGGTTAGGGAACCCCTGATATAGGACTTGGTGAGTATTCAGGAGAGAAGAAATCTAATAAGACAAATATCATTCATGATCTGGCCTGCGACCTATCTCAGTATAATTAATCTAACAATGACAAGATTGTTTTTACCCATGCCAAGAATCAGGCATAAATTTGTTATAGTTTCACAAAGGTCTAAAAAGTAATGCTTGTTCAATTATTATGAAAATTTATTAGTAATAACTCGAATTAGGTCGTTTGATGTTGACGTTGTCAATAAACGAATCTTGGTGTCATCTCACCCATATTTATTTCACTTTTATTTATGAAATTCGCTATGACTCGAATTTAACTAGGGATTTGAGGTTTAGGGAATTGTACCCAACACTTCTGTACTTTACTATGGTGCTAAATCGATACCTTCAATATGAAAATAGTGTTTTTCTGTATTTCTTTTGTTTGTAATAAATGAATATACAGCCATGATTTTTCAATTATGGGTCCTTTTTCAGCTGGAGAAGAACAGTTCGTCGTCAACGCCTTATAAGAATGAGAACATATCTACAGTTGAATCTTCTTCACACTATACCTGAATTTGGTGCTGCGTTACTTCACATATTTCGATTAGTTGGGGAACTGATGGAAGTAAAAATGCTTCCTAATAAATCCTCTGGAATTAAACAATTACCACTTGTTTCTTTTTCCGCTGATGCTTCTCAGTAAGTATACTAATAGTTCTCAATTGTTTTTTTTTTCTAACCAAAAAGCATAGAAATCTTCTGTCATTAAATTAGTCTGTTTTTGAATAATTTGAGTGAATTTTCACCAATCTTGTTTTTATTGCAAAAATTGCATCAGTTTTATAAGTTATTCTTATTAACTCATCTGGCATTTATAGCTATATTATTTGTTTTTTTTGGATCTTTCATTTTAGAATATCATGCTGTATTCCAAATTGCATTGAATTCATTTTCTGACATTGAAATATTCTGATGTGACTCACAAGATCGATTGAAAATCACAAAAACACATGCTCTATGCACAAATTTCAATGCTTTAGAAATACAGATACAGAAATACACAGTAACATTGTTCGGAACCTAAAACTATATATAATTGTATCACAGAACAAATTTTGATAGCAGATGATTTGCAAATGGTATTATCGAAGATATTCATTGGTAATGGATTCCAAATGATGAAACCATTTTTATAAACTTGCCAGGGCGTATCTTAATTAGTGTTTTTTGTTGCAATATTTGACTTGAGCTTTTGTATTCTTTTTGATAAATATGTGTTCCTTATTGTTTTGTAGAAAAAGAAATGATGTTGAACACATGCTTGATGTTTTCTTCCGTTATTGTAAAAAAGTTGTTGATGTGACGAGACAAGAATGTTTTGATCAGTTGAAACATTATGAATATCAGGTATTCTTTACTAATAGTTATAGTTATATGTAGAATTATTTCTCTTCAGAGTAACAGTTGATTGATTGATATTGAACTTCAAGGTTTGAGTTCTGATTTTTTCATCATACAAGTTATTCCTACCATCTCAGCAAGGTGTAAGAAATTAAATGTCATCAACCTGAAGTCCTTTCACATTGGCTTGGATTTATTTCTTATTGACTGACTGCTTGTTTTAAGTATTTAAGCTTATATCTTACTAGTTACATGGAGCATTCTGAATATAACCAAATTCCAATTTCCCCGATGAAACATTAATTTTAATAATCCATTATTTTGAAATAGACTTTTCTGAATATAGAGGAAAATTTATTTAAGATTAATTTTTGGGTTATTTCCATTCGTCTGTTTAGACTGAAAATTTCAAACCGGACATTAATATATTTTTAACTGGCCTAGCCTGGGTAAACAATAAATAACAACTTTTAGGACTGTGTTAATTATTCAGAGCAAACATGAGGCGTTTTAATATGTTGTCTCATCACTTGCTCCTTTTTTAATTCAGAGTTGGTTAATTAGTATGAAGTTGCTCGTTTTTTTATTTTCCAACTATTTCTTAGTTAGTCACTGACAGAAATGTTATTATTTAGGCTCGCCACATGAAGTCACTTTTCAGCAAAGAATCATTATATATTCAACGCAAGAAAAAACAAGCTAGACTAATGAATCTTGAAAAAGCGAGACAAGCAATCAGACAACTTGCAACGTTTATTACTCTCGTCGATCAAGTTATTTCTGTACATCTGCTGCAGGCTTTGAGAACTTCAGTTCAGAGGTTGGTGTGTAATTGTTTCATTTTAAGGGATACTTCAATTTACTGGATTCAATTTTGTAATTTATCATTTCAACAAAGAATGGGCACTCAGGTTGATAAATTAATATAACAATACCATAAAATACAATTTTTTGAGCATAATTGTAAATTAGGGATGATTAAAATAGTGTAGCTAAGCAATCTTGATCAATTCTGAAAAAAAAGTTGAATATGGAAATATTTAATTTTTTTGATATTTGCAGCTTCAGGAACACACTCGTGATACTGCAGTGTCTGCATTCTCGTTTTCATTTTGTTATCCCAATCAAAATTCGAAATAGTTTCATATTGTTGATCTCTGTATCTATATTTAATACGAATTGTGATAATATTATATTTGTTACATTGTCAAAATGTTGTTTAAAACTGTCTCTGCTATTCATATAATTAAAATTTTATATTTCTTAAAGGTTTGTGTACGGGGTTTTGTGTTTCCAAGAGTATGAAAGTGAAGAGAGAGAGGAAGGAGGAATCTTAGATGATTCACATTCAACATCAACAAGCCCATCTAAGGGACTTCCTTCTACATATTCTACCAAAGGTAAATAAGTCAGAAATTTTGATTTTATTAAATTTAATTCTTTTGTTTAAGATATTGGTATAGTATGCTGATAAGATGATGTTTGGTGTTTATGGTTTTGGACTAATGGAATAATGATTTAAAGTATTATGGCATATTTTTTAAATTTTGTCCTGCTTGGTCCACGAGTGCCAGTTCAATACATCGGTTTAGTACTCTCAATCGTCGTTTACCTCAGGCACATCTAGCAACGCACATCTTTTTTTAACAAAATGCTAGCAAAAGTTTGTCAAGAACATTTTTCCAAATGGTAAATCAGCGTGGCGGTGTGAGTTGTTAAAGCAATAGACTTTTTTATGATGGCAACGCAGGTTCAAATTCTATACCCACCACCTCAACCAGTGTGTAATAAAATGGGCGGGCAAAAGATTCAGGTCCTCCCGGAAGTGGCTGTTTATGCATGCCTTGTCCGAAACAAAGGGTGTACAATACAAAGAAAATAGCATTCTGTCTCTTGTATAGTACAATGATATACCACATTTTCGTTTTTTTTTTAAACAATTATCCTTATTACTCTAGTATTAGAAATGGAGAAATATTCAGATACGCATTCCTTGCAGGGGACTCTACCACTAAAACGAATGTATCCCTCAAGTCAAAAGCATCTGTTTTCATCACAAAACTTGTATTCAATCCAAAGACATGTGAACTGGAGATGCAGCCTTCACCAGCAAAGTATGATATTGAGAAACTAAATTCCTATCTTTTTGTCTTTGTGTTAGACCTTTTGTTTTAATTGCAAGTATGCTGTAATAAGAATCAAAATGTTTTTTTGCGTGCAAAGCGTCCTAGATTTCTGAAACTTTTGGCCACAATCATACACAAAGTTCAAGTGTTAAATAAATTTTCATCATTTTCATGAGAGTAATAGAGAAATTTATGGGTTCTGTTTTTGGGGTCACCCAAATTTTTAAACAATTGCAATTTTTTGTTGTTGTATGGCATTCAAAGAAAAACAAAATGTAATTCGACATTGTTTAAGTTTCTATTCAGAAGACTGTGTGACATGAACAATAAAAACATTTTCAATGATAAAATACCCACTCTGTTCCCACCCATATCTATTCATGTTTTAAAAGTGATCACTATGATATTTGTTTTTCCTTTTTGTGATGGTTAACTCAATGAGTATACAACCCTTTGTTTTGCATTTCATTCCAAGGATCATCCTTTGTTTTTTTGACCCATCATGTAAGGTAGATAGCTCTATGGTTATTTAGGTTTTGTCTTTTATGTTTAAATGAAGCTACAAATCGTGCTTTTATAAATTTATTTTCACCGACTATATGCATTCAATATATTTCGTTTATATTTTATGGCATCATTGCCTTCTGATATACATTTGGTGTGTTTAAATTATGTGGGATAAGATGTAATTATTAGGAATATATATGAACCATTGAACATAAAAAATATTAAAGTACCTGGATAATTCCACTACTATAGAAATGTATGATGGGCCTTAGTCTGGTACAGAGTAATTATGATTACCAGTAATAATAATTCATTATTTTCTTTTTCATATTAGAATTTAAAACTTCATTTTTCAACAAATTTGAAAACTTCTTAAAATCCAAAGCAATTTACTTGCATATTCACTGCAATCCATGACATGGTATAAAAAAATGTTTTATGACACTCATTTGATACTACTAAGGTATATAAAAACTTCATTTTTTTAAGCTTAATTTAATCATTGATTCATATCTTCTTTTTAGGTTTAAAGAGGGAATTTGTTCATGTATCAGCACCGTTATATCAACAGTTTGTGATGAAGCTCATTCTATGAATATATCTGGTAAACCAAGTAAGAAAGATGTCACTGATCAGCAAGGATCTGATAAAGCATCAGTGGATAGTGCTCCATCCACTAGTTCGGAAAGATCGTCGATTGATTCACTCTCTTCTGATCTTGATGGACAAAATATGTATGACGAGGTGGATCCAGCAGAAGATATGGCAGATTTGAATGAAGATGGAAGTCAAGGTAAAGTTTGATGCTAGACAGGTATAGACAAAATCAAATATTTAACATTACAGAATATCTGAATGCAAGTAATTTTTTGGGTGTGGAATATTGAATTCATTCCAACTGTATTATACAGTCCATGATGCGCAATATATCTCAAGGCGCACTGTCAATAAACTGGACAAGTTTTTTATTCATTAATAAGGCGCACTGTGTTATAGGACGCAACAGATTTCAAAGCAATACCAGTATTGTTTTTTAGGCAATAAAGCATGAATTGATGATACCTGTTCCATACATTAGGCATGTGCCGGCTTGTAAGGCACACGATCGATTTTTGAGAAAAAGGGATTTAAAGTGCGCCTTATGGTCCCTAAAATACGATGATTTGATCATGCACATGTATAATCAAACAGGTTGAATTTTAAAATACCGGAAGGCTGAAATAAATAGTGGTTTTATTAGTTCTCTATTTTTACAGTTTCAGACATTTTGATTTTTATCCAAGTGCCTAATTTGATAATGCTACAACTTGAATTCTTCGTTTCTTAGTTATTTCACAGCTTTGATACTTTATTTCAATTACGAAGTTGATACACATGCATGCTCAAATTTTTTACAAAATCGCCTCTATCATGATATTGTAACCTATTTATCATATAGAAGGATTTTTCATTCTAAAACCTTTAATTATGGGAACCATGGCCTTATGGTTACCATTTTCGCCCAACTATGTTTGCAAAAAGCAAAAAAAAGGTTCTAACTTCGATTAGACAATGTTATGTTCAACCTATGCTCATCATATCTCTTCCGGTGCAAGGAATGGCTAGCCAATTTGGAAAATAAAATTTTTTCAAACCTCAAGTATTTCAAAGTGACTAGACTGTTAAATATTGAAGTATAAAGCACCTTTTCAAAAATGCTTTTCATATGTAATATTGAAAGTTCATTATCAATTATGGAAAATAATTTATATCACTATAAAAATTGTGGTCAAAATTTATTCTACTGTTCTTGAAGTATTTTCATAATTTATCTAGGATTTGGTGATCCAGATCTTCCTTCAAAGAAAATGCCAACTAAAGCAGAAGATAGCTTGGGAGTTGCTACTCCTAATCTTGTGCTCTCTCCTGAACCTAAAACTAGATTTGGTCTGATGGTCGATGGAGAAGGAGTCATGGGTCAATTCAATCCTCTTGACCAATCAAAATTGAGAAATAAACTAACCAATGACAGTGAGGTAGTAATTTCCTACACATATTATATATTTTAATGTTCAATGCTAGAATGATAATACTTCAGAAGAATTAATCTATATTGAAATTATTTCTTCATTCTCTCATAATCTTTCGGCTACTTTTTTCAGCTGTTTTCTGATATTTAACATCCATATTGAGGTAGTCAACCAAATTACTCCATCAACCACCATATTTGTATTCAATATTTACTAAATATTATCATATTCGATCATATTTCACAGATTTTAGAAGCAATGAAAGTACAAAATAATATTGTTGATGATGCTCTGCTAGATGTTGAGGCATTCTGTGTTGAGCATAATCTGTGGTTGGTGCCGATACGAAAATTCACTTCGAAATGGTCACAAAAGAATTTAGATGAATGGAAAGGAAAACCAGCAAGAGAAATTGAAATTTTGTTGAATCAGATAAAAGCCTGGAATGATCAAGTATTTTTTATTAATTAACATAATTTTTATTCATTGTTTTATGGCTGTTAATGAAATTTTTTCATTTGGGAAATTTTTCTCACTGACGTATTTAGTCGAAGAAAATTGAAAATTATAAACAAAGCTGATCTTCCAATATTTCTAATGGATCTAAAAAACAAATTTTATCTTTCGAGTAAATGTATCAGTTGGGCCTCAATTAATAATGTTACAACAATATACGATTCTTATAATGCAGATGAAATGTATTGGATCTAGTATATCTATAGAAAGTGTTCATGCAATAAACAAGCCATGATGTTTTTGTTATATATTTTGATTGCAATTTTTTTGAGTTGCAAAACCAGGCCAAATTAAAATAATATTTACAGTATTTTTGTGCATTGTTTTCAATGATCTTAAAGGCTTTTAAAATCAAGCTCTGTTCCTGCGTACCAGACCATTTCAGTACTTTATTCTGTATCTTCTATTTTGTGACAGGTGAAAAACATGGACCGATCAATATTAAGCAATAATCGTTTGCTACTTGTGGATTGTAGATGTCCACAAACTGATGTTGTTCCAGTTTTATCATCCATATTCAAACAATTGATTGGATTGGTAATGGAGCATTTTCTGTTTAAATATTCATATGTTTTCTATATCATCCTATATTTAAGCTGTACCTTTTTTTGAAGAATATGAATATTTCTCATGTGTTTGTTCATTTAGTGATTGGTTGGTTCTATTGGTGTTCCAATTATAATTGATATTTTGAAACACTTGTCAACATTTTTGACTTTTTTGTGTGAATCTTTACACCTAAAACAGTCTCTTACATTCTAGCTATCCTATCTATGCGATTAGACATATTGACTTCATAATATCGTGTTAGGATAAGTAATTCAGTTTTCTTGAAATCAATACTCCAGAGCAATGTTATTTTCAATCTTCACCAATTTTAAAAGAATTTGTAATTTTGTACAGGTAGCAGCTGATGCCAAAAATCTTTCTCTTGAAATAACAACAAGTTCAAAAGAAGCAGTCAAGGTTTGCAATGCTTTTTTCTTTGCTCAGTTTTCTTGTCAATGATTCATATATTTTACGTATAAGTGTCTTTAAAATCTCAGATGTATTCATATTAAATCGTACATAACTATTGATATTGCAATATGAGTTGCAATTTTCACCATTTCTCAGTGAAGCTATCTCTAAGCTGTTAAAATATTTTCAATTCTGTTGAAAACACTTATTTATATAGTTCGTATGCACATATTTTGCTTCCAACAAGGCCCTATACACGCCCTGCCACTGTTAACTCACAGTATGTATGGAGGTACTATTTTCGGAAAGACTGACATCTTTGCGGTTCGGCATGGAATTTTAAATTGAGATGTGTAACATGCAAAAAAGTTTAACGCTTTAAATCCTTGCCCAAATAAAAATCTTCCCAGACTCATTTTATATATGAAATATAAATAATAATTAGATATTGATGATTAATTAATTAGAATAAAATTATAAATAGGAATACTTCTAGTTATGACTTAAGTTACGGAATAACCATTTTAATCGGGATTGACAGGTTTTGGAAAACAAAGATTTGAACATGAAGTCATTTGCTGCATACGCTCGTAAAGTTACAGAATGTCAACAAATGAAAGATAGTATGTCTGGAAAGGTTACCTACATAAGGTTTGTTTTTCTGTGTGTGGATTTACCTGCCTGTATTTTTTGCGATTGCACAGTTGTTTATGATACTCCACCCATACTACCTATTCCATTTTGATTCATTTATTTTGGGAAATCCCTAAATTTTTTTTTATATATTTTTATATATTATGAATAGTATCAAGTAGTGCTATATAAAAAATTTATTGCAAACTTAAGATTGTTAGAAGTTATTTTTTTTAGAAATTAAGGTTTACTATTCTCCTTTTAAAAATTATGAAATCGTTATGAATTTTATGCAGAAAAAGATGTACTGGTATTCAAATTTTTTTGGAATCGAAATTAATTGCAATTTAAGAATTTTTTTTTATCAAATATGATGTTATTGAATTTCTATTGTAGCATTTATTCGACATGTTTTTAGGTATCATTATGTTCTTGTTGCATGGGGTAAATTATTGCAGAATAAACTTTTTGAGGAGCATATATCTTGAGTCATATTTTCTTCTTAATTACATTGTTTATTGTTTTCATCAGACAATTGTATGAAGTGGTGAGAATGACTTACAGACAACTCACACACGAAGAAGAAAAACTAGACGAAAAGGTTAAAACTGCATGGGAAGCATTTGTTTTCCAGGTCTGAATAGCTTATACTGTATTTTTTTGTGTTTATTACACAATACACACTATTATAATAAGTTTTCAATTTGATTTTCTAATTCTATTGTTGTGAGTCATACTTGAAAGTTGCGTGTTTATACCATGAAAATTCTGTGATATCCAGCGTTAGGTTTGGACTATAGTGTCTATAACAGTGGTTCTCAAAAGGTTGGGCGTGCCCAACAAGGGGGGCATAAACAATTTTTTGATGGGGCGTCAAGCTAATTAAAAATAAAAATATTTGTTAGATTTGATCTTGCCTGCCTTATTTTGGATATTTACATTTCTTTTTTGTTGAGAGATTGAAGAGAGATGTTGTGCTTATATCTTTATTATCCTTAGCGAGGAGCATGTTTAAGAGTCAACTTCATGCATGTTTATCATAGCTCATTGTTAGCTTATTATTTTTGCGGTGGGGGCGCAAGACATATTCTAAAAAAGAGACGCGACTTAAAAAGTTTGAGAACCATTGGTCTATAAATATATTTTATTCACTGATGAACTATTTACTCTTCATTTGACGTTTATTCTACTTAAAATCATAGCTGACCTACGCGGCTACGCCACAAGAATGCTTGAACAGAAGTTTATAACTGCAAAAATACATAGTACTGCTTCATATACTACAAGTTTTACTATGCTTTATCTGGAACATCAACGTGGTTAGATTATGATTAAGAAGGAAACCTAGTAAAATTGTGTTTTACTTTTACACAATAAAAACTTTGCTTTAAAATTCATGTGTTATATTCACAATTTTTTATACACCTTAACCTTTCAAATATTTCAGCAGACACAAGTGGGCCAGATGAAGCACTTCATTGGGTCCGTGGGCCGTAAATTGCCCACCCCTGGACTAACCTTGGGTGACATGGGGTTTGAATGTAACCTGTCGTGCCAACATAATTTAGGTCCAACCACTAGGCCATGCTATTATAGTTTAAAATATGTGAATACTTGACTATGTTTGTGTTATTTCAGTTGAAAGATGCAACTAACTTTGTTTCCAATCAACGTCCAATAATACTGAAACAACTGGATGAAATGTTTCAAGAAAAATATTCTTATATTATAAAATTAAGTCAGCAATCTTCTTCGGGATCAATGGTGGATCCAACCAAAAGTTCTTCAGAGGTATTATCATATTATTGAACATGGCCCAATTAATTTGATTCAGAAAATTCAAAACTTATAGTCTGGATTTACCTGAACCCAAAAGACATAGGTAGATATGGATCCAATCCTAATCTGTTATATGAATAATATTTCCGAATATGAAATACCGGATATATTCATTTCCAATATAAAATTATAAATAAGCCATTAGAAATACATAGCAATTAAACAATCAAGAAATTGTTATGTCTGACTAATAATATTTAATTATGAATGTCTTTGATTTATTTTGGACATTATTTTGGACATTCAGGCACACCAATTAAAAAAAGTGTGCTGTTGATATGCCTCTACTTATTTTACACTAATATAAATACTGTTCCAATAATATTTGGTGGTATCGATATAGGATTGAGTAGGCTACATCTCAATTAGATATGAGTACTGTATATTTATTATTGGTTCAATGAAATACTTTAATAAAATTGCTCTTTGTCATTCATGGTTTAGGTTATTACTGAATTGAAAAATATAATATCCAAATTTTTCGCGACCCGACGACAACTTCAAGATTTAAGTTCATGTCGTGAATCAGTCGAAGGAAAGAAATATGAGTTAGGAGAATTGGATGGTATGTCAAAAGTAATGGAAGATAGACTCGAATTATGGAAATATATTAATATCTCTACTCAAACTATAAAGGAATGGAAAAACACACTTTTCAGGTATTGTAAAAAATGGAACATAAATTAAAAAAATGGCCTAGCTGACTCCTCCATATAATTTAGCTTCCTTTAAAAAAAGGGAAACCTACGGTACTTTTAGTAATATGCTTTTTTCTGTTTTTCTATTTGGCCATAGTCAGAGATAGTCAAAAATATTTGGTCTACTGTAGTAGAGGAATATGAAAATATTGATATAAGCAAACATGTAAGAATTTTTCATCTATCGCAGGAGAGAGAAAAACAAAAAATTGAGAACTTAGTTTCAAAACTTTAAAATTTCAATTTTTTTAATTATATATTTGTACCTGGGTGTTGTCATTGCTCAATAACCAGCTAACTTTCCGCGACTTCCCTTCCTTAGTAAAACCATATGATTATCATTTTTTTTTAATTTGTATTCAATTGATTTTACTGGTTGGAAAAAATATACCTGACGTGTCGAATGGATATGAAATCACAGCTCTTTTGTATGGTTATCTGTCTTGGTTGAATATGGGATAGACTTACCAGTTGCTTGTTTCAGATTAAACTGACGTCGATGAATTTGATTGATACTATGTGAAATTTGATATCAAATCAACTTTATTGTATAATATAAACTAATCTCACCAACTAAATTGTAATTTTGAAAATTATAAATGCCTTTACTTTTATATGTTATAGAAATCGCAGGAGAAAATTAGCAGTATTGTGAGATGCACCAACTTGAACATTAGTTTTCTGTATTGATTCTGTTTTTAATGTCTTGCAGGAGGTTTGATGTACAAGTTGCATTGGATAAAATTCAAGATTGGCAGAGAGCAGCTCTAAAATTGCAAAAAAATCTTACTGAAGATGATCCAGTACTCCAAAACTGGTTGAAGGTATTTTATTATTTTGTCTAGTTTTCTTTCGACTGTTGTATTGGTGCTACTAATCTTATATGTACATTCATTCTTTTATGGGCACTGTGGCTTAGTAGTTACCACACTGAACTAAATTTGATGTTGTCTGGTTGGGCACTACTTTAACCTGGTTAGCTTAGCAATGATTATTTGCATTGTTTTTGCCCTCCTGTATGAAATAGGCCAGCAGTACTGGAAACTGTACCTCATTTATCAAATACAAGTAATAATAGAGAAAAAAAATTTGCCAGGATAGGCTGAATTGAAAATTTTGCATCTTTTGGCTACATGGTACAGGCTTACATGGAAATGCGTAACATCATAGATTATCATCAAATTATCTGCTGACTCATTTTCTGCCCTCTTATGTATTTTTATATAGTAGCAACCAATTCTGACAGTTTGATTACAGTGTAAAAATAGGTCGGGAGCCTCAATGACCTTCAACCTTTGTAGCTACTCAAGTAATAAAGCCTTGTCGGTAGTGTGGGGCTAATTCGGGTTTATTGGATGATCAAATTTAAATTGACTGCGTATGAATCATTCCAGCATGGTTGTCTGTTGCAATTAGAGGAGACAACATGCTAACTTACTTTTTAATTTATAATTTTGTTCTTCATAATTTTTACAGATGTTATCAGACTATGCATGTGAGTTACCACTCCTACAAATCATGTCGGATGAAGCTATCAAATCTCGACATTGGAAACAAATATTTACTGGGATGGGAGAATCATTTGAACCAGGATGGGCTTTTACTGTGAATGACTTGTTGTCTTACAAGCTATCGGAACATACAAATCTAATAAATCAGGTATTTATTGTTTCATTTGCTAGATGGAGAGAGATTTATTGGTATTTGTCAACCAGAAAATGCACATATATCAGTGATCATTGTGTGGACTGGAAGACAGTCATATGACATGACTGGTCTACAAAGTCAACTGCCACTCAATTTATATTCATTATCTAATCTAAACCTAGGAGTAATAATGCCAAAATGTAGTACACAAAATTGAATGAATTACTTGATCATGCTTTTCAGGGTATATTTTTCTATTGTGCACATTCCTATTGTGGAAAATGTATCAATTATTTAGAAATGTCTGTGTTGATTTTTTTTTGATCTGGTCTTTATTTGTTCCATCTAAGGACTCGACTCAAATTAGTCTTGTGTTACATATTTTTAAAAATAAATATTCAAAATTTGATTAGTCTTTATTTTGATATCTGAGGTAGTATGGCACAATCAGGACTCACATGGGTGTTGATTTTGTCACAGTGCCTTGGTAGGACTGCTTTTTACCTGGACATATATGTGATTTGAAATTAATTTGACTTGAGTCTGTTGTTTTCAAGCAATACAAACTTTTTGAAATTTTACAATTTGTTCTCGGAGTAGCAAGATCTCGATTTCTTGATTTCTTCATGAATAAAGCTAAATTTAAAATAAATTTAAAAATCAACTAAATTTGAACTTCAAAACTTCAGAATTTATTTAAACTACGATAACTTATCTGTAAATACCGATTATAAGCACATCTCCCCATAAGCTCTGAATGGAAATAATTAAATAGAATTTCCGTTTTTATATCTTTGCAGGTTTATCACAGTGCAATGGCTGAATTTACACTGGAACAAATGTTGAGGAAGATCAAGAACGAATGGGAAAACAGACAATTTCATCTTGCTAAACATATTCATGTTATTACAACTACTGTACAAGAAGAACCAAGTAATTTGTTTGATACTTCATTCTTGCCCAACAGACTATTCTGAATGACAAGTACATATAAGAAAGGATAAAAAGATGTATTCACCATGAATGCTAGAAAAAGATAAAATTTTCCACTCTCAACCCAAAAAGTTCGAAGATGATAAGAAGGCTCAATCATAAGATAGACCAATAAATACTCTTGGTCTGGTAACCATTCTAGTTCAGAAAAAGAGAATGGGAACTAGTTGATTGTTTTAGATGTAGAGAATTGACTTATGTAGAAAAGTTACCACCGACTAGTGACTGCACAAACCACTGTAGGTTGTTGCATATATGGTGGGCTTGCAGTGGCCTGCGTATCTACGTAAAATTGAGTCATGGCAAAGTTTAAAAATGCGCCCTCTTGGCCGTTGACTGACAATTTTTAACTACTGTTGTTGAAATAAGATACTTGTTTGGGTAAAAAAACGAGTTTCAATTATTCCCAATTTTAAATTATTTTATTGAAGCATTTTATATTTATGACTTTTTGCCTTTTTTGCGCCCTGTCCAAACGGCGCCCATGGCACTTGTCATGTAGCTCTTTATTGAATCATTTTATGAATAAAACTTTTTGCCCTTTTTGCGCCCTGTCTAAACGGCGCCCATGGCACTAGCCATGTAACTATTTATATATTAATGTACATGCTTTATTTTACACTAAAACTCAGTTGATTTTACCGTATTTACAATCAAGTTAAAAATTTTATTCCTGTAGACATTTTGCATCATCTCATCTTTTATTTTATATTTTTCTAGAGCAAGTGAACACAAAACCTCCTGGTAGCAGAGGCAGCAGAACTCGTGATACCAAACTAAACGCTAAGCCTCTGACAAAAGTTGTTACACAGGTAATTTTACCCATTTGAAGACATACGGTATTTCCCGGCGAATAAGTCGCTTTTCTAGACCCAAATTTTCAATCGTAATTCAATTTTAATATCTAAAATAGTATGTGCTGCGTTTGCGCCATGAAATTGAAAACTACACGAATAAAAAATAAATTTGATAGTATATTGGATTAAATGGCACCGGTATATTTAATTGTATTCAATTGTATTTACCGGTAAGTAATTTTATATTTTTAGTCTCTTAGAGCTTTTTCTTTTTACTTTTTTACTCTAGGAAAAAGACAGCGAAACCTATGTATTGGTGGGAGCTGCCAAATTATTGAATGAATTATCAGATAGTCATGTTGCATTGCAAGGAATGTTACAATCTCGACATGCAGCTGAAGTACAAGCAGAAGCAGAAATCTGGAGTGATACGTTACAACAGGTTTAGCACGGAAGTTTTATTTTTATTTATTCTTTTTTTTGCAAACCAAATTTTTTTATTGTAGGATATTATTCATATTACTGGTGTTACTACAAATGTGAATGAATGAATTTTAACCTAATGGTGCATTGACTAATCTTGTACAGGAATAACAGGATGACCCAAAAACAACAGAACCCATAAATTAAATTTTGAATATGTACCGAATAACCTGGATTCGATTTTTTGGGGTGACCTTGATGAGTCTCTTATGTGATGAATAATATTGTATTCTAACATTATACCCAGCAAGCAATTCTAAAATTCTGATGTAATATTTCAGGGAAATCTTTCTTTAGCAAAATTACAGTATATGTCAGGCCACTTCATACTTATACTGGCAAATTCTACAGTAAATGCAGTAATTCCAATCGTCTGAGTTTCTGAAATATGTCTTTTCATATACATCGAAAATTTTCAGTTTTCAAATTTGATTTAAGCTTTAGCCATTGCCAATTGGTTATTTACAATTTTGTTCAACAGAACCAATATTGGTAGTAAATCAAATTGTTTTTCCAAATTACTGTCTTATTCTCTATTTTTGTCTCCCCTGTCGATTCAATTTGTACATTAAATTGAAATTAATTGAATATTTTTGACCTAATTTAGATTGGGGAAATTGTCAACCTGTGGACATCTTGTCAAGATAAATGGATGTATCTGAATCGTGTATTTTCTAGTGAGTCTCATCTTTCTCGAAGATTTCCAGCACAAATATTATTGTTTGAAAATATTGACAGAAAATACAGAGATTATGTGAGAGCAATGATAAATGATCCAAAAGTTCTCTCTGTGCTTTCAAGGTTTGTTTTTTCAGATTTGTACTTACAGAGATTGTAAATAGAATTTGATTGTCTATGCCATCCTATTTGGCTTTTATTTATTTTGATTTATTTCAATTTACATTTTTATTTGACATATGGGAACACTTTAATATGACATTTGTGTCCATTTTCTTGTGTCCATATTTAAGCATTACTCTCTTGTTTATATAAATATAATCATACATTACTTTTTTGATTTGAGGTCACTCACTATTGTGAAAAAGTTGTCCTATTCTAGACAATTTAGTTCAGGCACCATTCAAAATTATTTTTATTTAAGTAAGTGTTTGGTAAAAAATTCAAATTACCCTCATTTGTAAATGTTTCTACCTCCATATTTATTCATGAACTGTATCAAATTTTGCATAGACGTCCTCCATAAAATGGAACTCTAGAAAAGAAAACTCTAACTCTAAAAATAGAAAATTGAATCAAACTGTCAAACAGAACCTAATATGATCAAGTGTTTGGATAAAGACAGACAACTTTTGCAGTCATTACACATCTCATAAAAACTGATGATTTTTTATTTACAATATTACCAGGCTTATATTGTTGTGAATTTTCAGGCGACATGGACAGAAAGGTTGGAGAGAACTGCAAGGTGAAAATTTGCGAAAACATATTTTGTCTTGCATACAAATGCAAGAAGAATTGTTGTCAAATATTTCATATTTGTTGGAGGAATTTCGCTCTGAATTTACAAGGTATTTCAAAACGCTTTGTTTATTTTTCTATTTCTGTAAATTTGAAATGCAATTAGTATGATTGTTTATATGACGTGGTTCATTTCTCTCTTAACAAAGCACTGTACAAACAACCATTGCTATGTGAGGAGCTACTATATTTTGTAAGGTCCCTAATCGTTCTGGTTCGGCATTGTCTTCCCAATTTATCACATATTAGTTGAAGTGGTAGTATTTGAACCCAATCTCATTCATTGAACTGTGATGCCAACATACTTAGGTCCAACACTCTAATCACTTGGCTATTGCTGTTGGTCTATTTTTTAAATTTTTTGTTATTTTAACATTTAATTTCAACTTTGTTTATTGAGAAACACTCTGTCTCTGTCCAATATAACTGTAGAAAACTCACTAATTAATAAATGCAACATACTGATATAGGACAATTTCCAAATGTTTGAAATAGTCAGGCAGACTATTGTGGTGAAAATCATATTTGAAGCGTTGCTGCCAATGCTTAGGTTTTATCTCTCTACATTTTAATTATCGTTTTCCAATTTGAATCTTTTCCGTGATTTTGTTAATAATGCTTATTGATTCTTCGAATTCTTTTTGTGTTCATACAGCATTGACTGATTTCTAGCCCAATGTATGAGTTAATACATTCATTATTTAATATCGCTCTTTTTCAGGATGTACTTTCTCTGTGATGAAGACTGTATTCGACTTCTTGCAGTTGCTAGGCAACCAAAGAAATTCTTGCCATATGTTCGTAAATGTTTTACCGGAGTATCATCTATTACTTACAAACTACCATCATTTGGATCAATAGTTAATTTAATGATGAATACATTGGATCAAGAACTACATTCACATGAGTAAGTTCACAATCGATTTTTTTAGACTGTATATGCTATTAATATTTTGTCTTATTCCAAATGATCTCGAAAGCTCTGTTCCTGTTTTCAGTAACCTATTTGACTCATAAATAAATGAGGAATCTAGATTAATAAAATTTCGAATCTATTTCAAATTATTTTGTGTATTGTTCACACTTTCTATTTGAACCACCTTGACAGGTATCTGGTATATAAATAGCGATAGTTTTTAGTCATATTAAAATGATGATATGATTATGATTGCGGATGTTTTAGTAACAATATAATAAAGATACTTCAAAGAACAATGTATTATTACTGATACAACCAATATCATCATGGTTTAATAAATAGCTGAGATACGTCTAGCTAGCAAAGTTGATCGAACATTGATTTAAGGAGGTTGGCTTTGTCATTTGATAAATCAATATAGCTCACAAGCACAGCATATTTAAGCAGATCTCTGTATAGAGCTTTGTTTGATGCAAAGTTGTGAAACACTATGTACAAATTCTGTATGTTAATTTTGAAATTTGCACCTGCTCTACTTCTGTAATCTCAAAATTTTTGAATGTGAAGTAATGAGATTGTATTCCTGCTAATAGACAATCTGTTACAGGCTTCAAGTTACTCAGATTCAAGGCAAAAACAAAGAAGTGATTGAATTCCAAAGTCCTTTATCTATACAAGATGATGCTACAACATGGATGAAATTATTTGAAGAAAAATTAACAGTTTCCTTGACCACTGCATTGCATTGTATTATGCATCAACGAATATTTGGTATGAAAAAAATATATTGTTATAACAGTAATGGAGTAAGGGTGTAGTGTTAAATATAACAATATTGATTGCCTCACTGTACAGCCTCGTGAAATTGTTAGAGAATAAGCAGGTATTAGAGATGATATCATGATGCTTGAATGTACTATAGATAGACTGTTTTGCATAAACGTGCAACACTTGCAGAGCATATAATCAGATTTAGACACCTGCATGTTGACACCGATGTCCTTTAGGAATAACACATTTTTACATTATCTGCTAAGAATTTTTTAATTTAAGGCTCCAGTCACTTGAGTGTATGGAATTATTTGTTTAGTAGGATTGTAATATTTCTGGTTTGTCTTACACAATATAGTCTATACATAATATACTGCAATATATTGCAATCGAGATGTATTGGTGGAGATGGAATCCGAAGTCTGGTTTTCTTACTTGCAGTACCCTATAAGTACTAAGAACCAGGCTATTGATCATTCATTCATATAAAATATAACTTTGAACAGGTGAACAACAATCACCATTGGAAGCATTGGAAGAACTGACAAGAAGTGAGATGGTATTTCACACTGATGATGAAAAAGATGAGACCTTCAAGTATTATTATTTTCTTTTTTCAAAGTATAACACTGTTAAATAATTAACAAATATTCTGAACTCAATTTGTTCACTTAGAATATTGCTACTGGATTGTCTTGAACTCTGAAACTATGTTCATTAAAAAAAAGTTTTCTCATTATGAGAGGAAGCATTTTAGACACTCACAGCGTCTCTTATCACTCCACACGGAATGGGAATACAGTGTGCTATTTTCTATAAGAAATTTTATTCGTTGAATCCATAATGGTTATATACTTTGTTAAAAATGTTTTCATAATTTTCTTTATCTAGGCATTGGCTGCTTCGATATCCAAGTCAGGTTATTCTACTTTCTGATTCAATATTATGGAGCACAAATGTTGATAAATTATTGAAGTCTGGTAGAAAGAAAGAAAAATATAAAAACCTGATTAAAGATTTGTGTCTGAAAATTAAGCATTACAGGTATATGTATACATTTATTGTGAAAATCTTTTTCTGGTCGCTATATTCAAATAATAGTTAACAAATAATAAATTAAAAATCATAATGTGAGCTGCAATATTCTAATCTATTACATTGTATATAAACGTTAAAAGAGTGGTTTTCAAAATTTCATGATCTATGAGTCCCAACACCCCTGATTATTCTATAAAAATATCATCTTTGCTTCAAATTTGATAATTTATTTTGTTTACTATGTTTTATAATAAATACATTGCAGTCAAAGAATTAAAAGCTTCATAGTCAATTTATATCAAATTAATGTGAACCACGAATGGTACCTTGAGAAGACCTTGCTCTTGGCTCCTAAAAACCTTCCCGTGCCCCCCCTTGGATTAGTCGAGTACCCAGTTTGAGAAACACTGGTCTAAAATGTCACTTTTATAATGATTGTGATAGAAAAACTCATTGCTCTAAAAATGATCTGCAAATAAATTATTGCATCTGTGTGTTCACAAATTTTCTTTGCAATCACTCTCAAAAGATATATTTTGAACAATGATATAGCATACAAAATTCAAATCCTATCTCATCTACTTTTGAAATTCATTTTGACCAACAATTTTAACCAGTATACTTTTTCGTTGACTTTAGCAACATTGTCAAAGACAATGCAAAACCTGCACAAGGTAACGATACTCGGGGAAGACTTCAATCTACACTTTCATCAGCAATATCACAAGCTATATATCATAGGGATGTTGTTCAATCACTTGAACGAGATAATGTTTCTGACAACAAGTCATTTGAATGGAAAAGAATTATAAGGTTTGGAAAATTATTGTATTTCAGCCAACATATAATATTCAATTTAATATAAATAATCATTGATCAACCCACATTCAATTGTACCAATTCATTCAACACAAATCTGCATGTGAGAGTCAGTTGTTATGGAAAATTTACGGTTTTGGTTGAAAAATGTGAGTTAACAAAAACGAAAAATTTCACATTTATTTTTTATATGACATATTTATATGCCTCTCGCTCTGAACAAGGCTCTGCACAAGTGTCTACCACGGGGTAAGAGGCTACTATAGTTTTGGAATGACCGAACTCCTTCTGCTACGGTCTTTTTTGCCCAATTTTTTACACCCAATTGATTCATCACACATCATTTGTTGGCATGTTTCTTCAAAAAATAATTCATCGAAATTATTATTTGTAGTACATTGCGTATACTTAACTTAATTATCTATCAATTTTTTTATGGTTCTTTGACTGGTGTTTATTTTCGTAAAATCGATACACACGTTCATTCACATTATTCTTGCACTTCTCAAAAAAGCTGCCTTTTGTGAAGATTCCAATTTATTCGGCAAATCCATATCTTTTAAATAACCTTGTTTAATACTGCACCTAATGCTCTAACAACAACAGTTATAATTTTAGTCATCACATTCCGAATTTTTTTAATCTCTCTTTTTTATCTTGATATTTTTCAATTTTTCTTCATTATTATTATTATTATCATTTTTTTCTTGCGATTCCATATTCTTCTTTTTTATCAGACACACAATGGATATTCCAGATCATGAGTTTGATATGAAAATGTCAATAAAATCCTCACAATTCATCAAATGTTTTGTTGAACATATGGGAAATCGTGTTGCTGAATATGGAATGGAATATGACAGTTCACCAACTGATCAAAAAACGAAATCACATCCCGGAACTCCATTTGTAATGACACCATTAACTGAGAGGTATTGTATAATTTTGAATGTTTACTTCAATCCGACATTTCCCAATCGTGGAGGAATTTTGCTTTATCACTGCTGTAGTATTACTAATATTCTTTACTTCTTATTTTACTATAATACTCATTTATAAACACATTATATACTACCGGTACTTAAAATGTACAAAGGCTGGAGTTGACTTGCGCATAACACCAGATAAGTAGTATTTCTTAAAAATTAAAAACAAATAAATTAGTTTTATGCATAGTGAGGAAGGATAAAGAGTTCCAAAAAAGAAATTTAACGTAAAAGTTTGGGAACCACTGCTCTGGATAGACATCAACTTCATGACTTTGATTGATTGTTTTTTACACTGGTGTGATATGGATTCAAGTGTTGATGACTTATTCTCGACCCCATTCGAAGGAGTAGATATCTAATTCAAATTCTGACTATCAATACTGTTCATCATTACAGGAGCATGTTTTCTCTATCTCTTGCAATGCAACTTGGTAAATGTGGGACTCTTGTAGGACCAACTGCTACTGGGAAGTCAAACTTATTAAAGCAACTTTCTCGAATGTTTGGTCGTCCTCTCATCAATCTCAATTGTTCAGAAGAAATTACGATATCGGTGCTTCTCAGGTTCAATTTTTGTACTTTTATATTATAATATCTAACCAGTTTGAGATACAGTGACCAATGATAATTAACCATATGTCAGGGGCTATTATTTTTTAAAAAAATGTGATATGAACATGATACATGTAGCTTGCTATGCCAGTCTAACACTTGAACCATTAGGCCATCGTGTGCACACTGTTTTGTCTCAGTATTCTCAAGTCAATATAACAAAGATCATTTATTTAATATTAACTATGAATTACAATTCACTCCCTATTGATATTAGTTGTTAACCTAGTTGATTCAAGTTAATTCTGTTGTTATTTGATTAGTAATAATTTTCTCTTATTTTCAGATCTTTATGTGGAATGGTTGAATCTGGTTCTTGGTTATGCTTTGACCAAGTTCATAGACTTCCAATTCATGTTTTATCCGTCCTTGCCCAACAAATCCGTCATATACAACTAGCTTACAGGTATATAAATTTTCTTCTGTGGTGGTTCATGTTATCTGTAATAATTTTGGGTCATATTGCTATTGAGAAACATGTTACAGCATCAACATTACCATTTTTCAGCACATTATATTCATCCACAAGAAGCCAATATTCTATTCGAGGAAACTCACAAAAAGAGCAAACAACATTAATGGTTAGAAATTTTTTTGTTGCAACGTTTCCACCCCTTTAAACAACCAGCAACTAACAAGGAATTATTATTTTCTGAGAAAGAAAATGAATTTGGAAACTCATGTTCTCTTCTTTTTTTTGATTATGAAATTCAATCTGGTACATTTTATTCTATGAAATAGTGGTTGTGTGAACTATTCATTGGGCAATGTCAGCAAACTCTTCTTGATCATTAACCCACGCTTGTCCTACTGTGATAAATTTTTGAAATATGGATATGAAGTGGAATTCATGCTATGCTCTGGGTTACGATATCTATCATAATTTGACAAAGGGTTTAATATTCTTAAGAAGTGAGATTCATATAGTTGAGACAATTGGAACAAGACGAACAAGTGGAGAATCTTTCAATTACACCATATATACTTTCTTGTATAAGCGTTGGGATTTTTTATAATATCACTAATTTTTTTTCCATAATGAGGACGGATTTACCTATTTTTCAATTGAATATTCACAGAGAAGCAACTCTATTCCAAGCTTGCACTGTGATATTGAAGAAACGCCCAATAAAACACCAATGAATCAAACAAACAAATGGAAACCAAAGATCAGTGATTTTCACTTGTCACATTTATCAAGACATAAAGAAGATAATTTATATGTTTCTAAATTTGATAAATCTAACACGCTCGGAAGTATATTGTTTAATGGAAGACTTCTTCAAGCAAAACCAAATTACGGATTGTTTATGATGTTGACTCATAACACAAGGTGATTATGAAATGTGAATCTAAAATTGTGATATTTAAATACATTGAAATTTAATATGTGGTTTGGGATTTTCTTCATTCTATGCTTCTTATATCACTTTACAGCAATGAGCCAAATAAATTCATATTGTGTAATTGCCGAAATATTGTCATTTTGCTTTGCTTGCTAATGCTTGAACAACATGGAGTTTAGTTAAAAAAATAAGTCTAGTACCATCCGCTATGTGCTGATATCTCTGCCCTAAGGATAGTTTTTCGCAATATTTCATTAGTGGTTGTTTGTTTGCATCTCTTCTAATAGTACTTCATCTACTTAGTGGAGCACATTCTCTGAGAAACTTTTCTAAAATTAATAATTATTGTTTTGTTCTTTTAGCTCTACTTCATATATTCCACATAATATGAAACTTTTATATCGACCAATTGCACTGATTCAACCTGACACAGAGAAGATTATCGAGGTAAGAATTGAATATCTGAGATATACAAACGGCCAGTTGTTTGTGCATGGGCCTAACTAAGTCGTGATCAAAATGGTTTGGGAAAAAGGAAAGCTTCTGACCGCTATTGTTGTATTGATAACAAGACTTTACACAGATCTCTCACATTTTTCGCAATTTTTAATTTAGATTTCATTTAGACACATTTTAACATATAAAAAGTACAAGTCTTTAGATAATACATTGTACTTGGTCGGCAAAAACGCCTTCTGTAACTCCCCCCCCAAATATCAATCCTGATATATTATAACATATTGTTCTCTCCACAGAGAAGATATTTTAGACTGTGATTGGGACCGTATATCCATCCCTAATTATTCATTGCTAATTCTAGGTGTGGTTGACTGCAAGTGGATTTTCTAATTCTCCAACTTTAGCTGGAAAAATATCGATGGCTATGAAAATGTTGAAAGGTGTAACTGGTAATATTAACAAAATGCCTCATCATCTATCTGACGAAGCAGGATTGATCAAGGTAAGCATAGTGTTTAATAATAATATTTTATCTTACAGCAATGTACATAGATAGTTTCTTCTGAAAAATGAAAACAATTTTACTAGGTGATTTATGGGAAGGTTGCGAACCGCTTTCTGTTATGTACAAGGGATCGCTACCAAATACAATGTTTTTGCCAAATCTGCACCAGAAACTGTTTCGAATTTTATGGAATAAAGTGAGATGTGCTCGTTCAAAAGTTTTCATGCATATGAGTTTTAATCTTTTCATTGAACTTACCAAATGGCAACTTTGAAATGTACGATAGGTGAATGGTTTTTGAAATGAATAAAATCATTCTTTCATATGAACAAGATCTTGTAATACCTTGTAGTCTGGTTTATACAGTTGTCCTTGTTTGTCGTCTTATTCTAGCTAGACCACAATGACAAATATTTTTTTCATACTTTGATTTGATATTATGCATTCAAAGCTCATGAATCCCCAGTCGGAAACCACTGCACTGAGTTGTTTGTTTTGATATGATTTTTTACTCTAATCAACTATTTACTTTAGATTGCCGATGTTTCACTCAATGATATCAGATGCATTATTACAATGGCATCTTTACAACGACAAACGTCTCCATCATTACCTCAGAGCAGATCTGATTCAGTGACTAGCTTAAACAGCAGTGCTAAAAGCAGTGTATCTGGATCAGTGACGAGCAGTACTGGTCGACGAGCTGCTTCAACAAATTCTGAAACCTTGTTAACTCATCACAATGAAGAACTTTCAATAGTTAATGCTATTGTCCAAATATTGTCAACTAAAGTGAACAGGTTAGATTTTCTGTTCTTGGCCCTTCAATGGATTTCAAAATTTTTGCAGTTCTTCTGATTCATTTATCAAGGAATATGCATTGGACTCAGTGGAAAATTTAATAAGCTTCTGGAGGAGCAATTTATTGTCTCGTAAATTGTTCTACTCAGTCTATCGAGGTATCACTGTATATGCAAAAGAACTGGTGGTATCCTCGCCATTGTAGGTTATTTCATGTAACCACTTGTCATTTTCAGCTTCGTTCATTTTCAAACTGATAAATCATCCCCATACCCAACTTTAAATTATAACTGAACAAAGCCATGTGGTTTGCCATAAGATTATGCCATATTACAGCTTTTTGACACTTCCAATTGAATATGAAAATCTCATCCGATTCCTATCTTCTATATTGGTATGTATATTTATTTTAGTTCACATGCAACACTTAAGTTGAAAGATGTTTTGAGAAGTGTATTTCCACTTGTATCAAGACCTATTTCTGCAACTGAGTTGGATCAATTATTACCAGGTAAGTTATAGGGCAGTGGTTCTTAAAGTATGGGTTGCGGAAGGTTTAAAAATGGGTCGCGACAAGGTCGTCAATGCAAGGGCAATCTAAGAAGGACGAATTTTCAGCTTTCCCAATGTTTCAATTTAGCTTATAAACTCTGGTATTTAAAAATAATGAAATATAAAATTTCATTCACGGAAATAACTGTCTTGAGCTCATTGTTACATCACGATTCTGATATGCCAGTCCTGTGTAATATTTTTATGGTATCGGTAACCATGCACGTCGCTTGTCGTTGTGTTGACCGCGTGGAATGTTGTCTTAGTGGATTAAAATAACCAAAAATGGGTGTCTTTTTGGTGATGTAAATTGTAATAGACGACGCAATGAAAAAGCTCGCTTCTCGACATTAGATTATTCAATATCTAGAGAAAATGCGACTTCATCTCGAGGCACCATTCACCGCGAACGAAGCAGTGTGTGCACATTTGATGAGTAAAAAGTTGTATATTGCGAGAGATACCGAAGGCCAGCTAGGATGTCGTGTTTGCGACGGACAGCGGACGCCTTTTCTGCTACAATTCGCGACAAGGCACTTGTGCGAGCGAGGATGCTAAGCTCGTAATCGCCTCGATACCCGTGACAACTTGCGTATTGCGTTAAGTAAAATAGAGCTGTGTATTGAAGATATAATGAAAAGGAAATTTCAGTTTCATCAATCTCACTGAGTCAATGGACTGTTTCTAATAAATAGTTGTCTGTATTTGAGTCAAACTGTACTAACATGAAAAACACATTTTGCGTTATTTAGGATTGGGTCGCGAGTATTCATAAAACTCAGATTTGTGTCGCGCTGGAAAAAGTTTAAGAACCACTGTTATAGGGTATTCTAGAACAGTGCTCTTCAACCGGGTATACGGTATACCCAAGTGTATACCGTACCATAAGTTGGGTATGCAACTGGTAAAGGGTATACAAAGGGTGTAGAGGCCTAAGTCGGAGATTCTAAACTCTAAAAAATAATAAATTATAAAATATCCAAGCGGAGACACCAATGCAAACGCGGCGCACATGAAATATAAAATGTCATTTATGCAAAGAACTGACGTGAGCACATTGTTACATCACAAATTATATAGATTATGCTGTCACATGTCTGGGTTGGTGATTTCGGCTGCCATGCACCCCGTTTGATTTACGTTGAACATTATTCCCGTTGACGCTGAGGCCGTCATTCAAATTTTGTATATTGTTTGTTTACCTTCGAATTCATTAATACAGTGCAAGATACCAAACATAAACGATAAATAATGATATTGGCAGATTTGGACAATGGATAATCTTTAAGTAGCTGACAATTTTATATAAATATTAAACACAAATTTAATCTTGTGCAGTAGGATAAGATTCACATATTTATTCAGGGGGTGAGAAAAGAGGTGTGACGGCGGTACATAAACCACCCTATAGCGACGAGGAGTCCAGCAATCCTCTCGCACATAATTTTTTCCCCATGGGATTTGAACATGCGAAACCACGTAGGGTAATTGGAGGTGCGGTGGTGAGCATATTTCTAACGCTTAGTATGATGCACCACACAGTCCGTAATCACTACAAGACTAATATTTAGGAATACAGCAAATTCATGAAACTCACATAATGCAATTTCAGAAGCATTTTAAAATGTTCTTTGGCGTTTATTTGGTTAGTTATGCATTTAAATGACATATAGTACAACTCTTTAACTGCCTCAGACATAATTACATTAAGCTGAACTAGAAAATTTAAAATATTGTTATTAGTATATGGAGTCCTAATGAGTATTTGATTTGGGTTTCTATTTTTATTTTGTATGATTCACTGATTCTGTAGCTATTTTTGCAAAAAAATCTTGATTTATTTTACTTTCACAACTGTCATATTTGTGAAGAATATTACATTTCTTGCAATAGACAATCGTCTTGATGTTATTTTAGATTTTTGATAATGATGATTATTTTTCCCTGACAGAAGCCATCAATCACCAATTGCAAATTGATGGACTTCAAGCAACAAGTGAAATGGTGGATAAAACTACTCAACTATACAATGCACTCAAATTGAACAAAGCAGTAATAATTGTAGGACCAGCTGGATGTGGAAAAACAACTATTTACAAGTAGGAATATACCTATATTATTAATATATAAATTAATGTACTGACCTTATAAATGAAAATAAAAAGCTAATTATAAGTTATTTTTTTGTGCTATAACTTTCAATAACTTTACAATATTCAAATCAATTCCATCTTATACTCAGTGGTTCTCAACCTTTTTTCCAAGCGACCCAAATTTGTTAAAAAGTACTTTTATGGTCGCAAAGTTAGATAGCTGCGCTAGTTTGCCCTCAGCGAAGTTTTAAAATCGTGGCATGGTTTTACTCAAGCAAAACAATATAAATACTGCAAAGTTTTTATGCTGTGATACTTCTCATATAAACATTTACTGTTGAGCAACATTTCAATACCAAATATAAATGAAACAATAAAATTTACTGAGAAAAAACAAACAATATATTTAGGATTTTTGTTGAAAAAACAAGCAACCCAAGGAAAGTTTCACAACCCGTAGATTGGGAAACACTGGCATACCATATCACATATAATTTCATTTTCGCATTTCACACCTAAAATCATAGCAGTATGTGGACTGGAAAACTGAAAAAAAAACTTTTGTTTATTGCACTGCGTGTCTTTTTTACCTATTTATTCTTTTATATTTATGGTACTTCACTGTTCTATTTGTCTGTAGCAGTGTTTACGAATGACTCACTCTTGTAAATTGGTCAGATGTAGCGCATATTTCAGTACTAAATGTATTTATCACTAGGTATTTGACTTTATGGAACACTGGTCTAATGTCAGTAAAACATTTTATTATTTTTTCATTATTCAGAACTCTAGCACAAACAATCAATAAAATTTCATCAGATCGGAGAAAAAAATTTTTGGACATGTTTCAAGAACGAATTGCTTCGTCTGATTTTGAACTGGTAATTATTAGCAGGCTTGCAGAAATTTATTGCATAATATACACTTTCTTTTTGTTTTAAATAATGTCATATATATAAGCACTACTTTAACTTTGAGAACTATTGTGTTTTTTCAATAATTGCCAGCCTATCGTTTATATACCTTTTCAACATGCAAGCCTAGATAACTTGCTTAGCATATATATCAGAAGGAGATGGTGTTGATCACATATAATTTTTTTAATACTAGGTTAGCTTTAAATGATTTCAGTCTTATGTTTTCATCAAATAGTTAATTAATGGAGTCTTTTGTTTTTATCTTACGCGTCTTTCATATCTGGTTGTTTTCACTTGTCTATGTTTCAGAAACAAAGCAGAGATGAACTGTTGTCTTCTGGGTCAGAGTTACAAACTGCTCAGAGTATGTTTTTTTATGGTTCTGTTTTATTCTTTTCTCTGCTTTATTGGTTGTTTTTACTGCTTTCTCAATTTTTCAATGTTATATTCTGTAATATAGAAACTTTACTCTAGCCAATAACAACTTCAAATTTTTTATGGCAATTTTATGTTAGCCAATGCCTCTGTATGCATAGCATATAATGTTCACATAACATGTAATCTATATTAAAAATCAAAAAAGAATAATTTTTTGTTGAACACACATAACAAATAAAGAAACGTGCTTGCTAACAGCATTTCATTATGATATTTGATCCATAAACTGGTAGTTAAGAACCACTAGTGCACAATATAGCCACTCACCACTATGCCTAGAGTTTTTTTTCATATATCATTATAACTGAAGCAAATTCGTATTTCTCGAAAGTTTAAAAATTATTCAAATATGAAAAATGAATGAAATCTTAGATTTTTGATGACTTTAACGCAGTATGTTATCTTATATTATTTAGGTTGTTACGGTTATCAATTTTTTTGTAAATAAAACCAGTGGTCCGTCTTCTTAGTGTTTTTAACTTAATATTTTTTAAAGGTGGACGATTTTCTGTCATGGATTCTGAAATTGATGAAAAAATAGATCTGACTGTATTATTCCCAAACACATTATCTGTTGAAGATTTGTTTGGCTACCATGATGCAACAACAAACAATTGGAATCAAGGTGAAAATTTGTAGATTTTCTCTGAAGGATACAAAACTTGACTTCAGTATTTCACTACATGTGTCTCAATCGACAGAGTGTCGTCAATTTTTACAATTGTGATATTTTCAAAAAATTTTTCATAAAACATTCTGATTTTTGTTATTCAATACATATTTTAAAATGAATTGATATAAAACTAATCAGGGACTGTGTCTTAGCTTGAACAATACTTTAGCTGTTAACCAAGTCAAATATCTTTCCTGCACTATGGTAGCCAGAAAATATAGTTTTACATACATTCAGGTAGCATTCTATTATATGTTCAGTTCTCAGTAAGCTAATACCGTATATATTTTTTATTCAAAGGCATGATTGCTAAGATACTGAAAGATTATGGTATATTGAATAAAGAAGATTCATCTGTGGGTGACAGTCAGGAAAAAGTTCAAAAACAGGATCAAGTTTTTGAAGGCCTGAATATGAAAGCCAAAGACAGGTGACTTAAATATTTTCAGATTCTCATTCTTGTTGTTTATGATGGTCATAAATATATATTGTGTTTCATACTCTCCTGTTTTAATACTCTTCATTTGCAAATACTTTAAAGGTGGAAGCGTAAATGAACCTCATAGCTTTATTGTAGTTTTTGTTTGGTTCTATTTTTATTTCTAAAAAATCGCTTCTAAGATTCCAAAATTTAATTTCATCCATTTACATAGAATATGACTCGGTACTTGTTTTGTGATTATCTATCAATGATGCCTAATGAATGTAATTCAAAAATATATACCTACAATTATTGATACTAAAACTGCGATTTTCTTAATTCAAATAGTGTGTATTTTACCCTTATTTCATGAAATTTGTTAAAAATCCAATGGTTTTTCAATGCATTTGCTCAAAATATTCTAAAGCAAAAAGAACTGTAAGAATGAATACTAAAGGTTGGATTTTCATTAGAAATTTTAATCCTACCTGACTTTCCGATATTAGTCTTCATTTGATGTTGTGGAAATAATTTTACTTACGGTACTTTATTTTTAGCCTCAAGAAATGGATCGTTTTGGATGGTGAAATTAATGCACCTTGGATTGAAAATATGAGTTGTTTGTTGGATGTTCATAAATCAACAAGACTCACAAACATGGATGATCTTACATTGAATGAATCGACTAACCTTATATTTGAAGTTAATAATTTTGCTACTGCTTCTCCAGCAATGATTACTAGGTAAAGTGTATAATTATCTTTATAAATTTCATGGATCATTTAGTTTAAGACTTGGATGTAGGTTGCATAGTTTGTGATGCTTCCAAAAAGGAATGGTTATTTATTTATTGTACGTTTGTATATAAATATTTTCACAAAGCAATGCCATAAGAAAATACTCATAAGTGCAAGAATATCGCTCAAAAATCAACTTGCCGACATGCTAAGAGTCAAAAAAAGGCTGTTGACAATAAGACAAAGATTTTGCCCTTCACGATTCTGCTTTTTCCAAGTTAGTGTTCAAGTTTCTGTTCAGATAATATTAATTGATGTGAAATTTGAAATTCAGCGTGGTTAGTGAAATAGCTTTCAGTTCATAAATTTCTTAGACTAAAAGGTTTTACAAAAGATTATGTGCACCACGTTATTTCTGTTGTGTTAAACTTTTGGAAAGAATCATATTATTAAAACCACGTTTATTACATCAAATTTCTTCCTTCCATTGGTGGTAAATAGCTGTTCACATTATTCTAATTATTCATGCTCTATGGCACTACTATTCTCTGTATATACAATTGTGGTAATAACCAATGAATCAATGACACCAAACGCCATTTTCTTCCAGATGTGGAATCATCCATTGTGATGCGATGAATCAATGGCAGTTGATGATGACAACATGGTTAGATACTGCGTATGGTGAATATGCGATCACACAACGTACTATTAAAATATGGAAGGAATTGATACATGAGCTTGTTCCTCAAACTCTAGCTTTTCTTCAGCATATTGGACAAAATATTACAAACTATGGAATTACATATGAACAAAAGGTAAACAATATGATATTCAAATAGGATATCAAAGTGGGGCCAATATTAAAATTTGTTCAAACAAGTCAAAGATAAAGGAAATAATCAAAATACTGCTTTTTTAAAATGATTTGTATTGAATTTTGTTGTATAAATTTTGCATCATTTCATCCTTTTCACAAAACGTATGGACTTTATGACTATTCGAAATTGAAATTATTGGATGGGTAGATTTATAGAATGTAGGATTATATCTATAAAAGCACATGCCTGAAGATTAACCTAGTAATTCAAAATACCCAATTCATTATCACAAATGCAATTCAACTTATGCATTTAGCTATACTCCTATAAACATTGTTATTCGTTCATATCATCTGGAAGTACTAAATTGTAATTTGAGACCACTTTCACAATAAATCAAGCTTAATCTATTTTTTCATATTCATCTTGTCTTAGGTTATTTTCGGCCTCAGAAAAAAGCTTAAAAAAGAAAAGTAATGACTTTCCAGCGACTTTTTAGTCTTATTGAAGTACTGAATTCCATTGGTCTAATAATTGCAGAGACAAGCGATTTATTCACAGCAATAAGAACAATAACAACAATCTGGCAAAATGTTCTCTATGTACACTTTCGTGTCTAATAAAGGCCAATCATATTACCACTGATGATTTTTGTGTGATAAAATGGCTTGGAAGTTCTAGTCATTTTGTTTTTGGTTTTTATCAGGTGCAACAATCTTCATCCTATGGTGTAGCTGAATCTTCTTCATTTCTTCATCTTCTTGGATCTTTGTTGAATCTACATTTAAAAAGAGATTTCAGCAATAGGGAAGTAGAGGATGGAGATAGGTGATTAGTTATTACTTCACTATTAGTTTTTCTTTAGGTTTTGTTAAGGTTGGACAGGGGTTTAATTGAGATTAATGTTTTGATATGCTCTATAGGAGGTGATTTTTATTCAATTGTGTGCTCTCAGCTTCAAGTTGCATTATAGATTTATAAATGAACACAAAGAATATTAATTGCAGTCATTAAGAGGCTGGAATTTAATAGGAAAATTGTTATTACCGTATATCAGCCACAAACTGCAATCGAAATCTATCACTATGGGGTATAACAAGACAAAAGTCAGGTTCCATTTTGTATACTAATATTTGTGGTGCCATAACAACATCACAGTGAAGTTCTGACTGGTAAATCTGATCACAGTAATGCAATTAGTTGGTGCAACAGCCTAGCGGTTAGTTTGTTAGTCTTAACTGTGTTAGCATCACTGGGTATTTTCGAATTTCTGATGATGGTTCCAACTACATGGCTATGGACTGTATTTCATAGATTAACCAGAGGCCACCATTGAATTAGATTGAAGTTCAGAATTATTTTCAATTCAGAGCTGACATATTTAATGAACCTCGATCCCGTTTGACATCAATTGCTGGTGAAACAGAAATTAGCTATGCAAGTAGTAACAGATCAAGGCTTGATGACAATGTTCCTGACTTTAATCACCAGGTATATTTGAATAAAAGAGTTAATATTTTTATCAAGTAGGATTAGTTTAACTAATCTTAGCCCACTATGCTCTATTACACTCTGCAACCAATTCTTATATAGAGATTTCAGTGATTATACTTTCAGAAAATTTTTTGCTTTGAACACTAATTTGACAGATAAGAGACTGAATTTCTGTTTTGAATCTATATTCTATACGCTTTAATATGAAAACAAATCTAGAGATGTAAAATTTAAATTTGTTTATCATTAAATGCAAGTAAAATATTGGCAGTTTAATTGCATTTCAAATAAAAAAATTGATGACGATTTGATTAGCAATGTCTAATCCCTATATTAATTTGCAAGAAGTAGTCATGATGAGTTCAACTTCGATAGTGATGTCTGAATTTGTTTCATTTTCAGGTTGCAATGAACTTGTTTGGATTCGCATTTGTATGGGCATTTGGTGGAACATTACTTGAAAAAGATATGCCTGGGTTTGACGCATTCTTCAGAAATATAATGGCAAATTCAAGGTATGCGTGATTCATTTCTTTGATTGCTTGGCTAAGTTGAAATGCTAAGGTTGTTCAATCAGGTAATGAATCATAGTTTTTTTCTCAGAATTGCAATGCAAATTGGGTGTGGTGTTGGCATATACTCTATATATAATGTTTTCAGGGCCTTGACTTTCCTGTTAGAGCTGTATTTCACATTTGATTATATGAGCCATGATATGAGAACAATAAGTTTATCAATACTCTGTGACATAATCTTTTCCAGAAGATTTCGATTTACATATGCAAGGCCGTCAACTATATGATGGTGAACGTCGTCTACTTGGCACACAAATGAATTAGTCACTGAACACTCTTCAAATTTAATCCTTTAGATCACAGTATTGAAGGGTGTTCATGAAGTCTTTCAACAATTCGAAAATTGACTACAAAATTTAATAATGAATTTTCAAAATGAAAAAAAAAAGACTTTCTGGACTATGTATTATGAATCATCTCATAATTATGATAAAACCTATTTCATTACTTGTGGAATATTTCAAAATTAGAAATATTTTTTCCTTTCAATTCATTTTTTTGCAACAGGCATGAGATACAATTTCCACTCTACGAAAGTGTATTTGAGTATTTTGTTGAGGAGGAAACAGGTCAATTCACAGTGTGGGAAGATAAAATTGATTTACGACCACATGCTCCAGCAAGTGGGAGTTATTATGCTTTCATTCATCCAGTAAGTATCGTATACAGGATTTAAAAACTTTTTGTAATGTTTTTTTTTTATTGAAATGATCAAATTAAGCATCTGGAACATTTAGGGACTGGCATTAACCACAAATTTGGGAATTTTCTTGTAAAATTTTTTCTTCAAAGTTTTTTTCAAAATGAGAGTCTTTCGTGATATATAGGATTCAGTATTATTCAGGTATGTTCTGGGTTGAAACAAATCTAAAATTTTGTTACTTGCTCAGAGTAAACATGTTTGTTTAATTCACTACCAAATTCGTTCATCCTGTATAAATTTTTGTCAACGAAATCCAATTTTTATTAATAGATGTAATCTTCATACCGTTTTCAACTATGCTTAATGCTTTTCATTTTCAGATTGAACGTTATGCATACATAGCCAATACCTTGTTAAAGTCCAAATATCCTGTACTCATAATGGGTGAAAATGGATGCGGAAAATCAACAATGGTTTCTAATATATTGCAAATAGAACATGAGATGACAAGAGTGCCAGTTTGTCCTGGTAGGTATTAAATAAGTTAAGTTATACCGGTAATTATAATAATGTAATAAAGTAGTTTATTTTGGATATATTCTGGCATATTATATTTGGGTCATTTCAATAATTAATTTTGGCGCTCCAGAAGTGTGTGTACAAATATGGAGTTAACTAATTTTGTTCGCCTACTTTACATCAAGTTGTGTAAAGGGACGCGCAGGGGTTATATTCACTTGGCTAACACAGACAGTCCCCAAACTCGTAAGAGAACTAAAATAAGGGAAATCGGAGTAAAATTATGGTCTAACAGTGCCCGGCCCTAACCCCAATCTGGTACACACACTACGGGAGTACCTAGATAATTTTCGTTTGTCAGTTTCAATTTATTGTAAACGGCTTGAAGCAACATTTGTGTCAAAATAAAATAAAAATTATTTAAATATCCAAATATATAAGCATGAAATACCCTGCTGTAATAATTCCATTTTACTGAGACCTTTTTCTCCTTTTAAGTACCCTTTTTTACACGTTTACCATTTTTTATTAATAAATAAGCATTATCTTCAACAGCATCTGACATACTAGTTAGCATGCTGGCTTAATCAATATAATGCGCTTTTGTATGAAAACCTAATGAAGAATACTTTTTCAGGTTTGACTTCGCGTCATCTTCAAAAACTTATTGAAAGTCGATCTTCATCCATGTTGAAGCAACATAATCTTGGACTCATGGCTCATCCGAATGCAGTGATTGACACTCGTTCTGAAGGGAAACAGAGCATTTTATTTTTCCTTGATGATCTATCTTGTGCTTCTGGAATTACGTCAAAAACTTGTGGATCTGTTATTCAACCAACTCACGAACTCATGAGACAGGTAACAAGGATTTCATTTTATTTGCCATTTGAGGAATTTGTAATAAGTCAGCTTTTTCATTGTTTCTCCTTTGTCTTAAAAATGTTTATAGTTTGTATAGGATTGTAGTTTGGATATTTGCTAAAATTTCCAATTTATAATAATTCACAAATATTTTGTACAAAAGTCATATACAAGGCCTTGTTTGCTATATGATTAAGTTGTCTTATTAGTTTATTTTATGCTAGGAAAAATAAAAAATCCTATTCAATCAGATTCATTTTATATTACATATTTCATTATTATAGTATATAATTGCAACATAGTTCTGGATTTTTTGTATGGAAAAAGGGAAATTACCGATGAGTGTAATATACACATACTTGATTTACATTCATCTTGTCTCCCAGACGAACTAGCTTATATGCAGCAATATCATAAAATATGCCATATTTCCCCTTGTAACAAAACTTAAAATAAATTTCAACTTCATTTCTTAAGAAAGACCTTTTGTCTTCATTGCATGTATACAGGTAATGTCATCGGGTGCTGTGTATGAGAGGGAACGGCAGATGACGAAAGCTTTGGAAGGTGATGTGAATTTCTTGGCATCCTCATCAATACCTGGCAACACTGGATCTGGGCTTGGACAATCTTCTTATCTAATCTCATCCAGACTGACTCGATTGTTCACTGTTATTCACTTCTTACAGGTATTCTATATGCTCAATATTTGATCTTTATTTTCAAACTTCTTACTTTTAATAATGTTTGGGATTCATATTTTTTGTAAAAAAAGAAATACTGTATGTGTTAACTATTAATATCTGAATATATCAAGTATTTTATTGGAATTTTATCTTAATATTTTTGGTTTGTGTATTCTTTCATTTGAGGCTTCGTCATGCTCTAGCTCTGAACAAAGTTCTGTACAAGTAGGTACTGATATCTAAGGAGCCACTATTCTTGAAGGAATCAGAATCCTTCCAGTTTGACATTGCCTACTTAATTTATTACACTCTGTGGATGATGTAAGCACAGGATTTGAACTCCGGATTATAACCTATGCTGCCAACTTACCGTAGTTTCATTAGGCTAACTGTTAGGAATAAACTTGCCATTGCACCTCCGATTACCATGCATGGGTTTGCAGGTTCTAATCCGGCGTGGGATAATTATGTGGGGTGGTTTATGTAACAGTCGGTTACAACTTCCTCCGCCAACAAGTCCATGCATTCGAAACTAAATGATTGGTTAACTATTCCCATACCGACATGGACTGGTAACCAGATTAGAGGCTGTGGTTCATCATATGATTTGGCCATCTTATTGGTATTTATATCCCATGGGATAAACATAAACATAAAATATCATATACTACCCTGAGAAATATTATTTCAGTATGATTGCTCAGTTTAAATGTATGATTGCAAGTTACTTAAAGTCTGAATCTGCTTTGTATTTATTGTAATGGATTTAGTGTGACAATATATCACAGTATTTGTGTACAAGTGTACAATTGCAATGTTAAGTTAATTAATGATGTATTTTATATTTACAGCCATCTAAAGAAACTATTCTAAGCATTTATCACAATGCAGTCCAGTCATGGCTTGAAGAATTCCCTGCATATTCATTGACAAGACATTATGATTTATCTCAGGTTAGTTTCATTCAATGCTTTCCCAATGGATTCAATCATGATTTATCTAGATTTCAAATTCCTAACATTTTCACAGGCAATTATTTCTGGAGCAGTTGATCTTTATGCATCAGTTCGAACTCATTTGAAAGCAACACCTCGTCAACCTCATTATATTTTCTCTCTTCATGATATATCACACATTATGCAGGTATGACAAAATCAGATATATTGGTTTTCGTTTTGTATGCTTGTGAAATATCAATTTTCAAATATGTGGACATAAATGTACAATGACTAACTGGTAGCCAATGAGACTTACACTGAAATTTGTTATCTGATAATTTAAAGGCTTCAAATCAAAATTGTATTTTTTGTTATCTTTTTGTATGTTTGTGGAAAACAAGAGACCAATTTTCAAATAAATGGTCATGAAGCTCCAACTACTAACCGCAGTACCGGTAGCCTATGTGACTCACACAGATATTTGTTATTTGATCATTTGAAAGCTTTAAATAAAAATTACAAATTAGGTCCCATTGCCAGAGCAATTCACCACTTAGGTATCAATAAAACCACAGATGAGCATTAAGGACCTACATGGTCGAGAAGATGTCGGGTTTGTCTTATTTGATGCCACATGGTGGTACAATATTTATGGAATTAGCAAATTTGCGGTAAAATATCAATCCTATTCCTGGAATTCAAAGAACATTTGTAATAGCGTCTTCTATCATCTTCAATTACTGAAATAGGAAAACATCTGATCTACTAGTTACAATACCAAGGGATTTTTTCCTAGCTATAAATGCTACCCCAAAGACAGCAGCAACAATTTAGTAAAATTATACATATGTACATTTCATATAAAATAACTATTCCCAATGAATTTATGTACAGGGACTTTTCCTGTTAGCTCCTAGAACAAGAGGCAGACCTCGACCAATGAGAAGAAGAGGTAGAGATGATGGTGGTGGAAATATTCAACTTCAAAGGCCTGGTGGAGGAAGAGCGGGCGGAAGACTGAGAGCAAGGGGATGGGGTATGTACATATCATTTATTTCTCAAATGCGCTATTCGTTGAGAAGGGTGTCCATACTTAATTATACTGTCAGTATTCTAAGATTATCTTTTGTAATCACTTCGATTTTCATTATTCTAAATTCAATCAGTAAACAGCATACTCATCATTTTATCCATACAAGAGAGCAATGCTCAAATATATAGGCATGGAGGTCCAAAAACTGTACTAGTACCACAGTACTGGTAGCATATAGCATTTACACTAAAGTGATCAAGGCACATCGGTGCTGATGGTGAGCTACGATTTTGTGTGGAAGATATCATTCTTTTTGACAACAAATTTGGTCCCAACAACAACAACAACAACAATAGCAATTTAGCAAGATGATCCTTTCATACTTTGTGACCAATGGACACTTTGTGTTCAATAATTGCAAATTTCATAACATGGTATTTTTGCTCATTCCTATTTCTAAAATAATGTCTCCTTCTAGTTTTTTCGTAGTGTTATTGAACAAAGATGTCATCTTCTATTGAATTTGTTTCAGGTGATAATGCCGTTGGAGGAATTCAACCTATGCTCAGGACTGTTATTAGATTATGGTTACATGAATGTTGTAGAACCTTCTATGATCGATTGACAACAGAAGATGATCGTTCATGGTTTTCCAAATCATTGCAAGGAACCCTGAAGAAACATTTTTGTACTGGTGAGTCACCTATGACTATGACATTAAGAATGAATTATCATTGGAAAAATATTATTAGAAACACAGTACAACTCATGATTTTATTCCTTTTCAATCTGGAAAGGGTTCTTCACTAGCAATCACTTAGATCATGGGTTCTCAAAGTGTTCCAAACAAAGCCGCAGGGCTCAGCGAGAGAAACCTAGGGGCTCCACAAGCTATTTGTTTACCTATTAAATAAATAATGACTTGGCTAGTTTTGTAACTGTCCAAAGAAGCAATAATGGCATTAATAATGTTTGACAACGGTAGCGTTAATTCAAATATGACATTATCCATAAGTTCCAATAGATAATGCCATATTTCAATTACCGCCTTGTTGCCACATTTTGACACTACGCCATTGGTCAATTGTCTAATTTGTGGGGTAAATTTATTTTGGGGCTTTGTAAATAATAGTCAAATTTTTGATGGGCTCCATAATGCTAAAAGTTTGAGAACCCCTGATTTTATAACTTGAGAATACCCAAATCGTTCTAGTTTGCCATTACGCTAATTATTCCTGGTGGACTTTGGGTGTCCTTGACAGTTCCATAACCAAGTTCTTTGAGCTGCTGTCCAATATTATGTTAAGCAGTTTTTCAAAACAATAAATTTGTCACTTTTTGCAGGCATGATTACTTCCAATAAGTAAATAAATATTAAATATTCTATCATAACAAGTTCCATCATAATGTTTATGGTTTCTTCGTGTTCAATTTTGTTCTGTATTATAACGAAATATATATTTCCCCAGACAAAGAAAATCGTATGGTTTCACCAGGGATGGAGAGAGTGAAGGTTATCAAAACTCCAATTCCTTCTGTTAGTGGAAGTCCTCTTCCTTCTAGAACAAGCACTTCAACATTCGGAACAACAACTACTGATGAATTTGCAAGCACAACTGAAAATGAAGGAAAAAGTGGAAGATCAACACAAGTAATGGCTTTATTATTGGAATTAATTATGTGAAGAGCAATACTGGTGCTCTGTAACAGGTTTCATACCATTAATTACACTAGAAGGTTACTCAAAAGGTAAAATACTTCTCTTTATTTGGTACTAAAATCACTTGGTTGAATTGCTCCAATTACATTTGTAAGACCATTAATTTGACTTCTTTCCTGCTGTACTTGGAACATTCTCTGATGCTAAAACACATTTGTACATGAAGTAGACAATAGACATTTGGATCGGTTTGCTAAATTCATGTTGTTGCTTCTCTTCACAACTAAAGAATCGATCGATTTGAAATTTTTAGTGCATGAAGATAAATGAAGTTGATAGATTTGTATTTACTACTTTTCATTTTTAAATTTCAATGTTTTATTAGTTCTATGAGACCTGATATTTCACCCATAGTTTTGTGCTTTGTTTTACTTGAAGGAGAGCACTTTTTTGTTCCATCATGCTTATCTGTTGATCATTTCCAGCACTAAGGCCTTTTTTTACCAGTATCAATGTTGCGACCTTCATGTTCATATATTCTAGCATTGCTTCCGTCTTGTTATGAAAGCTACATATTCAGTAACAATAAATATCTTAATTTTAATTCAGCTTGAAGGCTTTCATAGATCAGAAGGTTCATCTTTTGAAAACATTGAAGGATCACCTGTAGGCAGACTAACTGAACAGGCTGTTTCTCAATTGGCTGGCGGAGAAGGAGACAAAATGGATGATAGCCATTTTAGTACAACAGGTACAAGCTCAAGAATGCCTCCCAACTTAGCTATGTCTCCTCGAATGTCAGAACATACCCAAGAATATGAGGATAATGGTAGTGAAGATATGAACACTGATGGAAGAATAGCAGTTTCACAGATGACAACAGTGTGTATTTCTTGTATTTTGCTTTGTTGTTACTCTGAGAAATTTTTAATTCAGTTGGTGAGCTGGCACAAACACAAGCTTCTGTGCATGGTCGCTTAGCCATTGCTAAATTACATTAAAAAATGCTTTTTCTTGTGTTTTTTTCTTCTATTTCATCTGTATTTTTATGAGAAAAAAATAGTTCAAACACAACTCAAAACAAGTGGTCGCTGATACTTTGTGAGCTACTATGTTTTCGGGAGAATAGAAATCTTCTTGGATTGACAGCCTACCAATTTTTCTACACACTTTGATTTGAGATAATTTTCAGAAGGAGAGAGAGATGAGCATTTTGTAAACTCAAGAATGAAGTCTGTTATTGCTATTCTATTCTGTCATATTCAGATGAATAAATATCAAAACATAAATATGTGAATGGCCAGATAAATCTGTTTTAGCATTCGTGATTTCTAAACATAACTGCATTATTTTCTAGGACGAATCTTATGTTGATTCAACCAGCAAATCAGACTCTGGATCTCGATCGACAAGTGTAAAAGGTTAGTATGACTAGAGATATCTTTATATGAATAGTATAATTTTAAATTTTAATATGCTAGAATATGTAATGAATTCTTGAAGCAAAAGTAAAACTTATATCAGATATTCTGAAATAAGAAAAAAAAAAGGTCTCGAAAATAATAGTGATTTGAAACAAATGGCTGTTTGCTCTGTTTTTTTTTTCAATGTATTTACTTTTTGTATTCAACAATAAACTTTATTTCTACAACTTGCTGCAACTATCAATTTAACGATAACTGTTTATATTCAAGTATTTTGTGGTATTTTGTTTGAATCGTGATATCTTGTTTAGTCTTAATTAAACTAATCATAACCAGAAAATAAAAATAGGCCGACCATTTTTGAGCAAGCGATACTTAATGTGCTGATGATCTCATTTATCATGTTTACTCATTGCTGTGCATTTTACATTTGGTATTTTTGCAACAGAAGGATCTGCAGAATTGGCAGGGATTGGTGAAAGTTCATCGGAAAGGAATGGTGAACAGTCTGCTTTCGCAAGTACTTCAAGGTAAGGAAATGAAAGCTCCAATATAAAAAAACTCAACTCTAGCAACAAAACAGAGTTGCCATAAGTGAACGGTGTAATAAGTCTAAGACCTAACTATGTTTGGGTAGATTTAAGTCCAATGTTCATGGCACCACCCAGGGCACTCCAGAAGTATGTGCACCAATATGGAGGTAACTAATTTTGTTTGCCTATTTTACGTCAAGTTGTGTAAATGGACTGAAACCTATGGGCAGGGAGTATATTCACTTGACTAACACATACAGTTCCTGAACAAACTCGTAATAGAACTAAAATAAGGAAATGCCCTAATCCTAACCTGGTACACTCACAGATCCTAACTCATAAAGTCCTTACACAGATTCTTTTGTGAACCACTTTAATTCTTTTTTCTAAGTGAAACACTGACAATTGCTGATGACAATGGTACAGAATATGATTCACGTCCAACTACAAATGCTGATACTAAAACTGATTTTGATGAAGATGATGAAAGTAGATCAATGACAACTGCAATGGCTACTGAGCTAGAAACTGGTTAGTGCGTAGCATAATATAGTGCAGGGAAAGATTCAGTTTTAGTTCTTCTTAAGAAAAAAAATTAACGTGGCAAACTTGATATTCATTCACTGGTTATGTCAAGTCTCAAAGGCTGGCGCACCATGATAAGGATTACTCTGTATAGGCAATCTGGTTTGAATTCTGTGAGAAATGATTATATTTGCAAATCTGATTGCTGAATTCCTTACTGTAGCAAAGTGGTTTGGCTACCCGCTGGTTGGTATTAGATTCCCCACTACTCCAATACCCAACATTGATTTGGAATCACAAGAGAAGCTGTGGTTCACCACATGATTGGGTTGCCTGATCGCCTTCCATTGACAAAATATAGGATAGGATTTACCACCCTACGGCAGCGAGGAGTCCAGCAATCCTTTCGCACAAAACTATCCCCACATGGGATTCGAACCTGCGAACCCACACAGGGTAATCAGAGATGCTGTGGGGAGCGTATTTCTAACGCTTAGCACGGTGCGCCACACCGTCGAGCCAAATAAAAAATCTAAATTATACTTCTGGCCCATGTTGAGTTTGAGATTCACTAGTTGGTCCTATCTTATTGATGAAGCTGTAACTGGGCAGCTTTTTGTAGTCAAATATATTCCTACTAAGAATAAACAAAATGATTTTTCATATTTTAGATGATTCAAATGCATCAGATAATGAATCAGAAGAAGGTGAAGAAACAACATCTGCAACAACAGAAAGTCGATCAACAAAATCAAAATCTACTCAAGATAAAACTCTAGATCAGGGAAAGTCGAGTACTTCTGCGGATATGGGTGTGTAGTCTTCTTCTTAAAACTTATTTTTATAGGGTACTTTGATAGTGTGTATCAAACTGCATGTCCCTTTTTCTCGTCTAATTTCTTCTCCATATCCATATGTGGCCATTGCCACAATGATGCTTGAATGTGGCTTTGGTTAGATTACAGTCTGAGATATAACTATGTAAAGACAAACGTCATGGTAGTTGTAGAGTCAAGTTAATAAAGTTTGATAAATGGTGGGAGGAAGAAGTTGGTCTATCTTGTCTGGGTTGGTCAAGTTTTATAGTTTTCATTGTTTACTTTTTTAGCTATTCCTTGTTTTTTCTAGAGAAGTTAGACTATGATCTGACAAAAACTCACAAATATACCTGCTATTTGGTGGAGGGAGAACATTTTAATATTTTTTTCCCGATAGGATTTTAGTCCAATTTGAGTCTGTATGTTTTGTATGTTGTTTTGTAAACCTATTGCATCCTCTTTTAGATGCTTTACTACCATCCAGTGGTCCAGTGCCAAGAAGAAAATCACAGCGTGCAGCTCATGCAAGACCAGGGGGTGCCAAACTTGGTGTAACATTTGTACCTGGACTTATTGATGACCCTGAACGAACAGCAAATACAGCAGGACCACTTGCACAGTTTCATCAGGTCTGTTATTTTGTTTTACGTTTACGTTTTTCAGTCAGTCAATAGTTTATTTTTCAAATGACAGACAATTCTTAAAGATAGCAACCCTTGGTAGTTTTATTCTGTATCAAAAATTAAATTTGATATTCTTTTTTCTAGGTTCTTTCACAGAATGAAGATCCCACTTCAATTTTATTCAGCAAGAACATCTTATCTGCAGTGCAAGGTGGTGCAGAAGGATACAGTGAAAGTACTGAGGGACAAATCGCTAGTGCATTACAAATTGCTCTAGCTGCTTACAATGGTAATATTTATAATCAGGATATTTTAATAGGAAATAGTTATGCAATAAATTCCTTTATACACTGAATGAGTTGAAAAAATATTTGTTTAGTATAACTTTTTGATAACCATCAGTCTCTGGTTAAATCTTTACTGGCTGTCCAAGGCTGTTAGTTTTGGCTGTCAAAATATTTTAAATTACTATGTAAATTATTACTTAAAATTATTATTACTAAATTGTAGCTTATAAATTCGGTATTATCATAAATTATTATGCTTAATTGTACGCTTAGCAAATTAGAATGATTTAAAAATTTTATGTTTGTGACAATATTAAATATATTATTACAAGAATTCAACTTTTGTTAGCAGTTTTAGTATAAATACCTACAGTACTGAACATCTTGGTTTATTGAAATCATATTGTTTAGTTGATTACATCGTGCCTGAGCTTTAAGTCAGTATTACTTACATTTCTTAGATATTTTTGCAAATTTTTCACGTAATTCTTGTTAACCTTTAAAGTCATCAGTTACTTCCAATAATAGTTAGTGCTTTGATATTTTGCAGGAATAAACTTGCGGTAGACTTATATTGAAAATATCGAAAAAATTTATAAAAATTTATTTTTTAATCTACTAGGAGAATCAACCAATCCTCTTGATCTTGTTTTCTTTCAACAAGCTGTTCATCATATTGCAAGATTATCTCGTGTTCTATCATTGAATCAAGGAGGACATGCTTTGTGCTTTTCATCAACTCGTTTCGCAGGTTAGATTTCACTGTATTGAATGTTTGTATATTTCAACTAAGACACTAAATCATGACAATATCTAAACGAGAATATCGGTTGGAAACCGAAGACTTATCGATCGATAGTTAGGGGATCTCCCAAAACAGAAACTGCAGTTTCGATTCATCCGCTCTTGTAACTTGCGCACTGCGCATCGCACACACACACTCGGCGGGTTTCAAAATTCTCTCGCTTTACAAAAATCTAGATCACTATATCAATAATTGATTGATAACTCGCTAATTATACGACATAATTCGCCCAAAATCAATAGGCTTCTGGTCCGAGATAAGATGAATGCACATGCAAAATCTGGAGCAGATTCAATCTCGCTTTCGTGAGATATCGCGTGCATCTAACAGACACACACACAGACACACAGACAGACAGACAGACATACAGACAAATACCTATCAATATACTTGTTTTCTTCAATGTGGGTCATCTCAGTTGATAATATTGTACATTATAGTATTTACGGTAAGTTTTCAAATTTGCTAATAAATCATTTTCTATAGATTTGAATTAAAAAAGGGTGACCCCTGTATTGCTCAAAATTCATTTAAAGATTTAATGTCCCTATCGATCAGTTTGAATCTTTGTATATCGGGTATATGGAAAAACTCTTTGCTACATAGTGCTAAGGTTCCTCTTCCTCCACATATGATACTCATGCATCGGAAGAAAATTATGTAAATAATTTCATACTCAACATAGACTGGTAACAATATTAATGACTTTGGATTACTATATGGTTGAGCTGGCTCATTTCTCTCCCTTAAATACGTAAGAAATAATTATTTTTCTCTGCGTCTTTTTTTCCATCTTTGAGTCTCAATTTTTGATTTTATTGATTACTTCAGTGATTTTATTTTACAGGAAGACGATCTCTCACGAAGTTAGCTGCTTACTTATGTAAAGCTAATATATTCAATGCAAAAGCAGAGCAAAGTAACAATTCTGATAAAATCTTGAATAGGAGAGAGACTTTGAGAAGGTGTGTGTTTCCATTACAAGTTTTGGGAATTCATGACAATTCATATAATCTAAAATTGTTAAATTCGAACATTGGAACACCCTTTTAAAGAATTTCAAACTTCCATATTTATAACTGCTTCATTTTGTTTGTTAGTTTTTTAAATTAGAGATGAGCTATGATTGTTCTTTTTCAGACTCATCTATGTATATCAATTCAATTTTTATTTGTTTAAATTATTCTATTTCATATCTAAGTTTACAAGTAAAAATTTCTGTGTTCAAAATTTTTGAAATGAATCTTGACCCTTTCACACTAAAAAGAGTAAAATTTTGGATCATCTTAATTTACGAAATACAATTTGGTAAGTAAAAAAATGTACAGACTGTTCTTAAGCAAGACCTTCTAAGGAAACCAGGAGTTTCCAATGCCAGCATCCTTTTCATTGAGTCACAAACAGACCAACTTGAGTTTGTCAGAAGGGGCTATAAGTTTTCAGACTGTTTCTATCAGTGAAACATCCGATGGAGTCACCCAAGAGTAAGAGAAAATGAAAGTTTTTTTTAACAATATTGTTGGACTTAATTTTTCCAACATCGATTTTAAAAAAACTCAAAATCTCATTATAATTAAATTCCCAGTGTTACATTATGATAACAAATATTATAAACTTGTCATTAAATTATTTTATGTACACTGTTCTACAGGTTCATAATTGAAGCTAGTATGTCTGCTGGTATTAAAAATGAAAGTACAATATTACTTGTTGATGATGATTTTTCATCTGATGTCAACTGTATTGAAGATATATGTGCACTTGTGAAAGATGGTGAGACATATAAGTATTGTTCTTATATAAGCTTAATCTTTTATGATGATGTTTGCTATTCTGATGTTTGCTGCTCTATTATGTATTAGACTTTTGAAGATTCTCAACTGGTCCATTACACACACGAAAGCACAAATTAAAATGTATTTTTGGGTCTCTGATGAAGATCATAGGTAAAACCCCAATATCCACTGCTACGCCTGGGTGCAATAAAATTGTGTTGGTATTGTTGAACCCAATAATAAGATTTTAGCGTTTTCAAACCCGGGTAGATTATGTGCTAGTTCTTGCTTGTTTAGAGCCTTGTACAAAGCGATAAAATAGAATAATCTTTTAAATAGTTGGAACAAATTTATTGCAAAAAATGGTGATTTTGAATATCTGTGCTTCTGAAACTCCCACTTTTGTATAGATTTTACAAAAATATTAAATTTTTTATATTATGTCTCAGTCATCTCCATATAAACTTCAACCACTTCCTGGTTCATTAGGTCAAAGCCCATCCCTCTACACTCATGAGGAACTGGTAAATGTAGCAGCAGAGATATTACCTGGTACAGGATCTGTTCGAGGTGGAACATCTTCTGAGAAGTTGGACCGATGCTTAGAAGATTATTTCAATCGTGTTTTGTTGAATTTACATGTTGTATTATTGATGCCATATTCTTCTTTTGACGGTAAGTGCTTAAAATATGGACATGGTTTGTATTGTGAAAATTGGGTTATGAAAACCTATCATCAATTTAAAATGTAAGCTACACTTTGTGTATTATACCCTTTCCTTACTTTGCCCTTCAGTTTAGCACTTGACCATGATAGCATGGCAGTTTAAACTTCGGGTTCAAATCCCAAGCCCACCACTTCATCAATAATGTAATAAATTGGGTTGGCAATGCCAATGATGTAATACAGTGGTTCCCAATTCGCGGTAACTATTAAATATGACCCGCCGAACTTTTTTTAAACAGTTTACCACTTTATGTTTTTATATTTTTGCGTTCTAGATACCGCCAATTGTGACTCCATTATCATAGTTTGAGCATGTGTATATTCAATTAACAACAATGCAGTTATACCGATATTTCAATTTTATGTACCGATATTAAGATTACATACAGGTGTGTCCTTGAGGGTGCTCCCTTCTCCCGGGCAGGAAATATTTTCCTATCCTAATTTTGTCCCCCCTCAATCAACCTTGGGTACCATTGATGTATTAAATTGGCAACCGGAAAGATTACAGTCCTTTCAAATCATGTAACAATGATTATGTCATACATTAAATAGTTATCTGTAGTTTTCCACAGTCAATAAAATAATATCGACATTTTTATTTCGGTGAAAGAAGTTCAATAATACCTATATCTAATATATTATCTTCCCAATAGGTTTCAGATGTCGCACTTTGATGCTGTTTTTTTATTGTATTCACATTTAAAACAAAACGTTTATTTAGGTCCACATGATTTATCTGACATTATGAATACATCAAGAAGTCCTTATTTCCATCAGAAGGAAGAATACGAATCACTTCATAAACTTTTAAAAAGGTTGGTGTACCATATATACCCATTTAGAAGAAGATCCAGCAAGTTTAAAGTAGACAAAATATACCAACATGCTTTATTGGTTACTTATTTACCGATATGCTTAAAAGCTTATAGTTTGGTTGCTGAATTTTTGTTATTGTTGTTTGGGAAAAATCTTTTTTTTGAATCAATTTCTTTCGAATTTTCAGTACTTAAAAATGGTTAAAACTACTAGCAGGCTATTGCTTTTATTTGTTTTATTTATTTTTTCAAATATTCTTTCAGTCCTAGGACTCTATATTTTGCTAAAAAAAATTTATCTGGGAACTCTTTTTATTAAATATGGTAACACTTCATTTCATCACACTTGTCTGTCATTTTTTTGCAGCAAGTTCGTTGCGCAGTTAATGCCTTACTTCTACCTATATTGATCCTCAGACTTCATCTCTTTTGCTTTCTTATTTTTTACATATTGTTTTTCTGAATTAATTGCTTCTCGATTGATCCTATCTTCTGATTGCCAAATTTTTTAGATGTCCTGAGTTATTGACAAGGTTTTCATCTGTTGATTTATATGAAGCATGGAATCATGTAGCATGGATGAAAGTTGCTGAAAATTATCTTGAAGAATTTACTGGGATTTCTTCAGACTTTGGATCACCTGGTAATTATCAAGATTGCTATTTACATGAATGTGCCTCTTCTACAAAAATTTTCTCCACATTATTTTAGGGTATCTTTTTTTTTCATTCTTTCTTTTCATCAATTGTCAAAATTTTTGATACAGTATACCACAAGGTGTAAGACTACATTTAACTGTGAAAACACTGAGGAATATTTTGAAATTTTATAGTCAATTTTACTTCGACAAACAGACATTTTATATTTTTTGCGAGTATTTGATAATTTTTGTGAGTTTATATCAAATACATAATTTCCAATTTTTCTTTATCTAGGAGGCAAAATACCTATTCCGTGGCCTTCAGATATATCAGCTGTACAACAAATTGTCAATCTATGTCATGTTATGGCTTTCATACACCGGGATGTTGTCAGAAGAATAAAAGGTGAAAATAGAGAGTGTCAATTTGAGCATAATAAAATATTGTCATCCCAACTGATCTCTTGTTAGAGAACTAGTCCATTGCTCTATCCAACTTTTTTCAAAAAGCGGAAATCCTATGAGATGATATCTTGAATCTTGGGGGTTTGCCTTCTGTACATACATGAAAGCTTGTAAATGGTTGTTCTATAAGAGCACTGAATTCACTTCAGATCGGTGGTTCTCAAACTGTGGCACACGGGCCAATAACGACCCGTGTGACGACTTAATATGCTCCTCTCAACCTGTGTGAAAATGTTTACCACTTCATGTTTTTTTTTGTGTTCTAGATACCGCCAATTGTTACGCCATTATCACAGTTTGGGCACATGTATAATCGTAACAATTCAGTTCGGTATCTTAACAATTCTGTATCTTATTTATACATACCGGTATCGGCCTCTTGCTGGGGGCTCCCCTCTTCTGGCGGGCGAATATCCTTCAGCTTTTAATTTTGGTCCGCAGTCAATCAACTTTGGGCACCACTGCTTTAGATGAACATTTACATTTATCTTTTAATGTCTAACAGCCTGTATTTAATGTTACCAGAAAATTTTATGTTTTTTGCAGCTATTTCACCAAACTATGCGAATAAACTGATTACACCGACTACGTTCCGCACACTGTCAGAACTACTCGTCAATATTTCTATAAAAGTTGGAAGAGATGAGAAAAAATTACTCAGAAGGTGACTGAAATAATTTTAGCATTGCCATTGTGTATTTTTTGACACTACAATTGTCCTACTACAGGAATACTCAAACATTATTGCTCTTACGGTATGCAATGATTTTTTCCAGTTTTTTTTATAAATTATAGTTGTTCCTTAATTTTTCTATGAAATCTTAATATAGAACGTTTTTGATTTAAAGGAAGGATGTTCATTACATTTTCTATACTTTACTTTACACTATACAAACTTTCGGAAATGAAAAAGTTTCCAAAAAAAACACTTATCTAGATTAAAACCGACCTGTAATTTCAATAATTTCATTTAAATTAAAATTGTTAAATCGTTTCATCATTCCAAATATTAGAAACACAATCACTTTGTCTATTTTGGTTCACAAAAAAAATTTCTCATTCTCACTGAAGGGCGGTTGACGTAACCGCTGGCAGACTTGGCTTCACTCACCAACTAAAATCTAGAACATTTAAACAGTAGACTATTCTTATATACAACATGATCTTGTAATTGGGTATATGCATTGCACGTTAATAACTATCTTGCAAACTATGTTTGTGACATGAAATTAAAAATTCTATATTTGTTATTTAGATATGAGCGGGTTTTAAAGAAGATTCATGATGCAGAAGCTAGTGTTGAGCGTTATTCTCTTGGTAAAGAAGGTTTACTTCCTCTGCTTGAAGCTGCTCGAGACACAGAAAGATCTTGGAAACGACATGTTGAACAAGAACGAAGAGAATATATTGAAGCAAGACAAAGATGTGATCTGGAAGAAGACATCATAGAAAAACTAGAAGAAGAAGTTGTCTTTCTAAAACAAGATGCTAAATTAGCATTTGATAAGGTTGGTTTATATTTCAAATGTGCTAATGATTACATGTTCATGCTCTTTTCGATCAAAGTTTTAAGCAGAACTGAGTGGTAAGAATTACTGAACCAATTCATTTATGGTGGTGTACTACTTGTCAGCAAACGTAGTCAACCAGTCAGTGAATCAGTTTGAATAATACCATCAGGAAAACATAAAAACAAATGAATTATTCATAAAAACAACATTTATACATCAGCTTGGTTATGATGATATTAGAAGTTTAGGTATTTTACTTTTGCTAAGAAGCACTATGAGTATGACTGCTTTTGAGTGCTAATCTGTGTTGCATCAGTCAATTTTTTTTTATTCTGTTTCAGGTCAATCCTCTTTACAGTTCTGCTGTGGCTGCAATGCGAGCTTTGACAGTGCAAGGTTTAGATGAACTGAAGAGATATAAGCAACCTCCTGAACATGCTGTTACTGTTGTAAAAGCTTTATGTGATATGTTTGATGTGAAACCTGCTAACTGGGATAATGGAAAAGCACTTATCATGCAAGACAAGTATGTTGGTGCTATAACAGAATAGCTTCCGCATTTTATATAAAGTGTTACACATTTTTGTATAAGACTCCTTGCTTAGCACATATTAAATGTTGAAGTTACTTGGAGGGCCTGTTTCGTTTCGAAATTTACAATTTACAATTCTAGCATAATAGGTCGGCCAACATGCTAAAGCCCACTGTGGTAATGTTTAAGCACCTTCAAAAATTATCATTCTTCAATTTTTTAATTATGGTAACAGTACTGTTCTATGATTTTCCTTTTCCTATAAAATATTCTTTTTCCTTGCCCTATATTTGAGAAATTGGCGAAGATGTCATGCCAAGTCAAAAAAAATTGGGACTTCCTGAAGTATGCGCACCAAGATGGCGCACAACCTGAAATCAGGTTGTGTACCAGGTTAGGGTTAAGGTTATGTGACATCTTGGTGCGCATACTTCAGGAGTACCAAAATTTGATTAAAAACTTCGTATCATTTCTGCAACTAGATTATTGCTTGACCTGTTTTCTTTCTAATTTCCATGCAATTTGATGCAATTCATTTTTGTTTCAGCTTTTATGAAGAATTGGAATTTTTTGACAAAGACAATATTCCAGAGAATATTTATCAAGCACTCAGCAAGAATGTCAGAGATCCAGAGTTCCAGGTGAGAATCATGTTAATAACCTTCCAATAGTTCAACAGTTTAACAGTTTAATTATCATTTCTGTACAATTTCAACTATAAAAATTATTTACTCCCAGCCTGCTCAAATAGCGAAAGGAAGCAAGGCAGCAGAGTCATTATGTACTTGGATGCATGCTGTACACAGCTATGCTAAATTGTCCAGATACCTCAATCCGAAAATTGCTAAACTCAAACAAGCAGAAACGAAGATGAAAAAAGCACAAGCGACTCTTGGAGCTAAACGTGTGAGGTAAGTATATTCAAACTATATTCCCACACATAAAAATATCGAAAACTAAACTTTTATTCTATTCCCACAACTATTTCATTAATTTTTCTGTAATCGGTTTATTTTATGCTAAATAATCAGCTACTATCTACAAAATAAGATGAAAAATCTCATTTCGTTATTTTACAGGTAATCCTCATGCCAGCCATTCAATTTTCCTAATATTATGGTAGAATCTGGACAAATACCCTGGATTTTTAATATGGATATTCATATGACAATTCCATAATAATCTCACTTATAAATCCAATTCTGATATTCCTGAAATATAGACTAATTTTCGAGAGAGATCATGTTTTGTTTAATCACAGATATTTTTAAAATTAGATTTATTAGAATTGTTCAATTGATCTTGAATTTACCTCATTAATATTCAAATTGATATTTTCAGATGTAACCAAATCAAAGAAGAACTTGATTCCAAAATACAACAACATAAAAATGCAAGTCGAGCCGTCAGAAGATATGAGAGAGATTTAATAGATCTTGAATCGAAAATGGCAAAGGTCTGAAAGTGTATAATTTAGTAGAGCATGGCAATGTATTGCATAACATTAATTTTATATTGGTGCCACAACTTAAGAATCTGTGGCACAAGCCTTATGTCTACCACTTCATCCAGGTCGAAGTTAATTGACTGGGCTATGCTAAATTTACTGATTATGTTTCCTCTATTTTTTTAAATTTAGTACTTTCAGTTCTATTATCAATTAGAAATTATTTGCAAATTTTATATTTATATGCTTTTTACTTCAAACCAATGCTAGCCAAGGAACTACTATTGCTTTGAAGGACCGGATTTTGTCTGATTCTGAGTTGGCTTGCGGCACAGGATTTGAACAACAAAATACAATAAGAATAAACTAATTGAATGGTCATTTTATTTTTACTCCAGGCTCAGATGTTGATGGGAAATCTCGCAGAATATGTCTTGAGATGGAGACATGAACGGCATTCTACTATTTCAAGATTGGAATCAGCAGTTGGTGATAGTCTTCTTACTGCTGCATGTTTAACATACCATAGTGTTCTGTGTAAAGAACAAAGAGAAATAGCACTGGAAGAATGGAAAAAAGCCTGCACACATGTCAGTATTTGTAAAATATTTTATTTATCACAGAAGTTTTTATATCTGAGATAAATCATTTCATTTTAAGAATGGTATAAACATAATGTTCTACTGTCAATTTCATAGTTTTAACTAGTTAACTTGTCATAGCTTCATAATTGAAGTCATAGTTTCATAATTGAAGACAAAATTTCTGGAGAAAACTGAAGAAAAATTTCTTAACCTCATCCCAGGTTTTAAGGTTGTAACTGAAGTTTGTTGATGAACAAATCAATAATACACAAATTTAGACTTGAATTGCCAAGTTTAGCTTTACTATTTTTTTTATATGATATCAAATATCTTCTATGTTGATTCAACTTTTCAATCTGTCATATTTCAACAGGATCGAATAGATGAAAAGTCTGGTACATTCGAGTCATCTCGTCAACATTCAGCAACACAAAAGCACAGAGATTTACATTCAACTCCAAGTCCCACTAGACAAGTTCAATCTACCACTCCTTCTGGATTCAGTGAGGCTGATACCTGGGGAGATATAGATGATGAAAGTTCAATAATGACTTCAAAATATCGTCCCCTTGTTATTGTGAGAGAAGAATTTGATTCATCCAATCTTCTCATCTCTGAAGCAGTAAGTTGACTTTAATCAATATACAATATATCCTTGCATTTCAATCTCAATTCTGAACTGTTGAAAAACAGTCAGCAATCCTTTAAATCTGTCACCCTCAATCTTTTTGGCATGTCCTATTTCAGAGTGATCCAGGAATCTTATTGCACACTAACACATATATTTCTGTCACATTTCATCTGACCAAGGTTAAACTTCCTCAGACATACATAATTTAATGTTGTAGATAAAATATTACATTAATTAGACATTGAATCATGTAGAATAGTTATCTTCACTCTTGCTACACCATTCTCGTATTATGTGCATACATTTACCAACGCAAAAGCATGGAAGAAGAATAAGTATTTGGTCCCACAGAAACCAAACAAGGGACAAAATCTTATTCCATTTGTACAAGAAACAGTATTGGATCAGTTTTGAAAGGATAATAACAATTTTCTCAACAATTTATGAACACGATTCACGGGATATCAGTATTTTGTGTCCAATAATCATAAAATTTTTCATGCAAGGTGCTTAATACTCTCATCAACTTTGCTTGTTACTTTTTTCACAGATTCACAGAGAATGGCATCGTGGTGGTTTACCAAGAGATCCTCGAATTCGATCTAACATTGTATCGATACTTGCGAGTTCTTTATATCAACAATCTTCTTGGCCTTTGATATTTGATCCAGATAATCAATTACGTTTATGGATGAAAACAATCGTCAAAAACTTCTGTTTAATGAGATCGAAAGAAAAATTATCAATTGCTGAAGATGAACAAGAGTCACCTTATCCTTCTAGCGGAGATCCATCAAGGTATTATACAGTAGATATAAACTGGGCAATATTTCGTTGAAATTCGAAGTACATGCTTATCTGAGCTATCGAGGGTTTGAATTACGATACATAATAGTTAATTAATTCAACACTTTGAATCAGTGTTTTCTTGTTTACTATTAAGTCTCCTAAAAACTGCATTACTGGATCATGGCTTGTACTATTATTACTTTTTGATTTATTTCTCATTTCATTTAAACATATTCTCCGAATAGAAAGAAGTTAATGTAATATTGCAGAGGTAATATTTATTAACAAGGTGAAAAGGATTGTGGCACTCTTTATTGTTGCATGGTGATTCACATAACCACACCCATGTAAATAGACAGCATGTACTCATATATGACCTGAACTAGTAACTGGCAGGATTTCTTATTGACTTTTCTCTTCTCTGATAAATAGATAGAAGAAATCATGTTCTGTTTTAAATAAGTTATGCAAAATATGACTTGTTGAGGGTGTGACTATTTAACAGCTCATCCCTGGGTACTCCTGTAGTGTGTGTACCAGGTTAGGGTTAGGTCATAATTTTATTCCGGTTTTCTTTATTTTAGTTCTATTACGAGTTCGAGGACTCTCTGTTTTAGCCAAGTGAATATATCCCCTGCCCATAGGTTTCAGTCCCTTTACACAACTTGATGTAAAGTAGGCAAACAAAATTAGTTAGCTCTATATTGGTACACACACTCCTGGAGCGCCCATTCGTGTTATTTTTGTAAAGCAAAATAATTATTTCCGCCTCAAAATTGGAATCATGTATTTGACATTTTACAGCACAAGTCAAAGTGAGGGAGTAGATATATATGATGATACTGAAAGTACTATGGAATCGAGTAGTCATGATTATGATGATTCTTCTTCTGCTTATTATGATGATTTTGAAAGTACTGTCATAAGTGTTACAAGTACTGCTCAAACAATGAGGTTTGTTGATATATTTAATATAATTACAGAAATTATTGAAATAGTTTTGAAATAACTTCTTTTAAAAAAATGATAAATAATTAATTTTTTTAATCTATCTATCTATTTTTTGGAAATTTTAGTCTGGAATTTTAGATTGTAACATGAAATTTTAATCCCTACGATTCTACTTAAGACTACCAACAGGTTTGAATTTTAATTTTTTCAAATATCCTTTTTAACTATGGTTTTCCTGGTGCAGGTTTATCTTATGTTATGGTATATTTTCTTGCACATGCAGGCTTTACTCTGTATTGTTCAGAGCAGCGGGGTGTAAACTGTGGCCTGCGGGCCAAATGCGACCCACAAAGAAAAATTGTGTGGCCCGCAAAAAGGTGCCAATTTAGAATGGTGTGCAGCCCGAAAACGAGTTATTAATTTAGTTTAATCTGGCACATGCGAATAATTCCAACCCCTTCACGTTTCGAAGCCTATACCTGAGTGCAAATATTATCTATGCCTATGATGTTACAATGTCCCAAATTCATGTGTCTGCTAGAAACTACTAGAAATCATGTGTTGAATAAAGGTGCGGCTTGCGGTTGCACCAAGTTATTTGTATCTGGCCCTCCTGTATCAAAGGGCTGCACAGCCCTGGTTTAGATGGATTCCCTAAATTACATTCTTACCCATGCTTGATTATAAGATCTTATGATTTGAATTCTTTGGACATGCTAAATTTATTTGTGAATTTATTGTAATACTATGTGATACTTTACTCTTTTCTGTTTGTGTTTGACTATTTTCCAAATCTATCTTCTCATGTTGTGACTCATATCTAGTTTTATAAAATTTAAATTAATCTTTTTTCAGAAGTGGAGGTACATCTCGTAAATCAAACAAAAATAAAGGAGTTAGATTTGCTGATGAAAAGAAGACAGAACCACAGCCTACCATCGGCACAACATCTCAGAAAGAATCTGAAGTAACACCTGAAACGAAACCTGTTAGTCAAGAGGATATTACTCAAATTGAAGATGTGGATAAAGAACCAAAAACGCTTTTAAACATCATTATCTGCGAAGCTGACAATCCAGCATTGAAAAACAAAATTGTGGAAGCGGTACAGAACGGGCTTATACTGTTTGTCACCAATCTTGAAAAAGCATCGTTTTCTGCTGCTCACGAGTTATTGCTTTTACGACATCAGCTTCGATATCGAGATGAACTTTCAACATCTTCTCTTGGAATATCATCATCTTCTCGAATTTCCCTCTCTCTCACTGGTACGGGAAGTCGCAAGATTCAAAGTCATCATATTGTGTATCACCATCATGTGCATAGTAACTTCAGGTTGGTTTATAATATATATATTTTTTTCTTCGCTTGACACATTCATGTGTTGCTTAGAGAGGAAGGTTGGGAGATGATGGAATTTTTGACCAACCTCGCCCCTACCTGTTTCCCCATCTTAATTAGATATATATGGATATCTAACTGTTTGAATATTCATAATACATTAACATAACTAAGTATATACATTAAATAGATAGTAAGCAGTAAAAAGTTGTTTGCTCTAATACATATTATCGTTTTTCTTCTCCCATGATTATGAAATTCCAAGCTTTCCAAAACATACAGGTAGTAGTGGGAACAATGGCTTAGCGGTTAGGACGTTGGACTTTAACTATGCTCAGCAGTGTGGTACATCGAGCTAAGCATTCGGAATACACTCGCCACCGCACCTCTAATAATTATGTGCAAGAGGATTGTTGAACTCATCGGCGCCGTAGGGTGGTTCACGTAATTGTTGATTGGTTACGGCTTCTCCGCGATCGAGTCCATGCATCTAAAACCAAATAACTTCCTAACTAATCCCATATGACATGGATTGGTAACCGGACGAGAGGCCGTGGTTCGCCATATAAATAAGCCATCTTGTCGACTTTCCTCTCTCCTAAAATAAATATGTAAATCCTATCCTATGTCAGCATCACAGGTTAAATCTCTTAGATTCAAACCCCGTGCTCACAACCTCACCCTGGGTGCAATAGAATCAGGCAGACATTGCCGTACTATAAAGATCTTCCAATCTTTTCAAAAAATAGGGGTTCTTCACATATCCATGTTTGATTGTGCAGAGTCTTGTTCAGAGAGAAAGTATAGAAAGTAGTTCACATTACCAACATAATTTAATTGAAATTTTTAAGAAGATTTAATATGGAATATAATCAATTTTTTTAGACTATATTTGAGCTGCAGTGTTGATATGAACTTTCTTGGAGGTCATGGGTTTCCAAATCTACCAATGCATATCTGTAGCTGTGTTGATTTTTCTCTTGATGGAGATGGTCTTGAAGAAAAATTGACTCAAATTGTTATGGCTCAGGAAAGACCAGAATTCGAAAGTCATCGTAGATTGCTAGAAGCAGATATTTTTCATCTTGAAGAACAGAAAGAACGTCTTCAATCTGATTTACTTTTAAAAGTAAGCTTCGTTTTTAATTTCATTTGCAGTTTTAAGAGCTCAATTGTGATTAATCGTTCTAATTTTCAAATCTATGAAAGTTTGGTAAACTTGTCATCTTCACATTGATTTTAGCATTTTAATGGAGCCTGCTGTGTCTCTTGCAGATAAGATGTTTGGTTTTCATAAAAATTTAGGGACATGTTCAATCCTTGATAAATTTTTGGAGACGTTTGACGTCTTTCACCTCAATTGAGCAATTGCTTACCGATACCGATGCAGGAAGAAACGGTTTTTTCTTCTACCATATCTACCAACTTCATTGCATTCCAAATATGGTCTGCTATTTTCATTAGCCCCCATAGTCACTAGGCTTGTGCACTGGTTTCTATATCATTATGTAAAACTTTGAGTATTATAATCAAATTTAATATTTTATGTAGGTTTCTGGTATTGAAGGTCCTATTCTTTCTGATCCCACATTACTAGATGCAATTCGTGATTGTAAACGGGAAACTATTGGAACAGATACAACTTTAGCTGAAACTAAAGTTATGGAATCAAACCTTTTACAGGTAAAAAAAGAATAATTGCAAAATTAATCCTAAAATGTATTGAATCACTTTGCAAAATCAGCTTGTTTTAGTTTTTCACAGTGTATGAAACATTTATTATTTATAATCTATGTCTTCGAGTTTGATCTGTTGACTTAATAACTTACTGTCTATATATTAAATTGCTATTACTGTTTGGTATGGAAATTTCTGGCACCTCGGATGGAGTTTTTGGTCAAGGCAGGCGGTATTTATCAATTCGGGAATTCTGTCCCCCCCAGGATTTTGTTGTTTTTGCAGAGGAAATATAGTGTATATTTGTATATAGTGTAGTTTCACTAATAATACTTGGATTTTAAACATAGTTATGCTCACATTATAAACTGTTAAAACCTTGCAAAGGCTACAGTGCAAGTTGAGCATATCACCAGTTTTGTATCCTTAGAAACTGAACAAATAATGAAAACATAGTTTTATGCATACTCACAAAAAAATGAAGAGATTCAGAATAGGCAAAGAGAAGAATATATCGAAAAAGGTCGGGTCTGGGTTAAGGGGGTAACCCTTTGAGGGTCATGAAATCTCCAACTGATGAAATCAAGATGATTAATAACAAATATGTTCTGGATCCTGATAAACAGCCAAGAAACATATACTTGTGGCTTTAAAAGCTCAAGATTTTTATTGAAAAGCTTGCTTTTCACATATTTTCTGATTTTTTTTAAAAGTTTCTAAAACTAACTATCGGTATATAATTATATCTCTTTATTGTAGAAAAAGATCGATTTAGAGAATGTTGCCAAACAAGGAAAAATCGTTTATGAAGCTTTATCGCAAACAACAATTCTTAAACCTAATATATATTACTGGACTGCAAACAAGTTCATCCATCTATTTACAAGTACATTGAAGTCAAGAATGAGAGGAAAAGCAAGTGTTAATGCAAATGCTAATTCTACAAGTGGTGGATCATTGATCAAGGTAAAATAAAAAATCAATTCTATGCCTTCACAAAAAAACTAAATTAGCTTTTGTCCCATTTTTCAGAAATGGACTTTTTTAGATTTTTGGTTATTATGGAACAAAGGCCATCATTTTGTCTGGGTTTCGTTGATGTACCTGTTTTAGTTTTGACTTTAGGTTAGTGTTTCTCAAACTGTGCTCCGCGGAACACTGCTGTTCTGCGAGCTTCTTTGGAGTGTTCCGCGGGACAGGGATCAAAATTGCAACTAAATTGGTTGCCATGGTGGTCTCGGTCGTACCTTCCCCCCTCTATTCGTAAATTTGTCTTCCAACTGGCAACAAACATGCGGACATGCATTGCTATCTAAACAGGCCCCCGTACCAGTTTGGAAAGCATGACGTTTTAGTTTTACTATGGGCTAAATTTTTTGGAAACCACCCTTGTCAATGGATTGTTGGCTTAAAACCGGAAGCCTCCAAAGACGGCGTAATAAGCTGGTTGTGCAAGATGATGCACACTGTAAATCCGTTACACAATTTTTTTGTTATCAATTTTATCTTCTAATTTCTTGGTGTTCTGCGAGGCGAGATTAAATGCATCAAAATAATGCTGACTAACAAGACCATGCAAAACAAAAACTGCATTGGTGTGGGGGTCTACAGTATTTGATAGTAATTTTGTGTGCAAGGGCGAAGATAGTGGACGGAAAGTTAGGCCACGTGATAATTCCTGTTTTGCAATTCAGCCTGTTTCTGTCACCTAGTTGTGGGCATTTAAAATAACTTGTGAAATTTCAATGTAATTTTATTTATCTCCTATCCTTTTCAGTCTCGAGTTGCAGAATTGAATCAAAGTGTTCTGGAATCGATCTTACGTCAATGCAAAAAAACTATGTTCAAGAATGATTCTCTTGTTTTCATGACACTGATGGCACTTTCAAAACTACAACAACAAAATAACATGACCAGTGATGAAGTTGGTAGTCTACTGTTGGGGGTTGAAGATTGCAAGGTAATGTGGTGATTTTATAAGGTTCGGTTGTTATGATGAAATCTTAGTATCACTGTTGAAAATGCTTGTTTTTGAGACATTTTGACTGATTAGGGTTGAATCGTATTTCAAATATTTATATTCAATGCTTATGCCGTCGCAATACGAATTATCAGAAATTCTAATTTGATTAAAATTGTAATTACCGGTAAATATAAATTATTGTTAAATTAAAAATCTTCATTTTAGGACTACAGAGATCTTAATCTATCTCTTTCTGAGCTATACCAATACTGTTAAGCTCAATCATCAGTTATATTAAATTTTATGAATTCATTTTTGCTCGTTATTTTGATTCTCTATATAACATTGATTGAATAAAAAAAATTGAAATTGAAATCAATTATAGAGAAAACTTTGTTTGAATATGGCCATATTTAGCCCCTAACCTAAATTATAGCTTTTTACAACTTTTGTTTCGTTATCTGATACTTCAAAATGCTCAAAGAGAATTGATTTTTAATGAAGACTTTTTTGATAATCCTTATACCTACTCAAAATTTTAATTTCATGCAGCTGCCACCATCAGCACACCGAGTCACGATGATGAATCTTGTCAAACCAAAATGGATTAAAGATGACGTTTGGGAAGCAGCCAAAAATCTTGAACAGAAACATCGACAAACATTTGGAGGATTGGTCAGTTCTATTTCTACAAAACAAAAAAGATGGCAAGAATATTTACATTCAACACCTGTATTGTTGTCTAATGTACCATCTGACAATCTGCTTCGTAAGTATTGGCTTCTTAAATATTGCTCGCTAGTTTCTGCTTAACTCGTCGTTGAAAAGTTCTGACTTAGAGCACGGGTGTGCAACCTTCAATACAAGAGGGCCAAATACAAATAACTAGGTGAACCCCCGGGTCGCAACCTTTATTTAGCAAAGGCTTTCTAGTAATTGCAAGCACTACAATTTTGGTGATTGATTTCATGACATGCTTTGTTTGCTTCGCACAATCCAGCTGTTAAGGCATTGTAAACTCATAGGCATAGATAATAAATTAACAAAGGTATAGGCTTTGCAATGCTGAAGCTGCATTTGGCCGCAGGTTGCACACCCCTGGTTTAAAGCCATCCAGAAGTTGAAAAATATAATGTAGTGCATTTGTGTGTACAACCAATATACATAATATTGGTATCATTGTAAAATACTTTTTCATACATTTTGATTTTTCGTATTCAAGACTTGCTCTTGAAATCAGAAATGGAAGAATAAAACTTGTCATTGTAGGTACTGATGACTTTTTTATTCATTTGCAACATGATCAGTATAAATTAGGAAATCTATAATTTTCCATCTAGTAAAAATTTGTAATTTTTGTTTTAAAGACTTGATGTCATAATCTGATTGCTTCGTTGTTGTTGCTTTGTCTTGCAACAATTTGCCTTTGCATCAATGTGGCACTTTACCTCAGCAATTTGTTTTGATGATTTTCATAATTTTGTTCAGATCTCAGTGTTGGACAAAAAGCATTGTTGTGGAAAACTCTTCGACCTGACATTGCTGGTCTGATAATATCGGAATTGTGTTCGAGTGTGTTGGGAAGTATCACTACTGAAACTCTAGTGTGGAATATAAATGATATCACAGCTCAAGTACAACAAACAAATCCTGTATTATTCCTAATTCCTGAAAAAGGTATTTTCTCTAGAAGCATAAACTGATAACTTTGATTGCAGATTGATTTTAAAATAAGAACATGCTTACTATTGCAACCCTGACAAATTACACCAAGTTCACAAGTTCGTTTTAAGTGGGGAATGATTATTATGCTTGGTTATTATAGGTCTCTGCCTATTTCATATCTCTTCATTTACCCTTGACTATGCATAAAAGTTGTTTAATTTAAAAAAAAAAATTATCTGAAAAACTCTATCTCTGGCTAATGTACGATTTGAATAGTTTATAATGTATATGTGTCCACAAATAATATGTTTGTAATAACACTAAATAACTAATTAGTATTAGAATATTAATAAAACTACACAGAAAACAAAGTAAAATTTCTATAATTTCTCCCACAAGAAAATACATTTCTCTCAGTCCTGATTCTTTCCGGTTAAGAGACTCTGTACTGCATAAAATTTTTCTTACTGTTATAGTGTTCATGTAAACACAGTTTTAGTATAGCTTCTCATAATCAACATGATGCATAGAGATTTCTTGTTTGAAAACACTTCATTATGCTTAGCTCACAGCCTTATGTTTTTATTTTAGGTTCAAGTTATCAACCGACGGTTGAAATATCTCAGGAAGCAAAAATAAAAAAGATTCAGACAATTGAGCGGTTGGTTTAAAGTTTTTCTCTCTTATTTAAGTATTTTTACATTATTCTTTGGTAATACAGGGAGTCCTCAGATTACGACGGTCGCAACTTACGCTGTTTCGAGGTTACAAATGCGCACTCCATAACGCTGTTACGAACGCACTCCATAAAAATATAAAAGATAATACTGTACTGTAATATCTAAGCCCTTAAACTGGATCATTGTGATCAAGAAAATCAGTGCTTTGGGCTCATTGGTTTTCATCATTTACATCGTAAATGACGTGGACAATTGCGAACTATTACGATTATGAACGAATAATACGAACGAATACTAAGATTTAGTCACATGGTACACAGTTTCAGTGATACTGTATGCCATTTTGGTTGTTCTGACTTACACTGAAATTCGGGTTACACCGCGTCTCAAGAACGGAACAACGTCGTAAGTCGAGGATTCCCTGTATATGCAAAGTTATTGCATGCATGCGATGAGTGATCTTAATTGTACGAATATAAATTCTAAATTATCCAAAAAATACCTTGATTATTTACTTTTTGTTGATTTTTTCATAATGCACACGAAATTACTTGTATACACACAAGATGTTTCCTGTAATCATACAATACAAAATTATAAGAAATTGACTTTTGGTGGTCGATCTATATACGTAATACATGACTTAACTATTAATAATTTTTTACTAGAAACATGATAGTGAAAAATTTGAAGGCTTCAAATAGTATAGTGATTGGTTGCAACTAGACTTATCATAATAATGTATGCACAACTAGTAAGAAGTGAACAATATGGTTTGGGCAATCTTTCGAATGTCTGTACAGGCAAACTCCTTCAGGGTAATGCAAAGAAAATATTTCCTTTAATTTTATTATTCTTTGCTATGATGAAATCGTCTGTATTGACATTTGAAAAGTTGGCCAAACTATATTGTTTGCTTATAACCGGCATGTATTATATTACTATCATTAAACAGTAAATTGCAATATAAATATTTTAAAAATGGAAATTAAATTGAAGCCACTTGCTTCCATTCTAAACTTTTGTTGAGGCTTGATCATCATCTTTAATTTATTTCAGAGCTGCGCCATTTTCTGACGACCTCGGAGAAGTTTTATTGGAATGTATGAGTGAAGGACATTGGCTTGTTCTTCATAACTGTGAATTGGCTGACAGCTGGCCTGACAAGTTTTTAAATTTACTGTACTCTCTGTCAGCAATGAATGATGTGGACATTGGTTTTCTTTCAAAAAATATAGATGACAACAGTGTCAAAGGAGTCGGTGAAGAAATCACAACTCGTTCAATTTCAACAATAACAACAGAAGATGGAGACTTGGATTCAGAAAGATTAAGCAAACAGTCTGAATCCATATCAATGGAAGAAATACTGACCCATCGTCTACCAGTGAACGAAAATTTCCGCTTGTGGCTGATTTTACGACCAACCCATGGCTTCTACTCAAGAACTATCATTCCTAGTGTTCTTCTACAAAATGCAGCCATTATAAATCTGGAACTACCATGCACACACCAAGGTCTTGTCAAGCTGAAATTCAATCAATTAACAGCGGGAGACCCACACCCAGAACATGTTTTAAATTTACAGTCAAAGCCGTCTAGAAAAGAGCCTCCAATGTCTCAAGAACAGAATAATACAATTTCAAATGATAACCACGTTCTCAAGATTCAACTCTCTTTATTGCATGCAATACTTCTTCAGAGACAGATGTATGATAGGGTAAATGTGCCTCAACATACAGATGAAGATATACTTGATGTTTATAAATGGAGCCAAACGTTTGTTCATGATGGAAATACAGATGGTGTTATACCAATATGCAAAGCACTATTATCTGACTCAATTACAGATGAAAAGTAAGTGAAATACCAGAAATTGTAAAAAATAATTACATATTTAATGTTGATAAAAGGGCGCTCCAGAAGTGTGTGTACAAATATGGAGGTAACTAATTTTGTTCGTCTACTTTACATCAAGTTGTGTAAAGGGACTGAAACCTATATATATAAAGAACGATTGCATAATTCTCACTAAATCATAGATTCTAAAATAAATTCATATTATAATGATAGTTTTTTTACCTCTGCATATAAATAACTATAACATGTTCAAAAAAGGTTTCTCTTCACAAATTACAACAGTATATTTTCGAATAATTTTGTCGGCAAATTTCTAGTATGTACCGTAATTTGTTTTATTTATTTCACTTCTATTATTATAAAATTGTTCAGGAATTCTTCAATATGCTTTTTCTATATTTAGAAAACTGAATGAACGGAAATACTTCATTGAAGAATGTTTGTTGTCACCAGAAAAAGTATTTGATATCAGGTATCAACCAAGGAACAAAGGAATTCATCATGAATTACAAACATTGTTGAGAGCTCCTAAAAAATCTGATCAAGGATTCAATTCGTTAATGCCAGTATGTTAATTATTTGTTCACTACTGTTTTGCCTGTTTTTCAATAGTTTCAGATCTCATATTACAGCTTGGCCAATGATACAAACATTAGGGTCCTACCTAATCTTTATTAAATTACGATGATAGATGCAGGTTTGAGGTTTATGAAAAATGAGATTTACTGGCTCCATCATCAACAGTCTTTTGCACCAACTTTGTACATGAGAAAAATGTTTATTTTTGTCAACCAGTCATCTCAATACCATATTAGAATAGGATTTTCCTATTCGGTCAGTGGTTTCATTTTTTTACATTCTGAAAATACAAACTTGTCATACAAAGTGAAAAAAAATGTGAAAGGAGAGACGCGATAAACCAGTAAGGGTTACCCAGAGCCTGATGTATGAGGGAGTCTAACATTAAGTCATACTGATGTAAAAGTTCCTGAATTGCTATGTGATATTATGAGCTAAATTGCTAAAAACTCAAGATTTATTTGAGAATCTGGCAATATGAAATAATGGGTTTGGTAAATCATTTCCAAATGTTAACTTGATTTATATTTTCTGCAGAAAGCTGATCTGGTCAAGTTAAACCTTCCCAACTCTGCAGAGCGTTCTTCAATTTCTGATAACAATGAAAGGTTGTTGAGTGGTGTCAAAGCAAGTGCAAAATTTGAAATAAATCGTGCTGGTGTAACTGAAGAGAACAATGATTATAGGGCTTATAATCTAAACATATTAACAATCAAAGAAATGGAAGTTCAGCAACAACTCGAGAATATTCTCACGCAGGTACAGTTGCAAGACTTTAAATCTCGTCCTACATTATCATAAGCAATTATGGTTTAAATACTACATTTTTTGTAATGTCATACAAAGAGAAATTCAGAATTTATGCTTTGAAATTTGCCATTTTTGTGATCAGGGACTAAGAGAAAATGGGAAATGTGTCCCTTGTCATAAATTAAATTGGGCTGGTACCTGTAAATCAAATGTTAAACCATGGTTTTGCTATTATGTTGACCATAGAAATTGATTTCCAATGTAATATTCAAGATCAAGCTTTTTCTAATGCATATTGGTTTTTATAGGTTCAAAATATCTCAATTCCAAGCCTTAATGAGGATGAAGAAAATATGCTGTCAAAATCTGGGCCATTGTATGAGTTTTATCATAAAGAATATGCTCGTATCAGCACTGCTGTTCATTTATTGAAAACAGATATTCAGGCTTGTATAGCAGCTTCGAAAGGTCAAATTGAGGTAAAGCTAATTACAATGTTAAGTGATAGAATTTTTTTTATTATTAATATATCCTGATGCTGAGGAAAGCCAACGGTACGACTCGATCATGTTGTGAACCAAAGCTTTCCATCTGGTTAGCAGTTCAGGTATACGAATAGCTAATAAATTAATCATTCCAGATGCATGTCCCTGGATATGGTCCATCTTGTATGTAATAAAAATAGTTCATTTTAATGTGATTTAAAAGTATCTTGTTGACTCAAAAGGCAATGGATTGCTGAGATTTTTAAGGAGAGGAATTTTGGTAAGATGGTAAAAATCAATCTAGTCATCAAATTTCGTTAAATAATGTTTCATATCTCTTTAGGTAAATCCAACTGTACTGAACGTAATCGATGCTGTATTAACTAACAAACTTCCTACGTTTTGGATTGAGAAACACTCAGAAATATTTTTATTCTTTACTGAGTATTCAATAATAAAATGGATAAAATATTTACAAAACATTGGGAACGTCTTGCCAAAATATGAACGGTTGTCACTTACTTCTCACTTATCAGCGGAATCCTTCACTGTGAATATGGTATGTTTAAATTTAACAAGCTATTTGATCCCTAAAAATTTTGCTATCTTTTGAATAGTAGTTGTTAGTATTTTGTTCCTTATGTTGACACAATTAAACAAAAATTAGTAATCAATATAAAAATTTTAAAATTTAATCGCAAGTGATCGAGAATATTTAGAGCTATCTTTTATAACAAGGGGCCGTTAGAATGTATTCATAACAGATAATGCACTCTGATCGATGAAAATTGAACTTTATTATTTGTATGCGTGAAATATGTCCAAATACTAGATTTTAAATGGAAGTTGAAAAATTACTAATGGCAGAAAATAGTTGATTGACTCTTTTAAATAAATCCTATAAGTTTACCAGTGATGACGTTAGCTGTCTATTTATAGAAAAAGTTTATTGTTAAATGCAACCCTTACGTAAAAATTATATAGTCAAATAATTACAGAATGAAATAAATATTCAATATTTTGCTAAATCTGCAAAGGTCTAAATAATGAAATACTTATTTCCCATACTTCCTGGCAACGCAGCAATCGTATCATTCATACATCTGCTAATCAAATATTACAGATTGGACAAACGAGAAGAAAGTCATCAGCGACACAAACACTTTCATGTTACAATCTTGCCACTTTTATGAGGCCAGACATGTTTTTGAAGTCATTCTTAGCTGAAGTTGCTAAAAACATGTTGCAAGACATACAAAGACTTCAATTTAAAGTGGAGGTAAACAATGTTCATTGAATATGTATGCTTATTTCTGCTTAGCTACCCTGAAAAAATATTTACTTGTTCACATTAAATTTCTGGTTTCAACTCAATGTTAGTTTATTGGATTCTTATCAGATTTCTTGGTAAATAGGCCTGATGTTGAAAAATTGCAGTTATTTGCGATGATTTGGCTAATCGTTACTAATTCTTCAATCTATCAAACCTTATTAACACAGTAGCCACCTCCTTTTCCAACCTGTTATTCTAAGTCATATTCGTTCATGAAGCACTGTACAATTAAACAACAACAACATTTGAGAAAATAAAAACTGGAAATATTGTGACTGCAATTGACTAGTTAGTTAATTTTGCAATATACATGAGAGCTTAGAACTCTTACTGTTTTGGTTGTATCTTCTTCTCAAATAAAAAAAATTTGCATAATTTATGATATTTTAATTTTCATCTTTGAAGTGTGCATAGAACAGAAATATATCCTTTTTCATTCAAGATGTTAGGGTTAAGGTCTGAAGTAGTGAAAACTGTGTTCTTCTGTTTTCAACTTGAAATATATAGTCGTTACACTGTTTCATGGGAGCTAAATCTTTTTGTATTTTTATGGGACAATTCTTCAATCTTAAACTAGAACAAGGGGGCAATGCTGTCTTTCACAAAAAAAATAATAATAATCGGACATGTTTTTGCCTGATACTTGACTATTAATAATATTATTTATACAAACTTATTTCAGGTGATTTCAAAACACCTTCCTGCATCTTCATCTGACCTAATGCAAGATTCGATAATGTTGGAAGGAATTTGGTTGCAACATGCTGTGTATGATGATAGATTTAATACAATTCAAGAAACAGCCTCTGACAAATGCCATAAGTTGCCTAATGTGTGCTTGTCAGTAGAAAAGAGGCCCAGATACAATAGGTAAATTATCTTTCCTTGAATCATTAGTACCCGCAAGTTTATATATTTTATTTGTAAAAATATTGAATCACTATTCACTACATTCCTCAGGATTTGTTAGATCAGGGTGGTCCAATATTGTCGTCTTCGCGGGCCACAAAATTATTTTTGCATTGTTCGCAGGCCACAAGAGCGTCAGAAATATGTAAACAACAAACACTTTTATTGTGCAAACGATTGATCATTGTTTGTCATTTATCAAAATAAATCATACAAAATACGCCAAAAAAATGACCGAAACATTCAAAAGTTTTGCTATAACTACATTTAATGTAAGATTTCAAACTTTTCATAAGGGAGAAAGTGCTCCAGCAAATGTAAGTGATCTCGAACATCGATAGGGTTCTCAAAGCAAAATTCCTCAAATTTTGGAAATGCTCATTGCTAACATGATAGCAAAATGCCGTTAGAGATTATATTTGCCACAACTGCTGAATGATTGATTATCATATTTTAACAAATGTAAGGTATAGGAGAGTAAGTATGGTACTAATTTTTATAACATATTAGAAGCATTTTTTGTAATACTGTTCAGGCTGGCTGCAACACATCATCGAAACGAATTATATACTCAGGCCATAACATTATTATTTAGTTATTATAACTGTTGGGATATATTCGCAACCAAATAGATCAAAGCCATTGAACAATTTGGACTACCCAATCACACCCAATTCAACTTCGTTGGTTGCTTCAGCTAGCCGAGACACTAGTCAATACAGTGACATTAGTGATGTAACAAAAAGTCGAAAAGATTTTCTGTTATTTTTATGACGAAACAACACCAAATGCGATTTTTTGATTATCCTTCAGTAAAGGCGACGCGGGCCATAGATAATGACGCTGCGGGCCACATGTGGCCCGCGGGCCTGGGTTTGGATCACCCTGAGTTGGATCACTTTTCATTTGCATCTGTGTGACCATTTGTATAGGATGGGAATTAAAATTTAATTATGAGGCGGATGTTGTATCCAAAATGCAGTCATCTCCTGCATCACCAAAGTGTTTTTTTATACTTGTACTCCTTCAACATTTAGTTGAGCCCAATAAAACTTGCTTTGAGTAAATTTATGTAAAAAAGTTGGGAGTTTAATCACCTCATGTTTCTGATTTTGCAAAACATTATTAGTATTGTCCATATTTCATTTTCAGCCTTATTGTGTACACTGGAAATACATTTTGACCTATTGTGAATTGTTAGGTTAAACAAGTAAATCTTGTATATAAAATATAAAACTCAGTGTGAATGTGTCTTATAATAATTTATAAATTGTTCATCCAGGCCTGATATATCATCAGAAGAAAGAAACATATTCAAATGTCCGGTCTATCACCATAAAATGAATCAAGGTGGCAACATTTTATTTACTATTCCAATGAAATGTGATGTTGATCCTTTAATTTATGACGTAAAGGGTATTCACGCATTCTTAGCTATTAACAGTCGTGGAATTTGAATGATATAAAGTATTATAGTATAAACCGTTCCGCTAGTGCAACTTTATATATATATATATGTTATTGTTAATAAATAAGAGAGTGTTTATTTTTATTTTGTTTTACTATATAGTTTGAAAAGTGTTTATTTGACATAACTTAGTATAGCGTAATGGAAATATACTGTGAAAACAAACGAAATAATTTATAGTCTTTAGTGTTTCAGATTATATTTCATATGATTTATATCTATATCTCGCCCACTGTTTAGTTATGTTTTGTATATTTGCAAAGATATTCGAGAATTTATAATATTTTTCAATTTGTTACCTAATCCAAAACATCTCTTCAATATGATTTTTCGTGTGTTTTGTGTTCCCACGTTATGTGAGTTGCATATTAATAATAAATTTTTAAAATAGAGTTTCATTTGTGAAGGTCACGGGGCAAAGGCCTGGCTTGGAGTTGGAATAATTTGACTACAATAAAACTGGTTTACGTTTTGGTTAGTTACTGTAGATTAGAGTAGGACTACCGTAGGTCGTTTAGTCATCTTCACTCGAGAAACTTATGCGCGATATTTTTCTAAAGATTAAATCCACAGAACTCGCAGATATTTTCGAAATACTGTACTGAGAAATAAAAGTAATAGCCTCCTAGCCACAACATCAATCTTGAACCACTGAAAATTACAAAGCAATTCGTCCAGTACTCTAATTAAAGAGAAAGGCGATTTCTCACAACACGAAAAACAACATAACAAGAGATCAATGCTCAAATATATGGACACGAAATACCGTACCTAGTAGGTAACCGCTGCAATGGACTTTGACCCCCGGAAAATTCTTCCTATTTTTTACCATTGCAAAATTTTCAGTGCTATTTTAGGAGTGCTTTTGCGAGTTGGCGCATGTAAAATGGGGTATATGTTTCAAACCATTATTATGATTCATCGCACACAACAATCTGTTTTTTAAAAGTACCGGTAAAGAATTTCAGGATAGTCTATCACAGCTATTTCTACGCTAATTTTTATCACTGCAATTAAATTATAAAACTCCTGGGAAGACAGAGTGATCATTGAATTATCTGATTTTTATTTAAGTTTCCGAAACACAACTGAAAACTAACGAATAGAGTTTAAAAACGAGGTAATGTTTACAACCACGTTTGAAAATCTGTCTGAGTGAGAAAACTGTCTGAGCGGATGCGAAAAGGGGGCATTGTTACGTCACTTTTTGCATCTTGCTGATTGGCCAATGTCACGAAGTAAACAAGGAAGTCGATGCTCGGGGAAAGGTCCATTGCAAAAAATATAATCTTTAACCGAAATTGGTCTAATAACTAAAGAGAATGATTTTTTCATAACGATTGGAAGAAATACACTAACAACAACATAATAACGAAACGATTCAGTTCATTTCGTGTCTGCTTCCACCACTTAGGTCTTACCTACCCGAACTTTGACCTCGACAAATTAACTCATTCAATCGACAGAGCAATAAATGAGTGGTCAGTGAACACTAAATTCAGGGGGTGGCCAAGCCAAATAGGCAGCCATCGTGATAATGCAGTAATGAACAAATGCATAAACCACATTGTGGAATCATAAAAAAAAAACAAAAAAAAAAAAAAAAAAAAAAAATGCTGCATAGTTTCAGCATTGTTCAGATGTTTAAGTGTCTGAAATAAGCTATGCTTCAAATCTGACATCTCCTGTCCCAACAAAATGCCACATAAGTATTGCTGTATGGTGGCCAGCAGAAACGTAAACGTGACGGGGACTCCTGTCTTTTGCCAGTTCTGAATCCTGTTTGTGCTTAATACTACTGCACATGTGTAAAACCTGCTGTTCACTTAAAGTCTTTGGAGTTAAGTTCAGAGTAAGAGTTAATTGACAATCAGATGACAATGAAAAAAGTTTTTTATTTTTGTTTTCAACTCGTGCTATACCGTAATTCCCTGTGCAGATGTGAGTAATTCTCAGTACCGTACCTGTATTAGTTGATTTTTATTAAATATTGTAATCTTTAGTCGGGCCATGAGCATGATATAGCCTAGTGCAGTAGTGATTTTCAACAGGTGTTTCGCGTCAAATTGTTGTTCCCCATTTTTTTAAATAATTTTATCATATTTTTTGATAACAGAAGGAAATTCAAATCCACCGATCATGTATTTAGTTTTTAAAAAGATTCTGCATAACAAACGTTTCTCTAGGAACAGACTTCCTAGTTTATTTCCGAAACGGTGGCTAAACACTAAAACGTTAACGAAAACGTACCGTACCAAATTAAATTAAGCCACTCACAGACTCAGATGCTATTTACAATTTACTCCTTAAAGAAACACTAAAATTAGTCAATGATAGAAGTACAGGGAGAATTTTAAATAATTTTCATTGGTATTTCAACGTACTCTTGTTCTGTGTAGGTAGTCAGGAATCTAAACTTGTTGCTTCTATTTACAACTCAAGTCAATTAGTCTTATTGTAATTTCATTTGTACGCTAAATCTGATGGAAGTTATTGATAATTCGGATAGTTTCAACAAAATCAGATATTTTTGTTCTGTGTTCCTCGAAAAATTCATGATCTAGAAGTGTTCCGCGGTTTGAAAAGGTTGGAAATCAATGATATATCTTGAGTAATCTTATTATTTTATATTTCATTGATCAGACTATTCAACTTGGGCTGAAAATGTGAGCAATTAATTTTATCATTTGCTTATAACAGTTATTTATGGAATCAAATCAGATACTTGTTTGATTCTATTTTTTCTTCAGCACTTCAAAACAGTAAATAATAGTTGGGAAATATAATTTTACTCAAAAATCAAGGTAAATTTTGTCAATATGGCTGCTGGAATTGGAACTGTACAGTATTCAGCAATTGCTGCAAAAAAGTCACTTCCACAGTTATCACCTGAACAACAAGGAGCTCTCATGAAAGCTAAGCAATATGCTATGCAGGAAAGTGTAAAGCATGTTTTGAAAAAGCAACAAATTGAAGCTGGACTATTGCCAAAGCCTGGAGAGGATGGCACAATGACTCAAGCAATGCAATTACAGAGACAACAAGCCCTCGTACTAATGTGTCGAGTATATGTTGGTTCTATATTCTATGACCTAAGAGAAGAGATCGTCCGTACTGCTTTCGGACAATTTGGAGTGATAAAAACTATTAACATGTCATTTGATCCAATAACTGGCAAACATAAAGGATTCGCATTTATTGAATATGAAACACCGGATGCTGCTCAACTTGCGATGGAACAGATGTCTGGTATGTTGTTGGGTGGCAGGCCAATTAAAGTTGGTCGACCATCAAATATGCCACAAAGTCATCCGATTATTGACCAAATTTTAGAGGAATCAAAAACTTCAAAAAGGGTATATGTGTCTTCTGTTCACGAAGATTTGTCAATCGAAGATTTGAAATCTGTGTTTTCTGCATTTGGTAACATTACATCATGCGCGCTTGCTCCAGATCCAACATCTGGGAAACATAAAGGATATGGATCCATAGAATATGAGACCCTACAGTCAGCTAAAGACGCTATTACATCAATGAACTTGTTTGATCTAGGAGGACAAAATCTTAGAGTTGGCAGAGGTATTGGTCCACCTCCCCCAACGTTGAAAGGAAACTCATTAGCCAGTAATTTGATGGGTGTTCCCAGTCTTCTTGACACACCTGCAGTTCAGTCCCCTGCCGATAATTTGCCAATCACAGTGCCACTATCCGCACTGCCTGGAACTATAATACGCCCAACAGTTGCCCCACCAAAAGTAGTGATCCCTAATATATTACCAACCCAGCCTCAACAAGTAGCATCTGTGCCTCCACCTGGGGTAATTACTCCCACTCTCGGTATAACTCATCAAAATTTCCAAGGAAACTTGGCGGAACTGCCTGGTGTAATAACAATACCAGTTGAAAACACTTCAGTGACATCAAAAATAATGAAACTTTGCAATATGGTGAGTGTGGAAGAAATCGATGAAGATTTAGAAGCGGAGGTAACGGAAGAATGTGGAAAGTTTGGTGTGGTTAAAAAAGTTATTATTTACAAAGAAAAACAAGGTGAAGAAGATGATGCACCGTGTATTGTCAAGATTTTCGTTGAATTTGAATTGAGTTCATCAACAGCCACTGCTGTAGAAAGTTTAAATAACCGCTGGTTTGGAGGACGGCAGATTGAAGCAACTTTATTTTCAGAGTCAAACTACAGTAATGGAGATTTCAGTGGATAGTGTTATTTTTATGTGAAGGACATATGCTCAGCCCGCGGCCCGCATATGTAGTTTTCCTAAAGATTTACTTATTACTAGCTTCATTAGAACATGAAAACTGGTCTCACTTTCACCATTGGTTTAAACTATATAAACTTCATTTTACTGAAGTGCCTTTACATTCAATGTTTGCATATTGATCCACCTTCCTCTGAAACTTGGAATAAACAGCCTCTCACGAGCAATTCTCATCATTGTTTTTTATTTGGTTCAAACCACTGCTGGTTTTTCGAAACTGAGCTCACTTCAGCAGTTTGAAGAAATTATTGGTGGATTTGTATCATTAGTTTCTGTAATTCATGATGAAGTTAATGGGATGTCTCGAATCCTGTTTTTGCAACATTTCTACCTCTCTCTCTGAGTGAGCATACATGACCTTGCTTTGAGCAAATTCTCTTGAAAATAAAATAAACAGTATCTGATGTCGACTTCGGTCACTTTTTCCCAATGCAGTTTAATATGTTTGGCATTAAAATACAGTGATTTCAATATTCTCAAATGTCAAATTCTCAAAGAAATTTAGTAAAAAAAATTGGAAACTTGGGACCAGAATAATTTGGCAATTATTAGTGATTGCTGAAATTTCAAGCATGCCGTGATTATATTTTGCAGGTTATCATGCTGAACAAAATTATTCGTCAACCTCGACAAGCTATAAATTTTATCTTTGAATATTGTATAAGAAATTATTCTCTTGGCTGCTCTTTGTTGTATTCATAAATCGTCTTTGTTGTTTCTCCTTTAATGTGAATTTGGATGGCCCTAAAAATTTGCTATAACATCTCCCTGGCGAAATGTATTGCTACAATACATAGCGAGGGTGTGTAAATCGCCATAATAATTTGGAAGATATTGAAAGTCTTAAATGGTTGGCGTACTTTGCAGACATATTATTATATGATTGTGTAGATCAGTGGTTTTCAAACTTTTTGAAAAAATATGCATAACGGTCCCTTTTCGATTTTGCTGATGACTAGCGGTCCACTATAGCAATGAAAGCAAATAGCAACGCGGTATATCAAGCATTCATCTATTGAATGACATTAAAACAGTTCAATGAGAAGCGAGAAAATGTACAATCTGTTGCACACGCCTTCGCTCGCTCGCTCGGATTTACGGTACTTGCTACGTAAACCAACGTTTGTTACGTAATAATGTCTTCGGTAGAGCGTGTCGTGCATGGGAGAAACACTGTAAAAGCATGTAGGCCGCGAGCCGAGGCCCTGAAAAACGCCTAGAAAGTGAGTTTCGTAGCGCACATCAGGTAACTACCTGAAAATGATTTTAAAATGTTCCTTAAAAATTTAGTAACAAATATTGCCTTGTTCCCACTTCCAAAAGTTGCACGTTTTACGGAAAAGACGCTTTTACTACAAGAAATATGTGCTACGATCTGTCCTATATTCTCTACATTTTCGGCACTGAACAATGACTTCTGCATGACGTAACAATTGAATTAAACCAGCTGTTAGCGAGCGGATGAATATTAGTTATTTCTGCTCGACTTTGCGCTGAGTTGGGCAGGCTTTCCATAGCCCTGTTTAGTTATTATTAGTTAAGTTATGCTAAGACGTTGTTGAAAAATGTATAAGTAAATTATTAAACACTTGTAGATCCTTACCACGGATATGGGCCGTGAGACGAAACCATGAAAACGCCCAGAAAATGAGTTTCGTAGCGCACATCTGGTAACTAAATAAATTCTTCAGTTTAGTGTGAAAACGAACATAATGAACGCATTACAGCTTGTTCCACAATCCTGGTGCGAAATTGAATATAAGAGGTTCCCGGAAACTCAATAACCATAAGTTTACAACGCATAGATAAGAACTATACAATTCGAGAGCCCTACAGCACACTAACACAAATGTATTCCTGTAATGTTTTGCCTGACCAAAATCGGACTTCCTCAGTCAATCATAATTTATTAGGTAGATTACGAAAAATATGGCATACATGTAACCAACAACAAAAAATACTTTAATTGTGTGACAGGAGTCGGGAGTGACCTCGAAAGCAGCGACACCAACAACGCGGATTCACATTTGAGAATAAATTTTATGTAATAACCACAAGCAGTTTACAACAAAAACAGCATAAAAAGCTACATCCATTTTATAGAAGCTATCAAGTATCAAACGTATTTATTTTTAAGCAATGAAGTCACAAATTAACATCGTGAGCACGAAAACACAAATAAATCAGTTATTTCTCACTTAGAAATTTACCGCAAAAGTCAAGAAAATTAAATGAATGTACAATATGTACATAACATAGTGAACAGAAATATTACAATTTACAATTAATCTTTTTTTAGTTTATGTGGTTATGTATTTGAACAAAGGCAATAATATTTCTAGAAACAGGACTACGACACTAACAAATGTCCGAAAAAAAAAACAAATGTATGATACTTATTAAATCAACTGTAATATATAATTCACTTTCTTCTGAATTGTTTTCGAAATCCACTATCTCAAAAATCGACTTTTCCTCTATAGGTGTACTGTGATTTCTGCAGTCAATACAAAAACAAAAATCTGTGCAATTTAAGTTGATTTTGGCACACTTTCATAAATTATTTTGACTATTTTTCTTTGCAGTTTGCCAACTCAAGAACTGATTTGAGGGCCACATGCTTCTTCAGTGAATCATTGTTGGGTGGAGAGTATAATCCTTATGTTTGACAGTGTTAAATAGACGTGCCCTGGTATCATTTACATTCTTCATATCCTCTTCAAATTCCTCAGCTTTATTTATTAATACCTCGTTAACCTCAAAAGATCTTCATAGTCGAGGGAAAAAAATGAATTGAAAATCTCAATGAAGTCTCCAACATGAATTTGATGGGCAGTTCCAATTGCAGAAAAGTGCTAAAGTATTTCAATATGAATAGCCCATCTAAGCTGTTTGCAACTATTATGATTCTCATATACCTTTAAGCTTCAAGACTTCTTGTTTAATCCATTTTATAGCACTGATAGCAGCAGGGATCAGAGCCTGCGTTAGGTCGGATTGGTGGAACATTGCCGTTTTCTTTTGTAGTACAGTATCTAAAATAAGGAAGAAAATAATATTTGGAGCAGCATGATTTTAAAAATACCCCTAAATACTAACTAATACCTTGAATACATAATGCATTTTATCTGATGTACTAAATGAGCGTATATATGCTCATTTCATGTTCTACAGTCCAGCAGTGTTTGCATACCATTACTAGACTATATCTACACTAAATTTTGATATATCACAGTCTGAAATGTCCTATGACAGTATGAGTATGGACTATAGACTATATTATGAAACATCAACTGTTTATCTACAACTTCATTTCTCACCTCTCAATCATTTCCAATGCTACCTTTCTTTCCACTCCGGCATAACTTATCATTGCTTCCCAGGTTCTTGTCGACTCTATGAATTTAGATTTAGACCAACCGACATTAGTAAAATTGATTAATTTCTTCTCTTTCACACAACCGTGCATTACAGAAACAGCCATTCATTTCTATTTCCAAATATGCTGTGGCCTATATAGTAGTATAAGTCTGCTGAATAGTCAAGAAGAGTCATTAAATTAATCATAAACATTTCATGCAAGCCAGAAAATATCGTTGTTTGTGACATATTATTCTAGGTCTAGCCTTCCTTGGAGTTACCGCACCGTACGGTACCTATTTAACAACGTCTTATGAGCTAGTGCTCAACTGAAATTGCTATTTATGGCAAGGATATACAAGTGTTTAATATCTTACCTATACTTTTCAACACCTCCTTAGAATAACTGGACTAATATTACCGGTAACTGAAAAAAACTATGGAAAGGCTACTCACAGACTCAACGCAAAAGCGAGCAGTTGAGTACATCTGATATTCATCCGACCACTGGGGATCCACCTAAAGCTGACTAACTTGACTGTTACGTCGTGCAGAAGTCTGCGTTCATTGGCCCATGATACCGGAAAAGCAGAGAAAATAGGACAGATGGTAACACATATTTATTGTAGTAAAAGCGTCTTTTCTGTAAAACGTGCAACTTTTGGAAGTGGGAACAAGGCAATATTTGTTACTAAATTTCTAAGGAACATTTTAAAATCATTTTCAGGTAGTTACCTGATGTGCGCTACGAAACTGAAAGATAAATGGCCTCGGCTCGCGGCCTAATGACATCTAAATTTTTCTTCAAATCCCACTACTTCTGTGCCGAGGTTTCAATTGTCTCGCGGCCCCCCTAAAATTGCTTCGCGGTCCCCAGTTTGCGAACCAGTGATGTAGATCAAGGCTGCCCAACATTCGGCCCGCTGAAGTGTTTTTTGCGGCCCGCCCTATAAAGTTGGTAAGCAGACTTTTCACATACATTTTACTATACATAAGTATCTTTGGTGATTTTGGTGTGATTATTCCTGCCATCTATCTACGTTCAAATCAAATGCCGGTTTTTATTATTAGGTATGTGTCAAGTCTTGCACCCTGGTGGACATCAACGTCATTTTTTTTTTCATTTCTCGCAAAACTGTGCACTCTTTTCGACTAACTATAAAGATATTGTGCGATCATTGGGAACAAACGCTGAGCGCAAATATAGGAGTGAACTTGGAGCCTAAGTTTGCAAATTAATTCCATTCTGATTGCTTTCTTTCGTGTCGGCTTTGATCGTCTTTATCGCCAACGTAAAATGAAAAGTCAACAATATCCTGGGTACTGGTCCCGGACTCGTTGTCTTTTTATGTTTGTACTTTTGTTCATGTTATGTTCGCGTTAAATAAGATTTTGGAAATGTCGTCACTGCATATTCGTCAATAATTCTGATGAAATTGACGTAATGACATTGCTACGAATTAGTCACAAATCAGTATATATCGACTATTTGTTCAGAAATCTTCGTTATTTTACTTCATTAAATACTTGTATTGGTGTTTCAAATTTTACGAAAGGGCCCACTAAAACTTGATATTGCCGCGACATTGACGCACATTATGCTCATTTGAACATTAAAGCAGTATCGTAGCTACTGAAAATAAATGAATAAAAACAGTGGCGGCGCGTCAATAGGGCCAATATAGGGCCGGTATAATAAAAAATATTCGAAAAATACCTCAATATCGGTTGCACAGACTGTCTACACTAGCCATATTCTCCCGACATGGTTCATTTTTCGCTCGCAAAGCCTTCGCCGAACGTCGACGGGGCGACGTCGATTTTGCCCCGGTTGCTCATTGTATATCGTATTCTCTCTTTTATCTTCCACTCGCCGCGTTTGTCTCGTTTGTTTTCTGTTTCTTTTACTAAATCATCATGCTAGCCCCGAAATTATGACGACACAATGCCGACGTTTCTTACAACAACGTGTTGAAATATTCACGCACAGGGTTGCCATATTGGCTTTTTTGACGCCAAATTTGCCATTTTTGGCTTTTTTCAAACGCGTTTGGCTTCAGAATTTCCGTTTGGCTTTTTGGCGTTTTTTTGGCTTTTTTCAACTCTATTCTAGTGACTAATATTAAAATCATATGAAATACAATATTTAGTGTGTAACAACTGAACAAAAGCCTATTACCTGTACTTAGCTACTTAACATTAGGATTTCCTGGAGCATCGATTTCCTTGTTTGTTACATTAACTCTTAACCATACCCAATAAGAAATAAGTGCAGTTTCTGCAGCTGCTCAGACAGATGTTCAAGCAGGGTTGTAAACATTGCCTCGTTTTTATAGTTTATAGGAATTTGTCAGTTTACGTTCTGTTTCCAAAAAATAGTTGTGTAATCTAATTTTCATTATGCCTGATATGATTTATGTGAGCTTTCAGCTTTAGTTTAATTCTGCAATTGCAGTAACGATGTGGTTAACTACGCTAAAATTACTGAAATTAGATATCAGTGGTCCACCTGTGAGCGGCAGGGGGCTAGATAATTTTTTAATAAAATTGATGGTTTATAAATTTTAAAAGTAAAAAAATTTTCAATAGTAAAGTACGATATCGGGAGAATTTTTTTTAAGGTGTAGCACAAGTTTAAGTAGAAACATACCGGTATTGTAGGTATATTACATACTGACAGACTGAAGCGGCACCCTGTATTGTATATATTGAATGGTAAAATAATGCTGCCCGCTTGATATTCATTTTACTTTCTACAGTTCTATAGGAACTTTACTTTCTATTTGTGTGCCTCACTGAATGAACTGATGGCTCTACATCATCATCAGTACGTTGTCAAGGGCTTAAAATCTGACAAATCATGGGGCTTTTGTACTTAGTAAAATTGTTGGCTTTTTCTGGCTTTTTTTATGTCTTGATTTGGCTTTTTTTGATCGCTGGGGTCTGGCAACCCTGATTGAGAGATCATCTTGATGCCGCAACTGTTTCGAAAGGGACATCTAAGGATATCCAAAGTGATTTGCTCGACTCAATGTATAAAATTTATTTACAACATTTGGCTCTGGAAATTGAGAATTGCCAGTTCCTTTCGATTCAGTCTGACGAGACAACTGACATCACGTGCGTTTCCCAACTGGCTGTGATTTTTCGGTTTGTGAAAGATGGTAAACCTACCGAGAGATTTCACAGCTTTGTACCAATCGTTGATCGCACGTCTTGCGGGATATCGGCTGTACTGAAAGAAGTGTTACAGCCTTACAACGCGAAGTCAAAATTGATAGCTCAAACTTATGACGGCGCGGCAGTCATGAGTGGGTCGAAACATGGTGTTCAAGTTTATATAAAAAAAGATTTTCCTCATGCGCATTTTTTACATTGTTATGCACACCAATTTAATCTCGTTATTAAAAATATGTGTCTTGATAACCCTCTCGTCCGTATATTTTTTGCAAATGTTTCGGGGTTTTCTTCATTTTTTTCCGTTTCGCCGAAGCGCTCTGACCTCCTTCGCCAGATATGTAGCCGCCGTCTCCCAGCTTGTGCACCAACACGTTGGAACTTCCAATCACGCGTGGTGCAGGGCGTGTCCAAAATTAGGTCTGAGCTCGGTTCCAATGGCATTCAGAGCTCTCCGGTTTGGGACGAACTTTCTGTGAGGGAGGCGGCAGGTCTAAAGCGTCTGCTAGAAGATGGTGAGTTTTCATTTTTTCTCGCTTTTTTCTCCACAATATTCTATCACGTGGATGTTTTATACGGCGCATTGCAGTCAAGGCTAATGGATTGAGCGTCTGTGCAGTCGTGTATTTCAGACTTTTGCGATGCTGTATCTCGTATCCGGGAAACAATAAAATACGACGACACATGGAGTGCTTCTTTACGCCGCGGGCAAACAACGCAGCGTTTGATTTTGTCTGCAAAGGAATGCTGTGACATTCTGGTGAATCAAATAGGCGATCGTCTGCGCACTGAACACCTTGCCGCGTTCTCTTTGATGAACCCCAAAAATTTTTCAAAATTTGCACGTCAATTTCCCATCCATTTGTTGGCTACTGTCTCCAAATTTTACCCCATGATAAACGTGGGTAAATTGGAAAATGAATTGCAATGTATATACACCAATCAAACTTTTTTGAACATCACATCAACTTGCGCGCTCTATGGGTTCCTCATAGATAACACACTAGTAACTACCTTTGCGGCGTCTGCAAAATTTCTGGACCTCATTTTGACGACGCCTATTTCTTCCGCCGACGCAGAGCGAACATTCAGCACGCTGAAGCGTATTAAAACGTATCTCAGAAACACAATGAAGCAAGATAGATTAAATTCCTTGGCTGTTTTATCCATTCACAGAGACGTTATTTCTGGGATGCATGACTTTAATCAGCGCGTTATTGAGCATTTTGCTTCCAAGAGACCACGGCGTGTTGCCTATATGTTCAAGCAGTAGAAGTCTAGCAGCCTATATATCTATGAGTGAGCGACGCATGTCCTTATCTTTGCATAACTTTCCTTTCTTCATAGTAACGTTTTAAACCTTATTTTAGGTTTTGTCTGCTTTCCCGAAGTTTCTGTTAATATGTCATTGTATTTATCTGGGTAAATATTGCCTTTCCTTTTGAAAGAGGTTTCAAAATAAACTATGTCTATATTTATTAATCCCTTGACTTGGACCGGTTTTAAAGACACTTTCTTATCGTTAAAAATTGTCGCTTTTGCCGATTCGTTGTTACCGATGGAATGGTTTTTATACTCATAAAATGATGGGAGAACTTACAGCGCTCATCCTGTCCCCGTAGAAGGGCGTGACTTGGTCCCGCAGTAGCTTGCCCCGGTTGTCAAAATGACCACGCGCCGCCACTGAAAAACACTATACTGCAATAAAACACTCAACTTTGACGTGATGCGCCTTTTATGTATTTTGTAATTACCTACACCAAAATCGGGACTTATCTGGTATTAATGTTTGGTACAAAGGTTTGCTGCCCGCGACCGATTTCGTCACGTGAAAGTGGCCGAAAAAGGTTGGGCAGGCCTGATGTAGATGATTACCTGGTAGGCATCTTGTCGCCGACTTGATTCATGCAAACGCTGATCGCTATTTTCTCTGTCACCCACGCCTATCTGAAACGATCAGGTTTATTCTGCAGCCAGTTTATGCAGAGAAATACGTCATTGAATTTAAAAATTTGGGCCATTGGCACAGCCGGTCGAATGGAGCGGTGAAAGTAGCGCAGTTTCGGATTTTCTCGTCAATCCTTCCATGTACCGTTAACTGAAAAGACTTGGTAGCAAAAAGTTCGGATAGGATTTAATATTTATCCCGGGAAGAGAAAATCCCACGAGTCGGCTCAATCACCTGGCGAACCACGGCCTCTTGTCCGGTTACCAGTGCATGTTGGGTATAGGATTAGTTGACCTGTTATTTATTTTCCGATGCATGAACTTAATGGTGCAGGAAGCCTTGACCGACCCGCGGTTACGTGAACCACTACGGCGGCGAGAGTCCAGCAATACTCGCACATATTCGTCACTACATGGGCTGCGAACCTACGCAGGGTAATCGGAGGTGCGTTGGTGAGCGTATTCCTAACGCTGAGCACGATGCGCCACACTCCACAGTCTGTTCTATTCTTGTTGGGCATACATCCATTTTAAATTTGACGATGTGAGTTATTTACCCCAGTGTTCTTGCTGTATATGTTAGTATTCAACACTCAACCCATATATTCAATTCCTGGTACATTTATTGACATATATATATTGCCATTATCCCCGGCCATATAGTAAACATGAAAAGGGTGTATGCACGCCCATCAGATAATTTTAAAACATTCAACCAAAGAAATTTTTACAGCAATAAACAATTATATGTGGTGAGGTCAAATTTCAATCATTATATATATAATGAATGTAGAATTTCTTTTAGAGATATTAAACAGTAGTAACTGCGATTTTTATCTTAAAGTAAAATCAAGAATGTTACCATCGCTATTGTATTATATGACAGAGTCCACACTATTTTAATCTGACACAAATTGAAGCGACATTGAGAATCAAACAAATACAAAACTAGACAAGACAACGTCACGATTATAATCTAATAAAAGACATGTGCCCGTCTGCAATGACTCCCCGTCCCGACGTGGAAAAAGTGTTATTTCAGACAGACTGAGACAACAAAACAAACAACACGAAGATCGTCATTTACACAATCAGCATCGTAATACATAACGGGACATGTGCTGTCTGTTATGACTCCGTCCCGCCTGTAAGAAAAGCTTTTCCTAAAACACTGAGACTAATTGTTGTATTGCAAATTAGTTAAATTCCCTGGCATGTAATTTCTGGACGAAAAAGTGAAAATTTATTCAATGTCCGCAAAACGCTGTAGGGCATAAGACCCCTGCTTGAATATGAACAATTTGATTAGTAGAAAAATAGCAAAATTTGAAATTCCATAATATTTGTAGCTGATCGAGTGATTGTCTCTTTTAGCGTTACGATGCTGACGACAAATATATATGACAAACAGAATAATTACAGACATAAGTAACGATAACGAAAATACTGTACATACATAAAACCTTGAACAGGCCGTGAAACACCGGGGTGTCTTGAATATTTTTCGTAGATAAGTTTCTCCAAGATGAAAGCAAAACCATGACAATATTCGTAAACACACGGAATTTTGAGGTCAACAAAGATAGACAGGACAACTAACACAAATACGCAGGACAGATAATATGTGCACAAGCATGCAGATTAACAGAACTATTTTACGTACAGAACGAAATTGTAGGAATTGTATTTTCCCGGTCAAATGTTACTATAAACATACACAATAAAATGCTTTGTATGAGTAGGCTTCAAGTCACACAATTTTCATATTTGTACGGAGTTGTTTAAATATAATTACACTGTTTTTATTATGTTGAATTAAATAACTGAAGATTGCAATAAAAAAAACACTAACATTCACCAGCAAGCTTATGTATTTCGCTGACATAAAACACATTTAAACATTGAGAAGCAATAAGGTAGCGGAAGAAGACGGGCAGAAGAGCCACCAACAATGAGAAATGAAAACAAAGCGATTGGCAACTTAGTTATGCACATTTATTAGCATCAATTACTCAACTAACGATTCTTTTATTCGCCTTCGAATCTATCGAGTTAACCTCGCCGAGGAAGCACACCGCAAGCGAGCACACAGACGCAGCAACAGCAGAGTGAAAACAGTGATAGCGTATTATTGAAAGCCCATATTCTTGTACTTTGTTTAAAGGAGCCAAATAAATTATCTGAGCAAATTGCTTCGGGTTCTCATTCCAACTCTGTTTAAACGTATATTTCAGAATCTAGGCCTAATACTTTTTCAAGAAAAATTCTTATGATAAATTGAAATCAATTTTACGTGGGTATTTTGAAACATTCAACAATTTTCAAGCGGCATGTCACATAAAATTTAGCAGTGTTTTTGTTCAATTTATGCATTTTCATAGAGGCCCTAACAGCGAAGCGCAACAAGCATAAGCAGCAGCATTTTCATGAATTAGGAATTAGGCCCAGTCACAAATCGCTCCGTTGAATGCAGTACCCGGAGGACACTGTTGGATGGTAGTCGAACCGCCGGAGCATTGGTAGAAAAATGTGTCGTCATATGGATCGGCATAGTTACCGTCTGGTTTGCCTTCACAAGTAAAAACTGAAGTGGCAGCTGTTGTGGTTGTCGCCGAAGTGGTGGTAGTGGTAGCTGCAGCACCGGTGGTGGTAGTAATACCCGCAGTGGTTGTAGTGGTGACACCAGAGGCTGGGATTCGAATAGTAAGAACAATATGTATAAGTTAATAATTTGCGTGTTGATTCCACTTGTTCAAACAATGAAAGGACAATTTGTTCTAATAAAACGTTAAACTGATTGTTGTGCTCATTTTTGGAATTGAAGCAATTGTCCTCAATGCGACACGATGATTGTTTGCGATGCGCTTCGCCGACGTCCACCTACTGTTTAATTTGGAGGTAATTTCGGAAACATGGTTTTCAATTTTTTACGCTTGGTCTATAATTACTCTTACTCTAATTACTGACTGAAAATTACCGTAACTGGAATTTTTTCATGTTCATGTTATAGTTTTAATTAAACAAAACGTGTATACCGGTACTTGGTTCGATAGTTAAAAAACGAGGTAGCTTAAATCGGTTCATATTTGAGAGGAGTAAAAGTTGAATGGATGCTCCAGAAGTATGCGCACCAAGATGTCGTACAACCTGAATCCTAACCGGTACACATATACCATATTCTGGTTGTGCGCCATCTTGGTGCGCATACTTCTGGAGGTCCGTTAAATGTAATGGGGGGAATTTTTAATACTGAACGTAAAAATATAATCAGTATCTGTTTGTTACTCATCGATTTTAATCGGTAAGTATGTTGGTAGGTATTTGTCTGAGCGAGATTGAATCTGCTCAAGATTTTGCATGTGCATTCATCATATCTCGGATATTATACGACATAATTCCAAAATCAATCGATTCTGGTCAGAGATATGATGAATGCACACGCAAAGTTTGGAGCAGATTCAACCTCGCTTTCGTGAGATATTGCGTAACATACGAAAGTCTCTAACATACAGACAGACAGACAAATACCTATCAACATACTTACCGATCAAGATCGATAAGTACTGTAACAAGACAACAATATTTAACATACATTTTGACGATTGGATAGTGTTTTTAAGCGGTTTTATGGCCATGTACAAACATTTCCGTCATACACTAAACCTGCAGGACAGTTACGCACAATTATCACTCCGTGGACGCACTGCAGATATACCGTGTTGTCATTTGGATCAGGGAAGGTTGTGCCATTCGCCTTTCCTTCGCAAGTAGGATTTTCGTCATTATTGGCTGGCGTGGTAGAAGTAGTGCTTGGTGCGGAATGCTCGGGGACGTTCGTAGTTTTAGTAGTGGGACCAGGACTTCCATAAATTCCCTCTGTTGTCGTGATAGCTGACGGCCAGTTGCAGACATTTCCATCATACACGAGACCATTTTGACAATGGAAAACGTTATCATTGCCGTGGTCGCATTTGTGAAATATTGTGTTATCATTCGGATCAGCATAATCACCGTCAGGCTTCCCGTCGCACGTAAACTTATCCGTTCCGCCTGAGGTCGTTGGGGTTAACGGGGATTTTGTAGTAGTAGCGGAGTCCGCTGTAGTCGTGCTTATGATAATATTGCCTTTTGTTGTTGTACTAAGAGGGGTCGTTGGTACTGGAGGTGAGTCTGGTTAGTGTATAAGCGATTTCGAATTTAGTTTAGAACTTGTTTCAAATCTATTTGCGTACATACAAATATATATACCAATTTTTGAGTCTACTTACATATATATACAAGCTGCCATCTGCGAGATAAAATTATATCGCATCCTATCACTCGCATAGTTCAGAAATATAGTTCATTGCTAACAGACAGCTATACATTTGACGATGATTCTATAGGATATTGGCACACATTTACATAGCAGCAACGTGCATTCACATTATCGTGCATATTATACAGCAAATGCCAAAGCGAATTACTTGTCTGAATGTCTGTATACGCACAATATTAGATATTGAAAATCTACACAAGTCTGCCGCGGATACTGGTGGTCATCAGTATGAATGTAGGCAGTTGAACAGCGCTTACTGACTGCTAAATTCTATGATTACTCAAAAACTCACCAGCTGTTGTGGTTGTTTCAGCAGCTAACGTTGTTGTTGAAGTGCCGTCCAGGGGACAGTAAACGTTATCTTTCCAATCACATAAAAGATTTTCTTCGTCGAAATATAATTCTGGCTGTAAGTAATGTTGATTAAGTATGGATCAGCGTCTCAACGAGACAAATGAGCATGTTATTCACCAGGGTATTTATTTTATTAGCAGCCATATAGAGGTGTATACTATATATAAATATATTTTGTCTTACGTCCAAAACATATGAAAACATCTTTCGTATTTTACATGCTGGAGACATGAAGTGGGCAAAAGATTAAATGTCATATGATCCTTTATTCTCAATTTCAGTACTTGACTTGATATTAATCAAGTTATCTTGGAAAATTATACAAGAGGAACATTGTTTTTGCACGCAAGAAAATGAAAGCAAAAAGGAATTTATACGTTTCATTTAGTTATAGGTAAAAGTTTCATGTTCAATCACTATAATGGGCTGATTTTATAGATCCGAAAGCCTAACTATATATTAAATATATATATTGACTTGGCATATTAATAACCAGAAGTCAACAGTGCGGTTATTGACTCACATCACAGCATCTGTGAACACTGACGTCGTTGTTACATTGATAAAAACAATGACAATCACTTTCATCGCGATAAAAGCCGTTTCCCCCTAGACACTGTGGTCCACAATCAGCACCTATCAAAAATGTTTCAATCAAAATTTAAGAATATATGTGTATAAAGATTTGTCTCATCGCCTCGCCTATCTCACGACAGGTTCAGTCCAGGACCAGATTTCGAGTTTAGACAATGGGAAGAAGCCCTAGGCTTTGTCATTTATGAGGCCCTCTTTAACGATCACGTCATAGGGCTCTATACAAATCATTATTACGTCATATTAAGACCTGAAGTATAATATCCGTCTCTAGTTGTGAGAGGTGGGGCTGGGGAGCATGGTCCATTAGCCTATTGATGAATAAAGCCTTGTTAGTGAATTTTCGTTCCATTCTTAATGTAAACGATTCTGCGATAAAAAAAAATCCGGAAATAATGAAAAATATATTAATCTTAGAATCATTGTTGCTTAAATGAATTGGTATACTTATATATCGACATTTTTTTATTTTCTAAAAATGAAGGCATTACAGTATTACATTAAAACTGCTCAATTAACTTGAATTGCTATATCTTTTTTATTGTTGAGGAGTAAAGTTTTCAAATTTACACAAACTGAATATACACAAATATTTATGTCAAGAATTATTACCACGATTGAACAAATATCAGTTTTATGAAATTTCAAATCGGTTTAAATCTGAAACAAGCTTTCAAAATTTGAAAACGACTTAAAAATGAATAATAATTTGAATGTCGAAGCTGCTAAGGTTGGGTCTATTTTGTATTATGGTAAATCCGGCCCTCAGGTAGGCTATACCATTTGTGAGGCCTCTGCCCCTCTCAAACAATTACTTCATAAGGCCTATAGAATTTATTATGGTACCATAACAGTCTTTTCGTGTTCACGACATGCAAAATGTATTGTTATGTCATATATATGTAAATTTTTAAATTGCATGAAATGCGAAATATTAGTTACAGGCAAGTTTTTAATAAGTCACTTTTTAATGAGTGCAAAGAAAAATCTATAGTTATTTTGCAATATAAGTGATATATATTAGTGGAGCTTACCTTCGCATGGTGCGTGAGTTGTTGTGGTAAACATTGTCGTGGTTCCTCCATTTGGTTGCGTTGGTGGTACATGTGTACTACTCGCATAAAGACAATTGCATGGCGCGTCCGGGTAGAAACACTCGTATTGGATAGGGGGACTAGTGGGTGGAACTGCAGGTGGCCACCAAGTTACCGCGGTCGTTGTTACCATAGGGTAACACGCATTATCGTCCGCTGCTCCATTATGTAGTTTCGATTTAATTTCTCTGTTTGTAACAAGTAAAAGAACACACAGGGGCATTATATACTAGAGTGGATTTAGTGGAAGAGTAGAAAATACAGTACATTTCGTTTCATGCTAGGTTCAAAGTTGTTTAAATACACTATACTAGTTTGGACTTTTTTCAAATCTTAAAAAATACCTCTTTCATTACTTTGGTCCGCAAGTAGACAAAGTTAAATTCTTAGCGAGCAGATTAAATGTTTGTTCACTTTTTTACATGGCGGAAAATTGATTTTATAAATTTGTTTCTTGGTCTACTCATACGGTGATAATATTTACCGGGACAGTATATACTTCTTCGCAGTTGGGCACATACCATCAAAGTCATCAAGGTCCAAACTCCAGATCATAGCACCGGCAAGATTGTATGATTTCAAGTAGTCGACCTTTTGAAGAATTTGACAATGCAATCAAGGTTGATAATACATGAAAAAGCGTCTTTATGTTATCATACTCGTGATATAGGCTATGTAACATTTCAGTGTGTCAGTGAAAATAAATGGATGCAAATCGAGGTGTATATTTTTAATTCGTTGTGTAACATAACAGTTGTTGTAACATGCAAAAAAGTTGTCGCAGTAGCGTTTTTGTTTGTGTATACATAATATGTGTATAAATAGTTATGTATATCTGATCAGTAATAAAAATTATGACAGTTACATTCCACAAACGTTAAATTATACATACTTTTTTGCCGACTGATAATACATTTTCATAACCAATCCATTGATCTCCGGTGACAATATTAGGTGCTTCTGCGTCAGAATTGACACTTATTGTACCCGTCTTCGCGCAAATCTAAAAAAACAAGCATATGAAGCTTTTTGTCATATTCTAGTCCTAGCGCATTATAAAAAATATTGCACAATTCAAGATACGTAATAATTACCTCATAGTAGGCCAGAAAACCAGCTTCTCTTGTATACGTTCCGGCTGTACATGCACCACTAGCGGGAGCTCCATATCCGCCTTTGCTGGGATCAGCCAATGTGTAACCCCTAAAATGGTATTGACAAATGTTAGATTTTATATTTATAAGTTATACTCGCTCAGCCATTCAGATTTCGGGGAATATGCGACTTGGTGCGCATATTATGTTCTTCAACACGTATTACCTGATTTATTTTCCCATTTTATAAACTCAATGTCGAAGGTCGATTAACAAACGACTCGATTGTAAGTATTTACCATGGCGAGAAAAAGAAGACCCCATTTGAACAGAGACGCCTGAAGCTTACAAAGCGGTAAAGTCACCATCCGCCTGGTCATACCACAAATAAACTCATTTTGATCGTTTGGAGATTCGCACCCCGATTCTAAGGCATTTTACCGCCTATTTTGTGGCCATTATTTATGATGTCATCAGCCTTTTTTTCGATGCAAAACAAAATGTTATTTCTAGTTATTAGATGACCTAAAACTAGAAATTTTCAAACCTTCCATATAAAGGTATGCCAAGTACCATCTTTTCTGGTGAACATCCATTACCCAGCCAATGATTGAGTGCGTCATCCTATAAAATTCAAAAAATATAATATTTTGTGAAATTACCAAACGATATTATAAACGTTCTGTCAGCTATTTTATGTTTGGGCATACTGATAGTAGTTATCGCAGCTGAGAATTCTGATTTATCTGCATGGACAGCTCAGGAGCTCAATTTCAGCCTTCACGCCCGTAGTCTAATCACTCTAATGAATTAATATAGGTATATATACAGGAATCGGTGGTGAATACGTAAACGGGAAAAATTGATAAATATGTGATAAATATTTTGCAAAACGTATCAGAAACTGAAGTCATGAGAAAACTGGTGATTGAGCAACGACAATACCCGAAATGAGGATTTCAGTCATAATTCTTCAGTTCCGGTATAAACTCTTCAGGGTGTATAGTTGCCTAGAAAGGAGCTAATTTGCCGTAAGGTTGTAGTTGTTACTATTTGCTAATTTCAATCCAAAATGTCTAACTTTGCGATATTCATACATTCATAATCCTACTCATGTACCATTGAGCCGATATGATACGTTGCTATTCTCTTTGTAACCAGGATTAATAGCATCGGTCTTTACCGAAAAAGTGAAAATTGAATAATGACCAAACAGCTTGATATCATACCACATTGAAATTCTGTCTGTCGTCGCTACCGTAATCCACTGTTCCTGGATAAAGTGCACTGTGATGATCAGTTGTATTTTCCCAGGCTCCGTGCAAATCATAAGACATTAAATGAACGAGATCCAAAATTCTATAAAAAATTGAATAACTTGAGTAATAAAGTATTTTTGTGGTTATTTATTCTCACTGTCTGACCAAATGTTCTAATGACCATCATAAATAAAATGCCTCGCTGCTGTGGTTGGATTCCACTATGAATTTGATTATGAAGAAAATAATGGTGATTTGTATTTCCTCACTCGCAAACTTTGGATATTTCATATCCGGCATCTACAGTTGGTACTCCAGCAGCAACAGCTGCAGTCAAGAGAAGTCGCGGTTTCCCCGTAGTAGAAGCCTCATACACATACTCTTCCATCAGTACCTGTAAAAGTAAAAAAAAGTGATAAAAATATGCTGACGGTAGCATGAATCATATACATATGCAGATAACAGTTAGCGGACTTTCAATTCTATTTTCATTCTTTGAAGAAAATGTACAAATTATAACTTTCATTAGTAATGTCTTTTTGAAATTAATAATTCAACAATATGGTTTTAAAATATTATCATTTTATAAATTTCATTGTATGTCAGTGTAGTGTTTCAATATATTTAATTTTAAAACTTCCATCCCGATCCGTTTTCACAATTAACAGAGGTCCTTCGCAAAAAAAAATTCCGTAAATGAAGTAACGAAAAGGACTGCTGATCAAAGTATTATTTTCAAATTTAGATTGTTCAAATACAAGGCTTGTTTACCATGCGATTGTCACTTTAAAAAAAGCGGCAATATTACGACCAATTATAATCTATATAAGTCAAAATATCACCAGAGATGGCCAAATTACTTTCCAGTTTTATTTCAGAACAATACGGGGTCAGAGTCAAGCCGTCGAGTTTAGGTCTTTATGTGGGAATATTACGGCATTTCTTTGTTTTGTTTGTTATAATGGTCTGACGTATGATGATGGGAACAGGCAGATGATAGATAACATGTGGTATATGTACACATGATTATCCCAAGATATCGCACGAGAAAATAAAATGAAAATGCATCTGTCAAAAAGTTGACTTTGTCAAAAACCACAATTCCGCGTTTGAATGTAAATATCAAAAAACGAGAATAAAAAGAACAACAACCTCCCCTAAAGCGTTTGAGTGAGTCCTGACTCGACATCCACTTTGAGCCAGTCTTTGAAATAGCAAGTATTATCGATGAAATACGATTTACCAAGTACGTTATGGCTGCATTGGGAATCGAAAAGGGGCGTTGTAGCAACAAGAGAGCAACGCTCAAATATATGCACGTGGACCATTGCGAAGCAGTCCTTACCGGTACCGTACCCTCAAAAAACTTCCGAGTTTCTAGTCGCAAGAGTCAGTCAGCCGTCACGCTTGGCGGATTAAAAACCGTGTTCCCATAATTAAAGGGTAATACAGCGCAATTTTGGATGAAATAATAGATCTCATAAGATTCATAGAAAATTTAGGAATAAATAAATAGCCTTCTGGCAAAAAAAAAAAATTTTTTTAACCACTGAAAATTTCAAAGCAATTGGTCCAGTCATCAAAAAGAAAAGCGATTTTATCATGACGAAGAAGAATAATATCAACAAGAACAACAACATAATATCGAAACGATCCATAGGTCCACTCACGTGTCTAATAACTCAAAGCACATTGTTCCGATGTCTATGTGAATGTTGTCAATAAATTATTAAATCCTGGTTTACCTTTCAAAATAGCTTAAGATGAAAGACTCTATTGATCGACTGAGCTCATCAATTATTGTGGTTTTTGGTTCGTATTAAAAAAAATCTATATTTATTTACAAATATTTATTTTCAATTTCAATCAATTAATCGTTTAGAAACTTACTTCTAGGAGACGTGTGAATCTTTGTTTGTCGCCAGGTGGAGATCCTCTACTTCCTGGATATTCCCAGTCCATATCAAGGCCATCAAAACCCCATTTTCTCAAAAACGAAACTGATGTGTTGGCAAAATGCTGAAAAAATATTTTGTGTAAGCTCAGCAGTTATAACGACTGTTACTTCTGGCACTAAATTGCTGGAACAGGAATATATACATTTACGCGTTATTCTCTGTTGGATTTTGACTAATCCAGGGGTGGGCAATTATTTCACGAGTGGGCCTGTTTCAGACATTAGACTCGCTTTCTGGGCCGGAGGCTCTCCTCTCTCTCTTTCGCCGTTTGGGAACCGCTGAATTACTGAATTATTACCTGAGTTATTAAACCGCTGAATTTCGTTAGTTTCATTGGAATTTTCAACTGAAATTTATATCCTTAAAAACTATAGTCGTAATTCTAGCAGGTACAAGTAGGCCGGATGAAACACTTCGGTGGGCCTTATCCGGCCCGCGGGCCGTAATTTTCCCATCCCTGGACTAGCCTTTAAGACATCGACTGGGACAGGTATCTCGATCTCGACTTAGGATTGCGACTTGTCGATATTATAAAAAAAAAGACGATAACTAAGTAAATTTCAATAAGTTTTGTATAGATTCGAACATATCAGTGCATAATCAAAGATAAAGTTTTTCTACAAGATTTTGTTGATTTGTAATTAAGACAATGAAAACTCTCAAATCCAGGACGTCGTAATAAAACGATGAGCGGTATTTTTGTCGATACAGAAAAAAAATTTACCCGCATGTTTGCTTCGCTCTGACAAACAATGCTGAATTGCTTTGTACCGAAGTTCCATCCTCCAACAGCTGCCGTAATTTTCAATTCAGGATTTGATTGTTTAAGAGACGTTAATTGTCTTATCAACTGATCCCCATTCCATTCACGGAGTTTGAGCTGACAAAAAAGTTTTTAAACGGTCATTTAGTATCATTCAAAATTATAGAAGAGTAAATCACAAAAATAAATTTTAAGTAAAAATATTATATGAAAATCAGTGAGCCAATTCACCTCGTTATTGCTGCCAATTTCAACGAATGAATACACGATGTGGGTACATAGATTCGGATCTACATCATCATCAGCTTTAAACTTTCCGGTGCCGGGGCGATATTGTGACCAATTGGTGAAATAGCAGACAAAATATTTTCCATGTTCAACGCCTAAAAAATATTATATGAAATGATTCATTGTCGAGTAGTAGCTTAATTAAATAACGCTTAATATAATATGTTAATAACTTAAATATACGCTATTTGTATTAACTCTTGATTGGAAAAGACTTTCCTAAACATGCACGAATTTTATAGTTTACATAAGTATTCTACCTTCTATACACGTAGCAGCAATCATGCAGCAAAGGATTGAGAATAGCAAGAGCTTCATCCTGGAAAAATTTACAAGGGTTAAGAACAGTCATGATAATGATATTATGATTCTATCAGATAGGAAAAAACTACTTTTTTTCTGGTAGGGGAATTCAACTTTTTGCTTAACCGCGGATATGGACATTCTAACATTCGGAATCATCGCATTGGCACAAATGAGTCATTCTAGGCAGGGTGAGTAAAAACGGTTCATTCTTTCTTGAAGAATTAAAATACAAAGCCATAAATCTAATTTACAAAAGAGACCAAATCGCGATTGGGTTGGGGCGTATGAGCAAACCCTCATCAAATCACTCTATTACAGCTCCAATTTGCTCTGGATGCATAGTTATTTTCAGAAAATAGCAGATATTTTCATCTTTTTTAATTGCCCCATACAAATTATCATGCCTACCTGGTATCTCTGCCTACTGTTTTGTCAGTATGATGTCTGGCAATCGATCACTTCCTATTATATTGACCTTATCTCTAACTCTATTAGGGTAGGGGAGAAAAATGCGATAAAAGTTACTCGCATTTATAGGTTTAAAGAAGAAATATCTGTTTGAAAAATCTTGTTGCGCATTTATTGTAGTTTTGCATAGTAGTGACATCAGGCGCGTGTACGGAAATTATCTCATATATGATCATTACTTATCTTAGTCACGAAAGGGATACTGTATTAAGTTATAAATAATCTCACATTTCGTACGTGACAAGCCCTTCATAACAGCTCACTTCCTCGTCTTTGAATATAAAATTAATAAAAGAATGCAAAAGTCTTCACGTGAAATAGTTTTTTGGTTTTAAAATATTTAAAGAAGTTACAACCTATACTTCAAAGAATTAGCGGCATTTTTATTTTGAAAGTGATTATTAACATCTTCACACTTTGAGTTGTTATTTTCTGCCAATTTTGAAATTGAACTAACTATTAACCATTGTTGAATCCATGCCCTCATATTTCAATCAGTTTTTATGCTGTGAGCAAACATTTCGACCAAGTGTAATGTATTTGACCTAGGTGATGTTTAGGTTGAAAGTAAACCATCACTTCCTGCATATTGTTACCAACTATTTTATTCCCCGAACATTTTGTGTATTCAATAGATATGACCTCTTGCCGGAAAAGAATAAACTGAGCGCAGGCTTTAAGACTGGTACAAATTCAAACTCAGTGTGCATCAAAGGAAGGAAGTTCAAAAACAGAGAGACCCGCGCTGCAAACAAGGGCAGCGCAGCGTCGTCAAGAAAGGATCCTATTATAAATCACGGTCAAATGGAGTCACTGAACACATGAGCCCTCAAAATTAGATGACCATATTTTTTATGTTGACAGAATGTATCCGAACGGAAAATTTTATAATACAATAAAGCTCGACTTCATTAGAAACAGCGTTAGCCACTATATGATACATTCATGATTTAATAGATCTTCAATTCGGGTGAGTAAGAATAGTTAATATATATATACATATTATTTTAACTTATTTCTATCATTTTGTTATACAGTGTACCCAAATAATGATGAATCGCGCTTTCGTCATGAGAAAAAGACACCTGGCCGCATTGCACGCAAACGTTGCTATACTTAGCTGATACCAAGAAAACACCCATAATTAGTTGAAAATACGGCGTACTATTTGTCTTCAATTGAACTCACTGGGACAACAAGGTGCAATGACGTTGAGTATGAATGATATTTTGTCAGCGTTTCAAGAATTCTCGTAATTCGGCATATGTTGGAAAGTAGTATATTATCTGATTTTTTTCTTTCAATAAGGATCGTTCAGGTTCATTCAAAACAAAAACAGAAGGGTTTAGATAAAAAAAAACGGATTGAACATACGTGAAATGTTTCTTCTATATGATTAAAATTCAAAGACTTCCATACTATGTCACCTTTCCTCAAAAATAGTTTACGAGAAAAAAATATTCTTCTGATATAAGTTAACAAAAACGAAAAAAAAAATAGACATCTACCTAGAGCGGGTCGCGGTTACAAGTATATTCATTACAGATGCTCATTGTTGGAAGTTGTATTCTGCTGGCCAACTCGCTTATACTCGTCGCAAAAAAAGCAAATCTGCATTCGAGCCATCGCATAAGTTCCTATATTCATTGTTTGTATTGAAAAACATTTTCAATGGGTATGATGTAAAAAAGAAAAAAACCCTAATAGTTTTATTAACAGTTCATAGAATCCGTTTTTTTTTTTGAATTTTATGTAATCTGCAAAATTCTGTTGATTGATATATTTTTGGCGTTACAAGAGTCTAGTCTTCAATTTTATAAACTGCACGTTTTGCAATTATCAAACATGAAGTCCATTGGTTGAAATTTGTAGGTGACTCCTGTGACTTACACTCAAGCAACCCACAATGTTTCAGGAAGGCGGATGACGAACAGTGAACTAGAATAAATATGAAAAAACTAAATAAGGAAGCATGTTGCTCACTATTATCGTAGCTGTGTTTGTTCAGATCTATGTTCCCTCGGAATCCAATGATAAATTCACGTTGATATTTGTGCAATATGTAACCAATAAGAATAACTTAAATTAATAGGTCAAATATCAAATTTGAAACTCATCTTATTCACTCCGGGTTTGATCTGGTATACAGTATTTCGATTGAATAGCATCGATCAAACAATGATATGTAGTCGCTTTTAAAATTGAACTTCAAAATTTTTTTAGAACAGATATCTAACTTCAAAGACCGAATATTTAATTAACGTTGGGCTACAACATGTTCATTCTGAAGAATTATGATTCTGCTTGACTCAAAATTAATATTTTCTATATTCAGCATTATTTCATATATTTATATATTTGTTGTATACATATATTTCATAAACGGTGACGTGTCATACCACCCTTGAGATGAGAGTCAAATTTCGACTTAACCGGATGTTTGTTATAATGTCTCGACCAAAACTATTGTATGGTTTTGCAATAAAATATAAACATTCAAATATATATACGAGTAATCAAAATTCGTCTTTACAGTTTCTATTGTCGGAACTAATTTGGGCAAGGACGTTATATGCGTCATGGATATCAAAATGACGCATCTCAAAACAAAATTCCCAAACATTACGTCAGCATATGTTTGACTAATCGTGAATCGTACACACTACATAATCTCCTTAGTACAATATCTATATCTTCTTCCTGTCTTGAAGTTTGTTGATTTTGTCAGACGTCCAGAAGCCTCGAAGAATTAGTTATAGTATAAATTGTTACCGTAATTAATTTATTAACACATTTTATGTACAAAAAAACAGAACAAGATAATAATACAAATGGATCGATCAATGGAAAAAGATTATTTTATTTTATAGTTATGATTACCCACTGTTATCATTCACGTGATAGATTTGCATCTTTTTTCTTTTGCTGGTAAACTCAAAGGTAAAAGCCTATGTCTCCAATCGGTAAAAGAAAATAATATGCCAAATATATTAATTAAAACATTAATGTAATATACAAAGGAAAATATTTCAACTTCTTGGCGAGGATGTAACATTGAAAATAATGCACTTATTGCTTCACTCACAACACATACAACAGTCGCAATTGTAGCCCTCCTCACTACTCCTGTTATCGTATTTAACTCGGTCTCTCTCCGGTGTTTGATAAGGGGGTAAGCAAAAAGAAACACAAGACCGACCTGGAAAGTAACAGAAAGCGATATGACAAATCCATATTCAACATCAGTCATCCTAGGAGTCGAAACACATCCGTGCATTGTTGCCTCATAATGATGAAATACGGTCACTAAAATTATTGCCAAGAATAGACAAGCAATCATTACTATGAGAACAAACCAACTACAAAAGCGAATGAATTTCGACGACAAATGCCTCAATATAGGTTCGGAGTATAGCGTTCTTTGCTTGATCCAAAGCACAAGATACGTTAAAGTTTCACAAGCATAAAATAAGAACATCATTGCTTTTCTTTGAGAATTGCAGGTACGGTCATCTGTTGCTTCCGGTAAAAAAGACACGATTCCTCTTCCACACGCAGCAAGACAAGCCAAAAACAAACAAACGTTCATAGCATTTTTCGTTCGAAGTTTTGTTCTATGGTTGGGTGCAGCAGTCTCTTTCCATTTCTTCTCATCAACACGTTTTTGTAAAACGAAGTATGTCAGCTGAGCAACAAATAAAACGAAGCAGAGTAACGCAAATATGCACTCTATTAACTTTATCGTCAAATACTCGGCATGCCAGTCATATACAAAATCAATATGTTCCGAAAAGTTAACAATGAAAATCGTTGCATTTTTGTCCCCATATTTATCGGATGCTGGCATATTCTGGCACGCTGTCCTTTCAACTGACTCGTTGGTACTGACATCGCTTCGCAAACTTGCGCAATTAGTACGCACCAAGAGGAATAGTCATTTCACGCCCAAGACAAACTCAACTACTAGTAATCACCTAATATATCAGCAGCATGTTCCATTTTAAAAGTAAGCGTTGGTTTTATTTCTTTAAGCGTGCAAGCGAGAAGTCCCGCGCATAAATCAAATTACAGGGCATAGTACCGTATTCGTTCAGCTAGTAATGTAGTAGCCAATGCATCAAGTGCAGATGTCACCTTCTCTTGGCCCACTTTTATTAGAGATTGATACACTCATTATAGCAACCCAGAGTTGGATGGGGCTCGTGGGCCAGAGTCACGAATTATAGAAGCTCACAAGAGACTCGACTAACTAAATGAAATGACTGGGGCCAAGCTAACCGTCAGTAAGATTTAATTCAGAAATTGATTATACTTCGGAGTCGACGCGGATGACACGCGCGGTTTAGGGAGTTTCTAACGCTGTGTTGACGTACAATACAGTAGTATCCAGTGTGTTCAAGTGTTGAACAGTGCAGAAAGTCAAATATGGTTCTTATATTCATTTCATTTAAAATTTTATTCTCAGACTCTCAAATTAAAATGGCGCACAAATGGATCAAAGACGCAAGTTCTACTTATCCTTTGGCGAGTTGAAACGATGACTAATAAAAATGGACTTGCATATGGTACAATTGACAGACGTCGGGACTTTGCTGTTTCATTTCATAATTTTTACAACCATTTGCAAACCAAAGCATATCTAAAATAGCTGCATATCTCTATGTAATGCATATTATGTTTTTATTAATATTGGTTAAGACTAATTCCAGCAATGTATCATTATAGGGATATGAACAATGTAAAACAAGAAGGTAACTATGATTGTTCTTAAAATCATTGCAAGACTTGCAAAAATCTTGTGCAAAAATACATCATCATATAAATATCCACAAGAGTTTCAATTTCATCTGCTATCCAAAAGTCTCCGCTCCACTTTCTTCATAGACACCGAAGTCCATGGTATCACCATCTCCAATTTTACCTTGGGTTATTTTATTCCTTTTTATAGATTCGAAATTGTCAGTTTCCTCACCTATATCATCATCAAGAAGAGAGCAGGTGGTCTCACTTCGGACATACATATCATTCTCTTGTCCACCCCATTCAATGAGTTCTGTGCCAAAATAAGCTGTAACAGTCTTTACTTTGTTATTTAACATATTTTGTTCAATTTCAACTTTATTTCCCGGCCCAGCCAATCTCATCAACTGAAATGAAATAAAGACGATGATAAAATATAGGGTCAAATTAAACACAGACTCGATAACAAAGAACTGAAAGTTATGTAATCAAGAAACGGTAGTTGAAGCCCAAAAACAGAGCACTTTTGCGAAAGTTTTACTTAGTCTTTACCTAACAACATTATTACAAAAAATGGAGATTTTATTGCTGTTTTTGGCACACGAGAGTTATGAATTGCGGTATATCATGTTTATTTTATAAATTATGTCATTTTCTCAAATGCATCTTATTTGTGTGAAATTTTTTAGGATCAAATCACCTTACTTGCCTTCAGAATTTCAAATTGGGATTTTTCTATACTATTCAATATATTAAACTTTAATAGTCAAATAGTCAAAAGTTCACAAATTACAATACAATTTACCTGTTCAACTGCTGTGTTTCGGGGTAAGAAATAAGCAACATTTTCGGTAATACTTTTTGCAATTCTAAATGCTTTCAATCCAAAAATACCCATATCCTCTAAATTGTATGATTCTTTCGACAAATATCCTGGACCTCCCCAAGGTGGACTAAAGGGTAATATAATTTAAAAAAATGAATATCAAAAGTAAATAAACTATTTATAGTTTATTTTTTTCATCATGCTGAAAGAACGCATCAAACATACACAAATTATTATAAAACGAGAAAAAAAATCGCACAGCAGGTAGAAGGAGACGCGAAAAGACACCCGAATATGCATTCAGGCTACAGTTATGGATAAAATATAATACATCGCGAATAGTGGATGTTTCCCCGGACATCGATTTGCTTGTTTATTTCTGCAACAATGACCAATCAGCAGTAAGTAAACAATGACATTATAATTGCAAATTATTTGGTCGCTCAGTCACTTTTTTGCTCAGACAGATATTCAAGCAGGGTTGTAAATATTGCCTTGTTTTCATAGTTTTACGTGTTATTTGTCAGTTTTCTGTTGTATCATTTCCATGGCTCAAAGGTTGGGAAAACATCCATAGGGCTAAAAAATTAGGCAAATTAGACTATGCTCAAGAGAAATACAATGATCAATATGGTAAAGAAGCAATGATATTTTTCCTAAAGGTGATTCTTAGAATTGCATTTCGATTTTTTCAAGATATTATAAAGCATTTATAATCTACAAAACCCTCATTCTATACAAACAACAATATAGTTTTGTACCTTAAAAACACTACATCAGCTTTGAGACTTTGTGCAACCTTGAAAAAATCTCCCAAAATGAATTCAATTCTGTCATCAACACCATAAATCTTTGCATTATGTTTAGCATTTTCAATCTTTACAGAGTCAATGTCAATTGCTATAACTGCAACAAATAGAATAATTAAACAAGGTTCAGATCCAGGGTGTGTAGACTTGAACCAAAGCAGGCAACACAATATAATCAGGAGTCAAACACAAAATTGCAAAATAAATTGAATTGTATATCTATGTTCTATAGCAGTGTTTCTCAAACTTTTCAAGTCGCGCTCCCTTTTTAGAATTTGTCAAGTTTCGTGCCCCATCTCAAAAATCACTAGCTACCCAGTACCCATTAGCTAAAAGTAGCAAAAATAGTAAGACGAAAGTACGGTTTATTTAAAAAACGAGTTTAAAGTACATGGATGGAAAGTAATATATCCAAAGTAAAAAATGTAAATATCCAAAGTAAGGCGGGCAATAAAAAATCTAACAAATATTTTTATTTTTAGCTCTACGCCCCCTCAAAAAATTGTCTACCCCCCCGGGCCCCATCGTTTGAGAGCCACTGTTCTATAGTAACCCATCCCCCCTAATATTAACCTAATGATTTTGATTGGGATCAGAAAATCGAGAAGTAATTTCGTTTTCAAGAAAGTGAAACTTAAGGTATGAAATCGTTCAAATATCATTGCTACATTAATGTTAGATGAACATGAGGAATATTTTAAATCAAAATATAAAAAATGTAATAGAGGAAAGAAAATTGGACTATCTGCAAAAAGCAATATATTTAAAGCAAAAGAATGAGTTATGGGCTAATCCGCTAATGATTGAATTGTTTGACTTAACTACGTTGAACATCACAGGTTCAAATCTATGTCATGCCTACCGCCTACACACAGGATGTAATAAATCATCGGTACTCCAATAGTATGTGAACCAAGATGGCAAACACATGATAGTATGTGTACCAGGTTAGAGTTAAGCTATAATTTCAGGTACAAATTCTACGGGAGTCACTTGGCTAGTCCCCGAACTCGTAACAGAACTAGAATAAGGAACATTTAAATAAAATTATGGCCTAACCCTAACCTGAAAGACATACTACGTTTCCGGTGTCCGCCATCTTGGTTCACATACTATAAGAGTATGGAGTATTCCAGTCCCGTATTATATCATTAGATATAAGTAGCGGTTTGTAGAAGCTTGTATACAGCTGAAGCTATGGATGAGCGGCATATAAAAAATATTATTATATTCAAAAGATATAAAATATGGATTTCTAGAATATCAAATTCTTGTCAACAAGAATAGTCTTTTGAATGTATCAAAATACAAGTTGAAACCACTCATGCTCACCTCTTTCACAAGTAAATGCAAACTGAATTGCATTCCCACCACATCCACAAAATGCATCAATAATCAATTCACATCTACATCTTTCAGCAATATGTTCTGCTATCTTCTCTGGTGTTACAGAATACCAGGATTCTTAAAAGTATAATTGGAAAAATATTTAGACTTGGTTGATGACAGCTAAGACAAAGAAAGATATATTATTGGTTTAAAAACCTTAGAAATAGCAATAGTGAGTATTGAAGCTGAAGCGCAGATCTTTATCAATTACTTGTGCGCATTGAACAACCATATTCATAAAAAAACTATCATTGCAAGATATCAAACAGAAAACTCAAAATAAGCCAATAACATTGAATATGGTATATCGTTTCCCATCTGGGGACGAATTGAGATTTATTCATTTTCAGAATAAAATTTTACTTTGTATTTTATTAGTAGATAGTATTACTATGATTTTTGACTTATACTATTATTATAATACATACTTATGCAGGTACTCCCGAAGTGTGTGTACCAGGTTAGAGTTAGGCCATGAACAAAATTAGTTACCTCCATATTGTCACACATACTTCTGGAGCGCCCCTATGCATACATTAGGAACTACTGAAATTATACAAAATTCAGTGTGTTATTTCCGCTTATCATAAGCTAATGAACTGTTAAAAATTGAGTAATGAATTTACTTTCAATGCAGAGCGGGAGAGGAATGAGTGTTTCAAAATAGGTCAAGGAAGGTACGTATCAAAAGTTGTTGTGATTTGCTGCTTTGTACCTTTATCAAGCTTTATTCCATCATCGAACTTTGAGAATAGCTTATACCGCTGAGCCCAATATTTGACCATTGATCTGTCAGAAGCAATTTCATTAGGGATAACTGGACGCTTTCTCTTCCGTTTTTTATTCTCACTCGCAGAATTTCTTTGTTTTCTTAATTTTTTATGTTTGTGTTTGGCAGATTCCTTCTCATGATTCTTTGAATCCATAATCATACTTTCTATAGAATCAAAAAAGGAAAAAAAAATATTATTTGTATTATCATTATCTCTGTTCTGCTGTAATGTAGAAGAGATATAGGGGGAGTCGAAAACAATTTAAACATTTCAAAATGTCAAATGATAGATTAAAACTTCAAATCTTAAAGTGTGATGTATACTAGTTGGCATGTTCACATACATATTCCTATTGCAATGCTTGCCAGATCACTGATACCTCAAACTTACCAATGCTACTGTATTTAAAAATCAAGACATCATATTCTAAGGACGACAGGTGGTAGATAATTGCTCAAAAATAGCAAGAGTTACAAAAAATATCAGTTGGAACTTGAAACAGAATATGATCAATTTTTCGAGGTAAATCAAAATTGGGGCTAATATGATGATATTAAATGGTTGAAAATATATAATGAGAAAACCACCTTCTGCATCACCAAAAAATCCAGTCTCCAGCTCACTTCCAGATTTTGGTATGCATTGCCGATTCACTAAGTTTGAGTTTGTGTCTTCAATTATGCTGTTTTCAGATTTGGATGCAGGAAGCACTGAATAAATACAAATATAATTGTGATTCAATTTCATTAGATAGAATGCTTGAATTCTGGAACAAACTCTTTAACAATTAGGCAAGAACCATAAGGGAGATTTATTTTACTGTTAATCTCATCCAAGCATCCAAAACTAGCTATTTCTATATTGGGATGACACAGGTAACCAGGCAAGATAAATAGCTTGTCAATCTTGTCATATAACTAAGTCTTATGAGCTCTCTTCTTTATCAAGATAAAAAAACGGTCAGATTTTATTTTAAATTTGTATGCAGTATTGAAACAATACATGTTACCAGTATTACCTTCAATATCATATTTTTCAGCAGTTACTGCCGACTCCTTCTCTGAATTTTCAGTTACATCAATTTTATTGTCAGCTGATTGCAATTCTGAAAAGTCATCAGTGTCAGATGATGAATCAGCAATGTTTCCTGAAAGAAGATGATACAATGAATATACAACTTTACAATATAGCTTCATATTTGGTATCAAGTATCTGACATTTTTAATTTAATAAGGAAAAAAGTATGAAGATATTTTGTGCTGAAAATTAACAGAACTGTGCTCGCTCAGCATAAATTTGCTTATGTTCCTAAACTTTTCCTGTATTGCATGTACATGTATGTATGTAATCTGTTCGTGATTTTAGTTTCAACAAATCCAAGATCACAAATATTCGATACTTTTTAAAACATAGTTTAATAAAATTACCTATGGCTGCATATCTATTGCAATCATATGGTTAATATTATCCATTGCAAAGAGAATCAAACAATTTCTAGAAAATGAACATCCCAGAGGCATCTGCCACCTATTGGCCTTACAAATCAGGTGATGAGGTTAAAGTACCAAATTTTCCACACTAGTATGGTTCAGAGTGCAGTAACATTCAGTATAATTCGTCAATTGAAATAACCATAGTCATTCTTGCTACAGAAATCTTCTGAAAACTAAATCTGGGCCTGAGTAAAAAATATAAATAAAAGCCAACCTGAACTTCCTTTACCGCTTGATTCATTGTTTTTGATTTTTTCAAGAAATAATTGGGCTTTGGACAAGGTTGTTGGACCTTTTTTGTCATTATATTCGGTACTCAACATTTTAGATTCCTAAAATATTTAAAGAGATTATTTATTAAAAATTATCGATTCCTCAGCTAACACTAGTAATAAAGTGTATATCATAAGACAGGGTTGTGGTTGTGCAACATTTTTCAATGGTGGGCCATATAACCAACTTCAGACATCTAGCTGGACCACACAAAAAAATTAGTTTTTACATGTACACAACAAATTGAAAAATTTTCGCAATGCAAAATTTCATTTATTTAACATTTTTGTTAATTAGCGGGCCGGCAGGCCACCTGTTGTACACCCCTGTCAAGGATTATGTGAAATCATTGATATATTTTATAAAATGTTGTTCAAAAACATGTGCGACATAATTATTATCTGGAAGTTTTCAATAACAGTATTGACTCAATGCATTCTTAAAAATCCAGTAAATTGCTGGAACCATATTGAATAATTTATACATAGATGCATACTAAATTACATGGCTGCTTCAGCTTGCATTTTTGCAGCATTAGTGTCAAACTATCATCTAGTTTGTACGAACCAACTACCAACTACTCAAATAATTTGAAAACAGAAGGAAAATGAGGAATGAAGTGCAATTATGTTCTGAAGCAAGATTACTTACAATGAAATAATTCAAATTACTTTTTATGAAATGCAATTTTGTGAATTTGAACAGCAGAGCAACATATTGAATTGGGACAAATTTTACTTCATGAATAATAAATATTATAAATATAGCCTGCTTTTAGGAAACTTCTGTTATAATACCAAAGTACAAAACCAAGAATTTCACAAATCAAATAAGAATGCAATTCCAGTAGCGCCATTGCTCTCATGAAACAGGAAAGGTTGGAGGTCATCTGAATAGGAAAGGTTAGGGCTCCTGCACACTACAGAGCTTCACAAACACACTTTGAATGTGTATATTCCCAGAAATAACAAACAGGTCAGGTATTTCAAGTTAAATTTATCAAGCAAACTTATTAAGACATTGAAAAGAATGAAGTACTCAACCAATTCTTCTTTTCTTAATCTTGCTATTCTCTTCTTCACTTTATCCTGTTCATAAAAATAAATATACAGAGATGAACATGAATATAAAATATGTTTGAATGAAAATAATTTGTATAGGAATACGGAAACTGTTGACCATGCTTAATTTAAAATAAATAAATGGTATTTTCTTCACCAAATCAATTTTTATTAAAGCAATCATAAGATTTTTTGCAAAAAAAAACCTAATCTCATAAGGTGGGGCTGATCTGACCAAAACAAGGGCTATATCCAATTTCATTGGATGTTGTATGCGAGAATGAGTATTCTGGAGTACATTAGTACTAGATTAGAATGAGGCTACACAGAGTTTATGCAAAATTGATAATAATAGGATTATATTATCATTACAAAGCCAAAATTTCAGGATTCTGCAATTTTATCAAAAAAAATTAAAACAAGAGCAAATAAATAACTAACCTGAACATATGTCACAGTTGTTTCAGTATCACTGGTTGTTGTACAAGTCTCTGAAAACTTGAACCCCATGGTGTCACATATTGTAGTCAAGTCATACGTTATTGAGCCATCACCTGTAGCAAAAAATACTTCTATAATAGATATTTAATGAAAATTTTTTTTTACATACAAACGAAAACATGGGATAGCACTGTTTATGTGGCAGAAAATAATCTCGAAAATGTAAAATAGAAAATCTGAACTATCAAACTTCTATAAATCTAACATATCATATAACTATAAATCATTCCAGTTGCATGACATCAAGTATACAAGAGAAAAGCTTTGCATGTTTGAATTCTCAATACATATTACATAAGGACTAGATTATAATGCATACAATGTAAAAACTTTAAAATAGACCATAAATATTTACATCATAAAATTAAAAAGCATAATATTTCTGCTATTTCCCATGAACCTTAGACAGGTTCGAGTTGAAATAACTACCCAGGTCTGTTTAGCTAGCTAAAATGTATACGAATTCCTTTGAAGACGCGTTGCAACACTTAACATCATCAAGTTCACTACCATTTTTGAAGAAACAAAACAAAGATTTATATTTTCACAAACCTTCATCTTCCTTAGATATTTGGGCAACCTCTTCAGAATCTATTTCATGACTAGATTTCATTTTCTCTGTCATTTCTTCATCCTCTGGTGGATCATTTCCATTCCCGGCTACAGATTTCGAGTTGTGATAATGAGTACAAGAAGCGCCAATACCATTACTTTGCCCAGTTCTGTTATTGGTTGATACTGTACCAGCATCACCGGATCCTTGTTTCGTTGTTTGTGAATCACTTTTTCCACAAGCTTTACAGTTTAATTTCTCTCTTTTATTATTCAAATTAAGTTTTCCAAAGTTTGATGCAACATAATCAACATCATTTATATGGTTGGAATTAGTGTTATCTGTTTTATCTATATTTCCTTCATTATGTACACTAGGTCTCTGGATTGTGGACGCCAAATTGTTTTGGTCACCTGCACCTGCTTGCAATTCTCTCATCCAGTCCATGTACCAAATATAATAATACCAGTATTGAGCTGTGCAATGTTCTTCCCATAAGCTCGATAACTCAGACTGGTTATTGAAACTTTTAGGTGGTGGTGTTAGTTCAAGCGATGCCTTTAAACTTTGCTCTTTATTAAGTGTGGAATTATCTCTATCTCCTAATTTATTTTTATCAGATCTCTGACAAGGGTCATTTTCTTCACCTTCAAGTCTAAATACAAGAACAAGAGATCTTAATATGGTAATATTCAATATAAAAAAAATCTGGTAATATAAGAAAGAGCAGTGCACAAAAATAAATAATCATTTAAATATAATAGGATAACAAATGTGAAAACTTGTTTATCATATTTCATTGACTGAAAGCCAAAACAGCAAAAAAATAATACAAATAAATCATTATTACAATTCTAGAAACTTGTTTAAATAGTAGCTCAAGTAGGTCTTCCAATATATAATCCTAAATTCTCACCCGAGCTTAGAACTTTTTCGTGAAATATTCCAGCTTTCTATAACTAAATTTGGGCCCTGAAAAAATAAAAAATAAAAATTTATCAATAGCATCCAAAGAGACATTGTGGATTGTTAAACAATTATATCACCATCACATTACCTGAACAGACCAGTATTCCAACCATTCTGAATATATTTTATTGTCACTGCTATCTCCATGATTGGATTTTTCACTGTCATCTACTAACGATAAAAATGAAATAATTGCATCTAATTTTGTAATTGTATGTGTGTTTGTAGTTGAAATAATGGGCAAAACCTTAATCACACCCTGGATGCAGGTGGAGGCATGAGATTTAGGACAGAGGCATGTGCTCTGCAATACAGACACAGTTAAGTCTAACACTTTCCACACTAAGCCATCACACTGATCTAATGGTAATAAAACTTGCCCATATCGCACATTAGTTATTTCAGGCAAGTCTAGTCATATTCAAGCATCAGGTCTCCAACATAAATAATTGTCAGCTTATTTATATTCCTCACCAGCACAAGATGAATGAACATGCATACATTTGTTATATTCAGTTGTTCAGGCTTTTAATACCAAGTTCCTCCCAGTTTTTGAAAAAATTACATATATTGGTGAAATGTGAACTGACGTACCTTCAAAATGCTCTTCTTCGTCTTTGAGTCTATTTTTTAACCAATTATCAAGATATTCTGGTGATGTCTTGTCAATTTTATGTGACTGTTTATAAAAAAAAACATAAAAATAGATGAAAAATTATTTCATTCGTATTACCGTTTTACACGGGGCTGGGGGCGGAGTCGAAGCTTGGAGGCATGAAGCCGTGACATTCTGGTGGAGCTGGAGCCAGAGCTGCCAGATATGTTAGTGGCTTCAGCTCTTAATCAACTAATTATAATTATTTTTTTACATTTATAATTTTGTAATAAGCTATATAAATAATAAAATCTATTCTTTTCAGCCTCTAAATTCAATCTATAATATTAATTTCAAGTTGAATTTGTATATCTAAAACTTTGAAGACATAGATTTCACAACTTGGGCTGATGTTTCATTGTGGTGGTAACACTAAAAACATTGATGGTATGAAGACCAAAACGAAGCTGGAGCCTAGCATTACGGCTGAAAAATAGAGCTCCGTGCCAGAGCTGAAGCCACAAGTTAAATATACTGGCGCCACAGATCTGGATCTGACCGAGTCATTACTATTCCTAACCAGATTCCCGCCGCTGGTTCCCTATTTGTTCCCCAAGGCAAAGTAATGAAAAGATAAATGATACATTATTAAAGCAAAGTTCTTGATAACTCGCTAAAAACTACTAATAAACTAACAATTCTTTACAGAATATGGACAAGTAGAAATTTTTAAAAACTTTCTCCATGAGTACCTTTGGTTCCAGACGAGTTTCATAAAATGAGACAGGCAGTCCCAAATTTTTCATTAATTCCGCATCATCCTTGAATTCACCTGAATGTACCCAATAGCAAACAATTTTTTTAGTTTTTTAAAAAACAAAGTAGGCTACATGATGACATACAAATAAGAGCATATTTGTTCTAGACATAATAAGCAAAATTGAAGTTTAAATTAAGTTATAAAATGTCGAACATACATTTTTATATTCGACAGTAAGTACATACACAATTACACAGTCAGGGTTGATTCGAAACAACTTGAAAAAATAAAGTTTGAATAACGACTGGGTATTCAAATAGGGATATTTTCCAAGTATTAGATTCAAGAATAATATGTTGTAATAGTTGAAATACAAAAGTACTGGTAATTGAAACTTATAAAGCATTTGAAAATCAATACTGTAATTTTTTTATAGATAATAGGCAAATGAGGTTAAAAAAGTACTGATAGTAATACTTTTTATACTGACATAAAAACTTGAACAAATTTTTTTACCTTCAAAATTTGTCCAAGGTTGTGAATCTTCAGTTTGAGAATCATTTTTCACCGGTACAAGATCTTTGACTTCAATCTCACAATCAGATGAAGACAGATTCTCTTCAAAGGATGTATCACTTTCCGAATTGCGCTACAAAGAAAGATGCATAATCAGAAATACATTTTTATGGTCTTAACTTGAGGGTTCTGACCAAGAATCCATTGAAATGAGTTTCTTAGTAAGCTTTCCTGTTCAACAAAATTTATTACACATGAGGCAGTGGCAATGGGGTTTTATAACCACACTGCAATGCCAAAGTTAAGTCCAACCACTATGAGAACAGGAAGAATTTATTATATCATTCATAAGGTTTTCCAACTCAGTTGTTAATGATAATTATGACATGAATTTATGAAAGAGGTTAGTGAAATCTGCATCTATTATCACTATCATATAAAATATTCTATAATATAGAAAGGGATAAAATATTCTTCATACTTTGGAGTCAACAAACTGTAGATATTTTCCATTCTTTCTGGCTAAATTAAGCTTTCGTTCATAGACAAGAGCATTGATGTCTCTGAAATTAGAAAGCATTCAAAGAATTATTGCAATCATCAGTGCTTTGTGGATTTTACATGTTTAACATATCATATCACATCTAAGCATCAAAGAAACTAGAAGATAGGGGCATAGGGCTATTGAATTTCAATCGAGCATTGAAAACCTCAACATTCCAATTTGTCTGCAGAACAAGAAAAGTGATCCAAAGTAGGCATAAGTTTGTATACTATGATTTATACTGTTACTGTGGAGTAAATACTACATCAAATATTACCTCAAATAACATCGGGATAAAATGCACATAGATTTTTCCGATAAATCCAACATTTCAGCTTCTGCCAACTTTGTCCAATGGTAACACATTTTGCATATTTCCGACAGTGCCACGGTCGAAGTTGTAAATTATTTAAAGCTATGTCTTCCTCTCCCTTTTTCTTGTTACAAAGAAGTGCTTGACTATCTTCCTTGTTGGAATTTCTGGGTATTATCTGAATACTTTCACACATATGACCCCATTTCAAGCTTACATATGATTTTTGTCATTTTAGCAAAAATAGTCTCAACTCTTTTCAGCTGATAAAAAAAAACATTTATTATACACAACACATTTACTCTTACACAAAAGTACCTAAAACAAATTAAAAAGGAGCATTTTCAACAATAAAAATTTACTCTCACTGTCATGTAATGGGCATTGGGAGTTTATAAATTATGGCAAACTATATGTAATGTTTTCCTTGAGATCAAATACAGGCATTTTTAAATTACTCAACAGATTAATCCTATCTTAAATGTATTATGTAAATCAATTCAATAATTGTAGGATTATTTCAGCAGCAAATTGTTACATGAGAGAATATAAATCTCTATAGAGCACAAAAATATGACAAAATAATAAAAATAAGTTTGCAGTCCTTGTTGACAGAGCCATCATATAAAGTTTAATCTTTGCAGTATTCCAGGTCACCTAAAAAACTCAGCTAGTTACGATTCTAAATTGGACATAATATATAGAGATACTTATCAGGTAATTGTTGCTATGTACGAACTTTGAAAGTAGAGTAAGTCAGTTACATGCATGAATCATCCCGCAACAGAGAGGAATCCAAAAATCCTCCATGCACGAGCTGTCTCATTATTGAATAGATACTAAAGGAGAAATTGAAGATAATTTCATGTTTTGTCATCCTCTCATTTTAATCTTGTAGAAATTCGAATTTGTTAGTTTCATATTTTATCAAAATCGATTCTCTATATAAATTTTATCTTCAGTTTTGAATCGGGGTTCGGTAACATTCGTAAATTAAATGATTGATTATATTAAATTATTAATACTTAAAAACATTCTACATAAATTAACATGAGATAATAAACATTCTGACTTGATAACAAATGAATGATAAATTTTATATAAACAACAGCCTCCTACAAGACTCAATTGCTCAATCCATAATCTGAATCAATGAACAGTCATATAGAGACTATGATATTGCATTTCATCTTTTTCAGTCAAATTTCTTTTTAGTTGCAGTATATCTTTCCATATATTTGCCATAACCAGGAGCATCTTGAAATGTTTTTTGATCAAACAAATTACCATCAAAAGCGAGAAGAGAAATTTTGGATTCTGTTAATAGTTTTTCAGGAACTGCATTCAGGGGCACACAATTTTCTTCGAATCTCAAAACTTTTAATCTCGGACATTGATGCAAACATTCTGGTATTGAAGAGATCTGATTTTGATTAAGATTGAGTTCGACAGCTTGAAGATCTTTCATTTCATCGGGTATTCTTTTGATTGAATTATGTGATAAATTAAGAGAATCAAGGTGTTTTAGTTGAGTCAAACCAACGGGAATGTCCCCAAGTTTATTCCCTTGTAAATTTATAACTTTCAAGCTTGTTATTTTTCCTATATCAGGAGGAAGTGATACAAGTCGATTGTGTGAAATGGAAAGACTTTCCAACTTTCGTAACTTGCATATGCCATCACATAAGATGCTCAGTGAATTGGAATTCAAGATGATGCTTTTCAGCACTGCAAAATTCCCAATTGCTTCTGGTAGTCCACGGAGTTTATTACTTGATAAATCCAAAGTTCTCAATTTACTTGATAACCCCAGGAGTTGAGCAGGAAATTCATCCAATCCCATGCTACTGAGTTGACATACTCCAGTCCTTTCAGCATGTTCGATGTGTTTTTTTACTGAATTTTGATTGCCCATGACCAAGATTACATATGAATAAATTACTGAGATAGGCAAAACAGTAAAAGCTAAAATATTAATGAGTTAGTAAGCTTAGAAATTTTATTTTGACCTCCAATTTCAACCTTTATTATGAATCTCTTCCCAATACTGTAATTCGGTCACTGAAAACAGCTTTATTTAAACCAGGCCTTAATCTTTTTCGATTGGGCTCACTCTTCTGCTCTTTCTATAAATTGCAAACTTTCATTCATCCCTGTAATAAAACTCATTTCAGTATCCATGGCACCAAGTTACCATCGGGTAAAGACAATAAACTCGAAATAATTCGCAAAACAATAACAAGTCTGTTTGAAACAGCTAATGCAGCAATGTCTAAACGCAGAAATGTGTAATGACTGTACTGTTCCCGACTACTAGGCCTACCGGTATCAGCTAAAATAATTCCTCCTACCTGTCCGCGTTCCCAATCAACACGCAGACCTACCTGTATCACTGAATATCAATGCATTTCCTTTCATAGTTTTCATGACGCCCGATACTCCTGTCTAATTATCGCGTTTCAATTGTAGAATCTAAGTACATGGAGTAGAAATGATATGAAAAGCATTTTTCGAAGTCCAGCTATTAATTAAAATCAGTAAATTTAACTACAATACACTACATCAGGTATAATGGGAAAATACACATGTTAGAGTTAGAGCGAGATTCCGCATGGATGATAACATACTCGACGGCTCGATTTTCTTAAAATAAAAATAAAAAAATAAAATTCCACTATTCAAAATCTAATGCATTCAAATTAACATTTAATTGTTTCACATTTTCAATGTAGAATACTCAAAAAAATTAATAAAAAAGGCATTCGAAACCTTTTATTCGCACCGATGAGAAAAATCATGAATATAGTTTTTCATGTCTAGACTGATTCAAAAAGACGAGAGACATAACCCCAAAAATCAATTACCACCACTGTTCAATGGCATTGATATGTTAATGTAATGTAATTGGATCTTTGACTAATGCAAGTTGGAGCAGCACATATATACGTAACGGCATTGATTGTAATCTCAGATATTTGTTGCTATAAGCTTTTTCAGGTCGTTCGATATATGCCTAAATTTTGAAAACATAACCAAAAACTGTCAAATAGAACCCAAATCGAAACGGGCCAATGTTTACACCCATGCTTAGATGATCGAAGAAACATCCATTGTAGTATTGTCAAGGCATATTTTAACTTTTTAAACTTGGTAATATCATCTTCCCCTTCACAAAACAGCATAACAATTTTTTTGAAAGTGTCACCGGGAATTCATAAATGAGAAAAACTTGCCATGTTATTTGCTGCAGATATATTTATTTTGAAATAGGTTCAGGATCAAATTAAAGTAATACTGGCTTCGGGTAGCACAAATGGCAATTGCTTCGGAAATCTTTTATCGCAAATTTTTATCATGAATTCGTTATGCCAATGGTTCAACGATTTGAATTCACCTTTTATCGGCATATTTTTGATTACAAGACATAATGGTTCTTACTGAGAATGATTCTGATAACATGTGCCTTCAAATTGCAATATATTAGGTCCCGAAAATATAATTACATATGAATTTATTTCAAATAATCATTTGTCCAAATCAGCGACTAAGGAAGGTATGGGTTTATTTTTGTCAACCGGGTAACACATGCATAGCCATGGTACACAATTACGGTACCTACGCAGTGGAGAGATATCTGGGTATTGTTCTATTTTAGTTTTTGTGAAACTAGCCAATTGTTGAATCGTCATATTTGAAATGTTCATTAGCTTTTGTCAATGCTTTGTGCTGACTGCGGACGGCCATAGTCAATGCCGATGAAAATATTACCGAAAGCGGCGATACAGAGCTAGAATACTACATGTTTACGTTTGGGTTTACTGACCCGTGTTAGATCTGCAAATCTCAATAATCCTCGACCAGACGAGACCGCCTGAGCCTAAATCTACGCGCAGGGTGAAAAGAGCAGGGTGCGCGTTCGTTATCGCGTTGGCCGTGCGAACGTTCAGCTCCGAGCTAAGTAGGGTAACAGATGTGAAATGAGAACACGATCGATAACGGGATGATTATGGGTATGCCTATGACAATTTGGAGAATGTTGTGTACATGCAGAGGTTTGGGTACATGGTACATGCATTACAGAAATATAAGTTTTCTAAGATTTGACTTCTTCCTAACTCGGGAATTAGGCTATAACAATATTTTAGGGGATGTGTTCTGGTATTTAAAGTTGAATGATTGTGCATCCGTGATGACAATACAGACAATGCTCCTAAAATACCCACCGCGTTATAAAGTTATTTTCACTATGGCAGTACTGCAGTATGAAGGAACAATATCTTTTTGAAGACCCCATCATAGATAGATAGCGTTTTAAAATGATGAATACTGAAATAACAGAAGAATTTTAAACACTTGTACATATTACTGTATTAAGGTTTCATTGCTGTTTATGAGTAACCAATAACATAAGCATTAATATTTAGATAATTTGATAATAAAAAATTGGTGTGTAGATAGCTTATATCAGTATAAAGACATGCAATCGTGATAGTTAGAACCTCTGGGCAAATATTTGTGCAAACCAACAAAAAGTTGATTGAATAGTCTGCATTCTTTATATTTCTACAATTCGCAGTGGGAAAGATTGAGAAGGAAACAAAAATGGCAACCCGAATGTACGTTTGTGAATCAGTTGAGCATCCTTCAAGTTTGTTAATGGGATTAAATGAACAAAGGCTGCAGGTGATTTATTTATTATATGTTTTGTATATAATTTTTTTATTGCATAGTTTCAGAGTTTAGTCATTGCTCTTCTCGTTGCTCCAACATTAATTAATTTCCTACTGGTTTTCTTTAATTCTGTTTATCTATCATAAATCAGGACAAGTCGGAAGGCGGGACAGTAACCTAACCCGACCTAAGCACTTGATTGGTGTTGATTTTCTGTGATAATTGCTGACTTCAATACACCGGGTATAATTTATTTCACATTGAGTCTTTTAATATTTTCACATTTCAGGGTCAATTATGCGATATCACAGTTCGAGTACAAGGCCATTTGTTCAAAGCTCATACAAATGTACTGGCATCTGCAATGGGTTATTTCAGGTACTTAATATTTATGTATTTAAAATTATAGTGTCTAATGATATGGCCTTTTTTTCTTGAATATAGTTTTCATTTTCGTGGAAGACTATATGAATTTGGGGTCAGTAAATCAAGCCGAACCTCATGTGTCCAAGTGCTTACTATCAAGTAATTGAAGTACATATATTTATATATATTTTATCACCTCAATTTATTCTTAGCACAATGGGTTAATCTTTACACGTTTTTAGGGATCTGTTTCTGAACCCTAACAAACAAGTGAAGAAAGATGTCATTGAAATTCCGATGATTGTCAATAGCGTCGGCTTTGCAAAAGTTCTTGATTTTATCTACACATCACAGTTATGTCTCAGCCAAAGTTCTGTCATGCAGGTTTGTTTTCATATTTTTTATATACTGATTAATCAAATAAATTCAATTTAGGAGATGCCTGCCTTAGTTTAAAAAAGAACTCTATTTTAGCAAAGGATGGTGTTGTTATTATGATTTTAAATGTGTCATTTGTCAAGTTTTTAATAATCATCAACATTTTGTATTATGGATGTTGAACACTGGGTTTACTAACCCTAACTTTTTGTTGTAAAGAAGGAAAAAGAGAAGAGGCTCCAAAAATGCTATGCTTTAAATTTGCCACACGGGCAATATGATATTTTGATATATTTTATCAATGACTGATTATTTGTGGCCTCCTGACATTAATTGGATTTTTATTGTTTATTAATCTTTGTCAAGTCAGAACTATAAGTGAAGCGCCATGCTTTTCATCGATGCTATATTATTTGCTGCACCACACAGCAGTTTTTAGCAAGCTGAATCCAATTTGGGAAAGACCTGAATTTATGCTGTGGCAATCAGTAGTGATTGGGACTGGCTTTGCATAATTATACAGTTATCCTAAATCTAAAGTTTTCGACATCGTTAAGTGTTCCCTTGCGGCGATTTGTGTTTTTGTTATTTTGTGTGATTTGTTACTAGTATCATACTTTTGCACTTGGAAGCATAGGTTCGTGACGTGATCGCTTTTAAATAGCTCTTTACCTGATGTTAAAAGGCGTACATAAAAACACCTATAGTTTGGAAAACAACTCCGTACTTGAAACTTAATTTATCGTGTTTTACTGCCGCCCGAGGCATTGTGGTTCTTGAGGGTCACTTTGATTGCCTCTATTACCGGGGAAATAACGATAAAAAATTTCGCCCCGTAACCGTTGAAATGATCCCGAAGGGAAGAGTAATGGCCAAGACAAAAAAAAAACAGAAATTTATTTGCTTTTTCGAGTAAATTACTTTTTCGATATGTATCACAGGAATTGTCAAATTTAATAACATAGTCCTTTTAACAGTTCGTATTTAGCTGCAAAAGCTGATAGATGATTGAGGATTTTTGCGGGACAAAGTTTATGCTTCGACTTTCCACGGTTCTTTTTTCGCGATAATATCATTTTATGTCCCCGGGAAAGCACTTCAAAAGCACTGTCTAACGTGTTTTAAATACGGATCATTTTTTAGAGCTAAAACCGCAATCTGAGCGAAAATAGATTTCACGTTTAAGTTCTAATTCCAAGTGCAACTATAGTTCAAAAACTTTTCATACTCGAATACTCATAATACCTAGAATACCGATCGTTGCAAATGTGTCATGGTACATACACGATTATTATTCACCCCTGTCTAAAAATTTAACTTTGACATGCGTGGGAAGTGACTATATGATGGCAGTTTTTATTTGTTATATTTAAACGCAAACAGACGGATGCCGTTTACAATTTCCTCAATCTTACAAGTTAGTTTAATTTTAATTCAACTAAGTTTTGTTTAATTTTAAATGTAATTTATGTAAATGAATAAAATGAAAATCGGATACAATCGTGTGTATGATAGCTAACAAGACCGTTTGCGGTTAACCGGTAATGTATAAATAAAAACAAGTGTTGTATTCATATATATCTGAAAAAGAAGTGTTGGCTATTTTTGGGGGATAGATTTTACCAATTTGCCCTAGAACGACAGTGGTCGCCGGCTTCGTGCTCCGATTGTTTTGCTAATTACCGCATGTCCTGCATTTAAATATCTTGAGCCGTTTTTTAATTTGGTAATTTTCAATGTAGCCATGTTTCTCAGAATAACTCTAACCAAACAGGCATGACCATGTCTCAAAATCTTGAAATCATGAATTACTTGGAAATGAAATATTTCGTAATCATATACACATTATAATTTTTTTTTTCCAAATGAGAGTATATGGCTGTTGTTGAATGATTAATTAACCTTGAAGGTTATATATTTTGTATTCTTTCTGTAAGGCTATAACCGCAAGTACCAAAATTAAATGACGGTATTGCGAATTCCTTATGCGGTAAGATATTACGAATGTATTTCTATTCCCGATTAATGTATTTCCAGCGATTCCCTCCAAGGTTGAAAAGGTAGGGAGAAATTTATGCCAAAATGTAGTAACAGACGTATTTATTGTTAGCTGAACACATAGTATACCTCTCTACCAGGGGTGTAGTGTGTTTGCCAATATCGTTTCTAACCCCATTTCGCAAATATTCTTTACATTACAAATAGTTCTAACGCCCATTGAGTGGGTCGTTTCGTCGTTCAACAAATATGGCGCAACTCATGTTTTCGCTAGCCAATCGGTACTATCACCCTCACGAGGTAATAAAAAATTTATGGGCCTTAAAAACGCGTTGACGAGTCGTGAAACCCGTACCCACCACGATTCGTTCGTTTGTAAACGTCCCGAAATGGTTTTTGTATTAGAATTACGACTACAAAAGGCCCGCTGTGACCCCAGCGCAAAAACAAAATTGATCGCCCGCGGCGCTGATGAAATTCGTTCGTGAAATGTATAAACACGTAAAGCTTTCGACCCCGAGTCTTCCTTAGACCCATTTATGTACGGCCCATATGTGAATCATGATATTCGGTCTTGATTCATGCATTGTCATTCCTGGGAAGGTTTAGAACTTTTATTGATCTTAAGCATGAAGCAGCTGACCCTGCAGGGCGTGCGCATAGATCGATACAAGTCTCTATCACGAATTCTTATGGAACAAGCGTTGACGCAGCCTGTGGGGGCGGAAATCATGATCTATGCTTTGTACGCTACAACTATGACGCCCTCTCCTGTTTCAATACCAGTGCTGTTAATATTATTTTGATATGTTGAAGAATTACATTAAACCATGTGGTATCGTGCGTTCTCATAGTTGGTACTTTTCACGAAATTACAATAAAATGTGATGAAAAAACATTTCTAAAAAAAAAATGCGAAAATTTTGAATAATGGTGTGACCAAATTTTCTTCGTTTATTCTTTGTGTTTGCTAGAACCTGTTAGAATGTCCACCTGGCTATTCATAACGATGCAAAATTGTACCGCAGTTCATTTGTTGAATTGCGCGTTCGAAGTCGCACCAAGGAACTGGATTAATTGAACGAAGTTCGATCTATATTTTCGACGCTAACTTGTTACTGCCCCACCTCTAATTATCTTAGTTGTCACCTTTCATCGTGTTTATCTTAAGTCAAGTCAGGATAAGTGAAAAGGTAGTCGAGTAACCTCACATATCCTAACTTCAGATAAATAGAATCATAGAAAACATATAAATAAATCAGCTATGGGGTAATTACGAGATGGTATACAGTAAATCCCTGTCGTAATCAAACGTGTACAATCCCACCACATTTTCTGATGCAGGACTGCTTAAATCAAGGTCTCGAGTTCTTTACTAAAGGTAGAAAGATTAATGAATGAGAAACTTTTTCAAAACATGGGCCAGTCGCTGGTGATTGAAAGTTTCTGCATTTTGACAAGTCGTGATTAATTTTACCCTACAGATTTTACGTGAAGGTTATTCATTTTCTTTGTAAGCCTTTGAAAATAATCTCAGCTTTGCTATATATGAAAATTTTGTGTATGAATTCAAAATTTTGGATACACTTATAAGAATGGAAAAACTATTAAACATCAAATTGGATAAAATCGCAATTGCGAATTTTACCACCAACTAATTACCTCAATATGCCGCTGACACAGCTGATTTTTCTGTTATAAAATGTTAATGAGCAACTGTCGCATTTGGTACATATCCCCAAACGACCCTGGTTCCACTTGGAAACTGTTATTTATGACTTAACGACATTTCCCATGGGATTTGGAAGACCCGATCCATACTCTTCGTGGAAGCGCATTTTGGCGCCAGATGTCTCATAGGCGGGTAATGGCCCTTCCTTTCTCGGTATTTCTTACGCTTGGTTTTATAGCGATTCCATTTCAAGGGACCTCCCCACGGGAGCTTTTACGTACTATTCAAAAGGTTTGTAGGCCGATATAAGCGGATAGACGACTGTTTTTATATAATACTTGAAAGAGCTCTTTTCAGTCGCTTCCATTCGGGATAAATTTTCTGTTCCAACCTCTGTATGAAAATATTGTTGTTCGTTATTGTTTGTTTTATATTAAGATGCAATATCTCTCTCTATTCGCCGACTACGTGTATCGGACTCAGTGGAGTTTACATTTGTTACCTCAAATTGCCATTAGCGTCTTTAAAACATTTTCGCTCAGTATTTTATTTATATCATAAACCAATATAGCTTTTTGGTATAATATGTAAACTGGAGACTTTTTAGTGCGATGATTGAAACATATATAAAACATTGATGAATTACCGCATTCGTCACGTGACGAATGACAGGCAATATCGACCTTTGAATTTTCGTGATTACCCAACGAGACAAACTCTTGCGAAATATTACACCCTTGTCTCCTGTAGTGATAGGTCACCTTTTCAGAAAATGGTAAAATTTCCACATTTCTTTTTGAATTACCTGACGTTTTTATCAATCACCTACCTACTAGTCAAATTGGATAAAACGGAAATAACTGGCGATTCTTTTATTTGTTGATCCTGTGTACTTTAATAGGAAAGGTTCAAAATTTAACCTTTTCATTTCGCGACATGAATAGTCCATACCCCATACTATTGTATATGAACAAGCATTTTTATGGTGACGCCATTCTTGCTCGCACACTTATACTTGTGGTGTTTCGCTATCAGTTTTTTTTTTAGTTTTTTTCATATGAATTAACTCAGAAATATGAAATTTGCTTTTGTTTTTAAATATGACTGCAGGTTTATAATATGCAAATTTAATCTTCTGGGAAATGACGCTTCACCCCAACTGTTCGTGCAGTCATGCCTTCCATCAGATATTGTTGGAATATGGATAATGGATTTTGCCAAAATGCCATCACGTAGTTTCGTATCGCGTATCGGTGAATTTTCAAAAACGTGTGCAGTATTTTAGTTTGTTTTTTAATCCCGTGTTGCTGTTTGTTTATCGGACTTAGTTGTTAAT